TTTTTTTTTTTTTTTTTTTTTTTTTTTTTTTTGTTTTCGGTGGAAGCATAATGCTAACGGTCTTCTGTTTCAGCGGTCGTCCTCTGCGACCCCGATACGAGGGAGTATCTCATCAACTACGCCCGGAGTCTCATCTACACCACCGCCCTAGGATTCCCCTTCCTCGCGGCCATCCGCACCGTGTATGAGATGTTGGAGGGCGGGGAGACGGTCGAGGTAAGCTTGTTTCTCATGTGTTCGTGTGTGGGTGGGTAAAAGCTCACGGTAAGGGTTCCAGTTGCAAGACACCCTCCACCACAGAATCCGCTATCTACGCGAGCGATTGACTGCAATCCAGCCGGCAGATCCCACCCTGTTCGCCTTGCATCACCATCCCGGCTCCCCCATCTTCTCGCTGCGCTGCCCCCTGCCCCGCCGGCTGGCCGCCGCCTGTCAGGCTAAAGGGTACGTCGTGCGTCCCATCCTTCCGCCCACCGTACCCGCCGGCCAGGAGCGCGTGCGGGTGTGTCTTCATGCCGGGAATACCGAGGAGGAGATCGATGGGCTGGTGGAGGTGATTTCGGAGTGGTTGGCCGAGATGCAGGAGGTGCAGCCGGTTGCCAAGGTGGCGCGGTTGTGATGAGGGGTGCTAGCAGATACTGCGTATCATGCAGGCATGCTATAGAGAGGTTGATGGAGCTTGCTTTCGAGGAAGCATGTTGGACGCCAATTGCGGGTACTGTGGTTGTGGGTTGTGATATAGGGGTTACATGGGGATTCGATAGATACGGCATATATAGTACTGCAGTACATAAGAAAGGTTACCTTCAAGTATATAGCAGAAGGTGTATATACTTACGCATGAGATATTGACCTCAAAACATTGATTGATGAGCGCGTCATGGAACTACAAACTAACCCCATCCTCAATACATATTACTATTGGGATTGACCCAATCCACCTCCAGGCGGAAAAGAGTCTGACTCGAGCCAATAAGCCCAATGGTCCTCCGGAGATCAAGGACGATGTCCTCTCGGGCCAGCAAATCGCAGCCGAGGATGAGCTTGTGAGTGCCCGCGTTGGGCGAAATCACGGCCCGCACGACGATGCGTGTCCAGCGCCGACGCGACATCTTGTGGCCCAGATGATCCGGAATATAGACAAAAAAGACGGCGCACTCGGTCGCCGTGTGCCTATTGGTGGCGAAATTGGTCCAATCCAACATCCCATACGGCTCGCAAGGCTGGATGAACGCCCCGGGGATGGCGCGCGCATGGCCCGGATTGATGAAGGATGTCGGGGCCCCCGTGTCCAGCAAGACAGTGCACAGTCGCTCCGTCGTGCCCAGTCCCATCCGTGCCGTGGCGTGAGTGAACTGCATCAACCGGCTGGTGTAGCCCTGCCACAGGGCGTCCTCCCAGCAGAAGGCCGGGGAGACTGTGATGTCCGCATCGTCGAGCTTGCAGACTGCTTGCGACTCATAGTCCTCAAACGAACACCGCGGAGGCCAGAACTCGTGCGGAGGCCAGTCTTCGGCCGTGTGATGGGGTGGATGCTCACACAGTGGACAATGGCTCCGCTGGCAGGAGCACCGCGGCTGCTGTTCATCCTCTGACTGCTCCTCCTCCGGCTGGGGATCAACCTGCTGCCCAGCCTCCAGCTGCAGATCAACCCTCTGCTGACTCTCCTGCACGGCCTTCTCAATCTGATCCAGTTGATGTCCAGGGTACTCGTGCTTCAAAGCCTTCCTGAATGAATGCTTGCGCCGGATCCTCATGGCTCCGTAAGGACTCAGAGGAGACCCTGGTGGCATGGTGTTGCTCTCGTGGCTGGACTAGCAAGATACGTCGTTGTTGCCGTTCTCTGATGGAGTAGAGGCAATAGGGAGGTTATATAGCCTCGGAGCATTATGGAGAGAACCGGGATGTTGATTCATTTCGCGGAAGTCCTCGACGTGGGTTCCTGTCTGGCGTATGATGAAGCCGCTTGCTCCTCCTTGAGATGGTTTGTTGAAGGAAAGTGCCAGCTCGGAACAAACAGTAGGGCTGTGGCCACGGAGATAGGAGGTAGTTAGGGCAAATGCTGTGGGCGAAGTAGGGAAAAGGGCTCAAATTGTCGGAAATCGTCATTTGGGAGCATGTCACGTTGAGAAGCCAGCATTCTTCACTAACTGCCATACTGGTGAATGGTTGCTGTTGAATCAGTCCCCCTTCAACCTCAGTATCATACCCATTGACGCTGCCCATCGTGGTATTGGTGTAGATGCCGCTTTGGCGTGAGAGTAATGAAGCTGCATAACGCCTTGGCCTGTTCATCTTGCTTCATGTATTGAATGGAGCTGATTGGTGTCTCCAGCACAGCACGTTGATATCTTACACGATTTACAGATTACATTCAGACAATCGTGCAGGTTATAATCAAGAATGCAGCACAGCGTTGATCAATTCTACAGACGAGCTCCGGTTCTTGACCTTAATCCGTGAAAACCTGAATTATATCATCGTTCTACCCAACTGACTGGCGGACAAACATCTTCCATGACAAACTTGAAAAAAAAACTCTTACTCATTACCAACCAACCGAGGAGCCACGAATCCAATCGAACCACTTCTTTCCTGTCGATCCCTCCGCACCCCCATAAAAGCGATTAAATATGGTCGCTGCCACATTCTCATCCTTTGGAGCATCTTTCTCCGGGATCAGCCGCAGGACATCCTCCGCCACCAACCCAATCAGACAGTAGGGATGCCAGTGAGTGGTCTGGGTCTGATCGTCGGCCTGCTCACCTGGGAAATCAGTCCAGGTGATCTGGCTCTCGTCGAGCGGCTCCCTGCACCGGTAGCATGTCGTTCTTCGGACTGCAGCGCACGGAGAGGAACGCAGAGGCGCAGTGGCTGCAGGGGTCGCCGGGGCCCCAACGGACCGGGCTGGGATACCAGCAGTACGACCTGGAGGCGCGGGGTGACTGCTCGCCCGCGATCTCCGCGGAGTGGGGATACCGCTGGTCAATCCACCACGCCCAGCTGAAACGATATTCGCATGCACTATGGTGGCGCTGGTGGCCGGCGGAGACGGGGCGAGTCTCCGGCGCGCTTGCCTCAGTTCGCCTCGGAGCAGGTTGGAAACATTGCCGTTTTCTAGAGTCTGGTCAGCAGCTGCACGATTTTTGGCGGTGGGGTTGTAGGTGGAGATCCTGTCAGGCATGGTGAGTGTAGGCTTGCGAGATTGGTCCCTGGGCGTGAATCAGGGGCCTTATGTACATAAGATGCAGGACCTTGAACCAGGACCCATAAGGAGACTGAGTTGGGTGATCTGCATAGACCCAGACTGACCAGTTGGATGGTAATTGGGGGTTTTATAGTGAATGTGTGTTCATTGTGTTGGAGGAGTTGTGAGGGGAAGAAGATAAAGGATGATGTGCGAGGGTCAGATAAGCTCCCCCTCCCCACCTCCTCCTCCTCCTCCTCCTCCTCCTCCTCTTCTTCTCTTCTCCTCATCCTTTCATCGCGCGGTCTCGCACAATTCCTTTGTCTCACTCCATCCTCTTTAACGCCTCTTTGTGCTGCTACATGCAATATCCGTTCCCGAGCTCCTCCACAATGACCGTCGACACTCCCTATGATATCATGATCGTTGGTGCCGGCATCTTCGGTGTCAGTACAGCCTACCACCTCTCGCTCCAATCGCCGCATCTGAGCATCCTCCTCCTCGATCGCAGTCCGGCCCCTCCATCTCCTGCGGCATCGACCGACCTGAACAAGATCATTCGCGCCGACTACTCTAACCCTCTCTACATGACACTCGGCTTCGAGGCCATCGACGCGTGGAAATCCCTCCCCAGCTTCCAAGCAGCCGGAGTCCACCACCCCTCCGGCTGGATCTGCATGGACGAGAAAGACAGCGACAGCGCCATCCGCATCCGCCAGAACTTCCACCGCGCCGGTCGCGACGACTGTGTCGTCGACATGACGAAGGAGGAGGTCCGTCAAGCCTGGGGTGGGCTGCTGCAACAGACCGATTACTCGCCGTTTGCGACCTACTACTTCAACCCCTCGGCGGGCTGGGCCGACGCCGGCCAGGCGCTGCAGATCTTGACGCAGGAGGCCGTGCAACGTGGCGTCCGATTTGAAACCGGCGAGGCGCGGCGCATCACGCGGGACGATGGCTGCGGCGGTGCGCTCGGGGTGAAGACGGCGGACGGAACAGTCTATACGGCCAACAAGATTGTTCTGGCGACCGGTGCATGGACGAGCCAGCTCATGTCGTCCATCGAGGATGAGCTGGATCTCCCGGACGCAGATCGCGTCGAGCGACAGATCACCGCTGCAGGGGTGTGTGTGTCACATTTCCAGCTGTCGCCCGCCGAACAGGAGCGCTACGCTCAGCTGCCCGTGTTTGTCTATGGTGAGCAGGGTGAGTTATTTCCCGCCTCGGGGTTCTGGCCACGGAAGCTGACTTCGTCCAGGCGAGGTGATCCCCCCCACGGCAGACGGAATTCTCAAGTTCACGTCCGCTTCCTCCTTCACGAATACCATCCGGACTGCATCGGGACATGAAATCTCCGTGCCGGTGGCCGATCAGTTGCAGGTCCCGCAGAAGTTGCAGGAGGCGCACATGAGGGAAATTCGACCCCGACTGCCCGAACTGCTGGAACACGGACGTCGACAACCCGAGTGGTATCGTCTATGCTGGGATGCCATCTCCCCCAGCCAGCATCCGTTGATTACTCCGCATCCCGACCCTCGGTTGGCGAATCTCTATCTCGCCGTTGGCGGCTCCTTTCACAGCTACAAGTTTCTTCCCACGATCGGGCGGTATGTTGTCAATGTACTGCAAGGGGTGAGCAATGGGCCCGAAAAAGACGCGGCGTGGGCGTGGAAGACGATCCAACCGGCCGAGAAGGGGGTGCACGAGAAATTAATTCCCACGACGGAATTCCGCGACTTAATTTGAGGTGGCGCTAGCCACGCCCAACAGAGGATGATGCACAGATGGGGTAATACGAGACGCAAATGCGGGGGATGTATTTAGCGCTCCACTCATGCAGCAGCTCACCGATGGTGCTGCAGAGCTTGATAAGCCTGTCGGTCTGCGGTTAACCTCTAGCCGACCGAGGGATTGTTATTGTAGCTGTCAATACCTTGGGTGGGCCAGATCAGATCCTTACAACGGGTCATAGCAAGAAGAGGAAATTAAGCAACTACAAAGCCTGATATCGCGAAAAGAAACAAGCCGTCTGGAAAGTGTACTGAGTAGTAGTCAATCAGATCCCCCCCGCTGGCCAAATTTCTGCCATGCATGCAGCAGCATCAAGTCGAATAAACCGGCTGGACGGAGGAGCCGAGGATGTCCGGCAATTGATTTGCTCCTCCCCTCCTCCCCTTCAAATATTCTCCTTCCACCAGATACCATACTGTCATTCTCGTCTTCTTCTTCTTCATCTTCATCATGGCTTTAGGTGAGTATGCTCTTGCTCGTTTAACATCCTATGGCATGTCATGCTAATTCCTGTAGCGATCGCTGCCGCCATCACGGCCGCAGCCTACCTCAATGCCAAATTCCACCTGAGCAAAGACCTGGCGGTGCTGCGCACGGTGCGCCAGGCCACCCGCAGCACACAACAGGCCCGAGAACAAGGCCAGCTTAACCTTTGGTTCAATTTCGTCGAAACCGCCTCGCACTATCCTGATGTGACCGCTATTTGGACACGCGAGCAGTCGTACACCTTCCGCGAGGTGTTTGCCGCCGCTGCACGCTACGCCCAGTTCTTTCGCCACCACGGCGTCAAACCCGGCGACTTGGTCGCATTTTATCTCCAAAATCGTCCAGAATTTATGTTCGCATGGTTGGGACTCTGGAGTATTGGTGCGGCGCCTGCTGCGATTAATTACCACCTCACCGGGGACGCACTGGTGCACAGTCTGACCCTCAGCGGCGCAAAGCTTTTGCTGGTGGATCCGGACGCGGAGTGCCGGGCGCGCATCGACGACCGCCGATCCACCTTGGAGACTGACTTAGGACTAACACTTATCACCCTGGATGAGACCTTCACTACCACAGTTCTCGCGAAATTTCCCGCCGAAGTCCCTGAAGGTGGTCAACTAGCGCGGGACACCCAAGGCAGCGCCCCGGCCATCTTGCTCTACACCTCGGGAACCACGGGGCTACCGAAGGGATGCCCCTTCACAATGGAGCGGCTGCACAATGGCGTAGGCATCAGGGAGTATTCCACGCACGACAAGGTCGGACCTGACGGCGACCGGTGGTACAGCGCGATGCCGCTCTACCACGGGACATCGGCGGTGGCACTGATGGTGGCGCTGGTACGCGGCACTAGCATCGCGATTGCGCCGCGGTTCAGCGTACGCGACTTCTGGCGCGACATCCGCGACTCGCAGGCGACGGCATTCGTGTACGTCGGCGAGATCGCCCGATACCTGATGGCGGCGCCGCCCTCGCCGCTGGACCGGCAGCACCGCGTGCGTCTGATGTACGGCAACGGATTGCGACCGGACGTGTGGACGCGCTTCCAAGAGCGCTTTGGGATTGCTGAGGTGGGCGAGTTCTTCAACAGCACCGAGGGGGTGTTCAGTCTATATAACTACAACCGCGGGCCCTTCAGCGCTAGCGCCGTGGGCCACCACGGCGCGTTGTCTCGGTATCTCATGCGCGACGTGTATGCCCCCGTGGCCATCGACCCGCAGACGGGGGATGTTCAGCGCGACCCGGTGACCGGGTGGGCGATTCGCCAGCCCTACGAGATCGGCGGCGAGATGCTGGTGCGGGTGCCGTCCAAGGCGGCGTTTCCGGGCTATTGGCGCAACCCAGACGCCACGGATAGAAAGTTTCTGCGCGATGTGTTTCAGTCCGGGGATCTGTGGTATCGATCAGGGGATGCGCTGCGACGGGATGCCGATGGACGGTGGTATTTCCTCGACCGTTTGGGAGATACGTTCCGCTGGAAGAGTGAGAATGTGTAAGCTCCCCTCCCTCCTCCTTGTTTTGATTGCAGTACCAAGTACCAACCCGACCGCCGGACGCTTTCTGCAAGGAGCTCGAGTATAGCTAACACCCAGGGTACAGCTCCACGGCCGAAGTATCTCACGTTCTAGGCGAATATCCCGGAATCCAGGAAGCCAACGTCTACGGCGTTTTGGTGCCCTCCCACGACGGTCGGGCCGGCTGCGCCGCGCTGCAGCTGACTCCCGAAGCGGCCGCCAAGGGAGAGAGCTTGGATCTCACGGCGCTGGCCCGGTTTGCGCGCGCCCGTCTCCCGCGCTACGCGGTCCCGGTGTTCCTGCGGCTGGTGACGCAGACGTCGCATATCCACAACCACAAGCAGAATAAAGTACCGCTGCGCGAGGAAGGCGTCGAGCCGGCGAAGCTGGGGACTCACGTGGTGGGCGGGCAGAACGACCAGTTGTATTGGCTGCCTCCTGGGGCCGAGGGGTATGTGCCGTTCGGCGAGAGGGAGTGGAAGCAATTAGTTGGCGGGACGGCGAAGTTATGAGGTTAGATTGGATGGTTCGACCGAGACCTCTGTTGTTACCGTGCTGCCGTCCTGAACATGATTGTACGAAGACTTTGAATGGGATATCGGAGGTTTCGTTTCGGGCTAGTAACACAACCAGTCTGCGCTTGCAAGCTCCTGGAAAGGGCCGATGCCAAGCGGGAGTCACGGTTGGTTGGTATAGGAGGTTCAAATTAGGGCACGCGATGGAGGTGGAGCCTACCTCCGCCATGTTCCCCCTTGTCATTGGAAAGGAGGTTGTTTCAGGCTTACTCCGTACTCCATTCGAGGCTTTACAGTAGATCCGGGGACTGGGTGTAGTAGCCCTAGGCAGGGGGCGATATATGAGGTGTGTGTGCTGGGAGGCTTGGATTACCTCATAGAAGCTTCCATGCAGAACCGGTTCCCAGTTTAATTATTCTCCTAGGAGGAGTGTGCTTGAGGCAAAAAGACGACACCATGAACCTCTTTGCATTCACATTAACATGTCAACATCTCACCCAGAAAAGTAATGGCCGTTGAAAATCGAAATAGCAAACCAAGTCCCTGTTGCGCTTGTGCTTCTGCAACCCCTTACTTAGTCTCCGACTGGCAACGATCACATTAGGTGCTCGTTGACCTGTGACCACGGGGGGTTGTTGCTGCAATCTCCACCCACACAGGCCCCCCGGAGGATTCCCATGACTCCTAACGTCCCGGGCAAAGAATGTGTCTCGGCTTTGAGGTTCCAAACGCGTCGTCGTAGCATCGCTTCCCATCTCCGCCGCCACTCTGCTTGGAGCACTGTAGTGAGAAAACGTAGGAGGATGAAGTTAGATGTATACTTCTAACAGGTTCGTCCCGAGTCATTGATTTACCTTGCCAACGTCGCATGGACTAGATGCCATCCCCCAGCCATCCAAGTCAGTAAACCCAGTCGAAGCAGTCTTCTGACATTCGAGTCGCAACGGGTGGAGGGTGAAGAGATGTGCAGCCACTCACTAATTGTTGTATCCGATTTTGCAGCTTAGTCCATTGCATGTCTGTCCATTGTGGACAAAGAGGTCAGATTGAGAGTGGAAGGGGAAGAAGCGCGCAGATCACAGGGGGGACCCGTACACCACAATGAATATTTGAGGCGTCACAATTAACATTCGGATTGTACGCGGCTGCTTGGACCTGTTGACCGGTTGCGAGGTTGGACGTGGTTGCGTCGAGAGGCGATGGGGATGGGGCTGCCAGTGCCAGGCTGGCGAAGAGGGCAATGCTGATGGAGTTGAAGCGCATGGTGAAGGGGTTGGGTTGGGTCTGGTTCTCTTGGATGGTTTTGAAGGAATTTGAAGACGAGCGTGCGACTAGTGAATTACATTTGTTGGCGGAAAGATGCTTCTTATTTATACCCATTTCCCTCACGATGTGCTCGGGCATCCAGTCGGCTGATGGGGGATGTTTGGTACACAGTATCTAGAATTGATGCTAGCTTGAAGCTGAGTGCGCATATCTCTCTTTGGGGAATGGGCTTCTTGGTGATTGACCATGTCCCCGCATGATAGAATGTCATGGCAGACGTGATGTGCAGCCCCAGACGTGTGTTTGTCTTAGGTAGTTCTTCCTCTCAGGGTCGGACCAATCATGATCACAGGAGCTACAGCACACCGTCAGCAGGACTGGAGACCCGGACATCTAGCGAGAAACATTGAGCCTGTCGCTGTCGCGGGCTCCTCGGGATACCATAAGAGGAAAAACACTGCCAGGCTCGAGTCGAACACTTCCCCCCAAATCCCCCCACAGACAACTTCATTGCCGGCAAGCATCTTGACTGGGCTCAGATCGTCAGTCAAATCGGCTCTCAAAGAATCCGGCCTCGAATGGGCCCCCGATATTCCTTAAATTACCGCTACATCTTTCATTGTGCAGCCGCAACAACTGTCCATGAAGGCTACAGTGAAACCTATCTTGAAGCAACTTCCCCCAAGACCCTTCTCAGAGCAATCACATTGGGACGCCTGAGCGGCTCATTCAGTGAGCCCCTCCCCGTCTATCCGGAGGCTGACGGCTGTGCTGCGGGAATGGGCTACATCTGCAGGTTACACAACTGGGGGGCTTACATGCATTGGCGCAAACAAATCACGATAGCACTGCTGTCCCAGGTTGTCTTGCGGTAGCCCTTCAGGGTCCAACCTTTCCTGCTGAATCAATCACCTCGATTATTCGTGCTGCGGTACCGAGCGGTTGTCACGCTTTTGCGAGGCTGTAAGTTTCAGTCGGAAGCAGCAAGCCAGGAAGGAAGGGGAGGCTGAGGGTCAATGACTGCATGTCTAACACAGTCTAGTTCCAGATAGTTGAATATGCAGGGCAGGTGGAAGGCGGGGGTGGATGGATCCGCTGACTACTGCCTGAAGCTGCGGTTGTGTTGAACTGGACCGAAAACGACCCTGAACAGGGATCAACAAGTCTAGCTTGGAATGGTTGCAGATCAGCTGGATTCGAGAAGGTAGACGGGAAGCAAATGGTCCCCGGTTTGGAAGCCCCTCAACCGGAAATAAAACAACAGCCACGTCATAGATATTTCATTCCTAGGTTAGAGATTCGCTGTGCGTACGGGTTACTTGAGAACAGGGCTGCAGCAACTTCAGGTGGTGCGATGCACGGCGGCGACGGTGGCGACGTGACACTCGTATGCGGCTTCTACGCATACTACGGGTACTCTGGAGCCCTAACCATCTGGCAGGGTACGTGGGGTGAGACTTGTTCGCCCAGGAAGGGCACAGGGCTTCAATGTGCGGACCTTCCTCTTGACCCAAGCAATGAGAAGGATCTCAACCCAGGCGTTAATGATAAGGAATTTCCCCCCATCAGAGTAAGGCCACCTGAACGGTATACATAAATGAGGAGCCCTGATATTAATGGTCGATTGCAGGTACAGTACATTGGCGGATGACATCTGCTGAGAACGATTCTGGTGCGCTTTACGAATTCGACTTTCAGGTCTGAGATGGCGCTGATTTTGACTGACTTACTTCGCATCCTGTATTGAGTGACTTCTAGCGCACATGAATATGTGTTTCATGAAGTAGGAAATGGAAAGGAAGACGGGGGGAGCAGAGCAGAGTAGACCTTGGGCAAAATGAGCCCTATTCTAGATATTGATCCGGGTAGAAGCAAGTGTGACTTTCATTCCAGCGTTGACTCACGTCTTAGAGAGATTCACCTTCTTACATGATGATTGGAAGCAACGGCCAATTCGAGACAAAGGCTCTGATTGACTTCCACATTTATCATGCTTAGCAGTGCTTGTTATCCACGAAACTAGCGAGCCCAAAGTTCGTCTCTCTTCGTCTCAGAGACTCTTTTAAACTTATCCACAAGAGACCTCCGAACGAGCAAAGAGATCAACTCCTGCATATCACCTTTACGCGATTTGACCTTTTGCTGCACAGACTAGGTGCATAGTATCATAATATCGTTGAGAGTAGTGGCGCCCATTCATCGGATACCGGCTGGTAGAACCATGTCTGAGCAACAAGAGAATTAATAGTGGCAGTCAAGGTAGCAAGGTAGCAACCCTGGTGCATTCTATCAGAGCTCTGTGGCGCCCAGATGGCTGAAAATAGCATGGACTCCTCGTTTGATTGCCAGGCATTTGTGTGATAACAAAAGGTTAGCTATACGTAGGTTGTCAATCCTATCAGCTGTCATCTCTTATCTACGTATCCTGCAGCCAGCCTCCCCCGCTCCTCTCACGTGGAAGCGAAAAGATAAGGCTGGTATGCTGGTAGGAATAAGATCGGCGCCTTCTCCGCATTCCGGTTGATTCCTCGGCAGCCTTGCCGTGTCACTCACCTCCATGTTCTGTTACTGAAGCATAGAATATCATTCTCCCATTCGACCTCAAGCATCAAACCCCAATAAAATAAAAAAAAAATCCTCACATCATGTCCTCCTCCACCACCACCACAACACAAATCAAGCCGAGCAGAGAAGGCCAACAAGGTCGCCGCTTCCGGACGGGTTGTAAGACCTGTAAGTCGAGAAGGGTATGCGAGCGAGCCCTTCTGTTCTGACTTCCCTACCTTCTCGTCAACCTTCTGGCTAATTCCAGGTCAAGGTTCAATGCGATGAAACCAGACCGGCGTGTAAGGCATGCGTGAGGCAAGGGAGAATTTGTCCCGGATATCAGCGCGAGTTCAAGTGGTCCACTAAACATGAGGTCTCTTCGACGCGGAGGCGAGTAGCTGGTAGGGAAGGGCGTACGCGGGTAGATACCCCCGAGGTGACGGATGTGATGGCGGAGGTGGAAAATCAACAGTTGGAAGAGGCGTTCGATGCTGCGTCTGGGTTGTTGAGATCCGAGGGTGATTCGAATGAGGATGGTGGTGATTCTGGTGCTGACGCTACTGGGCGTATACCGACTGTGGGGAGTTTGGATGGATTGGCGGAGTTGTATGGGCGAATCTATGGGGATGGGTGGGAATGGCTGACGGGGTTGGAGGCGGATACTCAGGGTCAGAGCCCCCTGGAGGCATTGTCTCCGTTGGATATGCCGATCAATCCCTTGGAAGAGGCGTTGAACGAGCCGGCCACCACAGTCGATGCACTCGTTGAGGCTGAAGCAGACCTTCCTCCCCCCCACGATACACCACCCCAGATCCTCCCCAGTCCAACCATGAGCGAGACCACCACTTTTCTGATCGAGTACTGGTTCAAGAACGTGTGTTCCATCTGGTCGAGCTTCGACTCCGACCGCAACCTGATCCGCACGCTGGCGGCCCACACATGGAGCCACAACGCCGCCGTCTTCCACAGCCTGCAGACCATGTCAGCCCTACATCTCGCGGAGCAACTGCCTCACCTGCACGCCATCGCCAGCACCTCCTGGACCGCCGCCATGCAGTCCATCCAACAGGAACTGGCCTCCTGCACGCACTCAACGCAATTCCCCACGGGTCTCCTCCTCGCCCTCGCCGGCATCGGCACCACCACCTGCTGGACCGACAGCCAGCAACTGGGCATCCCCCTGCTGCAGAAGATGAAGACCATCCTTGCCTACTACAACCAGCCGGGCATGCTCGCGCCCACCTCCACGGACCGGGTGTATCTCGAGTTCTTCAACGACAGCTGCGCCTACTGGGACATCCTCTGCCGGGTCGTCACGGAGGAAGACCCTGCAGATGACACGAACAGCCTCATCCCCGTCCACCCTCCCAGCCAACCATCCCGCCCACTCCCCCCTGCAACAACCCTAACCTCAACCTCGCCGCACCCTTGGGTGGGCGTCTCCCGCCACATCCTCGACCTCTTCGCCCACACCCTCCTCCTCTGCCGCCGCCACAGCAAGCGCCTCCTCCACGATGCCACCCTGCACACCCTGCAGGCCCTGATCCGCGACATCCACGCCGCCCGCGCCCTCCGCACCACCCTCTCGGCCATGACCCTCCCGGACTCCCCCAACCTCACCGAAACCGGCGACGCGCGCACCCCCCTGGCCCATTTAGTCGATGTAGCAGAGGGCTACCGCCTCGCCGCGCTCCTGCACCTCTACCACACCTTCCCCGACCTCCGCGCCGACCGCACCCGCGAACTGGCCCTCGCACCGCAGGATGCGTCGCGGTGGAGCCTCCAGACCCTCGCCCTCGAGCTCCTCGATCTCGTAACACGCATCCCCCTGGACTCTGGCTCCAGAGTCATCCAGCCGCTGCTGTATCTCTCCATTGCGACGGGGCTGAGAGCAGGCCCAGAACCGGGGGACTATCCCCCGCTCGTCGACCCGATGGCGATCCAAGTGAGTCAGGCGCGGCGGGTGGTCCTGCAGCGGGTCAGTGGGTGGGAGTATAGTCTGCCGGCGAAGCCGATTCAGGTGCTGAAGGCGTTGATTCAGCGCATCTGGGAGGTGGGCGATCGGGAGGTCGCGATGGGGGTTGCCCGGGGCAGGCGGAAGCATTGGAGTGAGGTGATGGAGGAGGGGAGATTGAGGACCATGTTTGGCTGAGTTGGAGGTTTCGCTAAAAGGGTTAGTTAATGTGTTTAGTCGTTGAGTCGGTGGGATAGTATTTTTTCATTTCAATCAAGTGTTGGGGTGGATTGCTGGTTGGGCTGGGATGGATTGTTCTACTGTAGAAGGGAGGAAGGCAGGCAGGCCGTTTCTTAGTTGTCTGCAAGGAGACGAGACACGAATAACTACTGTACACCGCTCATCTCTCATCCCTGGCCCGACTACAGTATCCCCAACAGCTACCGCTACCATGACATTCGCATCGTGTCGGTCCTCACTTCATCCCCCCCAGATTGATTTCCCGCCCCTTCCGTTCCTGCCGATCAAGTTTCCCACAGAAAAAGGGGGTCGAGGGGATTGGTTTGAACTTGATCTGGTGAAATCACATGCATCTTGACGATGTGCTCGCTCATGCACTCAGTCCCTGCAAGTTGATACTCTTCGGTCGCTCGATGGGCAGCCCCAAGGCGCGATCCCAGATCAACTGCACCAACGGACCCAGAGCACGACTCACGCCAAAGGTCACAGTGTAGTATAATGGTTGCGTGAACCCATAGTGATAGAAGAGCACTCCCGACGCAGCGTCCACGTTCGGATGCGGGTTCTTGGTCTGCTGAAATGTTAGCCCGGCTCCTCTCCGCCCAAGCCTACACCACCTACCTTTCCATGTTCCGTCAGAACGCCCGGCGCAATCTCCGAGGTCTGCTGGACCAGCTTGAACACCGGGTTCTGCTGCACGTCGGGTCGCGTCGCGGCAAAGTCCATCAGCGCCTGGAAGCGCGGGTCGGGCTGACGCAGAACCCCATGGCCGTAGCCGGGGACCACGCGGCCGGATCGCAGCGTGGTCCATAGATAGTCCCGCACGGCCTCGTCCGTCGCCCCCGACCCAATCTCCTCCTGCATGGCGAGGATCCAGCGCAGCACCTCCTGGGCGGCCAGCCCGTGCAGCGGACCCGCCAGCCCCAGCAGCCCGGCGCTGTAGCTGAGGTAGGGGTCGCTGAGGGCACTGCCCACCAGATGCGTCGTGTGCGCCGACACATTTCCACCCTCGTGGTCGCCGTGCAGCGCCAGGTACAGCCGCAGCAGATCGTGGAAATCGCCGTGCTGGGTCGGGTCGCCCTTGCCCAGCAGGGTGGCGAAGTTCGCCGACCAGTCGAGCGCCCCGTCCAGCGGCTGGGTGCCCACCTGGTCGACCGCGTCGGGGCGGAAGACCAGCGCGGCCACGCGGGGGATCTTGGCCAGCAGGGCGATCGCGTCGTCGAAGGTCGGCTCCCAGTAGTCTGCCTTGGGCAGGCCGCGGGCGTAGGCCTGGGCGAAGCGGGATTCGGTGTTGAGGGCGGCCACGGCGACGGACAGCTGGGTCATCGGGTGCATGTCGCGGGGGAAGGACTTGATGAGGGTGAGGAGGTGGTCGGGCAGGTGGGATTGTTCGGCCAGCTGGCGCGAGAACGCCCGCACTTGGGCGGTCGAGGGCACCTGGCCCGTCAGCAGCAGCCAGAACATCGCCTCGGGAAGCATCTCCGTGCCCACGGGGGCTTTGGGCAGTTCCCGCTGGCAGTCCTTGATCGTCTTGCCGTGGAACCGGATCCCCTCGTTCGCATCCAGCACCGACCCTTCCCACAGGAGCGCCTTCAGTCCCCGCATCCCGCCGATGACGTTGCCGACCGTTACTTCCCCGATGACCTGATCGCTGCGGGCTTTGACTTGCTTCAGGAGATCCCGTTTCGCGGGGATAACGGCCTTGAGGGCGGTTTTCAGATCGGGTTCGGTGGCATAGCCGCGACGCAGACGGGGGGTCTAGATCGGTCAGCGGTTGGTTCAGAGATGAAGGCTGTGAGGGTAGGGGAGTGTGGGCGCACGCACCTGAGTTAGTCGCGAGGCATGGCGGGTGGTGGTACGTAACGGAAGAGCCATGATGGGAGTATGTGTGGGTAGATGGTATGTGCACAATTGGTGAGAAGCAAAAAAGAAACAATCAAGATCCTGTCTTGATAGTGGTGTGAGAGGAAAGTCTCGTTCTATGGAGGGAGGAGTGAAGCTGTGAGGGTGTGTTACAGGGAAGATTGACAAGGGGAGGGGAAGGTCCATACATAATACCACCCAACTTCACTACTACTTAATTAATTCCCTTACCTATAGTTACTGAGTAGCCTCGGCCGAGGCGGGGAGGGAAGCGGTTGGCTGCGGAAATGGACCATCCCCGAATAATCCGACCGAGGCAAGGGGACGGCTGCATGCGGACAGTTGGAAGGGGAGGGATGGATGGCCAGTGGGCAGTACCTGCGACCCGGAGAAATCCTACACAGTGTCTCTTTTTGTGGATGGGTCGATCATCCCCAACTAAGCTACTAGTAGTAAATAGTAGTAGTAGTAGTAGTAGTAGTAGTAGTAGTAGTAGTAGATAACAATTGTGTTGGTCTCCCTTAGCCTTTCCTCTCGCCTTCTCCTTCAACTGGGTTGCGGCGGTGAAAGCACCATGGCTCGGAAGAGAATGGAAAAGTCTCTTTGTTCCTGTGGATGCAGTTCTCCCCTAGTGCAGGTGGCTTGCTAGGTATTTCTTGCCATCATGCTGAAAAGAGACCATCATGGATTGCGGTGATGCTGAGGTGTGTCTATCAGACCATTGGATGAGATGAAGCTCCACTGGGTGGATCTCCCCCTTCTTCTCCGTGCGGGGTAAATCAGCGGTCATCGCCGCCTGGTGCCTCAGGCATTAACACCTCGTGATCAGCCCGCCAGGGCATCGAGCGCACCGCCTCATGTTTTTACGTCATCCAAGGCGGTGTCGGTCCCTGCGCAGCCACATCTCCCTGATTGGCGTCAGCCACGCCTCAGGCAGAGATTTCACGGTCGACCTCAGCCAATCATCACCAGCGAAAAAAAAAGTCCCCCCCCGCCCGCCCACCCCGTCGATTTTTCTCTTCCTTCCAGCATCTCATCCATTGTTTTCTTCCCCTCCCCTCCTTCTGCTGTGTATCCTCTCCACTCTTCCTTTTTTTTTTTGCTGTGTTTTTTGGTGGTTGGACGCATCCTCCCGGAGGATTGCTGCTTGGTTGTTGCATTTGTGGTTGTATAGTGCTTTCTAATTCTTCTCTTGTATCTCTCCTGCTCCGAAACGAGGCTGTTCGCCCCCTCTCCGCCCACTTATCAACAATCGGCTTACGGCTTGTGCTGGTTGGAAGCCTTCACCACACAATAGAAGATACCCCCTGCATATCTAGAATGCCTCACACCGAGTTCATCCCCGCCATGCAGACCGCTGTCTCCAAAACCCCCTCGGGAGTCCCCCCCACCTACGAGGAGATCGGCTCCCTCCTCCACACCATCTTCAATGCAGAGACCTCCCAGCAGTCCCTCGATGCCTCCTACGCCCTCACCAATCTGCTCATCCAGAGCGTTGGTGTCGCCGGCTTCACACACTACAACATCCTGCCCCAGGTCCAGAAGGCCGCCGCCGATAAGAAGAATGGCGCGCTCCGCGAAAGTGCCATGCTGATCCTCGGCGCCATGTTCGAACGCTTCCCCCGCCAACACCCGCTCAGCGAAGTCGTCTTCCTGCTCCAGGACGGTGGTCTCCTGCATCTCGCGCTCGATCTCCTGGCTGACAAGGGTGCCGTCGTCCGCGATGCTGCGCAGTATGCCATCGACGCTCTCTTCGGCGGCTTGAAGGCCGAGTCTCTCGCCAACGCCATGCTTCCCGCCCTCTCCGCTTATCTGAACCGCAGCACCGCCAAGTGGCAGGGCTTCGTGGGCGCCTACTCGCTGCTGGAGAAGATGGCCGTCAAGGCGCAGATGGGTGCTGGCTCACACGAGGAGGAGCGCGAAAAGGATCTCCTGCGCGAGGCCATGGGCAAGACCCTGAAGGATCTGATCCCTCTGGTCGAGTCCGGCATGCACGACCTGAAGAACGAAGTGGCCAAGCAGGCGACCAAGACCATGAACGCCATCACCACTCTGCTGTCCAACGACGACGTCGCCCCCCGCATCCCCCTCCTGATCAAGACCATGGAGCAGCCTTCGGAGCAGACCCTCCAGAAGGCGATCCACGCCCTGTCCCAGACCACCTTCGTCGCCATTGTCACCTCCCCCGTTCTCGCCCTGCTGACTCCCCTTCTCGAGCGCTCGCTGAACGCCCCCACCACGCCTCAGGAGACCCTCCGCCAGACCGTGGTCGTGGTGGAGAACTTGACCAAGCTGGTCCACGACCCCGCTGAGGCGCGGACCTTCTTGCCCAAGCTGAAACCTGGTGTGCAGCGCGTCAAGGATCGGGCCTCCCTGCCGGAGGTGCGTGAGCTCGCCACCCGCGCCCTGGACGTCATCGAGAAGGCGATGACCGACAAGGATGTCGCGGCTGGTGTGGTAGCCAAGATCACCCCCGACGAGGTCCGGACCGTGTTGGAGGCCCAGATCCACGCGCAAGGCGGCCTGGTGCACCCCGAGCTGGTGACCCTGTTCGAACTCGCCAAGAACTACATCTCCGAGATGGTTCGCGAAGACGTCAACTGCCGCATGCTGGACCGTATCCCCGCCTGCGTCGGTCCTTACCTGCGCGGTCTGCTGGCGGATGACAAGCACGACGCAGTGGCGGCCGCTCTCGAGGCCCACTTCATTGAGGAGGATCACCGCAAGTATGGCCGTCCCGAGCCCGATGACCCTAACGAGGTTGAGATTGTCAATGCCAACTTCTCTCTCGCTTATGGTGGGATGTTGCTGCTGTCGCACACCAACCTCCGTCTGCTCAAGGGCCACCGGTATGGTCTGTGTGGTCGCAACGGTGCGGGCAAGTCCACCCTCATGCGCAGTATTGCCAATGAAAAGCTGGAGGGTTTCCCTCCGCAGGATGTTGTCCGCACGTGCTTCGTCGAGCACAATCAGGGTGAGGATGCTGATCTGAGCATCTACGAGTTCGTGGTCAAGGACCCGAAGATCGCCGCGGAGGGTGAGGCGCACGTCCGCAGCGTCCTGTTGGAGTTCGGCTTCACAGATGGCCCCGATGGTCGTCAGAACCAGCGCGTCGGATCCCTTTCCGGTGGTTGGAAGATGAAGCTGGCTTTGGCTCGTGCCATGCTGCTCAAGGCGGATGTTCTCTTGCTGGACGAACCTACTAACCACTTGGACGTTGCCAACGTCAAGTGGCTGCAGGAGTACCTCAAGGCACACACCGAGATCACCAGCTTGATCGTGTCCCACGACTCGGGTTTCCTCGATGAGGTCTGTACCGACATTTACCACTACGAGCAGAAGAAGCTGGTTTGCTACAAGGGTAACCTGGCCGAGTAAGTGTTTTTTTTCTTTATTTTTTTTTTCTTATCTCCGATTACTGGCCATTGCTAATCATCCGCACAGCTTTGTGAAGGTCAAGCCCGAGGCCAAGAGTTACTACACCCTGTCCGCCAGCAACGTGCAGTTCAAGTTCCCTCCTCCCGGTATCTTGTCCGGTATCAAGTCCAACACCCGCTCCATCCTCCGCATGACCGACTGCTCCTACACCTACCCGGGAGCCAGCAAGCCGTCGCTTACGGGCGCCTCGCTGTCGTTGACCCTCTCTTCCCGGGTCGCCATCATCGGTGGTAACGGTGCGGGTAAGTCGACCTTCATCAAGATGCTGACGGGTGAAACCATCCCGCAAACCGGCAAGGTCGAGAAGCACCCCAACCTGCGTATCGGTTACATCAAGCAGCACGCTCTGGAGCACGTGGAGATGCACTTGGAGAAGACCCCCAGCCAGTATCTGCAGTGGCGGTACGCCAACGGTGATGACCGTGAAGTGCACTTGAAGCAGACCCGCATTCTCACCGAGCAGGACAAGGCGCAGCTGGAGAAGCCTGTGGATCTGGGTGATGGCCGGGGACCTCGCCGCATCGAGGCGCTGATGGGTCGTCAGAAATGGAAGAAGTCCTTCCAGTATGAAGTGTAAGCCAACCTGCCCGTCCGCGCCATCTGTATAATTCTAACATGTTGATTTTATAGGAAATGGGTCGGCCTTCTTCCCAAGCACAACACCATGATTTCCCGTGAGACTCTGACGGAGCTGGGATTTGCCAAGTTGGTGCAGGAGTTCGACGATCACGAGGCATCCCGTGAGGGTCTCGGCTTCCGTGTTCTCGAGCCCAAGATCATCGCCAAGCACTTCGAGGATGTCGGTCTGGATCCCGAGATCGCCGCTCACAACCAGATCTCCGGCCTTTCTGGTGGTCAGAAGGTCAAGGTGGTGCTGGCTGGAGCCATGTGGAACAACCCCCATTTGCTGGTCCTGGACGAGCCTACCAACTTCTTGGATCGAGACTCCCTGGGTGGTCTGGCGGTGGCTATCCGCGACTTCAAAGGTGGTGTGGTCATGATCTCTCACAACGAGGAGTTTGTGGGTGCCCTGTGCCCTGAACAGCTGCACATCGCCGACGGTCGTATTGTGGGCCGCACCAACAATGCTGTCGCCCTGGATCGGTTCGAGGACAGTGCGACCAACTCGCCCCAGCCCGGCAGCACGGCGGCCAACTCGGCCACGACCAGTGCGGCGGCCTCCGCGGTGAACTCGGGGGCAGAAGAAGGCGAGCTGAAGTTCAAGGCACGCAAGAAGAAGAAGATGACCCGTGCGCAGCTCAAGGAGCGTGAGGCGCGTCGTCGTCTGCGTCACTTGGAGTGGCTGCAAAGTCCTAAGGGTACTCCCAAGCCTCCGGACACGGACGATGAGGAGTAAACCGTGAATGACCGCGATGACTGCTGGATTGGCTTATAGACCTTTTTGCTTGCTTGATGACTGTTAATGAGTATATAGAGCTGTAGACTTGATTCTCAGCATAGAGCACCTATCGATTGGTATTGTTTGTTGGATGTATGAAGACGAGCTGTAACTGCAAATACGTAGCCCAGGAGGGTCATTTACAGGTATTTACCTCGTCCTGACCATACAATGCGGTCGTCGTCATGCAGCCCCAGTGGGGACTCCACCTGCCCCCGGTTGACACAACCAGGAACCAATGCCTGGAGCGGGCCAGGCGCTTTCCGCCCAGTCCACTTTCCCTCCTTCAATCGTCACCAAATCTCCATCTCCCATCGTCATCTCCCCTTAATCCCCAATGCAGTTTTCTTCTCTCCTTTTTTTCTGACATGTTCTCTTCCTCTGCATCTTTTGCGTTCGATTCCAGCCTTTTGATCCATGATACCCATTCGAATGAATTGAATCCAGTCTGAACATATAAGCCATGCCATTCAACCCGGGTCCCCCTCCCTACCGGGACCACCTCAAACCAGACCCTCCCTCTCGCAGATCCCTCTCGTCCTTCTCCCCCATCCCCGAAGAAGAAGATCGATTCACCATCTCCGACCTCTCCGACGAGGAGAACAACCACAGTCACCAACGCAGCACCAGCACCAGCAACAACAGCAGCGAGATCAAACTCCGCCGCATCGACCACAGCAGCGGCAGCCGCAGCCACAGCCGCCACGGGTCCGCCGCAACCGCCTACGCCTACAGCAACCAGCACCACACCACCACCACCACCCGCCCCTCCGATGTCGAGGCCTACCTCTCCTCCATCACCGAGGCGGAACGCGAGCTGCTGACCGCCGCCCAGCAGTTCGAGCTCAGCGATGATAGCGACGACAGTGATGCGCGATCGGTGGGGTCGGATGTTGGGTTGAGGAAGGGGTCGCGGGGGACGGGGCATCGGAGGAAGTCCTCCTCGTTTAAGAGGCATACGCCCCATATGGGGTGGGGGTGGGCGTCAACATCGCGCTATTACTATCGGAAGGTCTGGTGGCGGGCCTTGGTGGTCGTGGTTGTGGTGCTGGGAGCGTTGGTCTGGGTGTTTTTGCGGTTTGCGGCGAGGGGGTGGGAGGGGGTAGGGGACAATATTGTGAGTGCTACATTCTGGGGGGGTTTGGGGTTGTTTGGGGTGGATGGGCTGGGGGGAGAGGGAGGGGATGCGATTCGAATTGGATTGGGGATGGGCTCGATTGGGCAAGGATGAGACGAGATTGTCTTCGGGATAATAGCTGACCAGTGTGCTGTGTCTTACAGGATATGTTTTCTTCCGAATCATGGTTCCCCACGCCGCAAGGTGGTGCGCTCGAGGACTGGGCCGACGATTATCGCCGAGCTGAAATGCTGGTGCGGAATATGACGCTCATCGAAAAGATCAATATCACCACTGGTGTCGGATGGCAGATGGGCATGTGTGTCGGGAATACAGGTTGGTCAGATCGGGATCCCCCGGCTGTAGATGAGATGCGGAGAATAACCACGAGTCGAAAACAGCACCCGCCGAATTCGTGAAATTCCCCTCGTTGTGTCTGCAGGACGGGCCACTGGGGCTGCGCTATGCGGATTTGATCTCCGCCTTCCCCGCCGGGATCACCACCGGCGCTACCTGGAACCGGGAGTTGATCCGCCAGCGAGGCGTGGCGTTGGGGGAGGAGGCTCGCATCAAGGGGGTCAATGTGCTCCTCGGTCCTTCCATGGGTCCCTTGGGCATGATGCCTGCTGGTGGTCGCAATTGGGAAGCGTTCGGCGCCGACCCGGTTCTTCAGGGGGTGGCGGCCGCAGAGACGATCCAGGGTATTCAGAGCACTGGAGTCATGGCCACGGCGAAGCACTACATCATGAACGAGCAGGAACATTTCCGGCAGCCCTACGAGTGGGGCATCGCAACAGCCTTGTCGTCCAACATCAACGACCGTGCGCTCCATGAGGTCTTTCTGTGGCCCTTTGCGGAAGCCATCCGGGCCGATGTTGCTAGTGTCATGTGTTCGTACCAGATGGTGAACAACAGCCACGCCTGTGAAAACAGCAAGCTGCTGAACGGCATTCTCAAAGATGAACTAGGGTTCCAGGGCTTCGTGCAGTCCGACTGGCTGGCTCAACGCTCGGGGATCAATAGCGCCTTGGGCGGGCTCGACATGAGCATGCCCGGCGACGGGCTTCGCTGGGCGGACGGTAAGTCTCTCTGGGGTCCAGAGTTGACCCGTGCCGTGCTCAACACCTCAGTGCCGATGGAGCGGTTGAATGATATGGTCACTCGTATCGTAGCGGCCTGGTACCACTTAGGACAAGATACGTGGGAGCGACCGCCTCCCGAAGGAGACGGCGGCCCTAATTTCTCGTCGTGGACCAACGACGAGGTCGGCTGGCTCTATCAAGGATCGCCCGGCGACGAGACTTATGGCGTGGTGAATCGCTTCATCAACGCGCAAGGCGAGGGCGACAACGCCCACTGGATCATCGCGCGCAAAGTTGCGACCGAGGGAATTGTGCTCGTAAAGAACGACCGTCAGACGCTGCCATTGTCCCGCCGCCCCACTGCCGAATCGGGAGGCGTGTTTCGCGTGGGGGTCTACGGTGATGATGCGGGTCCGGCACAGGGTCCCAACGCCTGCGCCGATCGCGGGTGCAACCAAGGGACCTTGGCGATGGGCTGGGGCAGCGGCACGGCCGAGTTCCCGTATCTGGTCAGCCCGCTTGAGGCTTTGCAGTCCGCCTGGGAGACGGAGGTCGAAGTGAAGCCCTATCTGCGCAACGCGGTGATGCCGGCGGAAGCGGCCGACAAGGATCTGTGTTTGGTGTTTGCCAATGCCGACTCGGGAGAAGGCTTCATCTCCGCGGGGGGCATTCACGGCGACCGCAATAATCTGTTCTTGCAGAAGGGCGGCGACACGTTGATTGAGACGGTCGCGCGGAACTGCGCTGGGCCGACTGTGGTGGTGGTGCACGCCGTGGGCCCTGTGGTGGTGGAATCGTGGATTGATCTTCCGGGAGTGGATGCGGTGCTATTCGCGCATCTGCCTGGCCAGGAGAGCGGCAATGCCTTGACGGATGTCTTGTTTGGCGTGGTCGATGCCAGTGGTCGACTGCCGTACACGGTCGGCAAGAGTCTGGCAGACTACGGACCCGGTGCGCAGGTCCTGTATGAGCCCAACGCACCCGTGCCGCAGGTAGATTTCCGGGACGGGCTGTATATTGATCATCGGTATTTCGATCGGCACAATATCACGCCACGATTCGAGTTTGGGTTTGGATTGTCGTACACCACGTTTGAGCTGGCCGATCTTCATGTCCAGGGGCTGCAATCCAAATCCCGTCTCCCGGCGTCTCGACCGCCGCAGACTGGTTTCCCGCCTGCGTACGCGACAGAGCCCCCGCGCAATGAGTCGGTGCTGTTCCCTGCCGAGTTCCAGGCAGTCCCCCAGTACATCTACCCGTACGTGACGTCGATGGATGGCACCGAGGCGGCCAACTACACGCATTATCCGGATGGATACGACCAACCGCAGCCGTTGTCGGCGGCGGGAGGCGGCCTGGGCGGCAATCCATCGCTCTATAAAGAGGCGGTGAATGTGGAAGTCGCGGTGCGCAACACGGGGGCGCGGGCCGGACAGACGGTGGTGCAGGTGTATGTCTCATTCCCTGAGGAGGTGACGGAGGATGGCGACTGGGTAGAGGTGCACGAGGGGGCACGTCGGTCCAGCAAGGTCAAGCTGGAGCGGATGCCGGAGACGATTGAATTTCCCACCCGCGTGCTGCGGAACTTCACCAAGGTGGCCTTGGAGGCCGGGGAGCAGCAGACGGTGGCAATGACGTTGAGCCGAAAAGACCTGAGTTATTGGAGTGTGCGGGAGCAGAATTGGGTGATGCCGGATGGCGAGTTTGCGATTTGGGTCGGGCAGAGTTCACGGGACTTGCCCTTACGAGGACAGTACTGAATGAACTGCAGGTTGGAGTAATTTGTGATGTGATAATTAGTGAGACACACATCAACTAGGCGGGGGGGGATCCGGCGAATCCGAGACATGTACGGAGTAGTCTGTATTGTGTAGATAGATACTGCAGTTGCATTGCATGAATTAGCATTAGGTTGGATGTCCCTTAGGCCGTTCGTGAATCTTCTGCATTCTTCTGCAGGGCACAGCACCCATGATATCATGAGCTCAAAATAGAATAGCATGAAGATCCACAGGGTCCAGCGGCGGGTTCGGGTCGGCTATGGAAGGGTGGCTGAGGTGATAGTAGGTGATGAGATGAAATAACCCTAAACAGAATCTCATTACTTAACCAACTTATTCTTCACTGGCAAAAAAAAAGATGAAAGATGCCTAACCGGGAAAAAAAGAATACGAAGGCGAGTGAAACCTGGTCAATCACTTTCCCAACCGACTGAAGAAGGGAATGTCCCCGAGACAACATCCGCTGATCAACAGATGGAGTGGGGATGTTTCACTTTGGGAGACTGCACTATCGAAGACGCCCTGGGGTATACAGAATCATATAAAGACATGCTCTCTTTTCCCACTGCCAGACAAGACAAACCACTCAACTTTATAGTTCAAAGTTACAAGTCAACCAACTACAAACTCCCCCCACCATCACAGCAATGAAGCTCCTTGCCCTCCTCTCCGCCGCCGCCGCTGCCACCGGGGTCTCCGCCCTCCCCCAGGCCCAGCCCCAGCAGCAGACCAAATACAACTCCTTCACCGTGATGTCCGCCCGCTCCGCCTCGCCCATCCACCTACTCCCCTTGAACGCCGCCTCCGGTGGCTTCTACCTCGGCCTCCACAACGCCTCCAGCTACTGCCCCGAGCAAGTCTCCAAGCTGGGCGCCTGTCCCCCTGGCACCGAAACGGTGATCAACGCCGGTGCCAACTCTCTGGTAAGTCCCCCTTCCCTTCCCTTCCCTTCCCCTCCCCCGTGGCAAGAAAGATCCCCAAAAATCTAATCACATCATGAATAAGGACGTCTCCGTCCCCGGCGGTCAACAAATCTACATCGCCCCCTCCGGCGCCCTGGCCTTCACCCAGCCCCACTCCGCCTACGTGCCCGCCGGCTCAGTCGTCGGCGCCTTCGAGTACTCGCAGCCGGCTGGCGCCTCGTTCGGCTACTGGACCCTGCCCGGTAGTGGGTTGATCGCTTGTCCCGTTCCTGAGGCCGCGACGTGGCAGGTGTTTGCCGCGTGGAACAATGCTACCGTTCCCTCGGGTAGTGTCGGCGATTGTTTGGGTTTTGATGCGTTGGCTGTCGGGCGGAATGGGAGTGCGGGCGCTTGGGAGTATCTTTAAGTTGTCACGATGATTCCAGGGTGATTTGGGGGGGGGGGGAAAGGGGGGCTGGGGGTCTTGTGGTGCTGGGTTTGGTATATCGGGTTTTGATTGTGTAATTGGGGTGGGATGGGGTGGGTTAATTGTATAGTGTATATGGACTTGGGGGTGGGGGTTGCCTACTTGTGATATGGAGTATGGAACCCGTGTTTTAAAATAATGAATTGAATTCTTTGCATTGGATTGTTTATGGATGCTCTTCACTGCTTGGTAGGGTTAGTGGCTTGTCGGAGTATGACTTTGGGGTTACACGGTCGATCTGGTAATGGGGCCTGAGAGTGAACATACTAGTATAAGTTTCTATGTGCTGTTGGTAGCTGAGTATGTGCTGTTGCTCCTCGCTCATTGTTACGTGTGGTGTCGAACGATGGCCGATTTCAAGTCGTTCATCTGATTTAGTCACGTAATATCTATGCACATTGTAGAACTCAATCATCCAGTCGCAGTCGTAACTCATGATTTATCCGTAGCCCGCCTCCTCCTCCTCTACTATGCACCCTAAACCGTCTCGATATACCGCCGCACCTCCCTGCAACATGTTAGCAACCACTCAACATTCCCCCCCACCGACAGGAGGAAAAAACATACCAGTCAGTCACCGCCTCCTCCCACAACCGACACTCATGCTCCCTCGTCCCTCCAAAATGCTCCACAAACGCATCCCCAAACACCTCGCGCGCCACGCTCCCCTCGCGCATGAACGCCGCCACCGCCTCCCGCAGCGACTTCGCCAGCCGCACCCCGGCGTCGCTCGCCCCGCCCATCTCATCCCCCTTCGACAGCGGCGGCACGGGGATCTCCAGCTTCTTCTGCACGCCGCGCCACCCCAGCGCCGCCACCGCCGCCAGCACGAAATGCGGGTTCGCATCCGCCCCCGGCACGCGCACCTCCAGCCGCGTCGCCTTGGGACTGGCCGTTGGCGGCGCGATCACCCGGATCGACGCCGCGCGGTGCTCCAGCCCCCAGGACACCGTCACGGGCGCCCAGAAGTTCTCGACCAGCCGCTTGTACGAGTTGACCGTCGGCGCGAACATGGGCATGATGTCGGGGAGGCCCTCCAACACCCCCGCCAGGAAGTGCCGGCCCAGATCGGAGAGGTGCGCCACGTCCGGGTACGGCGGGTTGGGGTCGGGTTGTTCGCGGTAGAACGCGTTCGTGCCGTCTTGCGTGACTAACGAGATGTGCATGTGGCCGCTGTTGCCGGGGAGGCCCTCGCGCGGTTTGGCCATGAAGGTGGGCGTGATGCCGTGTTTGGTGCCGAGGGATTTGACGACGTATCTGGGTTTGTTAGTGCTTGATGCTCGGATTGGTGGGGGGGGGGATGTTACTTGAAGAGTCCCGCTTTATCGGCCATGTCTTTGGCTTCGCCGAATTGGAGCGCCTATGGTCTCGGTTGTTAGGAGTTTTTTGATGTCTGTCTGAAGAAAGGATGTGACCTCGTACCGCTTCATACACCCCCGGCCCGCTCTCCGTGTGCCACCCCTCGATCTCGCAGTTGAATTGCTCGCATGCGTCGAATACCCCGTAATAATACTCCTGGTTATGCGTCGGCCGCGTCAGACTGTACCCAAACATGCCCTCCGTCAACGATGGTAGTGCCTCGACGGGGTTCTCTTTCAGGAAGGTTGCCGTGGCGGAGGCGTTCTGCTTCGGGTCGGCGTGGGTGCTGGGTGCGCGAAAGTGGTAGAACTCATACTCCGCTGGGATCGCACTCACAATTAGCATTCTCCTCGACCCACAAGTCCAGCAGGAACATACCACCAGCCATCGCCCGGTACCCGGCCGCCTCGACCCGGCCGAGCGCGGTCCGCAGCAACCCCCGCGGACAGGCGCACACCGGCTCCTTCGTGTCGGGATCGAAGAAGCTGACCAGGAAGAAGGGGATGTTGTTCTCCCAGGGGATGCGCCGGAAGCTGCGCAGATCCGGCACGGCCACCAGATCGCGGTACCCGTTCTCCTTGTTGCTGATGGCCAGCTCCTTGAAGTAGGTGCGGTCGTGCATGTCCCAGCCGAAAATCACGGAGCAGAAGCCAAATCCGTCGGCGACGATCGAGAGGAATTTCTTCTTCGAGATGAGTTTGCCGCGCAGCATGCCGTCCACGTCGACGCCGGCCAGCTTGACGCGGGTGTCGTGTTGGAGCACCTGGGCGATGTTGTCGAGGGTGACGGGGTCGCTGTCGGTATCGGGGGGTGGTGCGGCCATGGTGGATGGTTGAGGGATGAGTTGGTAAGGTGAGGAGAGAGAGGGAGTTGAGTGTGAAAGAAGCGTTGGAAATTGGAGGTTGTTATGTATGTGATATCAGGAGGAGGTTGGGGATGAGGAGATATGAATAGGAACAGGGGAGGGAGAGACACGAGACGGGAAGACGTCACCGCCACCTTGTCTCGGGCGGGCCACTGATCGTGGACCAGCTTATCATTCCTCGTGCTGCTGAATGACCACCAGGATCACCGATCACAGTAGCCCGCATTCCTGAAATGAGCCTCGAAGCCAATTGACCCCATGCCACTTGGGTTTTCATCCAGGTTGGAATGCAGCACATGCAGCTGCTCGTCATTTGCACTGCGGGGATGTCGGCCTCGGTGCCTTACAGCCTGGGTGCCTGGGGCAGTCATGCTTATCGATAAGAGGGGATTCCTCCATCCACTGCTTCATCGGCTACAACTAACACAACACCTTACTTGCAACTTCCTGTCAACTACCTGTCAACTACCTGTCAACTACAAATCAAGTCCATTCAGCCGCCTCTGGGGATCAAGCAGTTCAGGGATAACCCCGCTATCTCTGTCAGGACCACCGTTGATTGGTTCTGCCTAATTGCTGACACTTAACACGGAATCCTGGTCGGATAAGGGTGTCTAGCACTCGACCATCCATCAGACACAGAGAGAGCATGGACCATGGGCAGTATGTTTGGCTCAGCTCCAGCAAACTGTTCGGGTTGGTTCATGTTTTATGCTAACCGTTCAGCCTAAGGTCAATCTGAATACCGAGTGTATCCGCAATAGCAACCAAGGTTCCCCCCCAGCAGTGACATCAACCATTCAGGAATAGCATCTCTTCTCCGCCGCGGTCATTCTCTGCATCCAAATCATCCTCGACAATCCATACACTGAACAATCAGTGAGACATCAGAAGTGCTGAGTCAGCATCTCCGCCACTTCCGCTCGACAGGACCCTTTAGGGGGACTTTCAAGGGTTCTGCTGCCATCTCAGCTCCAGGACGGTCTCTACCACCGTCCAAATGGACACATACTATGTTCAGCAACCACCAGATAAGGCGCAAGCCCCTTCCGCCAGCTGACGACGATGGGACCATCCGTGGGGTCATCAGGGTTTCGCCGTGCCCCACCCCCACTCCTCTGGGAAAGCCACCCCTTGATGCGCAACCACCGCCATACACACCGATGCGAACCCCATCGCCACGGCCACTGCTTCCAGTGCAGACCATTCCCACACGCGCAACCACTACCAACCTTCCGCCTCACGCGCCAGCAGCAATCCCTGCACCGAGCCTCTCCCGCACAACCACTGACCTCTCAGGTGCTCAGAAAGCCTACGGCGAAGCGCGACACTTTCTCGGTGGACTGCTCAGTCATCCGACCGAAAGCACCAAGCATGTCACCATTCTGCGTCATTCCTCCGGCGTCGTCTTCTACCGCGGCAGCACCACCTCTGTCACCGTCTCCGTCTTCTCCGACGCGCCTCTCCCCGCTGACCGCAGGGTGTACCTCCAATCCAAGGGCTGGACCGGCAAGACCGGCATGCGGACCAAGGCCCTGCTCCGGCTGACGGATGACTGGGTGGACGTGACGCCCTCCCATGCCGTCCAGGCCAATCAGGTCGAACCCGCCGATGAGCGCGCCTGGCAGCGTGACATTGCCAAGTTCCTCAAAAAGGCCCCACCGCGGTTGCGCGACACCCATCGTCTGCGAGAGACGATCGTAGCTAGGATCCCGGCCGACGCCGGGGATGGCTACTTCCAGCTCGTGCTGTGCGGGAACGGCAAGAAGAAGGTCCTCTGTTACAGTCCGGTCTTCCGGGTCCTCTCCACATCATTGAGCCCCAGCTCCGTCCGGGGAGCGAGTCTCTCCACCATGCCCTTGGAGGTGGGCGCTATGGTCGTCGGGATGTATGTGCAGACGGCGGCCGAGGCAGTGATTGCGCCCGTCACCGCCGCGGTCCAGAGCCGGATCCAGCCGTACCAGCCGAGCTGGAAGACGCAGACGGCCGCCGAGACGGCGTTTTCCCTGAGCGGGGCAGGCGATCGCGTGAATGCACTGGTGTCGGCTGGGGCGGGCAATGCCAACGCCTCCCCGGCGGCGGCGGGATGTCAGCCCGTCACCGTGGATCTAGGTCCACAGGCACCATTCCCGGTAGACTTCACGGCGCGCGTGGAGGGGGCGGTGGGTGGGGACGGGGCGGTGGGTGGGGACGGGGCGAGGTACCGGCTGTGCAGGGTTCCTGGGATGATCGAGGACCAATACCGGGGTTTCTTCTTTGGCTGGGCATGGATGTGTCAGTCGGAAGGGGCAGCAGCGGATACAACCCGTCCCCGTCAATGGCAGGGCATGGTGCTCTCCATCCTCCCATACAACCCCACCCAGCAGGCGCGGGTCAATCTGTCTCAGGCTCGGGACAAGGAGACCATCGTCCGTCTACTCGATGATTCCATGCCCGTCAGCCCACAATCCCGCCTCCAGATCCGTATCATGGGCTATCTCCGTGCCGATCTGCCCCCCGCGACGGGCATTACGGAAAGAGAACTCCAGGAGGCACGGGAGGCAGCGGCCGAGGCGGCCATCCTCGCAGATGCATGCGATATGGCGTATGCGCAGGAGGTGCTGGCGCATCCTGCCTGGGGCGCGGGGGACGAGGGCTGTGAGGCGAATGGGCAGGCAGGCACTTGGGCCACGAATCTGAGGTATCGCGGGCAGCGGATGGTGGAGGATGTGCCGCTGCATTGGATCGGGGTGAGGGGGCCGAATGCGGGGCTGGCGGAGAGACGGCTGGCGATGAATGGGTTTTATATTGTGAGGTGACGGTCTGACTTGGTAGCATTGTATGTGGTATCACCTCACAGGCATGGACATAATTATCCATTTGAATGCATCCGTTCATACATTGATGGCTAGCTGCGATAAGCAGTCTCCGGGCTGGCTCTTGTGTTGTCTTCGGTACGTTTCGGGCGTCTGATGGTACACAATAAGCATAGACCTGGGAGAGATGCACATGTAAATTACCAGATGCTTACTCTACCTGACTGATATCTGGCAAGCATGGTTGCACCAACCAGAAAACATGCCAGAAAATCAACCCCGAAAAAAAAGAATAGACTTTCTCCAACCCAAGAAATCAAATTCACAACCACCAAACCAACAAACAGGGCATAATGATCGGGCGCAAAAAGACAAGCTCCCGGCGGGTCTCGAACCCGCAGCCTTTAGATTAGAAGTCTAACGCGCTACCATTGCGCCACGGGAGCCAGCTGTTGAAGAACGCACTGCACAGGGCGCCTATGTGCTGCAATGTGAGTAGATGACTGGTCTGAAGAGGGTAGGGATTTTCTTGGCTGGGTCGAGGGTATTGTTCTCGGTGGTGGTGATGCCATTGTGTTGATGGAGGGGGGGGGGCTGGTGTAGTTTGCCTGCTCAGTAAGTGTGAGTAGAATGAATCGAGGTTCTTTGAAAGAGGGATGACTATAGATAGGATTGATGATTCACAATGAGTGGGTTCTAAGGACAATTTGTTGGTAGTGTTACTAGTGATATATAAATACCCTCCGTGACGGCTAAGGTGCTGATGCTTCCCCAAGGCAAACCATAACACAAGTGACTTGAGACTGAGATCCTCTGATTGATAGTCGCTACAGCACAAGGCATACACAGAGCAGAACAGAATAGCTTTGAGTAGGAAGAGATTAATAAAAAAAAACAGAGGAGGATGTACTCGGAATGGAGGCAAAAAGTGCAAAAAGAATGAGTTAGCATGTCCTGGTTTCGATCCAGGGTCCTCCGGGTTATGAGCCCGGCGCTCTTCCCCTGAGCTAACATGCTTAATGGATGGAACACAGTCAGTGTTTTGTTAGCCTGTTCCAATCATAAACTCGTATATCTGTAATAGATGGATCTCCATACGACCTGCAATACCACCAAGGACTCTTTCCATATCGTTCCAGGCAATTGGATTCTTCCCAGGTGATTCCCCGGTGAACTCAAACCGATTGAAATGGATCTCTTATATCATGATTGGCATATAGACCACAGTCATCCTGCGAGTCCTTTCATCGTCTCTATATCTGATCCCGTGACTGTTCGTCTCAGATGCACAGTCAACGGTCTTTTGGACTCCTATCGTCTTTCGACCAAACAACATCCAACCCAATGCAACTGATATCATCGGAACGTGCATCAACAGAGCCGCAGTATCCCCAACGCCGGAAACCCACAAACCCACAAACGCTCCTACGCTGGCATCTCCTCCTCACCCCGACGAGACCGACGGCTTCGAGGTCTGAACCGGATGCGTGAAATCCACCGCCGCATACCCCGGCCCCACAAAGTCCGGCACCCTCTGCGGCTCTGAAGGTTCTGGTCTCACGAGCGCCTCGCGATGGGCATGCCGGCCAGTCAGAGTAATCAGGCGACCCAAAACCGCAAACTCGAGCTTCAACTTGATACTATACACCAGCGACTTCAAAACGACCTGCAGATAGTAGAGCCCGGCATACTGCAGCACGAGCAGAACGACATCCAAGCCGATGATGACGAGATTAATCGCCACGAGGTGGTAGATCACTTTCCCACTCCCGCTGCCGCTGCCACACCCATCTCCCCTTCCTCGTCCTCGTCCTCGTCCTCGTCCTCCTCCTTCTCCCCCGCCGGCTTCCCCGAACGCCCGCCTCTGGCGCAACAGAGCAGAATCACCAGCCTGCAATAACCGCACCGCCTCGAGGATATACAAAGCGGAGAGCAAGAGCTCCTGGAGACAGAACCCCGTGACCTGGACGCGCTCGACGATCTGGTAAGCGGTGTTCCAGGCGGGAGAGCCGACGAAGGCGGAACCCAAGGTGGTGATGGTCGTCGAGGGCAGCAGGAGGGCGGAGCTGACGCAAATCAGCCGGAGGATCTGGCGCAGACGCCGCTCGTCGCGGAGGAGCAAATGCAGGCGCGAATAGAGGACCAGCGACTGGACGGGCACCATGGTGTAGAAGCCGAGGTTGGAGATGAGGAGGGCCAGCAGCAGGGGGCCCAGCGAGTAGAAGTGCAGGATGGGGCCGATCACGCTGGCGATGACGCCGACCACACTGGACACGAGCAAGGACCAGAAGTAGAGGCCGCGGTAGCGTTTGAAGGTGATGAAGATGAGGACGACGAGCTCTGCGGAGTTGTAGAGGGCGATGGCGAGGATCACGGCCACGATGAGCTGCGCGGCGATGGAGCTGGTTTTGAGACCGTGGATGAGGCCGGCGGGGGTGTCGGCCAGGTCGGTCATGATCTGGAGGGGTTGTGGGGTGTGGCTGGCTTCTTTCTCTTCATTTCGGGGAGAGGTGGTGTTGCTTGATTGAGTGTGCAGGAGCTACTAGAGGAGATCGCATTTGATCTCCTTGGAGGTCTTCCCCGTTTTCTTGTGTGTGTGTGTGTAGATCTTTGGTGCTGACTCTGGGGGTGTGTCGCCGCTCACCCCGGTTGTCCGGGATGTGGTGACGATTTACGCCAGCATCTTTGCAAAAATCAAGGAAATATCAGCTGATGGGGAGGAGGAGACGACCAGTGAGTGGTACGTGGGTCGGAATGTTTGGGTGACTTTTATCATTATACGAGAATTGGCTGTCATACTTCCATGGTTCTGGCGGGTGTGGATGGAGACTATTTCCCATGATGCCAAATGATGCCCAAGCCCAATATGGTACACAACAAATGAAACAAGCAACACATCCATCCCCCTGATCTCGGATCTTTCTCTACCTATGCAGGAATACCGTCCGTGACCGCGCCCCATTCTTCCAGCGTCTAATTCCCGAAAGCAGGAATACTGATACTGAGCCTTCTCCAGACTTTGCTTCTGCCCCGTCAGGAAAGTCGACAGCTCACACCAGCCGTCATCGCGGTACTCACACTCGTCGAAGCTCGCGTGCAACGGGATGGTGCGCTGGTTCTGGATGAATTGCACATACTTGGTCGGCCCACTGCCAGTCACACAGTCGCTCTTCTGGATGGCCCTGGCCGACCTCGTGGCTGCGACCTTCTGCGGTGCGCTGATGATCTCGATATTCAGCCGCCCGGCGAAGGGCCCTAGACGACTGGCGTGGAACTGCTGGTCCTTGGTGGGACCGGTGAGCGGCAGGGCGTCGTCGAACTGCGTGAACCCGAACGCCGTCAACACAGAGACGATGTTGGCGTCGTGGGTGAACGCCAGGTACAGCTTCTGGTCGAGCGGGAAGGTGACGGGATTGGTGTCGAGGGTCATATTCGTCCCGGTGGTGTTCGCCGGGAGGTCCAGCAGATGTCCCTCGACGCACGCCAGGAACTCTCCACAAAGGCAATGCGTGGTACGTATCCGTCAGCGTCCAGTTGTAGCTCCCCGTCAGACGCTGCAGCTCGGCGGTACGGGCCTGCAGATACGTCGCCATCCAGGTGGCTACGGGGGTCTGGTGAGGAGGATGTTGAAGATTCTGTCGCTTACCTCAGGTCACCCATGAGGTGAAAAGATGTTCCTCCCCTTAGCACCCTGGATGGGCTCCGAGGTCTCCAGCGGCGCATTGGGAACATAGGTCGCGTTACCGACTGGTGCTGGATTGATTTCCGCCAGAAACGGCGCAGCACCAGTGGCGACAGTACCTGATCAATGGCATGGATGTCAGTGGATTGGATGATTCTTATGGAGGGAGAGGAGATTGGCACCAACCAAGATAGAGATCAGGTGAGGTTTGGAACCAATTCGGCAGCATGGGAGTCACTCGAAGGTGAATAGCACCGGCCTCGACCGCAGTGGCCATTGCCATGGAGAACACCAATGACTTGAGCTTAGTATCCATAGCTAACGTGATCTCTCAGACTCCTGGTACTACGCAACATGTCACTGTACGCGCTGTCCGCTGGGCTTTTTATACATCAACCATGTCCGTGATCAAGGGTCGTATAGTAAGTATAGTGCACGGATCCGATTGGATCGCCTCTTCGTCGGCTATTCTGGTGGACTCTGGGGATTTGACGAAGGGTCCCTTGATGAGTGTAGCATTAAGAACAGGGATGAAGATCCAACTATGCTGCAGGCATCGTGCTCATGGTCACCACGTGGGAAGAGGGGTGTTGGCAGTCGGCGATGAATTCAAGCTCTGTTTCTGTAAGCGAAGCACTAGCCCCTCTTACCCCCCCGCAAGCACTGAGATAGCCGATGCCATCAACTTGCGGAGAAGGCTAGGGAGATGTAGTTGACTAGCTACTGTAAATTAGATACCTAAGTAAGAACATCATCACGTCGGGCCAATGGAATCACCCACTATGAGCCCGTGTGTGACTTCTTGACTACAGCATCATTCCTCTCTTACCCGAGTCTCGTCTTCCACAAGAACTGCACAATTTATCGATAAGGGCTTGATCTCCAAGTAGCCAAGATCATGCATAGTAGTGATAGATATCCATAGACACCCGAGCGCTGAACACATCCAGATGAAGCGATGGCACATGAGTTGGATCTGTCTCTGACACGCCTACTCAGTGAATGGAGCTGAATTCTATAGTAGGCAGCCACATCACTCCATGCATCTATTCTGTATGCTTATATGGTCGCTGTTGGACCACCAACCAGGGATCAACATGGAACCTCCTCGACCCTCGCTGCTCTCACGTCCACCAATTTGCCCGGGTAAGAATGTAGACAACCGTTGACGCGAACAAGTCGTGTTATCAAAATCTCTCTCTTGGGTTATTGTTGTTGAGTGCTGGGAGTTTTACAACGAGTCCACTACGACGTATCAGGATCACCGAAAGAATTAACTTGCTAAATCATGGATTCAGGTGCTCGAGATGGATGCAAACATATCACTGGTAAAATACAAAAAACACAGAAGCAGGAGAAGCAGATGAACGACAAGAAAACGGATAGTGCCTGAAGCCAACAGGACAATCTCATTCTTCGACCTCTGACCCAGCAGTCACTTCTTCTTACCACCAAGCCCTAAGCTCTCCGTCACCGTCCCCAAGCCTAGCCCTTCCAGCAGCTTGTCCACGCCTAAGCCACCCAGTAAACCACGTAGGAGTCCCCCCAACCCGAGTCCATCCAGTAGTTTGGTGACCAGACCGAGGACGCCACTCAGGAGGAGACCTACCGCGGCGATGATCTGGACCAAGGGCTCCGACAGCAGCGCCCACAACGGGTTGATCTTCTTCTTCGCGTGAGGCATGTCGGCAATCAACGCCTTTCCCTTTTCAATAGTTTCGCCCACCACCCGCGTCAGCTCCTTGAGCAGCTCGGCGAGATGATACTCCTCCGGGCTGGCTTCCTGAGAGGCACTGCGGGCTTTCGCGGCAGCAGCAACCTGGCCGTCCGGATCCAGGGCCCGCAAAGCCCCTTTGCACTCCTGCAGGCCGTTGCCGGCCTCTTCGATTAAGGGCTTGACTTGTTTCACCAGCTGCTCTTCATCGAGCTCCTCCTTGGGAGTGCTATTGGCGCGCTCAATATGCTACCCACCCAGCCAGGTCTCGTCAGTCATCGAGCTATACTTAAGCAAATGGCCTGGAGATCGATCTGCACATACCTGCGTAATCTGCTTGCACAAGGGCTCCACCGAGTCCAGCGTCTGTTGTATGATGGAAGCCATCTTTTTGGCCAATTCTCTCTGCTTCTGCTCGCGCTCCTGCTTCTCACGTTCTTCGGGCGACAGCTCTGGCTCTGGCTCCGATTCAGGTTCGGGCTCAGGGGGGAGGTTCTCCAAAAGCGTGCATTCGCCGATTTTGTTGCCCTCATTGTCGACGACATATCCGTTCTCATCGACAGTGCGACCGATCAGGTTGGAGAGTTCCCCTTGGGTCAGTTTGCCGATCACATTACCATCTTCATCTCGCACCTCGCCATCCCGGTTGACTTTTCGGCCCGCCATCGGACTGATATCGCGGGTGGGTTCCTCTGGGGTCCAGGGTTCAGCCTTGCCGATGGCATTCCCTGCCTTGTCCAGGACTTCACCATCCTCATCGACAGCTCGCCCCCGGAGGCGTTGAGGGTCACCTTCCACTAAGCGGCCAACAGTGTCGCCGTTCACATCAAGCACCAGCCCGTCTTTGCCCACCACCAAACCTTCGAGACCAGAGAAGGGCCCCTCCGGCCGCTCTCTCTCAGCGGCGGGGAGAAGCTCTGCCTGACCGACGACGCGGCCGGAAGAATCCCAAACCTGGCCCTGTTCGTCCACCGACTTGCCCGCCAACTTGCGCGGATTGCCAGCGACCAGCCTTCCATATACCACTCCGGCCTCGTCGACTATGTTCCCAAGCTTGTTCACCGTCTTGCCGGCCAAGATGGACAAGTCCTCTCCTTCCTCCTCTTCTTCTGGCTCTTCTGGTTCCGGCTCTGGCTCCTCGTAGGGCTCTGCCCGGCCCAGTCGATTGCCTCGGCGGTCCAGGATATCGCCATCTTCGTCGACTGCGCGGCCGATGAGTTTCTTCGCATCCCCCTCAACCACCTGCCCGACACGTCGGCCTTCCTCATTCACCACATATCCATCTTCGCCCACCACTAGATCCCCCAGATCGGCGAAGGGGCCCAGCTCATCTTCTTCCACGGGGAGAGGCTGTGCTTTGCCAATCACGTTCCCGCGCTGGTCCCAGAACTGGCCTTTGTCGTCGAGCTGGTATTTTCCCCGGAAGATTTTCTTTGCATCGCCCTCGATCAACTCCCCGACCAAGGCTCCTTTGGCATCCACGATCCCACCGAACTTCGTGCAGGTGAGTCCTTCCAGGGTGGAAACATCGGGGATTACCGGGGCTTCTTGATCTTCGGCCTCTCCTTCTCCTTCTTCTGCTTCTCCCGCTTTTTCCTCGCCCAACGCTTCTCCCTCTTCTGCTTCTGCTTTCTCTTCTCCCTCTTCTGCTTCTGCTTTCTCTTCTCCCTCTCCTACTTCTGCTTTCTCTTCCCCCTCTCCTACTTCTGCTTTCTCTTCCCCCTCTCCTACTTCTGCTTTCTCTTCTTCCATCACTTCTTCTTTCTCACCCTCTTCTTTTCCTTCTTCCTCTTCCTCCCCTTCTTCCGCGCCTTCCTTCTCTTTCTCTTCTGCCTCTTCACCCGGGGCTTGCCCTAACTCTGGGATTTGACCCTCGCCTTCCTCAGCGGCCTCTTCTCCCTCGCTTTTCGGTTGCTCGGACAAGGGTTGGCTCGCTTCACTCGCCGGTGGTTCTTCAAGGGATTGATCATCGGCCGCTTGGAGGTCAGGAGCTTCTTGCATTTTGATCTCGTCCGAAACTGGCTCTTGGTCCCTTTGCTCGTCCGCGCCCCCCTCCTCGTCGGTCGGCATATCCGGGAGACTTTCGCCCTGCTCCGAGGTTCCCGCATCCTGAGTGTCGCCGGATTTTGCTTCAGCCTCCTTCTCGAGGAGCTGGACCCGTCCAATAAGATCACCCTCTTCATCCAAGATCTCGCCATCCTTCCCGACGTTCTGGCCGACGAGGTCATCCGGGTCTCCCTCTACCACCTCCCCGATCGGCTGTCCTGCCGGACTCTTGACCACCCCCCCTTCATCGACACGCAGCCCTTCGAGACTCGCCAGGCTGAAGGCGCTACTCTGCATCTCATCCGACTCGGACTTCGAGACCGCTTCTTGCGCGGGCGCCGGCTCCTGGGCTGGCTGCGCGCCTTTGCCCACTTTCTGGCGGGCTCGGTCCGCCGCCTTCGCTGGAGACCCATTCCCCGCCGATTTGACCCCCTTGGCGAAGCGCCCCAGTCGATCGGCCGCCGTCTTGCTCATGGATGAACGCGGCGAAGAAGTCGCCGAGCCGGTGGCCTCGGTGCCACCCGCCCCTGGCCCGGTGGTTTGTCTCTGTTCCTGCGGCCTCGGGGACTGCTCCTCCATTGCGTGGGGACTGACTTCCTCCAGGTTCGGATCTTGCTTGCCAGTGGGCTTTGCGGCTTTCTCCGCGGGGCGAGAGCCCCGGGAGGCCAGTTTCTGGGCCTTGCGCTGGGGCTTGCCCGGCGTCCCCGGATGCGCGGCGGCCTTTTTCACTTCCATGAGGGTTTATATTGCCCGTTCCGTAGGCAGAGTGCAGGCTGAGGATAATCTGTGTGGATGCGATGGATTCTCAAGTGATCAAATCCTACGGACCCAATCACTATACGTCCTCCCTGGCACCTGCGCACAGATTTATACAAGTTGTTGCTCTACCCATTACTATCACAAGACAACCCGACTCACCATCATGGATACGTCACGTCGCTTGTTGGACACGATCGAAATACGAGGTTGAATACTCCGGACCGCAAGCATCGACTTCATCCACGGCCGGGCCAGCACTAGCGCGGCATGTACCCATGGCACAAATTTCGCAGCGATATACTTTCCGAGCCATGGGATACGGGGTTCGCAGCGAATCGATTGCCACGGACACGATTTGTGCACCGTTGTGCTGAGGCACCGGGGGCGAAGCTGTTCTTTGTGTGCTTGCGCTGCGTCTGGTTCATCGGATTCTTGTACATTGTGACTTGGAAAGTCTACTTCTCTGGGCCTGGTTAGGCTACAAGGCACGGGGAGATCTAAGCCTTCGTAGGGAAGGAGAGACGTCATGCAGATTGCCAATCTCGCGATGTGCGCTGTGGAACCTTGGATTCGGCCCTGCTATCATGTGTATATGTACATCACTGGAATTGAGGGGGAGGCGACTTGAGTATGACATGGCTGTCATCTGTAAGAGAGCGGGTCCTAGTCCTCGCCCATGAGGTGGTCGCAGAGGCAGAACTGAATGTACTGTACGCTGGATATGGATATGAGAGATTCCCCTTGCCGTCCCTTCGCATATGGAAACCCAACCCCTCCCCATGTTCAGGACCTTTGAAAGCGTCAGAGATTAGTCCTAGTCGACAGAACACTCAGAAAAGAGACTCTGAAACCATCACCGCCTGTAGCCCGTAGTGCACGGCACAGGAACACTAGACAGGAGGGAGCAGGTACTTACAGCAACGCTAAAGTGATATCTCCGTGGATTTTCGCCTTCAACTCCACCTCGATGTCCAGATTTAGATCCAGCTTCAGCTTCAGCCCGGTGTCTTCCTTGTCGGCCTCCGGCTCGAGCGACCACCCCTGCGCACCACCTTGCATCGTCGTCATGGCCTGTTGTTGCTGCTGCTGTTGCTGCTGTTGATCGCGCGGGTCGATGGATTCGTCAACTGAGGTCTCGGCGGACGATGGGGCTCGTTGTCGCCGTCGACGGGGCTGTCGCTGCAAGGCACCGGCGGTCTCGTCCGCGCCGGCGGTATCCTGGAAAAAGTCACGCTGCTGCTGCTTCTGGCGAGATTTCGTGGCGGTCTGGGGTTGTCGCTGGTTGTCTTGGGCGCTTGTAGGCGACTCGGGCGGTGTTGCAGCCATTTTGGTTGGAGGGGGCGCGATATAGATTAGATAAAAGAATACTTGGTCACCTCCTGCGTGAATAATGCTCTGATACTATAACCTGGTCAAAACAAACTAGTATCTCCCACTTTTGATAGCAAGATTATATCCCACGACAACGGCCGAAAGTCGGGGGGGCAAAGGGGCGAATACATACAACTGGGACACACCAAGTGCATGACGTACGGGCCTCCCTCCGCCCCTTCGGCCGTTCAGCTGACCCGTGCGGGCCCTAAACAGACACAGGAGGACGGCAAATTCAGCCTTGGAGCCACACCCCTACACCTACGGGAAAGTCCACCTCGTATTCCACCATCGCTTTGTGATTTCGCGTTCCACAGAATCGCATTCTTGGTTGACCCATCCCCTGGTTGTTCGACCTCACTCGCCATTCCCTCATCGTGACCTCATTTCGTTTGCCCCGGGGGGCGGGTGCGAGCAAATGTCGTGGGAAATGTATCTCCGCTGCTGCGTGGGGGATGGATTAAATGGAGTACTACTGCGCACCACGCCCCCGAGGTTGGATAGAGTATAATCTGCTGGAACTACAATAGCTTAGCTTTTGTTGTGTATGCGGATCCTGTGAGGCCTTGGCCGATTATGACGGATTCCGCTCAGGATCGTCCTCCTACTGATACTACATCCGTGAAGCGTAAACCGCCAAAGCTGCGTCGCAAACCGCCGCCTGCCGAAGAAGCTGCGCCTGCTGAGAAAACAGCCACAGACACTGAGAAGAAGACATCGCCCGCGGAAGATTCCCCTGCTGAGAATTCTGCTGAGAAACCTGCTGAGAAACCCGCTTCGGCCGAAGAGCCTTCTTCTTCCACCGCCACCGAGAAACAGCCCGAATCGGAGACTCCGGTACCTGCGCAGGAGAACTCATCCGGAGAGCCACCACCTCCTCCCACCGAGCAGCCTCCCCCTACAGAACAATCACCAGCGGAGAACTCCGACGAACCCGAGCAGCAAACGAACCCATCACCACCAAACGACCCGTCCACCCCCGACGCAATGGCCGAGGAAAATCCCCGCCCAGCCGAGTCCCCCCCCGCCTCCTCCTTTAACGACGACGACGACGCCTCCAGTTCCCCGCAGCCCCAACCCCAGCGCCAACCGCGCCGTCGAGCCCACCCCCCCGTCCGCGACCCCTCCACCGCCTCGAGCTACCGTCAGCAGCGCCGCCGCAACCAGCGCGGAGGGAACCAGGAACTCGGGCCGCTCGGGGGGTTAGATCCAGGTAATTTGACGCAGGGGGCGGGTCAACTCGTCCAGAACACCGCGGGAAAAGCCGTGAGCTCGGTGGGGGATACGGCGGGAAAAGCGCTGGGAGGGGTGCTGGGGGGCGGGCAGGTCCAGGGACAGGGCCAGGGGCAGGAGAAAGGGGGGAAGGAGGAGCAGTTGCGGTTGCGGTTGGATTTGAATCTGGATGTGGAGGTGCAGTTGAAGGCGAAAATTCATGGGGATTTAACGTTGCAGCTTCTGTGAGTTTGACATATCTTCCTTGTTGCCCCCGAGGGGAGATGACGCTAACGTGGTTGTCTAGGAATTGAAATGGTGAGGGAGATGTGTGTGTGTGTGTGTGCTTTGGTAGTGGGTGATATTGGGGAAATTGGATCAATTGGAGCATTGTCGGTGTTTGTTTTGTACAGTACGAACCTCTTGTGTGAAATTAGTTTCTTTTGTTGGCTTTTTCGTAAATTTTGTGACTTTACGTAAAGTTCATACATCCTCTGGCGCAGAGACATCACTCTCCCTCCCCAGACTCAAGCGTAAGACCCTCCAACGACAACCCATTCTCCGTTGACCCCTTACTCTTATGCTCACTCTCTGTATCCATCCAATCTTGATCCGACCCCGTCCCCCCCGAAACCTCACTCCCACTTATTCTCCCCCGCAACACCGCGGTGGCCGCCTCCCCCGCCACCACCGGCAGCCGCTCCACCCGCGGACTCCCCCCCGGAACCACGCGGGAATCCAGCAACCCCACCTGCAGCAGCACACTCGCCTGATCCCAGTACACATGCTCCGAGTACAAGCGGGCCTCGCCCGTGCACAGCCGCGCGATGCTCACGACCACGATCTGCACCTCGCGGCCCGTCGGCGGCACCCCGGGTAGGATCCAGTCCATGGGTTGGGAGTGCACAAAGGTCACGAGGACCTCGTCCACGAGGCGGTCGGCGCCGATGGTGCGGGAGAGGAGCTGCAGCCGCATCGAGGGGGGTTTGTGGCGGTGGAAGTTGGCACGGTAGAAGGTTTCGAGGGGGCGATGGCCCGTTGCGCCTTGCAGGGTCGGGGTGTAGAGGGCGGAGGGGGGTGGGGTGGTATTGTCAGTCTCAGGGTCAGTCTCGGGGTTGGACGGGGAGGGGAGGAGGCCGGTGGCGGAGGTGGAGAAGTATCGCGCTTGAGGGAGGGTCAGTGTTTGAGCAATGGAAAGAGGTGGGAGAAGACACACCCTCCTGCATCCGGTCCCAAACCGACTCCAAATCCACCTCGCGCTGGAACCCCCGCTGCAGCGCATCCAGCGTGCGACTCCACGCCACCTGTGCGTGCATTGAGCTGTACTCCTCCAGATCGTGCTCCGCGAACCCCGCCAGCGCCCCCACGTACGAGAACGCCGGGTACCCCAGCGCCAGACGGTCGCCGAGCCCGACGCCGGGGCCGACCTGCTTCTTCACCACGGTGGCCTTGTGGCCGGTCTTGGACGGTGGGTAGTGCACGTTGACGGTCTGGTTGGCGAGGTGGACGAGGACGTGCATGGAGGCCGGGTACTGGCTGGTCGGACCGGGGATCTCGGTGGGATAGTAGGCGATCAATGCACCGAGCTTGTTGGTGTTGGGGGGTCGGAGGTAGTGGGCGAGGCAGAAGGAGGCTGCCTCGCCGAAGCCTGCGAGGGTGGTTAGCTTGGAGAGAGCGAGAAAGGAGTGGACGCATGGGTTGGGGAGCCGGTTGAGGAAGAGGTCGTTGTAGAAGCTCACCTATGATGGCGTAGACCTCGCTCACTCGCAAGTCATGCTTGACGGCGTCCAGCGCAGCGATGTATTTCTTGCGATCGCGCTGGAAAGGGATGTAGATGGCCCGGAAGCCTTCCCGTCTGCAGCCCTGCAGGAACTCCTCGTCGAACTGCTCATCTTCGGCGGTTATGCAGAGGTTTGCGGTTTGTGTGCTGGTCGGAGATGACTGCGCCATTGGAGGATATTATGCCCGCTTTGCGGGTCGTTTGGGGATCGTTACTACGCCTCGATATAATTGAGGTTCATCTGGTATGATGCTAGTGGTAGGGGTTGGCGCCGGGAAGAGGTCTCTCTGGACAGAAACGAAGCTTCGGGATGAGGTCATCCCATCTTCACCATGTTGCTCTATCATGATGCTTTGTTCAGGTCCGTTTGCGGCGGCTTAACCGCACGAGCCTGGCATCCTGCAGTGGTAGCGAATGAGCGTACCAGGGTTTCGTATTCGGGTGGATGACTGCATGGTGGCGACTGGACTTAGTCAGCTCATAGTTTGCAGGTAGAAGAAAGAGCTTCGCGATGCGCATCTACAAGACCTTTTTCTGCTGTTTATCGATGATACCGGTGAATCTATACCAACCTTACAATCTCTAGTCAGATCCGTGCTTCTGAGCAGGTTCGAAGAAGTTCAGCCTGAGATGGAACGCTGTACTTGAAGTATAGATATCGGCTGGCCATCCAACCTGAAGATAATACCATGACTATGATGGCTAAGGGCGTAATGACAGTCTCCGGCCTGTGTTGAGTAGGGTTTGACACTGATGCTATACCACTGTACTATATAGTATGATTATAGTACAATATAGTATAATATAGTATAATATACTAGTCTGCCGGTGCCGATCGTACCCATATCCGGTTAGACAGTCGGACTCCCGATCTGGTAAGAAGTGCGGGCACTATGCCTATTCCAGAATACTGAAGCTATTCCGTTCTTGGTGCCCGACCCCGATTCAAGATGGATAAAGAAGTTGACGGTACACGCTTCACCCACCACCAATCACTCAAGTGCCGCCTCAGTTTCTACCAGACTTGGAGATCGCATTTTCCAAGATATCTTCTCCGGCTGTTGACAGTTAAACTCAATACCGCAGCCATGAGTGAGGGAAAGAGCTACGAGTTGTCGGATATCGACAAAATGGGCTTCACCAAGAGCGTGAAGATCGTCATGTTCTACAAAGTTGAAGACACCGTCGATCCAGAGAAAGTACTTCCCTCATTGCTGGAAGGAGTGCGACACGCCATCCGCCGATTGCCCTTCCTGGCAGGAGACCTCCAATTCAACGAAGCGGGAAAGCTCTGCAGCGTGACGACCCCGGAGAGCCAAGTCGACCTCAAGGTCCAGCGGTACGACTTCGGACAGTGCGAGCCGTTCTCTGTCCTCGCCAGCAGCTCGTTCTCTCCGAGGCTAGACCTGACCAAATTTCTCCCCAAGGAGCCAGAAGGCAAGCAGCCAGCCTGCATCATCCAAATCAGCCTCATAGAGGGGGGCCTCACTGTCGGACTTAGATTCAACCATGCGGCTGGGGACTGGACCTCCCTTGACACCTGCCTCGCTCTCATCTGTCAGAGCACCAGGGCACACCTGGAAGGCCAAGAAATGCCCACCTATACGCCAGACCTCAACAGAACCGCATTCAACACCCCGGCGCCCGACCCAGCCATCACCCGCCAAGACCAACTCGCCAAATTGCCCTTCTTCAGCGTGATCGAGAAGACCCAGTTCCAACTCAACCCACCTCCACCTTGCCAAGCGAGCATCTACCGAATCTCCGAACCCGCCATTCAACAACTCAAAACGCAGTGCACCCACTATCTCGACGGGGTCGACTACATCACCTCCTACGACTGCATCTCCGCCCTCATCTGGAGGGCCATCACCCGCGCCCGCCTCCAGGTCCACCCCGAGAAATCAACCGCACCCACTCGCTTCGTCCATCCCATCGACGCCCGCACGCGCGACCCAGAGCACCAAACTTCCCCGCAGTATTTTGGCAACGCCGTGCTCGCCACTCTCGCCGGCCCGCTCCCCGCCCACGCCTTGCTCGCCGACGACGAAGCCTGCAGCCTCGCCACCGCCGCCAGCCGGATTCGCCAATCCATCCCCACCATCGACGTCTCCTCTTTCGCTGCCATGACGGGGCTGATGGCATCTCTCGCGCCGACGGAGACTGTCGCCCCAAAGGCGGACTTCGCGGAGATGGACGTGTTCATGAATACCTGGTACTCGGGAACTGCGGAGAAGTATGACATTGGGGCTGGAGTGGTTCCTGCGGCGGTGCGCGTGCATGCGGCTATGCCGGGGGCCTGCGCGAGTATTTTGCCGAATTTCTCGCGCGGCGGACCGCGCTTCTTTGATGTGTATGTGCAGACTCCGGTTGATGTTCATGAGGCGCTGGGTCGGGACGGGGAATTTTTGAAGTATTTTGAGTATCTTGCGTAAGGGAGGGGGTGGTGTCTGAGCTTGAGTAGAGAGGTCTGGATGTTCTGGGGGTCTGTTCGAATAATTGGCAAGCCGAGATGCACAGTAAGAACCTTTAATCGGTACGGCCGTGATGCAATGCAAATCAATTGATTAAAGCTTTGCGCAGAGCCCACAATGATACAAGATGCGGAAGGCAGGGCTTCCCCCCCGACAACCCTAATTCCAGCCAGCGTCATCAGGAGGAACCAAGCCGAACCAGCCGTACTTCCCACTTTTCAGAGAGACCATAACTTTCTTGGTACCTTTGGAATGGTCGAGACCTGAGTCATTTGCCGTATGTGCTTCAAATCTTTGGCTTTGGCCTGACCAGAAGTTCACTGCTTGGGGTGGTCCGCAGGAGGACGAAACCAGCAGATTATAGGTATATCGCCAGGTCTGGCAGCAGCGGGAGGTGGATGAGAACGTATGGCTACATCTGTGTGAACGACTTTTTGTTGACGGGAGAATCAGAAGGAGCACAAAGCAGGGGTACCATCGGCATTCAGCGACGATGGCAGGTGCAGCCCTTCTCTTCCGAACAATGGGTGCATGCATTGGGATGTTCGCTCTTTCTTCGTAGCGCCTGCATACGCGGCTCTTATTGCCTGTGCCCACATGGCTCGTAATTTCCATTTTGGCACCAACGTCCCACACGATAGCAACACAGCAGTCAACAAGCTTTACAAACCCCGGACTCAACAATCTTGACCCGTGACGACTGAGAGCAAGGCAAATACCACGGGCTCATCACCCAACCCTCCAGCATGCCAACACAAACCCCTCTTCACGACGCCTGCGTCCTAGCCCTCGTCACCCTCGCAGAATTCTGGGGCCTGGGCGTCCTAACCCCATTGACAGCCCTTGACGACTCCGATCTCGAGGACGACTTCATTCTGGGCATAGATGGCCCCAGCGCCGTTGAGCTCCTTGAGCAAGTGCTCGAAGAGTGTCAGACCCTTGACGAAAAGCTCGCGCAGTGGCCCTTCGCGCGGGCGGTAGTCGGCGACCCCGCGCTAACTAGAGCCTTTGACTTGCTGTGCAGTACCGTGGAACTCGCGCAGGAGTGTCGGGATATCGGCAGCGAGTGCGTGTCTATGGAGCTGTCAGATTTGCACTGTGAGGAATTCTGCAAGGATGCCTGGAAACAGATGGGGGGCCGGTATCAGTGGTGGGGACATGATCTCGCGCGTGATCTGCCGGGGAGTGACTTCGCGGTGGTGCAGAATCGCGTGCGGGAGCTGCGAGCGATACGCAACCTGTATGATACGGAATCAGTGCGTTACGGTCTCGTGGAGCTTCAGGCCGAAAAGGCCATTTGGAGGATGCAGCAGCTGTTGGACGGGGTGCACGATCTAGCGAAGGAGGCTTGGAAGCAGATATTGGATATCGCGGACAGTGTGAGACAGTCGAGGTTCCGGGAGGCAGATAGGCTGTTTGATCCTCAGGATCATGTCGCGTTTGAGCTGCAGTGCATGGCGCATCTTTTTGCCCGTCGCGAGGATCCGGTGATTGAGGACGAGGAGGAGATTGCGGTGCGAACCCCGGAGACACCGGACATGCAGACGAAGGTCTTGGCCCTGCGGAAGCACTTGATCGCGATGAATATGAAGCGCCGCAACCGGTTTCTGCATTTCCAGAAGCAGGCTGAGCATGTAGTGTACTCTCTGGAGCACCTTTCGGCCTTCAAAGAGGATGGCGTGGAGCTGCCAGCGCCGCCTGGGGCGGAGTACTTTTACGGGGGCTTCAAGGATACCCCGATAGGCCTCGTCACCAAGCAAACCTCGACCTACGGCTTCACATGTCCCGCCTGTCTCGACTGCCAGCCTCCCAGGCTCGCGGGGCTGTTTGAAACCTGGAACTATCATATCGAAGACGACCTTCGTCCATATATCTGCCTCGAACCCGACTGTCACGATTCAATCTTTTCGGACCTCGCTGAGGATGGTTCGGCCTGGCAGGAGCATATGCTCGACGAGCACTATTGGACGCTGCCAGCCTGCCCGTTCTGCTGCTGGCCATCGCAAGTCAATGCCGTTATTCCGGAGCACCTGCTTGCCCATATTGCGATTGAGCTCCAGTATTTTGCCTTGTTGGCTCTGCCCTGGGCAACTTCGCCCCTGACGCAGCCAGATGCGTTCAAGCAATGGTATGAGAGGAGATATCCCCGCGAGGCAGTGCTGTGGTATGACTTGGAACGGCCCCAGCTCGAACAATTCTACGACTGTTTCCTTGACGACTCATCAACCCTGAGTTCGACACTCTGAACTATGCACTATGCCCATTCAATCTCAGTAGTGCTACCTCTTCCCTATCTGTCTGAACTCTGCTATCTTCACGATCCCTCTGCGTATGGGTAGCCGCTGAAGAAGAATTGAGGTTTTAGTGAAGTATTGCATCCCAGGCAAGCGAAATCTACATTTTGCCCGGTAATATGTCTTCGTTTTCGGATTTGAGGCTTCGGATGGGCAGGGGTTTTTTGTGCAATGCTTTGCTTGTCTGCTTGTTTGCTTTTTTTCTCCCGCTCGCTAGATATTTAGGTTAATCCCGACGCTTCAACAGCCACCATGCAGGATGGAGATCATTCGATGACTGATTTATGTATGAACGCTCCTGGCGCGATATATCCTATCTGCACGTTTAGCCTCGCTTTAAGAGCGGCGTGACTCTGGAAACCCAAGCAAGCGTGTGCATCCCGAACCAATGAATTTACTTTGGCAAACACATCTGGCGCTTAGGGCGGGAGGAACGGCTGACCGGCCTGCCGCGGTTCATGTGTAGACACCAAGGCGGGACCAGCTAGTCGTTGCATGTTTGCTTGAGCTTCACAAGCGTATTCAAGCAAGAGATAACAGGAGGCCTCGACGATGCGGCTGTTCTATTGAGCTTCCCTGGCAGGGCTCTATTCACCCATCCGTTGCCTTGAAACTGACTTTCAGAGGTGGCTGATCACCGGTGCTTTTGTTCGGGTTCGTGGTTTAGAGCTGCGGATCTCGGGGCAGCCCTATCTTTATTCAGGGTCGTCAGACGGGAGAGACATCCTGGTTATGCAGGGGTGATGTGTTGTGGGTTCTCTGGTTACTTGTATTCCTTGCTGTCCGGCATCGTGTCATCGTGTCTAACGACATAAGAGACAGAACTCAATCAATTTGCTTGCATGTTGAGAACTGATCAGTGAAAAGAAGGGAGTTTACCTTGGGCAGTTTGCATAATCCAAGATGGTTCCTTGTCGCCAACCAATCGAGCTGCGCGAAACCAAGAGCTTCTGTACGATCGAGTTGTCCGACTCTATAGATGTTGTTCTCCACTCAATAACTGGGCTGAGTATGACGCTGAATGAGGACGAGATTTAGACACCCTCTTGAGTGGCTCGTTGTTCGACAATTCGACGCCGAGAATGGCCGATAAGCCCGGGGATGTCTGGTTGATGAAGAATATGGGCAACTTCGAGTGGGTCGAACAGGCCACGCCGATTAAGTCATTTCAACAGTAGGTCATGTTCTGGCTGAAAAGCATCCGGATGAAGTATTGTACATAAGTTAAGTGCAATGAAGAGAAGTGGTTGGTTTCCATAAGGAAAGAGAAGTAGCCAAAAAAGAATGGATGAGCCCAGCCCGGCTCGATCAGGCAACCTTACGATCTGGAGTCGTACGCGCTACCAATTGCGCCATAGGCCCATTCGTTGAAGTTAGCGGTTTTGTATACATATATAATCTCCAATCCATCTCCAGGATAGAAATAAACAAATACTGGTAGCATTGACACCGACTATGGGGCTGTTGCAGAATCAAAATCAATACTTGAAGGTGCTTAATATGGCAACGTGCCAATAAAATCCTGAGCCGCAGTAAGATTGATAGTGGGGTAGAGCGATCGACCACAGTAAATCCAGCGATGTTCGGGCGTAGGTCTCGAGCAAATTGCCGCAGGCTATCTTAGCCTGATTTCTGCCCAATTCACATACAACAGTTAACCGCGATATTATAGTAGACTTCTATTTTTGGATTACATAGTCCTTACACTTCTGTTCCAATAAGCATATAATTGAATAAGTAAGTAAAGCTGCGACTAAGGCAGTCCCCGCAGTTCCACCCTGTGCTCTTTGTCGGCGTGTGCGTGTAACGCCTCGCTTCAGCGAGATCACATGATTTCAGAAAGAACTGGGGATATGTAAACACCACGAATTCGTGGAGTTCTTCTTCTTCCCTTAACAATTTAATGATTCTCAAGGCATCAAGCTTTCCCCCTTGAGCAAGTAAATCCATCAGTATTACATTTGTAATCAACACTCTTGAACATTTCTCCACCAACATTTCACCTTCAACCTCTCTCCACCCATACACACGCCATCACCTTCGGTGGATCTCCACTCCCTCACAACTTGTGACATTTAGCCGTCAACCTCTCAGTCAGGCCAAATGCCGGTCACCATCCGCACCGCAAACCACAGCGCACGGGAGTGGCAGTCCACCGGCGCCGTCAGCCACGACGCGCTCTTCAAGGGTTCCTGCCCTCAAGAATACAAGCAAAGCCAACGCATCATACAAACCGGCCTCTCCCACCCCCTGGAGCACAATCACGTTACCGACGCAGAAAATGGGTTCGTTGACGCGCTCACGAGCGCCTACTCCAACCACCACCACCTCACCCTCCGCCCTGAAGACATCTGGTTCACCATCCTGAGCCAAGTCTCCTTCTTCATCAACGCGAACGCCGAGGAACTCCGCGCGCATTTCGTCGCCCACGAGGGTCGCAAGGAACTCACAGTCACGGCGGCCGGAAGCGTGGACACGGCCGACTTTGGCGCGATGGCGCACGCGATGACGACCGCAATTCAAGATCACGTGGTGGACGCGGGCCTTCGCGCTTGGATCATGCCGGAGTTTAGCACCACCACTGCTAACGATCGGGTGGTGGCTGCGGTTCTGATGATGGGGAGCATGCAGAAGTACTTCACCTATCAGTTTTGTTTGATGTGTGGCATACCCAGCGTGACGCTCCTCGGGGAGCGTCGCGACTGGGAGATGTTGCTCGGCAAACTGGACCGACTGCCCGCCCTGGGCCAGGAACCGACGCGGTTCGCCGAGTTGCTCCGTCCGGTGCTGACCAGGTTCTTGACCTCCTTTGACGAGCCCACGGCGAACGCGGTGCGCCATTTCTGGGGTCGGTGCGCCGATCGCCACAGTGGCGGCAGTGGACCGTCGTATCTCTCGGGATGGGTCACGGCGTTCTGCTTCTGGGACCCGCAGGGTAGGCGAATTCGTGACCAGTCCGAGGGGAATGTTGCTTCGTGTGAGCTCGACGGTGTACGGTATCCCTGGATCGACACGGCTGATATCCCGCCGGCATATGCCTCGGTTCCTGTTCGTCTGGATGATAATGGAACGGTGTATGAGACGGTGATGGTTGCGGGAATGATGGGCGTGAATGGCACATCGAGTGGTCTGCCACTGAAGAAGAATGGTGGCGCGGAGACAACAGGATTGGACTCTCTGCAACCGGTTGCAGGATGGGTCATGTACCAGAAAAAAGACAACGTCTCCGATAGGCACGAAGAATATTGAGACGAAGCAGATTGGCTCTTGAGCCACTCTATTACTTAGTTCTTACTGTACTTAGTTCTCACTGCTATAATTTTTCATACTTACTTTGGCTTTATCTTTTTCCTGTTGAGCCTGTTGTGACAGAGTTCTAGGTCTTCTGTGATTCACTAGGCACCTCACTGCCTCGGCCGGGGTGTCGATAGTTCCTCCCAGATAGCCTCATGTAGTGAGAATCAACCATGTAACTACCAAGTGAACCGCTTGGAATGACTAACACAACAATAGGAAGCCGTGAGTCAGGTGGCTCATTCCTTGCCTCCCCACCACTAGAGCCTTGGTGCCCTAATCCCCGTTACGTCCGTCTCTCCATCTTTCTTGGGGGTGTCGACAGCCTTGAAGCAGAGTGGGTGTTCACCTCTGCCGTGGCCGCAATCTCGTCAATGGCGATGTACTCGTCTAGTTGCGGCACGGAGGCCTTCTCAATCTGTAGCTTGATATGCTGGGCCGGTTCCGGATCAAATCGGGTGTCGATGAAGTATAGGGCGCTGGGGCCGGCAACAGCCACGTACGGGGTGTCTGGCGCCACAACCTGGCGGCCCAACACGGTTTCAATCACCTGTGGGACGTAGCTACCATTCCGGTATTCCTCTTGGGAGGTTGGAGAGCCCTCACATGGTCGGAAGGGGCTCAGAAGCATGGTAATCAGTAGCGGTGATAAGAGAATCGTTGGGATGCAGGTAAGAAAAGGAAGAAGAGAAAGACCTACCCTACAGGGAGAAGAGATATAGAGCTATCTACGTAGTATAATAGATAGCAGAGATTCTCTGGGAGTTGGAAGCCCGGCGAGGTACAAACTGGGAATGTCTTGGATCTTGCAAGCAACTCAAGTGCTACTTTGGACTCCACATCTGGCCTACCGGACAATATAGCTCAGCTGGTTTAGGACTATAACGAGGACCACTATACCTTAAGTAGGGAAGAATACTGTACTACATACATATGATGTCTCAAAGTTAAATTTTTCACTAAGATACATCTTGCCTAGGCTAGTGCCCCCACTTTACTAGTCAGTCTTGGTTGTGCGTGTGTCAAGAATGTACCATCCGCTCGGCTGAAAATATTAAGCCGTGAAGAGCCATAGACGCACGTACAATACAGTGATCTGCCGCCCTCAGAAAGCACGAGGTCGAGAGACACGAGAAAGTGCATTTTCAATAAATGACAATCAGGGTCATGGCCAAAACGAAAAAGGCCCCTCAAGCTCCGTCAGTGCGGGATTAGCCGGCGGGCCGAAAGGAATGATCCTTGGGTGAGACCAAGGAGCGGCAGTGCATTAAATTGGAACTGTACGGAGTACTATAATGTGAACCACTCCGTAATCATGTGGGCCTCTTAGTATGTCAGTGATTGTCGTGGCTTGGTAAACTTTCTTCCAAGCCCTATCTTTTCTGCGCTTTCCTGCGAAGCCCTAAACCGTTACAGCATACAGTATCTACTGTCAAGATTACTTACTACCCGAGTAATCGATTCAAAAATAAGCAGAAAACAATTTTTTTTTTCTTTTGCATTTTTCCCTTTCTTTTTTCTTTTTTCTTTTCTTTTTCTTTACATCTTCTCGCATACCAAAACGACAAGTTAACCGCAGTAAGATCGAATTCACATAACCGCTTTCCCACTCCTCTCAACTAAGTACCACATCAAAACTTGTCCCCCAGCACCACCGATCAAGCCTTAGCAGAAGGAGGACAGATCTTACCAGGGCCAGGCTTGCCCTTCTCGGGATCATCCACCCACTCCATCTTGTAGACATTGTAGTTGATGAGCATGACCTCGATCTTGCCCGCGTTGGCATCGATCAAAAAGGTATCTATGCCGTCCAGGACCTGCAGGTTGTGGATTTTGTCGTGGTACTCCCAGCGCTCCGTGACCCAGCCCTGCTGAGGGACGACGTGGGTGCCGATGATATCGTACTGGGTGGTGGGCAGCACGCTATTAAGCAGCCGCGCCGACTCCTGGATGCCCTCATGCTTGTAGAGGATCCGGTCAAAGGTACCCACGAACGCCATCTTGAGGTCCTTGGAGTAGTTCCGGGCGATATCCAGCGGGATATCCCCGATGTAGCGCAGCAGGATATGCTCCCAGTAGACCTCGGACACGGTGCGGCCCGTGTCCGCCGGCAGCTTCGCCGGGTAGCCGTCGAGCAGGTACTCCAGCACCTCTTTTGGGGGCTTGCTGGCCTCCTCCTCGATGTGGGCGGCCATCATGGCGAACTGCGCGCGCAGCCAGTCCTTGCCCGCGGGGAGACGCGGGTCCGTCACAATCAGCTCGGGGTGGTGGGCCACGATCCACTCGGCCACCCCGGCGTGGCTCTCGCCTTGGTCGAGGACCAGTTTGAGGATCGTGTAGCTGTTGGCGTCGCGGAGGGTCACGTCGGCCCCCGCAGTGGAGAGAAATTCCACGGCTTCCTGCTTGTTCGCGATGGCGGCCGCCATGATGGGCGTGATGCCGTGACATTCGGCGCATCGCATGTCGAGCCGGCCCGGGTCGTCTGATAGCAGGTCTCTAATGTCGTCCACGTTGCCGGCTTTGGCGGCCGCGAAGATGGGGTCGCAGTCCTCGATGGCTTCGCTCTCCTTGGTTGTCTTTTGGCCGCCGTGCTTGACGATGACGGGAGTAGGTCCGTTCCGCTGGAGGGTAGAAGGCATTTTGAATTTGAGTTTGAGAAATTAGAGATGGTTTGCAATTGATCGTTGGAGTGGATGTCGTGCTTTGGCTGGTTGCTTGGATGGTGAGTGCTACACTCCCCTCTTTTTATATTTGAATCTCCTTCCTTGAAGCCAGAGTCTTCAGAGTATCCAGCACTCATGAAAGTCATGACGTTGAAGATACGATTGCTGGTGCTACATGCGACTGTGCCATTCGAGCTGTAACTGGCAGCGCGGTAGCATCATGATCCAAACCCCGGTCAGGAGAAGAGCTTCACCCTGAAAACGGTTGCCTGGAGATATGACCTAGACGTTGCATCTACCCTCATCAATGATGCTTTCGGCGAGAGGTCAAGGGCTGGATCATGTAGCTACAGTGGTCGTTCCATGGATACACCTACAGTATCATCGCTCGAGCGTCTCCGGTAGGGTTGCTGGCAGACGTCATGGCATGAACTGAAGTGCTACCCGAGTTGCTCATGGACATCTTCGGACACTTCACGAGGAAGCGCGACAATCGAGATCTCCTGCATTCGGAAGCTCCATGCAGCTGAAGCCGATGAGCCTCTGAGATGCCTGGTCATGACGCCAGACACAGAAGTCTGTTCGTTCGCCATGTTACCTTGACAGGTGGTACACGGGGCGTGGACATGGCCGCGGGCATCCAATTGGGGACTTATCAAGACTATACCTCCCAAACATCTCAGCAGCACTCTGTTCTTGCCATCCTTTCGGTGATATCACTACTGGACAATCAACAGCCATTGGTGCCGATTCGGTGTCCTGCGCATCAATGCGTCATGGTGGGATTGTGATTTCACGTCGACGACGCTTGTGGAAATGCTAGCTAGCGTTAGTAGGTCATAGAACTGCATTGGTATCATGACTGCTTGACGAAACCACGGTCAGGGTGAGGGAATTGATGAGAGCACGGTTGTCATTATCGAGATCGCACGCGCAGACCTCTGCAATGAGACTCACATATAGTAATAATACGACTTGCCAGCCAGGATCCATGGGTCCAGTGATTTGGGCCTAGCGCGAATGCATCCAGCCAGTGTGTATGTGATTGAACAGATAGGCGACGAAAGTGACTTGGCGCTGAGAGTAGACGTGCGAATGATGTACTATACCCAGGATGGCGGCATCTCTCGTCTCGAGAATTATACCTCATTTCTGGCAGAGGAAAGCAATAGCTCTTTCAAGATAGGTGGCATGAGCTATCAGGAATGAAGTTGCAGTGGTAAGACCTGGTGAGCAGACATGAGTCAATCATAGGTGTGTACTATAGTATATACAAGTGGGGACTGCTCATCATCGTTACTCGATATCAACAATATATACAATTACAAAAAGGCTATCTACAGCGCGACGAGCAGGGCCAGAAACGAGGAAACCCCGACAAGCAGGGATCCGAGGCCACTGCTGCGCGAGATAGCGGTGACCGTTCCATTCTCCTTATCGTCAGAGCTACTGTCGCTCTTGCCTGTGGCGTGGCCTGTCGCCGCCGTCGCGGTGGCGGTCTGCGTGATGGGGGACCCCGTCACCTGGGGCACCGCCGTGGCGCCGGTGCCGATCTCCAGGACATGGTCAGAGCCCGGGTTGGTGTTGGTCTTGGCGAGGTAGATCTCGTTGTTGGCGAGGTCGTAGACGACATACGCGCTGCGCAGGAAGGTGTCGCCGAGGAGATAGACGCCGCCGCTGGCAGTGCTGCTCTCCGGGGCGATGCCGAAGGCGCAGTACCCGAAGGTGGCTTCCACGAGCAGGTCGCTCAGGCTGATGGAGAGGTTGAACCCGGAGAACTCGAAAACAACCTCGTAATCCGAGTCCTTCGCGTCGTCGCACTTGATGACCGCCAGTCCTTGGCTCTCAAAGTATTCCGCGCCAACGGTCTCGATGATATCGAGGGCGGTCCCGGAGGGGAGGTAGGTCAGCGAGGTCCCGCTGTCCAGGACGGCGAGCACTGGGAAGGCGGTATTGTTGACGCTGATGTCCTTGCCAGACTTGGTGACATGCACGCCGCTCAAGTTGACGGCGAACTCCGAGTATACACCATCCTCAGCCTGAATGGGGAGAGAGTGCAAGCTGCCGGTGTACTTAGCGGTGTTGATCCCGCCGAACAGGATGGTCCCCTTGCCCGCGTCGATGTCGTCTAGCCACAGACTGTATGCGGCAGATTTAATGTAGCCCTGATTGACGAGTGCCTGGGGCAGGTTTGCGTACTCCTCATCGTTACGGAGCTCGGCGAACTCGTTGCTGGCATATCCAACGCCAAGGACGCCCTCTGCGCACATAATTAGGAGGAGTGCTATGGACGAGACGGGGAACTGACCAGACACTTACGTTGGGTACTGCTCTCATCCGCTAATCCAAACTGAAAGGTTTTCAGGGTCACATTGCCGAAGGCGACAGTGTCTGTCACGTAATCTCCAACGGCTGCGCTGCCGTCCACATATGCGATGGCGAACTCGTCGTTCACAGTTTTGAACGTAGAGGAGGAGGAAGAATCGAAAGTTCCATAAGGGTTGTCGGAGCTCGAGTTGCCCGCGTTCACCCACAGATCGCTGCTACCGGTGTCCAGAATCACCTCCACCGGCTGCCCTGGGGTGCCGAGGTTCAGGGTGATTGTGTAGCTGACTTCCTGAAACGGCCGTCAGCAATCCTACTATCAAAGGCGATGACTTTGCGCTTACATTGTTGGTGAGATCTACTGACGCAGGCGTAGATCGTTTGTGCCGCGGATGGCTCACGCCCTGTCGCCGGTGGATATCATATTGGACGGTGGCTGGCTGCGCGCGCTCGTGGAGGACGAGAGCGCTTGTCGACTGGGCTAAACAGGCCAAAGAAAGAACGAGCGTGTTCTTCATGATCAACTACTGGACTGACTGGCCGGTTCGATGGTGTTGTCGATCAAGACGGAGACTGTAGCGGATGCAGGGGGTTTTGAAGGGTTTGAAAGCTCTGGGTGGATTGCCTGCGCCTGCGCCTGGGAATCCCCTAAACAGCGACCAATGGTCCCTAAATTGACACGCCGGCCTTGCAGCCCCGCTAACTATGACAAAACTAAGCCACAACAGTACAGTGACAAGATCTCTTGGCTATGGGGCTATGTAACCCTGCACTTGAACCCTTCGACCCTTGGCCGACAATTTGACTTCACGCGGTAGGACGATAAGGTGGAGGCTCTGCTTGGCAGCCCACCAGGTAGACCCTCGGGGCTAGAAGAACTGGCCACGCAGAATTGGTGTTGAGATTTTGGACAAGGCTGTGTGGACTCTAAGCCCTTTATGGGAGAGTGCAGGTGGCGGCTAACCTCCAGCAGGGACTAGCACAATATCCGAGATGAGGTCAAGCACTTAGCGCTTCTTAACCCATTGCTGCCTGCCAAGTTGTGGACCCACTGTCTGTCCTTCCCCCTTTCCCTTGTTTTTATCCATGCAGTGCCGAGTCCGACTGGGTGTGTGCCATCCGAGGTTTGGGAAAGTCAGCGTGACGAGAGGGCAGTGTGGCAGGCTCTTCAGCTTCTCCTGTGGAGAAGTTTCTCTGCGCCCCGGGCAAGGCATCTATCATATGGGATCAACGGCGGGACTCGAGACAAACAAGAAACATTACGGCTGTGGCTTCGCTTCCCCTCCGTGGTCACCACCCACCTGCTCGGAGTCTCGGAAGCTAACATTGATAACTAGTCGCTGACTCGTTGTTATCGCGGATCTTTCTATGCCTGAGTTGGGTAGAAAACTCTGCCGGCGTAGTGGGGGGTAAGCACCGGTGGACCAATGGAATCGCATTCTCTCCGGCAGGTAAAGTGGATTAATTAGGGGTAAATTGCAAGAAATCAGCTGGGAGAATTATGGAGTAGGGTCCCAAATGATGTCTTCCGGGAAGTGAGAGAGCCATAGGCGATTTATCGGTCTATCGATTTGTATGGAGTCAGGGCCGCAGGGTCCCTCGCGATCGACGCACATTGTGACTGCCGAGCCAGTGTATCGGTGAATTCCGTAGAGGCAGCCCTTCGACCCGGATCCACTTTCGGGGAAGAACTGTAGGTCTTGGGCTTGATCCGAACAGTGACTGTGTCTCGCAATCAATCTGGACAGATAAAGTTGGCTCATTATCGTGCGAATCGATCCTCTCCCGCCATTTGACGTGCATGGCAGGGACCTCGGTTGGGCAATGGACGACGTGCGGGATCATGTCCTCAAAAAATACACTAAGGTGCTACAGTTGCTGTCCACACCGACGGTGTCCGGTGAGAGCCTCAGGAGAAGCTGGAGGATTGAATGATGTTGGAATTGGTGGATTCTCCATTGTTACTTGCTTTTCCTCTTTGGTGAACCGATCGGGATCACGTAATATTAGGGCATCCTCACTCCACCACTACCTTATCGTTTGACGAACTATCAAACAATGACACAGTCAAGTGAGTCATCCAGACGAATGGGGTTCACAGAGTAAATTTGAGCAAACAAGCTGAATGAGACTGCAAGCCCATGAGAGCATCATGATCCGGCCGAGAGATATGCACCGAGGTCAGCATCATATCCAGTCCTAGCCTCGATAAAAGCCAGACAAGATCCAAATTTGGTACAGCCAAACAGTATCAGGGGTTAGCATATTAAGGATGAGCCTGAATCTTGGTAGGCTTGGAACCTGCGGCCGTTGGGACGGTGAACCAGATCCCAGCTGGCGTAAAGGGAGGGGCAAGCTGACAACACAAAATGCACTGCTGCCCCAACAATTATCATGTACATCTGTGCCAAGCAACATGATCAATCATGCCGGCGAGAAGGAGCAAGTCAGCAAAGCGGTGGTCGATGTATTCATCCCTTCACTCGGAGGTAGTCGACTTCCTCCGCGGGTCTAATCTGCATTTTCGCTTTCACTCGGCCGACGATGAGTCCGCACTCGAGACATACGACACACACATCATGGGGCGGTTTGTCTGCCATAACGACTCCTGCGCTTCCCTTGGCTGGTCCAGCAACAAAATCGCGATCACCATCCGCATGTACGGAGGACGCAAATACAATGCAAGGGTATATCACCGGCGGTGCCAAGAATGCGAAAGCCTCAGCCGGCCCATCCTTGACGACTCGTATGCGGAGCGGGTGGCATACAGATTAAAGCGATGGAGTGGAATTCAGATGGATATTCCAGAGTATCATGGGGACAGCAACGGTCCCCATGTCAGTTCTCTGTGCGAGGGGTGTAAGGCTGGACACTGCTCTCAGAGAGGGTGGTATTGATGGCAGAAGGGAATGCCTGATTTGCCTTTCCTAGTGTCGCGAGATTGATTTCTCTGTCTCTGTGTATTGCTCCCGGTCTGAGTTCAGAAAATTGATATTTGCATGTCTTCTCGGCCCTACGCACATTAGAGATTCGATATTTCCCAGGTTTCTGCTGGAGGTGTGGACATAGTCATCCGGTAAGTATGCGCACTTGGCGGTGGTCAAACATGAATCCCAACGACGACAATTTTACGGTTTTGATATAAACCTTGATAGAAGAAACAAAGGATGTCATAACAAGGGGCAACATGGAACAAATCCATATCGAATATCCTCTACATTCTCTCGATGATTTCAATGCTAGATTCGACATACGATGACTCCTCATTGAACACGTCCCTCCGAACCTCCTCAGCAAGCCACTGCAGTTGAGCATCACCGTCTATTGCATCATCATCATCCTCCTCCTTTTCCAGAATGGCAGTGTACAGCAAGTCCAGAGTCCCGGGCATCACCCCGATATGGAAGCCCTTGTCGTCACTGTTCTGCGCGTTTGACAGAACCATGACCTCGCGGGCAAACTTCCGGATCAGATTGCACCCCCAGCTCTTCGTCGTTACATAGCGCAAGAGCATAGACTCGAGGTAGAAGACCGGGGCGAGCATGCGCACGGGATACCGCTCGTGGCGGAAGTGGCCGAGAAGGCGTGCGTCTGATGCCAGGACCAGGTCACTTCCGCCGAACTGGTTCATGGTCGTGCGATGACCAATCTCCGTAGTGCCCGGAAGCGCAAAGCTCATCTCAACCAAGCGAACGTTGAAGTGGCTCCACTCCTCGTTGGCATTGTGGGAGTCGATGTGGAAGACCTTCTCGCGGTGCGAGCCGGGGCCGATACCGTAGTAGGTGCAGTCGGGATGGTCAGTCTCCTGGGCGAAGCCCTCGGCAAGCAGGTTGTTGGCTGCCCGAGTCTGCTCGTCATCGTCTACCACAAAGTCAATGTTCGAACAATCGGTGTTTACACCGTATACGAAAAAGGCCATCTGGCCCCACAGGATATGATGGATCCCTGCGCGGTCAAGCACGCTGGATACGTGGCCGGTGATGCGTTCCGCCGCTGGCCGGTTGGGATTGGTGACGTTGGCGTCTGACATGTTGGTCGGTAAGTAAGATTGCGTCCAGAATGACTTTCACTGGCTAGCAGTTAGTACTCGAGTATGGACGGGCTGAAGAGCGAAAATAGTAGTTCATGGTGTATGGAAGGGCTTTTTATGTTGCACTGGGAAGCAAGAGATTGCCGCAACAGTTCATTGATCGGTTTGTTCCTCTCTAGGAGACTACTGTTGAGACATAAAACTTGTGGATTCATCGAAGGGAATCTAAGGAAATCCCCATACAAAGACTGGGGGAGCTCTCCAGGAGTTGTAATGTAACTTGCTCTTATACAAGAATGATCGGGGCAGGGAAATCGCTGAATAAAGTATTTTCATTGTACTGGTGTACTGCTCTACTGCGCAAGATGACTGGTAACAACAATACACGATCACTACCGTCGTCACAAGTGTCTGTCTAGGACTTGAAGGGGAAATTGAGGGAAATTCGAGGCGGATGGAGTCCAGTGAAGGGAAATATTCCGGTGCTTATACGATCACGAATGAGAAGGTTTTGTAGAGAATGGTTTAATAATCTCACTGCCCGACAATACCTTGCTACTCGGACTGTTTTCCAGGTTCCCCTGGAGATAATTCGCTCCTCAGAATATGCTTATGTCAAGGTGTTGCACGCTTGGTCAAGAAAGTCTACATTCTCTCGCCAAGTTATTGAAGCCTTGAAGGGGCTTGAACCCCAGCCTTTGTACCAATCCTTTGTCCCCTTTAGAGATGCCAGATCATGCTCTTTCACGGCAGTGGTTATTCCAATCTGATATCATACCATGGATGCTATTATTGATGTATATAGAAAGCTGTTTTTATCAGGTTCAAACCATTTCCTGTTTGTGCCCTTGAACGTCCTGGGGATGCTCAAGAGCAGGGCAAAAATATATTACTAAGGGAGGGAAAAACGATCGAACGGGAATAAGTTGGGATTGCGCCGTGGAAACCATTGGTATAATCCCTCGGCATAGTCCATGCTCATTTAAGATGTTATCAGTGATATTATTGCTTACCATTTCTACCAGAGCTTTTATCTGTATGGGTTACATGTGCAAAGCAGGACGATTCACAGCAGGGCTTGTGTTTACAGATAGTAAAACCAAAAATATCTCAGCTCTACATCAGCAAGGCCTGCTGGCCCAATGGTAAGGCGCTTGACTACGAATCAAGAGATTGCAGGTTCGAGCCCTGCGTAGGTCATTCTTTTTGCCCCTCCCTCCTTCAGGGGAGCAGTAGCAGTAATCCCATGCAATGGATTGATTCCCTACATACATACCCTCACAGAATACGTTTTTGAACAGTCACTACCTAACTACTGATCCCAAGCATTACCACTCCTGCACGCCCTCCCTCGTCAGCACCCTCCCCACATCCCCATCCCTTCCCCCCTCCACCACCTCCCTTACAAACGGGCCCGCCACCACCGGATCCCCCGCCCCCAGGGCGCGCATCGCCTCGGGACTGCCACCCAACCCCGTCGCCAAGTACCCCGGGGACAGCGCAAACACCTTCACCCCGTCCGGGCGCAGCAGCCGATGCCACTCCCGCATCAGCATATTCAGCCCGGTCTTCGCGCTGCGGTAGGCGGGCACCCCCTGCGCGGGCCCCGCGGGCTTGGGCCACCCTTTCGCCGTCGGGGGCCGGTTAACCGCGATGGCTGGGTTGTCCGTGCCGGCGAGGGTGGCCGTTCCCGAGGTGAGGAAGAGTAAACGCGGGTTGGCGCTTTTCAGGAGGAGGGGGATGAAGGTTGCAGTGACGATCTGGGTGGAGGTGGTGTTCACGCTCCAGGTTTTGTTCCAGAGGGCGCGTTCGCTAAGGGTGCCGCGGGTGGCGGGGGTATCGAAGGAGGCGCCTTCCATGCCAGACCGGTTAGTTGGGGGGCTGATGGTTCAATGGGACGGACGGATACGCACCTGCGTTGTTGATGAGGACGTCGAGCCGGCCGTGGTGGGTTGCGATCTCGGTGTATGCATTCTGAATCGAGGTGTCGTCTTCAATGTCGATGATGACCGGGGCAATGGTGCTTTGTGTCGTGGGGAACTCTTGCTGGATGGCTTGGATGGCGTCGCGGGCTTTGTTGGGCGAGCGGGCGCCGAGGAGGATGTGGTAGGGCTGCAGACTGTCGCTGAGCGCCCGCACGATCTGGAAGCCGATCCCGGTGTTGGCGCCGGTGATGAGGACGATGGTGGGTGTCATTGGGAATTTCTGAGAGAGAGAAAAATAGTAGTCTGGCTTTTTTGGTGGAGCTTCGGTTCATCATCCTAATTAATGGAGATTAATACGTCCGACTATATATGGTCGTAACTCGGACGGAGTTGCGGCCGTAGACCGACGCCGAAGGAGCTTAACTCCGTTACTCCGTACTTCGCCCCAACCAATGCCTGGTCTCTCCAGAACTGCCTGGACCAATGCGAAGGCGGAATGCTCAAAGCGACGGTAGATCCAAGCTGTAAAGAGAGCACGAAGAAATATAGCAGACGAACAAATCTTGACGCCTTTTTGATAATCAAGGACGGATTGAACCAACCAGACGCAGCGGAATCGGCTTCCGGAAGACGCGAGAAGGAGGGTTGGGGTTATACTCCACCAGTCGAGCGACGATTATACGACATACATTGAACGGTAAGAATTCGGTTATAATCAAGTAGAGCAGAGTCGCCGATTGTGCGTGAGTAAGACCAATAAAGCCGCGATAACGCAGTCGAACGCAGATTGAGCGGACGAGACTCATGTTTCGAAATGGTTACATTGGTGATGTGGTACAGTATAGATACGCTTACGGGTTGACAGGCCACAAGCACCAGCCCAGCCCAGCCCAGCCCAGCCCAGCCGATGGAACACTGCATGCTGCACTGCACCCCCTTCTTGATCAGCGTTCCTGCGACAACCCCTACATCTGCGCAACACAACCCAAGTCACCCAATAAACTCAATCGAGGGATCATTGAAGTCAACACCGACGGGAAAAAACAAGTCGTGCTGACCTACCGCTGACGTCAACGAGAAAGTCATTTCCCAGTGCATATTATTACCTCTCGCCATGCTCGTCCTCTTTATGATTTTCCCAGGTCCACCTCATATAATCATATATCTCCTCCAGCACCACGCCAGCCCTCTACACCCGCCAGAATGTCTCTCAGTCTAGTGACCCGAACCACCGTGCGCAGCCCACCGCGCGCCTTGATCCCGGTGCTCAACCCTCGAACCATCCCCGTCCGACACAACTCCGACCCTAAACGGGTGGATACCCACTACACCGGCCCCAAACGGGCGGACACGCCGGAATATGTCACTCACCCGGGCAGTGGGACCTACGACACCCACCAAGTGCCCAGCTTCAAGGCCTACGAGACCCGCGGCCCGCCACGGGTCCACCAGAACATCGCGTATTTCATGGCGGGGGCGCTGGGAGTGACCACGGCGGTGGGGGCTAAGGATACCGTTGCGAGTGAGTGCCGGTGCTTTATTCTTCGGGTTGGGGCTCGTGCACGGAATGCTGATTACAGGGAATGTCCAGGCTTTCTGGCCAACATGTCCGCATCCGCCGATGTCCTCGCCCAAGCGAAGGTCGAGATCAGCCTGGGGGCTATTCCCGAGGGAAAGAATGTATGATGCATGCCAGCCCACTGAATGTTTCGGAATCACGCAGACACTGACCAGAAAACTCGCCCTAGATTATCATCAAATGGCGCGGGAAGCCGGTCTTCATCCGCCATCGCACGCAGGCTGAGATCGAGGACGCGAGGAAGACGGACTGGAAGAGTCTTCGTGACCCCCAGCCGGATGAGGAGCGGGTGCTCAAGCCGGAGTGGTTGATCATGTTGGGTATGAGAACGTTGGAGTTTCCGGAAACCGTATGCTGACGATAGGTTCTTGCAGGCGTCTGCACCCATCTCGGCTGCGTGCCCATCGGCGAGTCCGGGGATTTTGGAGGCTGGTTCTGCCCCTGTCACGGATCCCATTATGACATCTCCGGACGGGCGCGCAAGGGACCTGCGCCGAGTAATCTCGAGGTCCCGCAGTATAGCTTCCCGACCGAGGATACGCTGGTCATTGGATAGACGCGAGAATAGAATATGATCGAGGTAGAATTGATCAGCTGAAATGCAATTCGCAGTCAGTGTTTCCATCCTCCGCACGGCAGCACATATAATGCGCACCAGAATCACACGCTCAAGAACAACAACAACACAGTCAACGAGATCCACCCCCCTTCAAGACCTTCCGACCGTAATACACCCACCCATTTACTTTCCCATCCTCCCCATCCTTTGCATCTCCCCCCTCCCCCTCCTTTTCTCGCTCCTCCCCCAGATGTCCATAAACCACCTCATGCACATCATACAACCCCCGCTCCTCCGGCGCCCACACAGGATTCCCCCGCGGGGTGAGCACCGAATCCAATTTCTCCGGGGAATGACACGCCCGCACAAAAGTCAGATCGTGTTGGTCTTGCACGTAGACATGCGCGACGACGTGCGAGCCCTTGGCGAGATGCGTCTCGTCCTTGTAGCAGATGGTCAGGTGGTAGGTGCCATCGACGATTCTTTTCTTCCGGTGTCGTTTCCAGTACCAGTCGCGGTGGATGTAGGATCTGATGGGAAGAGGAGGGGGGAGTCGTCAATAGAATGTGGGAAGTGGGTGGGTTGTGGCTACTCACCTAATGAGCACGGCTTTGGGGTATCTTTGTCGCGCGCTGACGGCGCGGTAGGCGAGGGAGAGGAGGGTGGGGATTTGGCTGGGGGAGTAGCATGGAACGAGGCGCTTCAGGAGGTAAAATCTGACGATATTGATGGTGGACATGAAAGCGGGGTCTGGGAGATGGATATGCAGGAATGAGGTACTAGTAGTGAGGCTCTGAGGGATGAGGTCGAAGTGGTCCAAAGATGCAAAGATGAGAAGGTGAGAGGGCCAGCTGGTTCACTGGTGAAGATGAGGTGCAGCTGTCGCCAGCCAGTGGTCTTGTATGGCGCTTTGTTTGTGTTACCCCGCATTTGGTGCATGGCTGGGAGATGGACAGGGGGTGTGAAGGATTCGTAGTGTTGTAAAGGATTGGTTGATACTGTTCATAAGAGTCTTTGTTATTCATCCTCGTTGAGTTTCAGATTGCTGCCCACATTAACCTTTTATTCTACTTCTACGTAGCATGCAACAAACATGACATTGCATCCGGAATATGGTCTTGTGCTACCACTTCGCTGTCAAAAAAGAAAAAGAAAGAAAGGAAAAAATCACACAGAAAAGGAAAAGTAGAGAAAATCAATACTTCACTGCCAGTTCAGGCATCAAGATGGAGAATTTCTGATATTGTGCGCGACAGGATGGATCCATTGACGGGTGATCGACCACACGGCAACCCTCGGTCGGCCCGCGACCCACCCGTGATGCTATACGAGGGCCTGGTCTGCGGGTGCCTCCCTCAGCCAAAGGTGTTCAAAGCGCATTGGCTCGGGTTCAACCACCCGACCGCTAGATCATGTGACTTGGTAAAGAATACTGGGGTCGTAGTGGGGTTTTTAGATCCAGTAGGTAAGTTATAGACTGCTATACAATTTCGTATCGGGGACTATAGAAGGAAGATAGAACACTGATTTTTCTACTCTGTTTCACATTACCGTCACTCGCAGTAGCTAATTAGAACCCAGAAACTGCCTTTTAAAGTAGCCAATCATTGTCCGATCTATTATATGGTTGAGAGACGTCACGAGGGAGACAACGCAACATCAACACCAGCTAGATAATGAATGATCAGACTCGACCTTATAATAACCTACTTCTAAGACTCTAAGACATCCCGCTGGACAGACAGACATAGAAATAAATCCCAACCACTTTACCCCCCACCACAACCATTACTTTTCGCACTATGCCTCCCGCACCACCTTTCAATCATGAAACCGCAAACTTCGACTTCGCCCTCAACCGCGCCCCATACAAATACAGCACAAAAATCCCAATCACCCCCAAGGTACTCAACCCGCCCAACAGACTCACCCCCTTCCCGATCCCGAGATTCAAGAACAGGGGGCGCGCATACAGGATCGACCCGCACGCCATCGCGGACCGAAAGAAATCATTCGCCGCGAACAGCGACGCCGCGTAAGCCGGGTATGACATGGGCACGTAGACAAACACGCACTGCAGCACGATGAACGCCGAGCTGCTGTAGATGGTGATGCCGATGGTGGGCACGATCCAGTGGATGTGGCCGTTGGCGGTCCAGCCGAACAGGAACAAGCCGACGGGGGGCCCAAAGCACCCGATCAGGGCAGGGACGAGTCGGCTCTCTTGGGTCAGGGGCACGCCGCGCAGGAGCTGCGGGATGAGAATGTAGAGGAGGTAGGCGAAGTAGATGGCGATGGCGAGGAGGCAAGCGACGAGCACGCAGAGGAAGACGAGGCCGATGGTGCCCAGGGTGAAGTTGTAGAGCAGGGGGTAGACGAGGGGGAAGACTTCGAAGAACTTTTTTCTCGGTTTTATGGTGTTAGTGGTTGTTGCGAGATGAGGGATTAGGGTTGGGGTTGGGGTTGGGGACATACAGAGTAGTAGATGCTATACACTATGGCGGTGTAGACTTGGACGAAGAGGATGGCGGGATCTTTGATGGTGATCTCGATGGGCTTGATGATCGCGTCGATGAGGATCGCGGACGGTTTCAGCTGGGCTTGGATGATCTCTGACTGCGATTTGAGGTGGTTGGATCCGATCAGCTTGCGCAGACGTCGTGCGCGTTGGTGCAGCAGGGTCGGGGCGGAGGTCTCGGGGAGCAGCAGGAACATGAGGCCAAAGACGGGGCCGGCGCCCCACAGAATTTCCCACAGCGACCATCTCCACCCCATCGCGGAGACGGCAAACCCGGAGATGAGCGGGCCGAGTGCGGGTCCGCAGTATGCTGCCGCGACCCAGGCACTCAGCGCGAAAGGCAAGTAGAGCAAGGAGTAGATGTCTTGCATCGTGGCGCCTCCCGTGGCCAAACAAGGGCTCCCGAAGAAGCCCTGCAAGAAGCGAAGCACAAGCAGGCCTCCAAAGTTATGCACCAGGGGAAGCGGAATCGAGATGATCACAAACAGGAACATGGTAATGCAATACACCGGGGATCGCCCAATGGAGGGAACCTCCGACAAGGGCGAGAAGAACAGGGGCCCCACACCGTACCCTAACACATACAGCGACAGTCCCAGCGCAGACGCCGTTGTCGACACGCCGAATTCCTTGGAAATCCCTTCCTCCGACGAGACATAGATTGCCGACCCCGCATAGACAATGAAGGTGTACAAGAACATGGTGAACCCCACAAACGTTTTCTTCGATTGGGTCCAGTTCTGGGGGTTGGCGGGGTCGTCCGGCCCATACCAGTCCACCATCACGAAGTCCGGTGGGAGTGTGTCGGCCTCGCTTTTGTCATTCGAAAAAGGTGTATCCATCAGTTTCTCCGGGTCTTGCTCTGCGAGTTGGTCCTGGAAGATCGAGCTGCTATGTTCACTTTGTTGAGGTCGGAGGGCCTCTGGGGCTTTTACCCCAGGCACGCCGAGTCGTGCGAGACCTTGCAGGTAGTCGGGGGGGAACACAAAATCGGCCTCTTCTTCGGGATACTTGAAATACTTCTTCTTGGTCACCCATCGAATCACTTGCCCCAGTGGAGCATCTCGAATAAGACTGTTCATGGAGGATGGGGTTGCCAGAGATCACGTGAAAGAGATAGCCTCTGGGATGTCGCTCTGGAGGAGTGGTGATTCCAACCGGCAGCAGACCCTATCTGCGACCATCTTGAGCAGCTATATAGTCAGAGACCCGAGGAGGCTATTACTAGATGCAAACATTGCTCCCTAAGCAAGCCAGCGGGATTTGGTTGGGGTATTGGAAATCCATCTCCGGACATAAGCCCTACAGCCGCACCATGCTGACCCACCCCGGACCTGATCTGGATTGGCGGACCTTCATCGGTCTTATGCCCGGAGATACCGATCTCTGAAAGAGTAGAGCTGTCAAGCTGCAGTTGCGTGCTTGAGATCCAGCATGAGGTGGTGATGTCAGTGCCCAACCAGCGGTATGGCTTACTGATCGCCATCGGATCCCTTCCAGCGGGATCCGATGTTTTGTCATCAACTCCGCAGTGGAGGGACCGCCCAAACCCAACTTTTGACAGCGGAAAGAGAGATATCAGTAATCAACAGCGGCCATCTGGATGCCGATTGGGGCATGCTGTGCGTTCCCTGTCGGGTGTTTCGTATTCCCTGGTGAAGTGTCTGGGTCATGAGGCTGAGTGAAGTATCATGTAGCGGTAAGGAATCCGCAGAGACGAAAACATTCCCAATAGCATATCTCGAGCCAAGACAGAGCAGTCACATCCTGGAGGTCCGGGCACTCAACGAATCTGACCAAGATCTCAGTTCCATGAAACTCTGCTGGTAATGCATATACGGGAGAGATGCACGGACGCAAGACGGAGACACACGTGAAACTGGGCTTACGGCAAGTCCTATCATCGTATACATTGCAGAAAGCGGTGCTCAAAGTTTCAGACAGCATACAAAAAGTATAGATGACTGGCCGTCAGACATTTCATAGACCCGATGTACCCGACATGCTCAATCGATGAGGCTGATGTCGGCCAGCTGTCATGCAAGCCGCGTGGCCCGAGACCGACTTCGGGCAAAAGAGCTACGGTATCCTTCGGCTTCTTCTAGTTCTTCCGCCACGACAAAGGCGCACCAGATAACTGACGCGAAGGACATATATTTTACCATATGGTTCTCTGCCGGCGAGCCTTGCAAACATCGAGCGACAAAATGTAGAGGTCGACAGCTTTGCTCAGGGCTGGCAGATCCACAACACGTGACTCAGGCAGTAGCTTGACCAATCAGAAGCTGTGACTTGCAGCGTGTTTGCGAAGGCTCAGGCCTCCCATGACTGGATGACCAGCAAACGGAGAGACGATTTGATGCAGGCTCTGATACAAACACCCGACGAACAAAGCGGCAGATGAGTCGAAGTGCCGGAGACTTCCCATGGAATGGATCTGACAGATCCAGAACCCGATGGCCCTGCATAGAGGGTTGCGGACGAGCCACAAAACCGGTCTGTTCATAGTAAGCTAAGATATGTCACATGCGACAATAGTAACTAGTACGGAGTATCTCGCATTGGTGAATCTCACCGAAGCTGTAAATTCCACATGCGTCGCGCAGCCGGACCAGGATGGACTGCAGCGCAGGACACTATTTGGACATCTGTCGGCAATCATCTGGCGCTAGATCTTTTATTTGGTGACTAGCTGTCATCACGAAGCTCGAATGGCAAAGTTCGAGTCTAATGCACCATTTTCCCAGAATTTGGTTCTAAGTACGAGAGGTTGTACCTTCGTGGCAACCCGTTTGGAATGACGTGTTCATATGAAGAGGTGAATTCAAGCTCGGAGACTTGTTTGGTCATTTGGTGACAATACGTGTGGAAGAAGAAACGCGATGATGACATGAATTGATAATCAATGTTGTGAACAGTAGAGCACCGCATTGTACTTGAGTCATAAAGAGGCCGAGCCTGCCCGAAATTGAATTCAAAGCGCTTCAGCACGTTACTTGGCAAATGCAGAAGTCAGTGTAAGCTCCTGCAAAGTCCGTTGAGTACGATGAGAGGTACAGTGAAGCAGGAGAGAGAAACAGAAGACGAAATGGTAGACAAAACAAACAAATGAGTGAATGCTGAATACAAACGACCGGGTATGTTATAGTGTATCACGTACGCCACGTTAACTAGTATTGCCCGGATGTCCCAGGGGATACGACACCGGGAAGGGCTTAGGGCTTTACGCAAAATATGAGGCAAACCAGAAAAATGCTGGCAGATTTATCACCAGAGCATTCCGCACAGTCTCAGAGCATTTGTCGTTCTTTGGATCTGTTAGCGACAGTGACTGCTGTAAATCTGTCAGTGTTACTTATATCTCGAGTCACATGGTCTCTTTACTCGAGCGCAGAGATTTGCGCCCGAGTCAAACTGCTTCTTCACAACCCACCCTGCAGTGCCTTGACAGCCAACGCGGACGTCGTTCCACGATTCCCAACTACCTTCTTATCCGTTGGGAACAGATACATCATCGACGCCTCCCACCCGCCATCTTCCTGCTGCATACTTGCAAGCCGCTCCTTATCGGGATGATTCTCAATCCCCAGGAAATTGCACGCAAGCAGGCGCATACCCAGACAGAACGCATCGCCCTCGGCCCCCACGCGCTCAGCTACGCGTGCTCGAAGAAGCCCTTCCATCCTGTTTCGCAGACTCGGGTCCTTTGAATAACGCAACAGCCGAGCCGCGTAGTAGAGGACCCATTCGGGGCTCTGGTAATAGCGTGTACCATGCATATACGCTCTATGAAGCAGTATATTGTAGACCCAGTCGAGCATTTGAGGAAGCTCGTAGCCGCGATCGTACTTGTGGAATGCGACTAGCACACTAAGCGCGATGACTGCGTCGACGCGTGGTCGGAACCGGTCGGTGTACACCTAGAGCCACCGTCAGTGGAGAGTTTTGGCAAAAGTTATAGGCGCGGGGGGCCCTGGAGGGGTACATTACGTACCTGGATGAGTCCGTCCTCATTGACGTAATTCAGCATCTCATCGAGAATCGAGTGCGCGAGCTCGGGCTCATAGTCCAATACGGTCAGTGCGAGAGCCGTCGAGTCCATATCATCCGGGTAGATATGGCTTGTGTACTTTGGCTTGCCCGAGAAGAAGTTCCACAGCCGTGGAGGACGTTTTAGATCCACCAGGCTCCTATTGCGCTTCCTGTTAGAAATGTCCCCATGGACCACAGACGGGGCTCGGATTGACTTACTCGTCCCCGGTCGCCTCGAGGAGAAGAAGCTGCGCATAGTTTTCGTCAATGGTATCACCAGCTGAAGTAGTCGTAAACAGCCTCCCGGCATTTTGTCTCAAAAACGCAAGTCCGCGCTCGACGGGATTGCCAACGAAATTTTTCAGCTTCCGTGGTAGATCGTCGGTCCCCACAATGCCGCGCATTCCGAGAGACATCGCGGCCAGGACGTTCTCCGGCTGGTCGTCGATGAAAAGCGTCTTGTGCGGCGAGGCTCGTGTAGCCCGCAGTACATGCTGATAGAACCGAAGACTCGGCTTTTTCACACCCAGTTCCCACGAGGTGAATATATGATCGAATGTCTCCCAAAACGAAGAATCCCAGCGACGGCGTAGAGCTCGATATTCTGGTTCTGAGATGTTCGAAACGAGCACTATCTCTACCCCTGGGTTCTCGGTTTTGAGATTTCGGAAGACGGCGAGCATGTGCTTGTCGTATGTGAGAGTTTCGCGGAGGTCGGAAACCATGGCTCTAAAGTCCTTCTCGTGGAAACCAAAGAGGACTGAGACTTGTTGGAAGCAGTCGTCCTCTTCTAGCTTTCCTACCTCGTAGTCCATCCATATTGACGAGGAAAGGACTCTGCCTAGGCTGATTGTTGAGCCCGCCGTTGTTAATTTGTGGTTTAATGGTGGGTGCACGAAGATACCGCCCAAATCTACTAAAATGGTTGTCTTGTTGGACTTTAGGCCATTGGTGACAGTCATCCTGGATGTTGAGTTAGGGTTAGGCTGGAAACAGTAGAGAGCAGCTGGTAGACGGGGTATAGGATTCAAGTAACGAAGAGTAGCAGAGGGTCTCGTTTTGAATAGGTAATACTCAGCTTTCTTATATTTGCAGACAAGGATCCACAGAAGCCCGCATTTCTGGATTGCACTCGGTTTGTGAGCGCAGCATCCGTTCCAGCCATCTGGTAAAATTGCCGTTGTATGGGGATCTATCCCGTCTTTCGACATGTTTTCAGCAGAAGAATGGCAGATGCTCCCTTCCAAATTGAGAATATAGGCTCCACCTGAGCTCTCCACCAGCACTACCAGTGGCTAGTCACCTGCATGACAATCTGCAGTGGGGCTCACCGACACAGCGGGATTATAGCCAAGCAAGACATCAAGGTGGTGTCGGCGCTGGTATCGGTGGCCCGAGTGACATTAGAGTTCAATAAATCCAGTTAGTCGGATTCCAACGATGCAGAGGCATGGATTCCTCGACCTCACGTGACATGGCATGGCGATCTGACCATCTCTATTTGCCAGGGTCTGACTCGCTAGGAGTATCTGCAGGCATACATAAGCTCGATCCGGACTCAAAAGACTCCGCCGCAAGCAGAGCAAGCAACGTCGTCATCTGCAATGATCTGCGCCAGATCTGCCAGCATGAGTTGAAGTGGCTCCACCGTTTCCTTCGCCGATCAAGTTCGACTCCACTTAGGAATTGACAACTCGTCCCGAGGGAGTGTATTGCCCCACTGTTTTCCCGCGCTTCTTAAGAGGCATGTCGTGTAGCTGGCCATTTTCCAATTATGGATTCCTGGAGTACTCCTCCATCCCCTTCCGGTTACACTAAATGTGTACCTATGGTGCAGTGACACACACCGACGAGCACGCGAGACTCACTTCACGCCACGAACAGTGTGACATTCAAATACCCAAATGCACCACCGACTCAAGTCCGCCTCGTCGAAGCTTTTCTTCTGCTGACCCTGAAATTGGCACAAACGAGGTTGTCCTCCGAGAACGGTGTAACATCGTCCCGTCCTTACACACCTGAAAAGTGGCTTGAAAATGGCGCGAAACGTCCAGACGACCCTAAACTTCATCCCAGCAGACCTCCCCGTGTGTTGCATGACGGGTACCTCCGACTTCTACACTTACGCCAGCGACGTCCGACCCGTCACGATCCACGATGCTCGCGGACATGAGGATCAATTGACCCTGGAGAGAAATGGATTCGAGTACATCACCTACCCGAGTGCACATATCCCAATCACGGATCCGGCGCGGATAAAATCAGTTTTGTATGCAGAGGTAGGGGAGCTTTTAAGGACCGCGTACGTTTTCCCCTTTGTATTCCAAATGCCAACACTCAAGAGGGCGGGAGCAAGTACGGGGAAGAAATACAGAGATACTGATATTTTTCTCCATACATAAAGCCTCTCTCCCCCGCCAACGTTCGTAAAAGTAGCCTCGCACACAATCCGCTCCGCCGCCTCAGACTTGAACAGTGAGTACACGGGGACACCGGGCCCTGCGCGTACCGCACATCTAGATCAGACACCCTCGGGCGCCAGGAACTACCTCTATGAGAAACTTCCCGAGCACGACGCGGAAAGACTCTCACGGTCGCGCTGGGCGATTATCAACGTCTGGCGACCACTTAAGACAATCCGACGGGATCCACTGGCGGTTTGTGATGGGAGTACTCTAGGGCCAAGGGATCTGGTTCCGATCTCGATGGATTATTCGAAGAATGCGCGGGCGAAAGCACTGCAGAAGCAGGCAGTAGACGGAGGGGAAAAGAAAGGGTTGAAGACGACGGTGGGTTGGGAGATTGCGATGGCGACGTATAATCCGGGGCAGCGGTGGTATTACTTATCCGGCATGGGCGTTGAGGAGGCCCTTATGATGAGGATTTATGATTCGAGTCTGGTGGGGGGGTGGGATGAGGGCCGCGTCCCTGTCGCCGTGCATGCATCGTTTGTTGATCCTGAGCACAAGGATGATGAGGTGAGGGAGAGTATCGAGTTTCGGTGCTTGGTATTCTGGGAGGATAGTCCTGCAAGTTTCACTGTTCCCTAGTTCCGGGGCAGGGCCAGATGCGTATCTGATTATTGGGACTGCTTGCTGCAATATTAAGAAGACTAGCTACTGCACCAATGATGCTATATCGAACGAAATGTGCCCCATCAAACAAACCATCGTCCAGAAGAGACCTGATTAGAAGCTGGTCGCCGGTATAAGCAGTCCACTAAAGCGGCGTCCGTCCATTTTCGTCCGACGTGTTGCGATCGGCGATGATCATAGTCAGGAACTGGTAGACTCGTAGTAAATTCTTCTTATCGACTATATATCACAGAGAAGTTAACTGATTTGCTGCCTCACTGATCCTTTTTAGAATGAATTTCCATGTTTCTCCTTTTTAATAGATAATCTACTTAGTTAAAATCCTGGGGAATTATATTCTACAATACTATACAGTCTTGTCTATTCTTATATCAGTAGACAGCTTACTACTCTTATATACCCGGAATCCGCTACGAGCTAGAGGGCAGTTGACAGGTAACAGTTCCGGGCATGCACACCGACATGGCTATCAGCAAGGAGGAGATTCATGATTTGCACGTCTATATTTTCTGCTGCGCAGTGAAGGGCGCTGCATTCACAATGATCTGACGCACGCGGTCAATTATCTGAGTTTCGCAGCAGGACTCTGACGATCTCCACATGTCCTCGAGCGCTGGTACAAAGCAGTGGTGTCTGAAGATTCTCTGCTGTGATGTTCGGATCTGCTCGTTCGTGAGCAAGGATGACCTTGACTATCTCGGTTTTGTTGCAGATGGCCGCTACTTAGTCAGGGGTTTGCTCTCTGTGTCTATCCCCGGTTGGAGAGGCGGCCGCTGGCCAATCGCCGAGCCCTTTTGGGCTGTGCTATCCCACGCAACCTTCTAACCCTGATATCAAATTGACTCAGGTCGAGCTCACTCCGCGACAGCCCGACTGAGACGGAGATTCTGAAGCTAATCCGTTATAGCTCTGCTAGCTTCCTCGCATCTGATGTCTACCAACTTGAGTTCGTCTGTCTTTAGTCAACCGACGGGGATGACAGAGCTTCCATCGACAGGGACGGACCTCGTCTGCTCTCGCCACTGACCGCTGCCGGGGACGTCTTCCTCTACATATCTGCGGCCCTGTAACAGAAAGGTATCCATTGGCTGGAGATTCGATTATCCGTTACGCTCAAGTACACAGATAAAGCTGTGACCTCGACGCGAGTCTGCTCTCAAGGACCTATCTAGTTATTTTTGATGCTTAGAGAATGTTACCGTATTATCAGACGGATCTTGCTACAAGATGATATCTGGATCGCACGGGCTTTGCGGCGTTTGTAATTGGAGCGGAGCCTAGAGGGAGTGCGTCTGTCGCAGAGGGAGCATTCCAACCATTCAAAAGCTGAGCGATCTGACTCCGGTGTCCCTATCCAATCCAGCGGGCTCACTGTGTCCATGGTTTGTACTTTAGGGAGCAGGGGAATATTTGAAATCTGGATCTTTGTGTTACCATGAGCGCAGCACCAATTGCTTTGCACCGTTTCCGCCCATGAGATCATGCCGAGCACATCGACGAATGCCCTGCTCACTAGGTTTCCCCGAGGTTATAAGTACAGTGGCGTTTCTATTGCTCTCGAAGATCGATTACAACATACACCATCTCACAAACCCTGAACAAGATCTTTCTTGACCATCCACAACATGCCTAATCCCATGACGAAGTCGGATAGCTCTAGAATTCAGTCCACCCAGGTAAGACTAGGTATCTCTTTCACCAAGCTTCTCATCCGTCTCAACGTCCTACAGGCTAGAAGCGGGGGTAACATGAGCTCGGGCGGATTCGCAGCTCGAGCTCAGGGTGCTGCCGATCGTCATGCCAGCGCTGCCAGCGCCCAGACTGGCGCAACCCATGCCTCTTCGACCTCAACCCATTCAGGAGCCACTGGCTCCGGTGGCTCTCAGCAGCCGGGTGCCACAAAGAGATAAAAGGGGTGTAGCATCGATGGAAATCATGAAATTTGAACTGCCGTGCATTGTGCTGGCCTGATACTATTGGTTACGTGCTTGTTTGTCTTCCAGGGCTGACGTTGCTATCGGTGTATTTTGAGATTGTGGAGCACAAGCCCTTTTTTCTGTTTTGAAGCCGTATCCCACCAGACATCACAATGATATGCTGATAGTACGCATCTATTATCTTTCTCTTTCTATTGACTTATTGACAATGCTTGGAGAATGACAAATCTGGCATTTTTAGATTAGTAATGCCTTATCAATCGGCGCCAGCCAAGCCCACAAGGCTGACCGATAGGTGGATAACAATGAAGCAGCAAAAGCAGTCGAAAGTAGGCTTGATCGTGTATCTATACAGAAAATATAAGATCTGATGCAGTAACTGACGCAATGAAGCATTCACATCATCACCATTCAAGAATATGTCCCACAACATCCTCATCACCGGTGCCTCCGGCTATCTTGGCGGCACCATCCTCGCCCGCTGGACAAGGGCCAACCTGCCACCCTACAACAAGCTGTACGCCCTTGTTAAGACGCAAGCGCAAGGCGAGAAAGTCAAACAGTATGGAGCGGAACCACTGATTGCGGACATCAACGACCATGACACCATCACCGGATTGATCGTCGACAACGCCATCACCATCATCTACTTCCTCATCGACGCCTTCACGGGCAAGCACCAGCCCACACTGATCAAGGCCTTGGGGGTAGTCCGCCAACAGACAAGTCGAGACGTGCATTTTTTGCACACGACAGGCGCAAAGCTTTTCAGTCGACACGCAGGGATCCCGACCGATCGGCCCTTGCTGGATACCGATCCTGACCTGTATGAGATTGTGAGAAAGGCGACACCACCGCATGAATTCATCATTGAGGTGGGCAGACCATGAGTGACATATATGCTGAATAGTACATTAACCCTCAGTACAGCCGGCCAACGCCAATCTGAATGTGATCGACCTTTCCGAGGCCCATGGAGTGCGAAGCTACATCTTTGCGCCCTGTCTGGTGTACGGAAAGGGCGAAGGGTTTGACAACCAGATCTCCATCCAGGACGTCGACATTGTGCGGGCTGCGAGGAGATTGAGGCGTGTTTACCGCGTGGACACGGACTATCCGGTACGGGGCGCCAGATGCTAGAATCTATGAAAGGAAATGCTACTAACAGGATCGTTAGAGCTGGCCAGTCAGCCACGTCGCTGATACAGCAGACCTATACCTCCAGATCCTGCGCAAAATTTTATCAGGCGATGAGATCGGCTGCGGAAAGAAGGGCTTTTTCCTCGCCGCCTCCGGCAATCTGCCCTGGAACGATGTCTACGACGCCATTGCCAGAGCATTAGCCAAGCGCAGTGTCATCGACGATGAGCTCGTTCTGGATGCTAGTGAGCCAGTACTGGCTCGCATGGGGGAGGCACTGGGGGTGGCCCCGTCTGCTGTGCCGGTTGTCTTGGGCGGAAAGTATGTGACACTGTTATGTTTTCCTGCTATTATGTTGATGCACGCTGACAACTTGATCGTAGTTGCTCGTTCACGGCTGTGCATGGCGGCCAGATTGGCTGGATGCCCAAATACCCCCCCGAGCATTTCTTGGAGATTGCGGATGAGGAGGTGGAGCTGATCTTACGCCACCTGGGTGATTAGAGCTGTGTTTTAAGCTTTGGAAGATTGCAGACCCCAATGTCACCAATTATAGGAAATGAAGAAGCGTAGACATAAAGAGCTACTTTATTTCTTTGCCTGCTGTACTCAGTCCACTCTCCATTTGTTCTTCCTCGCAGTACCTACCAGCGTTATATAGGCGATGGAGTCCGCGCAAAGGCCGGCCTGAGCTTTCTCTGGATATTGACTCGTTTTATTGGGTCGGCATGGTTTGGATATAACTTGCATAATTGCACTGAGGCTGAATGTCAGCTGAAGCGCGAATCACAGGTGGAAGGAACCACTGCAATATGATTCAGCCATACAAGGATGTCTGTGACTCTAAATAGGAAATAAAATCATAGCTGGGCTATGCATTATAGTGTAGAAAGGGGCAGCGCGGTGAATGTAGAAGCTTCTCACTGAGGGCTACATACTGGATGCCGTCAGGTCCGGAAAGAACATGGAGTGGTCATGGGACACCTACTGTGGGTGGCCGTCTATGAATGATACAGAAGGCCGAATGGAGAACATCTCTTACTCCAGATGCGCTGTCATATGCCACGTCATCTCATGCCAAATGGCGTCTGGAACATGAACGTCACCCCGAATGGCAGGTTCTTCTTGCTCATTGTTCCACCCAATTGTTGAGTGCAACGCACGTGTTCAGTACATACTTCAGTTGTTTCAAGTCTCCATTCAAGTGGCACAGGTCCATGCTGACGTCTCCTTGGGTGTCCAGCATGTTCCGCAGCTTACGGAGAGTTGTTGAAAGGTAGTCGTCAGCAAAGAAGCAATGAAGCCAAAATGATCTCTAAGCTCCCGCAACTTATAACCCCAATTCGCTCCCTTGTGTCCCGATCAGCGTTGCATTATTCTGATACCCCAGCGGTAAAGCGGTAGCTCAATGCCGTTCTCCGTAGAGATAAAGCGCACATGCTGAACCACTCACGGAAACAATTTCGTTGTCTTATCAAAGATTCTAGATGACACGAAAGTTGTTCAATCTCTCTGCAGGTTGAGGGGGTTGCAACTTTGCGTTGTGTGGAGGGATAGTATGCTCAACTTGGGCGATCGAACCATAGTTGATTGGTCCTCAGAGTATGGAGAGGTAGAATTTGCATCTTGATGCCATCACGACTGTCAGAGACTAAGAGTGCGGGAGCTCAAAGGGTTGTTCTAGGCTATTTGAAGCTTGCTTCTTGTTATAGCTGATTCTTCATCAGGATCTATGGAGTAGGTATACATAGATGCGATAAAGTGCCCGCCGGTCTCGGCAAGAAGACAACTTCTAAGGCGATTAGTCATCTCGACCCCACAACTTCACGGCACCGGCAAATCCTCCACCCCAGACTCAGAATTTCTGTCAAGTTGTCAACCGATCTACAACCATCTACACTACAACTCCCCCCTCCTTTTCCTTCATCTCCAATACTCCGATCGTCATGGCAAAATCCAAGTCCGCGAAGCGCAAGCGCAATGCTCAGATTGACCTGCCACAAAAACTTCCCAAGTCCACCGCAATCCTCACCCCACCGCCGGATGGCACCCCTCTGGAACCCAAAAACCTGCAGACCGTTGTCTCAGATGAGGAGCTGGACATTACCATCGAAACGCTCACCACCCTAACGCAGTATCCGAATTTGACCAAGTCGAAAGCATGCAAGGATCTTCGGGTTGCAGTCTATGACTTCCGTCAGGCCTGTACGACAGGTGTAAACCATGCTGGTCCGTTTAGCTATCTCTCATATTGCGCTTTGCCACTGACCCATATTCGATAGAGGGCGCGAATCTGACAGCACGCATCACTGGCGCTCTGGCCGACGGAAAATACATCGACGCCAAAGTTCTACTCGCCGAGATGAGAATCAGGGGGGAACAACCGAAGATTGGGGCTCTGTGTCGCTGGGTGAGGGATTTGGATGTCGTCAGCGGCCTGTCAACGCAGCCCGGCAAGGAAACCTCTGTTGAGCGCAGCGCCAGAGACTTGGAACTGCTGGGCGTTCTTGATGCTGTCCTGCGCGTCAGTACTCCCATTGATCTGAGCCCGGAAGCTGTTCCGTCCACCTCTCCAATTGCCTTCCAAACCATCTGGGATCTGCGACCGTCGAACCCACCACTGGAGGTTTACGCCTCCGTCCTAGACAAGTCTATCTTAGCATCGGCTCCGACCTGCCCTTCGGCTCTGCGAGTCATCGAAACAACCCCCGGTCCCTTGCGCAAGCCTCCCAATCACCACCCCGCCATCCTCTATACCACCGCACCCAACGCGGTTCCGCTCTCGTCCACCCCACCAGCCACTAAATACCACCCCCACCCTTTCGTCCCCGGCTTAGGTCTCGCGCTCGACGTCCTCTCCCCGGCGGAGTGCAAATCCATCATTGCCGCCGGCGAATCGGTCGGCTTCCTTCCCGACGCGCCCCTCCGCGAAGACGGCGACATGAGCATCTTGGCCCACAACTTCTACTGGGTCGTCGACCCAACATTCCACGACCTGCTGTGGGCCCGCATTGCCCCGCACGTACCACCAGTCATCAACGGGTGCCAGGCGCGGGGTCTCAACCGCCGTTTCCGCGTTTATCGATACGTCCCGGGGGCCGAGTACAGATGCCACATCGATGGGGCGTGGCCGCCATCGGGCATCACGGCGGACGACAAATACGTTTATGACGCCTCGCCCGAGGACAACCGGCAGAGTTCCATGTACACATTCCTTCTCTATTTGAACGATGAGTTCGAGGGCGGGGAGACGACCTTTTTCCTGCCTGCGGCGAGGGAAGGGACGCTTAACGCGTATCCCGTCCGGCCCGTGATGGGGGCGGTTGCCTTGTTTCCGCATGGGGAGTCGAACGGAGCGTTGTTGCACGAGGGAACGGGGGTAAGAAAGGGGGCCAAGTATATCATTAGAAGTGATGTAGAATACGATGTTAAGCCCATGCAGACGTGAAGATGACATTCACGCGTGGGTGACAATCTCGCCCACACTCCCTTCCTACCCTTTTGAAGTTCGGGTGGATGTGCAAGGCGAAGTGCTGTTAGCGAATTAACATCGGCTATCCATCAATCTAGAGTTGATTCACCAATCATCTAGCTCGGGGCACCAGGGATAATCCAAAAAACAGGCATGAGAGCTTTGACACCAGTGGTGCTACCTGCTTTGGTCAGAGAGAAGAATGGTGACTTCTCGAATGGTGACTTCTCGAATGGTGACTTCTCGGTGGGGAGGTATATCGGTTGCTTTGCACGCATTTCCACCACTCGCCATGTGATCAGACGATCTTATCGGCCCCGGTTCTTGGGAGAGCGGCACTCGATCGAGCGATGGATGTGCCGAGGCCATCTTCCAGACCCGGGCCCCAATCGGGACCCCGACTTCGAATCTCACCCCTATATAATACAACAATGAATTCCGCTTTTCAGCTCACCCTACAACCATCTCTATCCCTTGCATTCCCCCACAAACAGAGCACCATGCACGGTCACAACCCCCTATCGGACAAATCTCTCTTTCGCTCGCCGCGCCTTTTCTACCGCGCCGTTGAAGATAACGAGGAGGACCGCGCCTTCCTCCAGCACCAAATCCTCAACGACCCCACCATCCAAACCGTCAGCACCATGCGTTTGAAGTGTCCGCTTCCATCCGGATCGGCCACCGAGTTCATCAAGGCCCTCCAAACCAGCATCCTCGGCGTGATGATCTGTCTTCCCCCTGTCAGTGACGGCGATGAAACTGCAGGAACGCCGCCCGACGTTCACGACGCTATCAGCACGATCAGCACCACCACACCGCAACCCAGGACGGACCCGAACAAAAAACCAACTCCGATCGGCCACCTCGGCTTCTTCAATCCATGGGGTTCGAACCTCCATCATCACCGGAACGCCATGCTGGGGATCTCTCTGGCGGAGGGATACCGGGGGCGGGGGTACGGTGCCGAGGCGGTCAATTGGGCGCTGGACTGGGCGTTTGTGCATGCCGGGCTGCATCGCGTGAGTCTGGGGGCGTTTGCATTCAACGAAACTGCGGTGAAGTTGTATCGGCGCTTGGGTTTTGTGGAGGAGGGTCGCGAGCGGCTGGCGCTGTTGTATCGAAGGAGGTGGCATGACGTTATCAATTTCTCGATGTTAGAGGAGGAGTGGATGGCGTTGAGAGGGATGGAGTGAAAGTCGTTAGATCTAGAAACCGAGGGAGAAAGAGAGGAAGTTCTTGTCCTTCTAGACGGTGAATGATAGGATGATTTCGGAACAGAGGTTCGATGTTTTGGCTTGCTGCCCTTGTATCATGTAGCATCTGATAAGTTTGTCTTGCGTGACCTCTATCCACCTACCACCATCCTGCAGCTATGTATATGTACAGTACAGAACCTCAACCATCAACCCTCTCACTCCTCCTCCTCCTCCTCCTCCTCACAGCGCAGTGCTCAAATCCACCAAACTGGCCGTAACCTCATTGCTTTCGCCATCCAGCACCCCACCCCCAGCGATCAGCAGATACCGCCCATTGTCCTCGCTCAGCACCCGCAGATCCCGCGTGTAGCTGACGCTCTCCGGGGTGGCGATCTCCGTCCACTCGCCCTGGCCGAGGTTCTGGTTGATGAAGACCGTGCTCTGGGTGCCGCTGCTGGCGATGATGGTACCGTGGGCGCCGCCGTAGGGGCTCCAGACCACGTACGGCGAGGAGGTGGGCATCGTGCCGCTCGAGACAACCAGCCGCTGGCCCTCGGCGGCGGCGATCTTCTCCGGGTCGCTGGCGATACGGAAGTACAACGGGAAGCTGTAGGTCGAGGTGTTGAAGAAGGAGCCGTACTCGTAGATGTAGATGTAGTCTTTGTTCGGGAGCTGGATTTGTGTGTGAGTTTGGGCTGGCTGGCCGGGGTATGTGTCAGGCCCCCATGGGGGGGCAGGGGGATGCGGTGGTTGCTTACCTGGGCAAGGACGGGCATGCCGGGTCGGTCGGTGTAGGTTGGATATGCGCTTTTCGTCCTCCGTCAGCTCTATCTGTATCGCTGGAGGGATGGTAGCAGGAATACGTACACGTCGTTCACGACAGGCCCCCAGGTCTTCAAGTCGGTGGTGACTTGATGCACGAGCTTCTGGCCGTAGGTCGCGTTGTCGCGCTGGTCGGAGTAGTAGCAGATGAGCTTTCCCTGGCTGGAGGTTGTTAATCTAGCCTTGCAAATCTAGCCATCCCTATCAATGGTCGGATGGAAAACGTACTGCACCAGCAAGAAAGGCTCCCACACCGGGGTCAGTCCGTTGTCCGGCAATGCCTCGCCTCCCTTGGCGATCTCCGACACAAACTCCCAGCTCACGCCGAGATCGCGCGAGGCATACAGATCGATCTCCGTGGTGGAGAGGTCCGCGGGGATGCTGTTGCCGGCCAGGAGGATGGTGCCCGCCGGGTAGTCGCCGAGCTTCTCGTCCAGGTAGTAGAGGAAAGGCTGGTAGCGCAGCCCGACCTTGTTGTGCGTGTCTTCGACCCGCGAGATCTCCTTCCACGTGGCCCCGTGGTCGGTGCTCTGGTAGATGGGGAAGTAGACGAGCCCGTCAGTGTCCCCGGAGTAGTTCTCCCATGTGGAGAGCAGGACCCCCGAGGGCAGCTCGAGGGTGCGGGCGTAGAGCGTGCGCGGGATGGTGTAGTTGGCGGGCGGGTCGAAGATCACCGTCTCGCTGTAGGTGGTGATGGCGCTGGACGTGGACTTGGGTAGTGGGTTCGCCGTCGTCAAGGGGGAGAAGAGCAGGGGAAATAACACCGAGGTGAGGCCGGTGAGCTTCATTTTGGCTTGAGGGAAGTGTTGCTTCGGTCTCAATTGACTCGAGCACTTGATGGACGAGTACTCCGCATTTGCGGGGGAATACTTATAGTCGTCGTCCGGACTGGGGGAGGGGGGAAAAGTTGCGGGGGTGCACTGCATTATCCCGCCGGAGTTGTTGGTTGCTTTAGGGCTAATCGCCTCTGGTTATCCCCTTTGGGAGATTTTCCGTCAATCGGGAGGGGAAGCCTCCACCACATGGGCTCTGCAGGCGTATTTCCTTGCAAAGTCGGAGAATGGATGCTGTACGTCATGCTGCTCTTAGTGTGCAGTTATCCCTGCCTAACTTAGCGGAATTAATATCGAGCTGTCTTGCAAGGTACGACTGAATCGACGATGCCGATGGCGCCATGAGTGAAGGAATCATTACATACAGCACAACCCCGCAAAACTGTTGGGCTTGGCATTTGGACAGGTTCTCTGGGCACCTGGCCACAACTTGACCTCGGATATTCCGCAAGCTGGTGGGCTGATTGTGTCAGCTACCCAGGTGCCAAATGGAGAAATGTTGCCTGAGCGCTACGTGCGAGGCATGAGCGCAAGCGTATCGGGTCAACACTTGTCGCTTATCGTACCTGACGATCATCACATAATGTGTCTTCCTGCCTTGGTCTACCTATAGATGCGAACCCATGTTGCAGCACAGGAAGAACGCAGAAGTGCATCAATTAACGTCTTGGATCACCTGCTATCGGCTTTCCATTCATAGGCATCTGGGTTCGTCTTCGCCATACCAAGCCGACGGATTACCGGAACTGAGACATCCAATCTAGCTGCCTAGCAACCCCAGAATACAGTTCCTTTGTCTTGGCGCTTGACACACATGGCTTGGTCTTGACATGGCTAGATCTATTCGGATGCTACGAGACCATAATCGACTGGCAAAACTTGGTCGAGAATCTTGATATGCAAGGCCTTATCGAATGTTAGGGCTAAGAGTTACGTTCGTGTTGCCGACTCGGTCGTGCACCCGTATGGCACCCAAAGTCCGGAAATCGCTGACCCAACTGTCAAACTTCTCGAGTTCAGAGCTAGCACATTCCGAATGCTCTTCGTTGATCAGTGCTGTCTGAAGTCACTAGCGATTCAACTACAATTGCCGCATCATGGGAAAGAGAGTGCTCTTCCGACGAAGCGTGTCGTCGTGTAACGCAGAGAGCTTCTAGTCTACAGGGGCATTGTGCTTTCTCTGAGACAGTAACTTTCCAAGAGTCAATTCCTGCCCGTCATCACTTACTCTCCACACAATAATCCAAGTAACTGTTTTGGAATTGCAATGCGACTCGATATCGTATTCTGGCTCGCTGTCACGTGAACATAGGCACAGCGTCTGAGTCACATGCTATCATTGGAGCCCTAATAGTTTGAGGGCAACAAACCATATGACATATGACAAGTAGAATTACGAAGTACTGGCACTATGCTAGCTTCCTTCAGATACCTCTCTAAACTTGAGCCGTCTGTCCGGCTGGCTGACAACAGAGAGTCTTTGTGAGCAGCGTGGCTGAGCAACCCACCGCTACTTTTTCTTCGACCATGATCGCTTCTGCTCTTCGGTAGAAGCAGGATGACTCGATAGTGGTTGCCTACTGATTTAGTCACGAAATGCATCACAACTCATACACTGGAAGTTGTGTGGCTGACATCAGACGATTTTGTGGCTAACGTCAGCCATACTAGAGCGGCCTCTGATTGGCTGGAGTTAGCTATAGTCCGGAGCTTCAGTTTTGAGATAAATACCAGACCGCTTGCTCGAATTTCTGCAAGAAAGGCATAAGAACGGAACAATATCTCCTGATCGTTTTATTAGAGCCAGCTTAGCACATACCAACTCTGATAGCCTGTCGTGCGCTAAGCATAGTCTCCCCGCAAGAATGGTAACCCTCCAAACCATCCAAGCGCACAACGCAACCCTCAAAGCCCTACCTCCAAGCCTCGTGGCCGTCTTCGGTACTCCTCCTCTCCCCCTTCCCCTCTTCCCCCTGAATATCAACTATACTAAACCCCCGAATAGTAGGCGGCACATCCGGCATCTCCCTCTCCACCGCGCGGAGTCTAGCGCGCCACACCACCGCCCCGAAAATCTACCTCATCGGCCGCAGCCAACCCGCCGCCGACCGCGCCATCGCCGAGCTGAAATCCATCAACCCGGCCGCCCAACCCACCTTCCTGCAAGCCGACATCTCCTTACTCCACAATGTCGACCGCGTCTGCGCCGAGATCACCGCCCGCGAGTCCCGCCTGAATCTCCTCTTCATGACGCCCGGGCACATGACCCTCAAGGGACGGGTGGAGACAGCCGAGGGGCTGGATCGGAAGCTGTCCCTGCATTATTATGCGCGCATGCGGTTTGTGCTGAGGTTGATGCCGTTGCTTGCTGCTGCTGCTGCTGCTACTGCTGCACCGTCTTCGGTTTCTGCCCCGGGAAGTGCAGGTGCAGGTGGCCTCTCGCGGGTGGTTTCCGTGCTGGATCCGCAGGTCGCGGTGCGTGCCGGCGGCGCAGGCAAGCTAGATTACAACGACCTGAGTCTCAAAGACACGTTTAGTTTGAAGAAATGCGGGCATCATGCGAGCTTGATGGGGAATTTTTTCCTCGAGGGGCTGGCGACGCGGTACCCTCACACTTCGTTTGTGCATGCGTATCCGTCGGGGGTGGCGACGGGGTTGATGCGCGAGATGCCTGGTGGGGAGGGGTGGTGGACGTCGATCTTGCTCAAGGTGTTGGCGCCTTTTATGGTGCCGCTGGAGGAGAGTGGCGAGCGGCATTTGTTTGCGGCGACGAGTGCGCGGTATCCTCCGCGTGGGGAGCGGAGGGGTGAGCCTGGCGAGGTGGTGGTGGGGAGTGATGAGGTCAAGGGGGGTGGTTCGTACTGGTTGAACAGGGATGGGGAGGCGTTTCTCCCGAACAGGAAGATGGATGGGACGCGAGAGGAGGGCGCTGTGGAGAAGGTGTGGGCTCATACGCAGGCGGTGTTCCGAAGAATCTGCGAGGAGGGGAGGAGGTATCCATGAGTGTTCGTTGTCCAGTACCATTCAGTGGGGGGGCGGGTTAGGGCTTCGATGCTAGTACTACATAATAGTTAAGCTTCTGGTGATAAGCCCTGCCTGGACGTCTACCTGGTCCAGTATGTGCGCACCGGAAAAAAGAATATCGATCAGGCAACAATGAATACCAAACACGACAATAAAACTACCGGACGAGAATCAGACAGGACAAATGCTACATCTTCCCCCCACTAGCAAGGCTCACAATGTTCCGCCATTCGAGTTCGTCTGGCGTGTCCGCATGAATGGACAGTTTGATATCCACCGCGTTCCGCAGCTTCTCCTTGGTGGTCGCATACAACATGCAAAGCTACGAGCATGGTCAACGCCTAGCATAGATTCTCAGAGAGAGGGTGCGATAGCTCACCTTGAGGGCTGTCTCTTGTGGAACCCAGCTAATGAAGACCAGCCGGGATCGCTTGCCATCCTCCCCCAGATCATATTCCACATCGTACGCCGCAAAGCGCGGCATCGGCTTCCCGTTGCTGTCGACTGCGCCACAGAGAGACTGGAGGAACGTCTCGTAATCCGGTTCAGTGGATGTTTCGCATAGCTCTACAGTGGTTTCGTCGTCGGAGATCTTGTAAATCACGAATCGTGGCTTGTTGGGTCCCCGGCCGAAGCGGAGGGATCTGGACGCCGAGATGGCCTCGTCCGAGATTGCAACACTATGCAGATCAGATACATTGTTTCACTTTGCAAGAATGGTGCCAGGAACTGGGGTGGAGTTCGGACGGAAGGGCATACCCGGAAGGCATCTGGGATTGGGAGGTTCTCGATTATTATCCTGTTGTCAGAACCCTCTGATAGTAATCGTGATGTACTCACCGACATATTGTCCTAGAAATTTCGTTGTAGGAAAATGCCGTTGAAGATGTCGCATGTAGTCTTCACAGAGAGCAGAAATGACTCTGGCTACTTATATCAAGTTCCCGGCTAGGCAGCTTTATATCGAGATGGTACACGAGTGCCGCGCGTTGGTAGGCAACAACAACCTTCAAACTTCATCGTGAATATTGAATTTCTAGTTTTGCGACAGATTGTAGTTGCCTGAATCATTAGCACACCCAGTTTATCATCTGCCGAACATTACATGTCATCAGATTCCGTGCTGAGAGGGGCTCGTAGACAGCGGCAATTACCGAGAGCCGCATACGCAACACCTTGAAGAGCAGGCGCCATCGATAGACACAATCCAGAGCATGACGAGAATAAATCTAATAGCTTGAGATGTATTTCTCTGGGTAGAAACAATAACGTTTCTGCCTTGACCCTACGTCCCAGCAGCAACGGTATAATCAATCCCTTCTACCGACTTCATGCAACACCAGCCGTATAAACATCCCACACCAGAACCACCTCACCCCTTCACCTCTCCATTCACCTCCTCCATCCCAACCCCCAACCCAAACATAGCAACACTATTCCTCCACGCCGCCTCAGCAACAACCTCGACCTCCACTCCCTTCAACCCCGCCACTACCCTCGCCACGCGCTCCATCGCACAACTCTCATTTCGCCCCTTCACCATCAACCCCTCGACAAACCGGTTACTCTTCCTCGCAGCCGGCAACGGCTTGGCTCCCTCCAGAAATTGCCGGGTGTGCTCATCCTCCACCACCTCACACCACGGCGCATCCGTCTCCAACTGCAACACTTCCAATGGCACCTCTCGGACCATCTCCCTGCCCTCCTCCGTCCGGAAGCTCACCCCATTGACACTCACCCCGAACCCCAACCCGACCAGCAAGCGCATCTCCGCCGCCGAGCCCGCAAACGAATGTACCAGCCCCTTTCGGGTCTGTGGCAACCGGCCCAAATAGGGCCGTAGGATATCCACGACATCCGCGCACGCCCCCTCGCCCCGCACGTGCAGGAATAGCGGGAGCTGCAAGTCTACGGCGATGTCGAGCTGCGCGCGGAATGCACGCTGCTGGGTGGCTTTGTTGGCGCGGTCGAGGTAGACGTAATCCAGTCCGATCTCGCCAAAGGCGACGAGTGGGGTGGGTTGGAGGGTGAGGAGGGAGTGGCCCAGGTCGCGCAGACGCATGAGGTAGTCGGTTCCTGGTTCGGCTTCTGGTTGTGTTTCTGCTTCTGAGGTGTAGATTTCAGAAACATGATACGGATGCACGCCGAGTGTCATGCTGCAGATGGTGGGGTATTCCTGCGTGATGGCGAGGTTCTGGTGCGCGCCGGCAAGGGTCATGGTTGTGAGGAGCATCTTCTCGCAGTTGTGCGCGAGGGCGCGCTCAACGACGTGTGGCCAGTCCGGTGCATGGTGCTGTTTGCCGCCTCGGTAGATGCCGTGGAATTGGTCGGCAGTGTAGGTCACTGCTACCTGTTTTGCTTGTCAATTGCTGAGCTGGTTGAGGAGGGACAGGGGGTTACATCTGCAAATCGCATTCTGCGCGGTGGTCTTCGGTAAGCTAGAAAGATGATTCCGGTTGTTGGTAGAAGTTAGGTTTGGTCTAGTGGTGCGATGGAACCTCCCCTTGCGGTGGTGCTGGGACGCATGTAGTGTGGGGTGTAGGTTAGGGACTCAAAATATGAACATTTGCTGGGGATTTTTCTCGCACAGTCTTATCGATAACCGGCTTCTCCAGGGCCCAGGGTCTTTAGTATTCGCTGGAATGGCGTGTTCACTCCACTTGGCTATGCTGCTTTCTGCTCCGTGCCCACTTTTTGGTTTCCGTTGCGTCCCCACTCGGGTATTGAGACCCGGATGGAGATGGATCTGATTGTGCACCAGGACATGATGACAGACTTGCTCAGTGGAGAGGAGGGAGCAAAGTAGCAATGCCATTTTAAAAATCATCATTGTGTGTTGGTAAGATGCAATTCCCCACGCTAAGCCAGAAACTCATCGTCCACCCTCCACAGCATCAGCCATCTCCCCCAATGTATCGAACCGCCAATCATACACCAACTCCTCCAGATTTCCGATCGTAGCCCCCAGCCTCGCAATCCAGACCGACCTGATTCCCATCTTTCTTGCAGGATGATGGTCATGGAATTGGCTCTGTGCCGTCTGCAGCACCTGCTCCTTCTCCACCCCAAATCCCTCTTTGACCGCGCGCAACATGTACTCAAAGTTCTTCAGGTCGGGCTTGTAGCCCCCCACATCCTGCGCCGTGATGATCAAATCGAACTGGAACCCTTCAAGACTGCCTGCATTCGTCTTAGCGAAAGAGGCGCGGTCGACATTAGACAGCACCACGAGCTTGTAATGCTTAGACAGACGCCTGAGCGCGTCGACGGTGTCCGGGAAGGCAGGCCATTTGCCGACCGACTCGCCGAAGCGGATACTCTCGTCGTGAGAAGGGACAGGGAGGTTCAGCCGCCTCGCCCAGGTAGGGTGGATGGTGGTCAACAGCTCGGAGTAGGGCATCTCGGGGGTCTGTTCCTGCTGCGCACGTTCCAGCTCGTGATAAAGAGTCAAGAGGTGGTGACGCGAGAACTGTGCGTTGGTCTCGTCGAGGGTGGGTTGGAAGGCGGTTAGAATGCCGGTTTCCCAGTCTACGAGGGTGCCGTAGACGTCAAAAGTGAGGAGACGGTAGTCGGACAGTTGAGTCATGGTTCTTTCGTGGGGACTGAATGAGAACTGTGTTGATGTGGACGCAAAGAAACAGGCATCAGACGGGAGATATTAGATATACTGATGGCTGGGATGCGGAGAGCGGATGCAGTACGGAGTAAAGTGAACGTCTTCCCCTCCTCATCCCCACTCGGATGCTCAAACCCGATCCAGTGCCCGCTGTCGGACAATTCTCGCGACCCGGGATCGCTCGGCAAAATGGCATCTTTTCGGTAGACATTGACTGGTGCCTGCTGTCAGTGCCACGAAATTGAACAACAGAGTGACTTGGCATGATTGTTTGTGATACCTTGCTCAAGTGGTTGGTTAAAAGGATGTTTGCATTCACATTCTCCAAGTTTGAAGCCTGGCTGTGAGGGAGAGGCAGGGCCTGGCCGGTCGGAAATTGCGCGTCAACTTCGAACCGAGATATTGATGGTGGTCTTCCATGTAGAACACTGATGCGGCTGCTGAAAGCCAGCAACGTTGACAATGAGGTCGATGTGATGGCGGGGAGCACCTCTCGAGCGAGTATGCGGACCACCACAGAGATTTCGTCATGCCGCAGTATCAGGATCAAGTTACAGGTGTGAACTATCCCTATGCATCCCAGTCGCACGATGTACACCACGAACTGGATCGACCTCCTACCTCACAGTCAGCTCCCTGATTCCGGGTACGTGATTCCAGATAATGTGTGAGCATCGTGATCATTTTCAGCATAGCAGCTTCTCGGTCTTGATGATGCGTATGCGATCCCGATCTGTTCCGAGTTAATTATTGTTTAATAGAGCCCCGAATTGAAAGACCTACCTTCCAGTTCTCATCTTCCCAACAACAAAGTACACCACGCAACCAGATAAATCGTCTCTCTCTCATTACCCTCAAATCAAGCATCAGAAATACTCCATCTGTTATCGATCGGAAGAGAGCAGCTAGAAGCCATACCCACCCGGACAGCATGAGCTCCTACCCGCTCGGTCCATCGGGCATGATGGACAGTGTTCGTCGCGGAGTCAAGTTCGCCATCACTTTCTGACTGGTGACTACTCTCAGTAGAATCTAATATAGGTATAGTACCTTTCATGGGCAGAAAACGAACCACCTAGCGAGGATGGCCCTTTATCACGCAGGGCCGTCAAAACATTGCTCGAGAGATTAACTTGAGGAGGTGACGAGAATGAAATAGGATCTTCCCTGAGAACTTGGTGTTAAAGATTTATTATGACATATTGGATTCAATGAAGGGAATCTGGGAATCTGGAAGACAGCCTATAATTGTCACATGATGTTCACGGAGTAACACACCTACATTGCTTTGTTGTCTTCTTACCAGATTCAATATCTCATTTGATTCTTCACGAAAACTCTCCCGCCTTTCCCCTTGTCGCCAGTTCCAGTGTCACCATTGCATTTTGCATTGTCCTAAATCTCTAAACGACCGCCCAACTCCTTATCAAGATGGGGAAAGTGAAAGCTCACATCGACACCGAGTTCCCAGCTCCCAACCCTGTCAGATTCATTGACCCGCTGATGCACCCTCCAAGTTACTCCCACTACTTCCACATAAACTCCAACAGTAAGGGCTGGGACAAGATCTGGTCGCGCCTGATCGCCGACACCAAGATCATCGTCGCCGCCGCGGACGTGGCCCTGACAGCCGAAGATGGCCCCTGTTACGACGAGGACCTCGTGACCACAATCCCACCTCCTATTGTCTCCGTGGACGAGGGTATCTACATCAACGGTGCCGGCAAGGGGGCCAGCAAGCCCCTGGTCATCGGGCCCCATGAAGACGGACATTTCAACTACGTGAAGACGAATTGGAAGCCGTACGACGTCGTCGTCTGTTGTGTGCTACTCCGGGCTGCGATGTTGGCGCCCCATGCTGTGCAGCTGAGGTCAGTAATTTGCCCTTTTCTTTTCCTTGCCCGTTGCGTTTGATACTGTTGCCATTCGGTTATTGTTTTCGCGCCGTTCCAGCCAAGGTAGTTACAAATGACTTTAGCTGTGTGCTAACATGCTTCGTGGTTTACTCGCATAGTTCGGATGGCTTCTGGGAGGAGGAGCTTTCATGGAAGGAGGTGAGGCGGCTCTATCAATCGCTCTGGCCGGAGGATAATCTCTACTGCCCGTGGAAAGAGCCAGCCGTTGAAGATCCAAATGGTGGCAGTACTGGCTGTGCGCCCAGCTAGGAGTCGCCTGGAGGGATTCTCGCGGTCTGGAATCCAGGTTCTGATTTGACTTGATCATGTATGGAGCTCGAACTCAGCCCACTTAATACACCGGTCGGTAGCCGCCGTTATGAAAATGCAGCAAAGTGATGCTCACTTTCTACATTCCGAGTATTCTGCCAGCAGAGTCAGCTTTCAAGTTAACTGTGTAGAGCCACTTGTATACGAAATTCTACTTGGCCTTATCTTATTCGATAGAGGACGGCTTGGGGGAGCCTCTGGAAGAAGGTCTTGATACTTTCACCGTTGTCATGCTGAGAAACGAACTGATATGGTAATATAGGATAGTCTTGCTTGACACATGTGGTCAGATCATTGCTACACCGTCAATTCTGCAGCTGCTAAGTAGTATATAGCTATTGTAGTTGTGAAGTCTTTTTTGATTTAAGTAGCTCTGTAAGTCTACGAGAGCCTTTGGCTGGTTGGTACTGTAGAAAGTGTTAAGCTGATCAGCACTATAAGCTATAAGCTATCATAGATCTCAGTAAATAGGTCTGACAAGAGCTTTAGCTGGCTGACTCTGTGTGGAGATTCCTCTCAATCTCTTTTTTTTTTTTTTTTGCTGCCCCTCGTACATCAATCCGGCGAGCGGAGCAAAAGAGACTAAGCCTACCATCTATGAGGAAGTTAGTATGTTGCTAGGTAAAAAGTCTTGTTATATTAGGGATCTATTAAAGAATAATATATCTACAATTCGTGTCACTATGTGAAGAGATTAAAGTCTATTATCATAATAAAGACATTAAGCATATCTGGAAAACAGCTTTAGTTCTGCAAAGTTGATGATCATAATGAGGGTTACAGGTCGTTGCGTGCATGTGGAAATAGCAATTGAGATCGGTGATCTCAAGTCGAAAAAGCCATATACCACGGCAAACATCACCTGCACATTTCAAAGTTCTTTACCTCTACTCTACCTCAGATCTCACTTCTACTCCGCTTAAACTTCACTTGTACTTCACTGCTACCATGATAGCAAACACAAGATGTTATATTGCAGTGTTGAAGCAAGACAAGGCGACCTTCTGGGAGGCGCTTGCTTAGCTCAAGAAACATTAGATTATACCTTGGGAACGCAGCGAACGAGATCCTCCCTCATAGCGCCACCCCTACTCATTCCCTCGCTACCACCTCAGAGCAGCACCTTGCCAACATCCTTGTTGTCCTTGATCTTGATATTCTTGATCATCAGGACCCAGACAATCGACAGCCCCATCAGCGCCGTTCCCGCGATCATCATATTGCGCTGACTCGAGGCGTAGGCATTCTGGATAGCGATGCGGGTCTCAGACCCCACGGGGAAGCTGAGCTGGACATCCAGATCCTCATAGATCTCCTCCCACCGATCCACCGTATCCGCAGGGAGGTAGGCGCGCAGCTTCTGGGGAAGAGTGTTGGTCCAGATGGCCCCGGAAACACTGCTTCCGACCGCACCACCGATATTTCCAAAGGTACTCAGCAGCGCCAACATGCCGGCGTACTCCTCGTGGGACGAAGCAGCCAGCACGGCGACCTGCTCGATCAGAATCAGCGTCCCGCCACCCACCGCCAGAAAGATCTGGCACATGCACATGTACCCGACGGAGTGACCCGGGGTGCGGAAGTAGATCATCAGCCCGCTGGCCAGCAGGTACAGAGGCACCGCCCCCAGCAGCAGCCATTTGAACCGTCCCGTGAGGCGGATCAAATATCCGCAGCCGATCAGCCAGATCGGGTCCATCAGGTCGAAGATCGAGGAGATGTAGCCCGCTTGCGTCAGGCTGGTGTTGTACACCACCTGCAGGAACGAGGTGTAGTAGCTCGCCCAGCAGTAGTACGAGACCTGGTAGGTCGTGCTCAGCAGGCAGGCGCCGATCACCGTGCGGTTGGTGAGGAGGTGGTACGGGATGAACGGCTTCGGGGCGCCCCAGCGCTCGTAGACCACGAATCCGACCAGCACGCAGAAACCGACGACCATCATGGCGATGATCTTGGGTGATTTCCATTCTTGTTCGGTGTTGCCGGCAATGTTGAAGGAGGTCAGGAAGAGGATTAGGCCGCCGATCATGAGGATAATGCCGCCCACTGAGCAGGTTTGAGGTTATTAGACTGGGGGGAAATTAAACGGTAATGGGAGGTGTGCGTACCATCAAACTCAACCACGTAGAACCAGATGCTTTGCCACCAGGTGCGCGTGCTGCGAGGCTTGTACTGCAGCCGACCCTGTTGGTCGGCTTTGCGCTTGGCCATCTCCCATGTCACGATGAGTGGGAGGGCGACGATGGGCAGGAGGATACAGACGGTACCGTACGCCCAGCGCCAGTTGGTCTCATGGAACTGGTTTGAGAGCGGGGCTCCAGCAAATGCGGTGATGATATAGGGTGACGAGGTGAAGCCGTAAGCGATACCACGGTTGCGCAGCGAGGAGGTGTCGGAGGTGAGGACGTCCACGCAGAAGATCACGCCGGTGAAGCCGACCGTGTAGAAGGCCTGGATCGGTTGAGCGTTGGGTTAGCCACGTGTGATTTAGGAGCAAGCAGTTCAAGGTACCCACTTGTGCAGCACAGTAGGTCGCAATGTTGTTGCAGCCCGCCATCATGATCAGACCCATCATGGCAATCAGAACCATGACCCCCAGACCGACTGTCCGATCCCAGAGGTTCAGAACCTTGGCAATGGGCAACAAGCATGCCGCACCCATGACACTCGTCACGACGCTGATCACGGTCAGCAGAGAGTGTGCCTCAAAGTCACTGGTGATGTAGGCCGAGAGGTTGGCGGTCAAGTTGTTGTTCAGCCCGCTCACAAAGTACAGCATCCACATGCTATTCACAATTAGTGTCTGTGCATGCACTCAAGCCATACGATATACTCACCATCCATAGGAAAAGTAAAGAGCCTTCTTGGACCACACGGCAGTGACCGCCTCTGCCACCCGCACACCATCCTGTTGGTCTTGATCCTCGCGTGATGGCTCAGAAGACGACTCGCGACCGACAGGGAGAGGAGCCTCATCGATGCGAGGAGACTGGCTCTTGTCAACGGCCATAGTAGTGACTGGGAGAGGGTGGGAGAAAAGGAAGAAGAAAAAATCTTATCGATCTGCCAGTCGATCCGCTGGGCAGCGACGTGAGACATGTTAAATAAGCCCTTGCGCAGCCAAGCCCCTGTCGGTGTCATGCATACGGATTCTCAATTTGCTAGTTCGCGTCGATTGTCTTGGATTTCACTTGGCGATATCCTCGAGTGGCGGGCCTGGTCCGAGGTGGAGACCTGGAGGCTGCATCTGATAAGATAGTATCGCTTGCTAGAGTTTGTGACCCTGACTGGTGTTTGGTAGAGGCTTGAGGCTACCGCCGAAAAATCCCTCGTTGCATGAACTTTACTGTAATTGACACCTGGTCTCCTGCAAAACTCATCAAGATCATTCTGAAGGCTTCCAGGGAGCCAGAATCTCGTCTTCTTTTTACATGGCACCTAGCATCAATACAGTGACCTTGTAACGTAGCCATATACTCCGAGCAAGTCTGCTTGAAACCATAGGTATTTATGTCATTGTGCTCCACAGGACCTGTTCTGCGCATCCCTTCTCCCACGCCAAGAGCCAACAACAACCCAATCCACCTTCGAGCGGGTCTCCCCCGGAGCACATCGGACCAGACGAGAGGAGGAGGGAGCGAGACACGGTGGGTTGATTTTGCTCAGGGAGCCAAGAATCAACTCGTAACCGAGGTGGTCGCCGAGCACTTGGCCTACACTTGGCCTACGCTTGGCCCTCGCAGCAACGCGAGCAGCCAAGCCGTCCATTTCTGGGAGGGAGGTCTTGGCGCCCATGCCACGCGGGATATTGAACTCTGCTGTTATCAAGATGATCAGATAAGTTTCGGGCTTTTCTTGCACTCGAGTTTTTATCAACTACAGATATAAAACCTCGCCGATGAGTATCCCACTTGATCTGGGTGTTTGAAACAAGTTTATCAAAACGTGGTGGCCTAAAGTCCATAGCGGACCATTTTGTGATCCGCGGACCCCGTGCGCGGGACCCCATTCTGGATACTGTCTATGGACCCCTTTTGCCGCATTCCGAGTCATTTCCGGAGAATGCGAGAGCAGCGGTGGCAATCATCGGGTTGTTTGAGATTCAGTTTAGCGCGACACCATGATCACACTACAGTGACACCCCGTATGTTGTGGTTAAGGTGCGTTGCCAGACTATCTACTTAACCTGCCAGAATCTTTGCCGACAAGAAGGGATTTTAAGATATATCGTAATGTAGAAAATAGAGCTTGAATTCCCCTGCCAGATGGTAGATTGGAGTTCCTGACCTGCGGTCGAGCTCGGTGTGGTGTGACGGGGATGGTTCAATTTCTAGTTTAAAGGTCTTCGAATCTAACATTCGTGCGGTTCTATATCGTAGTTCAAACCATTCAAAACGGTCCTTTACAACTTAAAATATTGTACTTTCTGGTTTACCGGGGTTGAAAGAGCTGAAACGAATCAACCTTGGTATCACAAATTCTTCTACCTGCGAGATCTCAATACTCTACTCACATTGGGTTCTATGAAGAAGGCAATAATTTTGAGAGGCAATGGATGCTGCAGTAAATATCTCGCAGTTCGATAGGTATTTACAAAAGGCTATGAGGTGGAAAGAAAAAAGATCCTGGATCCAAGCCCACAGTTCGTCATGGTAATTGATCGATGGCCGGTATGGACGGGCATTGATTCCGATACTCCACCACTGACTTTGGGCAACGTTTGATAGATGCTTAAATAAGCGTGCACTTTCGCTTCGCACAGACATTTTCTTTCCGCCTGTAGTTGTCTCTTCTTGTCCATTTTGTTCTTGGTACGATTCGATAATGCAACTCCGTCTTGATTGGAGTGTACTTGCCGCAAGAGAGGTTCAATTCGCTCCTTTCCAAAGGCGCCTGCATTTTCCTGGAAGCCTAACATCCTCAACTCCTGTGCAACAGAATACGTCTTTTCTTATCGAATGGAAATGTCCTCTTGCTCCCCTGCCCCCCCTGCAAGATCGAGACTGTCTGGGGGCGTTGGAGATGTGACTAGAAGGAGCAGGTGTGGTAGAGAGGGATGCATTTTGCCTGTTACATAGTAGAGAGTAGAGAGAGAGTTGACGTGTTGGGGAATGATAATATACGCGGAGTAGTCTTAATTCTACCAAGTACCCGGGCGAGTCTAGGTTGGTCCCTTTCTGGCCTCTGCCAGGTTCAATCTGGATGAGTCGATGACACGGAACACTCCTTCAGGAAAAGATCAACCTCCAAAACTCCTTTTGGCCAAATGCAGGAGTGCCTGATTGGGAAAGGATGGATGCAGCGGTGCTGATTCAGCCACCGATAAGAAGTACAAATACATACTTGCATAGTAAAGATCGAAACCAAGAGCGCCCCCTTCTTGTCGAATGCTTCTCTGGATCTTCATATCTACCTCAATTGTCCCATCTGACTGAGTACAGTCCAGATTACAAAATGACCCGCGTGCTTCTGACAGGTGGAACTCGAGACCCTATTAGCCCGCGGCCACTCCGTCGTCACTACTGTTCGCTCTCGATCCAAGGCCGCTAAGAAGGCTCCCTATGGCGGTATCTTTACGAGGGGGAAAGCACTCTTTAGAGAGTAGATTTGACCAAACAACTAGAGACAGAGGAGAACAGATGAAGAGAAGGTCGAGCCCTGAGGGAGACAAAAAGTCATGGGGGGAGGATGTATGAACAAGACGGCAGAAAGTGAGAATGCATGTGCCAGAAAACTCAACCGCAAACCAAAACAAATTTCCAACCCGAGAAGACCCAAAACGACAACAGTTCGAACAAGTTGTTCAAAACCAGGTGTGACGTCTAGAATGGAAGACACACACACTCACTCACACAGGGGAGAGAAAGCTGCTAACAACAACCTGCCACAGCCTTAATCCTTCCCCACCTTCTCAGCAAACCACCCCACCAAATGTTCCACGGTAGGATGACTCCACATCAGCGTTGGGGGCATCTTGACCTTTAGGGCCTGCTGTAGCTTCTGCCTTAGCGTGACAGTCATGACGGAGTCGACGCCCAGATCCGCCAGGGTGGCTTTGGCATCCACCTCATCCGCCGAGGGGAGGTGCAGCACGGCAGCGACACAGCCGCGGATCGCCTGATCAAGATACGTTTTCAGCTCCGGGCCGGAGGTGGGGATCGCTGCTCTATTCAAGGCTGATGAAGTGGAAGTAGAAGAAGAAGAGGTGGATAACTCCTGCGGTCCTGTCGCCGAGCGACGAATGACGATATCGGCGAGCGCAGGGGAAGGGAGCGGGTTATCCGGTTCCAGAGGGAGGGCGCGCAACACCACGGCGTGGTCGCCCTCGTAGCGGGCGGCGTGGCGTCAGGCGGCAAAGGCCTCGTCTGCGGTCACGTCGCTGATGCCCTTGCTGGTCAGCTCGGCGCTGATAAAGTCGGTGCTGGCGCCCATGCCGAGGCCCCGCCAGGTGGTCCATTGGAAGGCGCGCGCGCCGCGGTCCCCCAGGCGCTGGCGGTGGGTGGCCAGCGTGTTCAGGGAGGCGTTGCCGGCACCGTAGGAGCGTTGGCCTGTGGAGCCAACGAGCTGGCCGCAGGAGGAGAAGAGGATGAAAAAGTCGACGCTTTGAGGCGGGAAGACCTCGTTCAAGACCAGCCCGCCGGTAATCTTCGGGGCGAGGACGCCGGCGGCGTGCACGACTCCGCGGATCGGGGGGAGGAAGAGATTATCCAAGGCGAGGCGGAGGGTGTCGGCTGCGGAGGGAATGCTGATATCGAGGGGGAGGATCTGGATTGTTGGATCACGCGCCGCGCACTCTGCGTGATAAGGAAGTCGGCAACTTCAAGACCGAGAGCTCCCAGACCACCGGTGATGAGATATGTGCCGTCGGGTCGTGGTAAGAGGGCGTGTTGTGGTTGGTCTAGCTGGATGGGTCTGTGGCGAGGCAATGAACGCAGACGCATCGTACGAGCAACTCCATCGCGAATGCGGATGATGTCTGCTCCCTGGATGTAGCGCATCGTCGTCCGGGAAAAGTCGAGACGAACCGCGTGCTGATCGCCAACGGGGACTAGGATTTTCTGATTCTCACAAATGAACGCTGCTGACAATCCAGAGTATGACCTGGCATGGTCATTGGGGTTCCAGGCGCGGCCGGTCACCCCGATTGAGATCCAGATGCCGGATTTGCAGTGGTCGGGGGTGTTGTATTGGATGGGATGAGATTGCTTCTCCTCGGCTTAGTGGACAACGTCAGACGAAGCAATGTAGCGGATAATTATACTACTAATAGACCATAGATCTCGAATACAACAGCTCAGTCGTATGCACTATTTTACTACACCATCACTTATCATTCTTGATGCGGGTTCGATATCCCGACGGCTGGCGAAGACGAGGGTTTTGCTTTACTTGCCTAGAAGAGAATGGATTAGCAGTAGAAATAAGCCTCCACTAGTACGTGTAGCTCTTAAAAAACACAGGAATGATTCTAGCCACGATGGCAAGGGGTAGTTGTTCCTGTTATGAAACTTATCTTCTCAACCCTGATTAGGCTCGATAGCTAGCCTATGTCCACCCAGATCTAGACATCGCACAGGAATCATATTGACTTGGAAGATAGACCCTAGATATGATACCCTAGCCTGGGTACAAGTTCCTCATCCTAAGAATTCATCGTAGGAGTAGGAAGTATATCTGGTGCCTCAGGCATGAATTCGCCGGGAGTATCTCGGAAAACAGCCCTACCTCCATTTTCTCGTCCATGTCGCCTATCAGTTCTGTCAGTGCTGCGCCACCTGCCATTACGTTAAGTGCCTAAGTAGTTCCTGCATACATTCACCTTAACAGAGCACGATTATTGGACGCTGTAATTAGCGCTGTCTTAGGAGATAAGCGGGTTGAGCCGACCAGAACTGCTACACAAAACCCCGGTCGCTGCACCCCGTCTCTCCCACAACATCACCTCCTCTCCGTCTTCCTGCACAGCAACTCACAGCAACTCACACGCAGTCAGTCAGAGTCAAGACAGGGATCCCAATGGGTCAACCCGGCGAACTTGGCCGAGTGCCATCGTCTCCCCCATCGAGACGATGGGGCCTGTATCTCCTCCCCGCAGTGGTGATCTTTCTGTGGAGTCAATTCACCTTCTTCCCTCGACTGCAATCGTCGGATCACCCGGCAACCCAGAAACTGTCGCAGCACCGCTTAGCACAACTGGAAGATCATCTCCAAGCGTGTTCGCAATTGCACCGCCCGCCTATTGAATACGAGCAGCCACCCGTGGCGACGCGCGAGAATCCCCGCTGGAACGCGAAGACCGGGCAGAGCCAAGCGATTCTCCTCCGCAACGCGACCCTCTTCGACGGCGAGCGCACCCTCGACCATCCCGTAGACATCACTTTCACGAAAGGCGTCATCACACACATCACTCCCACTGCGCACGACAACTCCATCTCCGAGCCTCAGGATGCTCTCGTCTTCGACCTGGACGGCCGCTTCGTCACCCCGGGACTGGTGGACATGCATTCGCACCACATCGCAGGCTCCAGCCCCGACGTCCACGCGGTGGAAGATGTCAACGAGATGCACCCGGACTTCGGTCCGCTGACCCCCTACGTGACCGCCCTGGATGCCCTCAAAGCCTACGATATTGTCTCCGCCATCGTCGCCTCGGGGGGCGTCACCGCCTCGCTCATCCTCCCCGGCTCCGCTAACATCATGGGCGGCGAGGCGGTGCCCGTCAAGAATCTCCGGCGGGACGAATCAGGAGAAGAGCTCGTGGAGGAGCTTCTCCTTGAGCACGGGGTCCCCAAGGAAGAGCGCCGGCGGTACATGAAGATGGCGTGCGGCGAGAATCCCAAGAATGTGTACGGCCACACGCGCATGGGCAACTCGTTCCTCTTCCGCCAGCAGATGGACCGTGCGCGCCAGCTCCGGCAGAAGCAGGACGATTGGTGTCTGGCTGCGGCTGCCGCGTACGAAACGGGGGATGAGAAGGCCATCGCGGAGCTGGTGCGTGGTGGAGGCCTCCCGACGGATATCTCGCTGGAGTCGTCGGTCGCCATGCTGCGCGGCCAGGTGGGGATCAATATTCACTGTTACGAGAGCGAGGATATCGAAGCTATGCTGCGCCACAGCGAGGAGTTTGGGTTTCGCATCCAAGCGTTCCATCATGCCTTGGAGGCGTGGAGGGTTCCGGACACGATCAAGAATTCTGGCCAGTGAGTGCGATCTCGGCTCATATAGAAAGTGTATGGCTGAGCTGAGCTGAGCGCAGGAACATCACCGTCGCCACGTTTTCGCACTTTGCGCACTACAAGCATGAAGCGTACGATGCTACGCTCTACGCGGGGAATATTCTGGCTGAACATGGCGTGCCGGTGGCGTATAAGTCGGTATGCTGCCCCTAACCATGAATGTGAACGACATGCGAGGCTGACGAGCTTACCAGGACGGCTCCAACGAGTTCCTCAACGCAAAATACCTCCTGTAAGTGGCTGCTGCCGAGGAGTCAAGCTCAAGGCTAATTGCAACAGTTCCCAGGCTGCAGAGGCGCACTCCTTCGGCCTCGCGGAAGCCCTGGCGCTGCAGTCTGTGACGAGCATCCCGGCGCGATCCCTGGAATTGGCCCACCGCATCGGATATGCCCAGCCAGGCTACGACGCAGACCTCGTCATCTGGGACTCGCACCCCCTGGCCAACGGGGCCACGCCTTTGCAGGTCTACATTGATGGACGCGCCACCCTCAGCACGACTGTCCTGTCCACATCCTCTCAGACCCCAACACCCCCACCCACCCGTCCAGTTCCACTCACCAGTGACAAGACCGCCATCTGCGACAGCGCCTCCGCCCCGGACGCCACGGTCATCATCACCGGCATCACGAAGACCCTACTCCCAGGCCTCCGCCCGCAGACCAACACCGACAATCTAACTCTGGTCCTCTCCGCCGGCCGCATCACCTGCCTCGGCGCCGAGACCGACTGCCGGGCCTCCGCCGGCTCCGCGACGCCCATCCACCTGCACGACGGCCACCTCCTGCCCGGCCTGACCGCCGTCACCGCCGGCCTGGGCCTGCAGGACATCGTGATGGAGCCCTCGACCGGCGACGGCATCGTGCCTGCCACAACCACCGACCTAATCTACGCGAAGCACGGCCTCCACCCCACGGGCAGCAAGGACCTGCAACGCGCAAAACTCGGCGGCATCACCACCGCCATCACCGCCCCGCTGGCTCCTTCCGAGGGGCCCATCTTCCTCCGTGGAGTCTCCGTGGCCTTCCAAGTCAGCAGCACCAGCTCGGACAGCAACACCACCACCACCACCCTCCTCGACCGCGCAATCCTCACCCCAGACGTCGCCCTCCACATCCACGTCGGCGAGGCCGGCAAGACGGCGAACACACCCACCATCTCCGCCCAGATCGGCCTTCTCCGACGCATCCTGGCCCACGAATCCCTGCACCAACTCGACGAAACCCTCCACGAACAGATAACCAACGGCACTCTCCCTCTGGTCATCCACACCCGCAACCACCACGACATCCTGCATCTGATCCACCTGAAACGCGACTTCCCAGCCGTAGACCTCATCCTGTTCGGCGCCACGGAGGCGCCCCTCGTCGCGCGCGAGCTCGCCGCCGCGCGCATCCCCGTGCTGTTCACGGGCCTCCGTCCGAACCCGGACACCTGGGAGGTGAAAGACGCGGTGGTGGGGCCGCCGCTGACGGCGCCGGGGTTGCAGACGCTCCTCGCGGCGGGGGTAAAGGTGGGGTTGGCGCAGGCGGCGTGGAGTGACTCGGGGATTCATAATCTGGGGACGGATGCGGGGTTTGCGGCGCGGGTGGTGGAGGGGTTGAGTGAGGAGAAGGCGGTGGGGCTGGTGAGTTGGGAGGTAGAGGACATCTTGCATCTGAGGAAGGGGGACAAGGAGCAGGAGGAGGGTCATGGAGGGGATTTTGTGGTGTATGAGGGGAATCCGTTGGAGTGGGGGGCGAGTGTGGTGTTGACTGTGGATCAGGCGGCGAGGTCGGTGGTGGAGTGTTGGCCGGAGGCGTCTTAGGTATTTCTATGGTATTCCAGGCAAAGATGGTCTGTTGCAGCAGAGAATAGCAGATTGAATAGTAGTGAGCTGCATTAATGGATGTGTACAGTAACTTGCATCGGCGACCGTCTACTGTCCTATGCCGAGATGACCATCCTGTGATGAGCGAGAGACTGAGAAGATCCGTGTCTCCTATACCACAGCAGATACAAGTTACATGATACACCGAATCAAAATCAATACATCTGAGCAGTAGATGTCGTATCATGATGCATCCAATTAAGCCCGAGGGTGGGACGGCGGGACTCGGCAAACTCCGAGTCTCGGTTTCTCGGTTATGTCCGACCCACCCGATCGAGATTCAGGGGCTCGACTTGATTGTTTCCTTTTCTCGAATTTCGCATCAGCGTTGTTTGAAAGATACTCGGTGACGAAACTCCTCTAATCCACTGGTAGATAGCCTGATGATGTCATATTCCTCTCGGAAACTCAATCCCAATATCAGAGAAGACTACCGATTGGTGCCGACGAACCAAGACAATTCTGACGTTGAAAGCCCCTACGTACAGGGTCATCTGATAAAACATCTGCAGTACGATCTATATTTACAAAGGTATGAAGGCGGCTTCTCTACCCCAGTTCAACCGAACACTCAAATCCCCAGTTAAAGAAGAGCAGCCAAGAGACCAGCACCAACCACGGAGACCGCAGATCCGATGGAAAGGCTGCTCGCACCACCAGTGTAGACAGCGGCAGAGCTGGAGGCAACAGCGGAGCCACTAGCCAAAGTGCTCTTCTCAGAGGTCGAAGTCGAGGTGGCGTTGCAGGTGGAGTTCGAGCTGGTGATGCTGGTGTAGTCGCCGGTCTTGTCGGAGTAGGTGTAGCTGCAGGCCGGGCTGTAGTTGGTGATGTTGACCGACTCGAGGTACATGATGAAAGGACCGGCAGTGTAGTCAGTCTCGCCACCCGCCCATTCTAGATTGATCATTAGAAGCTGATAGAGTTAACTCGGGGCATCGCAGTGGACTCACCGATAGTGCCAGCGCTGTTGCTGGGGTCACCACCAGCCCAGATTCCCAGCTTGACAACCATAGGAGTCTGCGGGTAGTTGGTGCCATCCACCGCATCAGCGTATTCCAAGGTGCGGACGACGGTTCCATCGAGGCTCCACTCAATCCGCTCGGAGGTCCAGTCAACGGCATAGGTGTGGAACTCTCCGTTGGGGTCGGTCACGTCCACGTTGGTGTACCTGTCGTAGCTCGTGGTGTTGCCTTTGCCGTAATAGTTGGTCTGAATGTAAGTGTCAAAGGTGGAGATTTGTTCCTGGGGGGTGTGGTCAGTTTAGGTTCGGTTGATCTGATTCACTCCTAGACATACCCAGTCAATCTCGTCGAGATCGTCAGACTCCAGCACCATCGTGCTGATGATACCGGTTCCATTGGCGCAGCGGAACTTGGCCTCCACTCTTCCGAAGAAGATGTAGAAATCAGTCTGGATGGTGGGAGCATCGCCTTCCTCCGTGATCGCAAACCTGGCACCCAGGGAGGTGCTGTTCACCGTGCCGCCAGTTGTAGTCCACTGGTCGAACGCAGAGGATCCGGAGGTGAAATCGACGCTGTAAGACCACTGGTCGAGACCAGTATCGGCCGGGCAGGTCTCTGTCGAGATGGTCAGTCAGAAACAACACGGCCTCAGATGCGATGGATTGACATACTGTTCAAGGGGTCGCAGTCGGTGTAGGTCTGGGCAGCGCAGAGGGGCACGCCGGCGGCCAGGGCAGCAGCGGCCCACTTCATGGAGGACTTCATTGTTTCGTGGTGTATTGAACGAATGTGTGATGCAAAGCGAACGAAAAGTTGTGAAACAAACGAATGGGTTGTTATGCGAGATATAGAAAGTGAAAGTACGATGGCTGGACGGACGACCGGGCACATCGGGGGGTATATGGGCAGCCGCTACCGAGGCGGAGTGGGCAGTCAGGGGGGCTGGCCCAACATGCGAAGGCAACAACGAACATGTCCTCCTTGGGACTACGTTCGTCTCGGATTTGAAGCGCCTCCACCGTTTGAGATGAAGGACGTACGCATATTAGCTGTGCGAACTCTCATTGGCGGGGTGGGTGGGAACTGTTGGTCGACGTCGACGGGCTTGACAGATTCCGGAGTAGTCATTTTTGGCGGGCCATGGGGCCAAGGAGCAGTGCAAAAGCTTGACTGGACGATGGTAGGGCAGCTTGCGTGCTCATGCGCATGCGTGTTGGAGGGTGGCAGTGGACGAAATCTTGAATACTTTTCCGCCCAGCAAGAGACCTTCTCTCAATGCGGAAAGGTGCTGTCGTGGACAGTGGAACGCGGTGGATCGGTCATCGAAATAGAGGGTGTCCTTTGACGCCGAATGCCGCTGAGCCTACTCTGGAGTACGTATGAGAATGAATCCTCCCCAGATTCCCACCCAATGGATGGATCAAGCCACACTGTAAAGCTCGTTCGGCGTTCTTACTATCCACAGGATCTGCAGTCCTCCGCCGCCCCCATGATTATCATGGAGGATCTGGACTGTGTTTTTGCTGCCAACTCCACCTTGAATCATGCGGCGTTGGTGTCAGCTTGCAAGACATGATGGAGATGCTATCAGAGACAAAGAAAGTGAGCGCCGAGTCAGGAGTTCAGGAGGGTGAACTTGAAGATTAACAGTGAGTAGAAAGGTAGACGCCAACTCCACCTCGTGGACGACCGGGTGTCTTACGTAGACAACTGCCCCGCTAGTCCGCTTTCACTGTCCACGTGACTCTGGCCTTACGTATCCCGACCCAGCCATGCTCAACATAGACGGCCGTACCTTGGAACGAGACCATCTTGCGAGACAATGTGATTCTCTCTAAGTATGTTTGTGTGGCTGTGTGATTCGTACCAGCGATAGCGGGTTTGGAGAGGATTCAAAAACTCTGAACAGCACGCTGATTAGTTTACTCACGATGCCTTCGAATACGGACTAGCTTCAATACTATATTACGGAGTATACACCATTTATCTGTAAAGCGCTAGCTTTGCAACTCTATGAAGGCCTAATCACGGGTGACGGACAATAATGTGACTTCTAGATTTGGGTACCTAGCCGGGCGGCTAACTATCATTTCAAGTTCGTTACCTAACCGCCTAACAGAGTAAGGTAATTAGAAGAATCAGGGTTCTATCTCCCCCTATATAGCCCCCTCGATACCAATTTGTTCACATTAGGTACCTACTGAATCTAAGAACACCCCCGCCCCCCAGTACTCTTTCTTAAGTCACGTGATCCGGCGACCCAGCGGCCTTATACACCAACTATGCTTCCAAGTTATTCCTTTCACCTCGTAAGAAAGTCCAGTCAAAGTTCCAACCCATAATGCCCGGTGACCTCCTATCCTACAGCATTGGATTTTGTTCCAGTGGGATGAATTGCGACCAGATTCAAGAAAATGAGTTCAAGTTGCGCGTTCAGCTTAGTGAGTCGAATTCCGTGCGCCAAATGTTCAATGATGATATATTGTAACTCCTGGTGGGGCGGGTGAGCGACGGCATCCAAATGCATGCTCGCCCAAGGTAAAGTCACCACCTCCCACCACACCTAGGTAAGACTATCACATCATGGACTTCAAATTTTCGCTGGATAATTACGTGATATTGGGTACCTTGCAAATCATATTCTGTGTCTGACTGGAGCGCTACTGGGCGAGAATGTAAATGTTGGATTCAGTAATGTGCTGCCAGCATGAGCGCGATTCGGCTTGCAGTCTTTTCTCATAGGTACCCAAATTCAGGGTTATTGCCTGAAGCGAAGTCTTCATGTGCTCGACAGGTGCGATTGATAAACACCAGCAGTAGGTTTGATCATCCATACAAGCTAGAAGCAACGAACCATACCGGGCAAAGAGAAGTCTATCCTGAACCGGTCGGACCTTTCGCAAGCCTGGCTGCGGTTAGTTCAGCACCGATGGATGGTACACTCCCGATAGCCACCCATATGGAACCAGACTTCTGCGTCGCTTACGCTAAAAATAGCCTTCGAGGATGACGAATTCAATGGAAGGAATGCAGTCATCGCCTCAGCTATCTCTGTGTAGCCCAAGTTGCACAGCAACAAAACGTTGTACTCATCCGCCACATTACTAGAGCATTAAGATCGGATGATCACGTTCAGGCTGATGGTTCACGGACAGTCCATTTTTCTTAACTCACCAGAATGGGCTCATCGAGGGCAGACGACACACTTGGTCATCGGTTCTAATGGAATTGACAATGGAGGCCAGACAAAGCGATGAATGATATGAAGAAGAATGATTGTAGGTTCCCGTAACCAAATTGCAAGGGACTGAGCATCAAATAAGCATGTTAGCTCAGGGGAAGAGCGCCGGGCTCATAACCCGGAGGACCCTGGATCGAAACCAGGACATGCTAACTTGATTCGACTTCTTTTTCTTTGTTTTTTGTGGACTTTCGGGTTGTTCGTTGATCGGCGAACCGGGCTTATCGTGCGGCTTGGCTGAGCCATCAGACCGGGACGAGATTTAAGATCCTCATGAGGCGTCAATGGACACTACAAGCAGGTATATCTCTCTTTGCCCCATCATCTTCCCCCTCACTGATTTTCCAGATCCGTCTCAGCTTGCCTACGCTGCCGAAGGCAAAAGTTGAAATGCGGGGGTCCCAGCAAAGTCCCCTGTGCGAGATGCAAAGCGAGTAAAGCTGAATGCGTCTTTGTCAATCCCCGGGTAGCTCGTGCTACGAGTCGGTCCCGGCAGCAGGTTGAGCAAATAGAGTGAGTGTGAGCCTCAATCTGACTAGGATGATGATGCCCTTGCTTACAGTACAGTGATAAGTGGACCACTCTAGAGCAGCGGATGAATAGTTTGGAAGAAAGGCATCAGAAAGAGTTGACGGAACTACGAAGTACAATCTCCCGATTGTGCGATCGTCTCGACTCTAGCACCGGGGTTGAGCGCGGGCTGTCACAGACGAGTGTGGACTCTCCTGCCGACTGTCGAGTCGAAGATGGAGACACCTTCGATATTGTGGCATGTGGAACGGTGAGGGAGAATGAATGGGAGGAACTCTACACTTTGTGAGTATTCTGTTCCCATGAAATTACAGAAGAAGCTCATGTGATTCCCAGCTTCGATGAAAAATGTCGGACAGTCATCGCATTCATGGACGATCAGCTCTACTCGGCCGCACATATCGTACGTAAACACCCTCTGATGTCGACGGTGATCTGCGTGATTGCGTCCAAGGCTGTCCGACCCGACAAGTACGCATCGTATCTGGCCGCAGCAGATCGTCTAATAAGTGCTACATTCTCGGGCGCCGTCGATCTTCATACCGTCCAAGCTATGATGCTGCTAGTTGCATGGACTGGTAGGCATCGTCTGTGGAATTATATCATCTCTCTTGCAGTAGAACTCGGGTTGAACAGGGCTGCACGGAGTCTAGCCGATGTCTCTATTGAGCACACGGCAGACCTGGTCGGTTCGGCTCGAACGTGGTTCTCGCTGTGCTCGTTTGACCTGATGTAAGCGCACAAGTCACGCAAACGGAGTGGTAGACTAAATCGTCTTGATCAGGATGAATCTCGATCGGCCATCCGCTATTCACAATATCGTGGATTACCTATCCGTAGCTGCGCGTCTGCTGGTCTCCCCTCACTGCAGGCCAGTGGACTACCGGCTTTGCACCTACCTGCAAGGGTTTGCGATCACAGGTTCGCAAGTACATGTGCTACCTCTTGATCACAAACAACTGACCAGCACTAGCTGAAGCAAGAGCCCAAATACCCGTATCAGAGCTACAGTTGCATCCTCTACCTGAATCTGTAGCGCAGGTGTTGACCTCCCTTGACGAGAAGATTGACCGCTGGTTTTACCACATCAACAACAGCATGGAGCCTTTATACCAAACTTTTGCCAGGAAGCAAGATCGCAATCGGTTCATGGTCCCCTATGCATTTCTGAAGACGTACATCTACCACCCTCACTTGACTTACGCGAGCTAACAAACTCCTGCATCTAGATATGTCAACGGACTTGCTTTGCGCGGAATGGAAACTCAACACGGAAGGCTGGATCCCAACAGGATCCCTTTCCTACAGATAGCCCTGGACAGCACATGTCTGCTACTTCAGACTCAGTTTGAGTCGAAGGACTTTCGCCAGATGCTGCCCTACTCTGGAGACTACAACCTCGTCACCACATATCATGCTATCGATTTTATTCCAAAGGCACTAAGAGTTTCTAGAGGAGTGGTCAACGGAGGACTAGTGCTTTTGAGACTACGTCAGGGAGCGCAGATGCTGGAAGAGGCTGGAGCCACGGTGGCTGCTTCTGAGGTCCGTGAGGAGGTGCAATTGTTGGAGCAAACGATGCAGGCCTCGTCACCTCTGGAGGGTGCTGCGGCGGAATTGGATCAAGCGGTGGGTGAGACTTTATTCGATATACCGAATCTCCTATCCGAATGATCCACAAAGAATGTCATGAGTATCGTGGCACCCGTGCGGTTGAGCTGGGATGAGATGAGTCAAATTGTTGTACATATGTATTTCGTTGCTTGCGCTTATTTTCTCAAGAGTGAGTTGACCACAGCTACTTCGATCGACCAGCTGTCTCCATCGCACGGCTGAACTCCGCCTTCATTTGGGAAGCAAATACATCGTTGAGTAGGACATCGATGCAGATTAGCGCATTGGCCTTTCCCGCGCGGAGCGCCTCTTCATGGCCCTTTTCGCTTTCCGCTGCTTCGCGGAATCCAGTCGAATGGGGCAGATCTGTCGCATTGATGTTGAAGACCGCTTGAATGCCGGGGCAGATGTAAGAGCAGCTGCCAAAGTCCCTACGCGAGATTAGTCGCCGAACACCCCAAAAACAAAACGAAGAACGAGCACTCACGAGCTGCCACCCAGATCGTGGACTGTCTTCGCTTCTGCAACCGGTAACATCTCCTCAGGAGTCAGACCGAGGTGCTGGATCATATACTGCCGGTACTGCTCCGCAAGCGTCTCGTTGGTCACGACGTCCTCGTAAAGCGCGAACCTAGAATCCCCCCATTAGTCCCCCGTGTTGCATCCCATCGCAAACGACATACCAGTCCAGTTCCACCGTGCACCCGGTTGCACCCGCCGCGCCATGAAAGATCGGCTCGACCCTCTGCCTGAGTGCCTCAATCTGCTTCACCGTCGGCGCCCGCACACTGAACAGCCCCTCCGCGTAGGCCGGGATGAGATTCGGGACCTTTCCCGCCTCGAGAATACACCCCTGGATACTCTCACTCTTCTCGATATGCTGCCTGAGCAGTGCGATCCCTGTGTACGCCTGCACGATCGCATCGCACGCATTCCGCCCCGTCCACGGCGCCCCCGCCGCATGCGCCGCCTTGCCGTGGAACTTGGCCCGCAGCTTCCAGGACGCCTTGGTCATGCACACGGGGGTGCTGAAATCCGGCATCCCGTGCGTCATCACGCAGGCGTCGTACCCCCGCCACGCGCCATTCTTCGCCATGATCCACTTCCCGCCGTACGATTCCTCGGCTGGTGTTCCCATGACGACGACCGTGCCTGCTAGGTTGCGCGACTTGAGGACCGTCTCGACGGCCACGGCGGAGGCGAGCGTCGAGGTGGCGATGAGGTTGTGGCCGCAGGCGTGTCCCACGCCGGGCAGAGCATCGTATTCGGCGTTGAAGCAGACGGTGCGGCCGCCTTCTCGGACGGAGAAGCGCGCTTCGAAGGCGGTTTCGATGCCGTAGACGTTTGGCGTGACGGTCCAGCCGCGCTGTTCGAGCCAGTCGGATAGGAGTTTGCTGGCTTTGGTTTCTTGGAAGGCGGTTTCGGGGTTGTGGAAGATCTGGAAGCGATAATTCATGGGTTAGTCCTCGGTTCAGAACCGAAAGCCGTGGGTGGGTCACCTCTAGGCTTAACTTGCGGAGTTCTGCGCTAGCATTGTCGATGGCTTGCGTCGCCTCGGAGATCACGTCCGCGGGCTGAAGGGGTAGGGGCTCGGTTGGTTGGGCCATTGTGCCGCAAAAGTACAGTGTCTGTGAGATTGAGCATTCCCCGTGGCAGGAAGTGGAGGATGAGGAGATTTAAGAAAGAAGACCATGTGTTGGCCAGGACTGAGTGTAGCCATCAACACCCCGCAATTGGCGATAACAGTTGATAAGCGCATTTCACTTAATCGTTCGGCTTCGGCAGTTCTTTCGGTCGGACCGATCCGCTTAACCCGAGGAATCAATGACTTGGGGAGTATAGCTGGCTGTTATTGACACTGCAGGAATAGCTGCTGGGTTGCAGCAAATGATGCATGGGTTTTCATAGAGCCAATTTGCATGTCATAAGATAATGTCCATATTGGCTGGGGGTGAACAGGCGCAGTGGTGGATGCCTGAAGACTGAGGCCAAGAGAGGACTATGAGAGCACGAGGCACGAGACATGAGGCTGAAATCCTTCCTTTCCCCTCATTCACGATCCAGCAGGTTTTGTGCACAATTACCGGACGAATGCACCTGTCTCGCAATCAATATGCAGCCAGGAAAGATGACATAAATTTATGACAATGACTCACGCACCAGCAGCCCTTTGTCACCATGACTACACAATCGGATGGATTTCCGCTCTACCCTTGGAGATGGCGGCGGCCACCGCCATGCTCGACGAAAGACACCCCGATCTGCCCACCAAACCCAACGATGACAACACTTACATTCTTGGTAGAATCCACGTCCACAATGTCGTGATTGCCTGTCTCCCTGCAGGTGTTTACGGCACGACCTCAGCTGCCACCATAGCGAGTCAAATTCGGTTGACATTCCCCGCAATTCGAGTCGGCTTGATGGTCGGCATTGGGGGTGGGGTGCCCGGAACCGCGGAAGACATCAGACTTGGAGATGTGGTCGTTAGCAAGCCAACCAGGGATCACGGTGGGATTGTACAATATGATTACGGCAAGTCCCTGGCCGGCGGGGTTTTTGCACGACAGGGGTTGCTGAACAAACCACCGCCTATCTTGGTGACAGCGATCTCTCGACTGCAAGCGGCACACCTCACGAGGCCAAGTCAAATCTCATGGCTAGTGTCGGCAGGCGCGAGGTCTTCCTGTTTCGCTTACCCGGGCGCTGACCGAGATCTACTCTTCGAAGCCGAGTATGACCACTTAAGTTCAGAGAGTACTTGCCACAACTGTGACAAGAGCAGACGCGTTGAGAGACAAAATCGAAATCTGCGGGACCCTGTCATTCACTACGGACTCATTGCCTCTGCGAACCAGGTGATGAAGGACGGACGCCTGCGGGACAAGTTAGCCCAGGAACTCGGCATACTGTGCTTTGAGATGGAGGCGGCAGGCCTCATGGACAGCTTTCCGTGTCTTGTTGTCCGGGGAATCTGCGACTACTCGGACTCTCACAAGTCGAAAGAGTGGCAGGGATATGCGGCGGCAACCGCCGCGGCTTACACCAAGGAATTGCTGTCAGTGATCCCTGCCAAACAAGTCGAGGATGAGCCATCAAGCCTCTCCGGCGTCTATGGTACGTAGTTGCGGGAGTACCCTACGAGTCTCTTGGCTAAGTGCATCGGTTAGCGCCATATCTTGATAGGGCGCGCTCGTCTCGGAGTGTGACTTCTCAGCGCAGCCGTAAGTGCCGCCCCCTGGCATGGCTTGACATCATCTGATTGCTCCAGAATACGATGAACAGGAGGAGCTACTCGAGCAGATCTCATCCTATCACTATGAACGAGTTCACAGAAGGCTTGCGCATAAACGACTGGCTGGTACTACTCAATGGTTCTTGGACAGTCGTGAGTTCAAAACATGGCTGAAGAGGCTATCGAACAAGCTTTGGTGTACTGGGAAAAGTAAGCGCTGGATGATATGTACTTGAATTGCTACTAATACTGACAATAATGCAGTTGGCTCTGGCAAGACAGTGATTGCGTGCGTAGCAATCATCTCCTTCTTGAAAAGGCCAAGCTAACACTCAATCGCCAGTGCGTCTGTGATTGAAGCTATCCGATATAATCCGGATAATACTCCTACAATATTTTTCTACTGCGAGAACGATCATGGCGACTCCCTAAGGGCCTCTTCGATCTTGTCTAGTCTAATCAGACAACTTTGTGAATTTCTGCACAAGAACCGGAGACCATGGCCAGTGCTACTGATGCAAGAGATTCGAAAGTCTTTCGGGAGCAAGAGAGTCATTCCCGATTTCGACGACTTGAAATACATCTTCCAAGAGCTTTTCGATCTTGTGCCAAGGGCAAGTTATGTCTTAGATGGTCTTGATGCATTGGACAACGACCAAAGCAAGCTTCTACTTACAGTCATTCGGTCGCTGTTTTCCGGAGCCGCAGAGCTCCAAGGTCAACGTATTGTCCTCTTCAGCAGAGACCAAATACCCGGTTATGTCAACATCGAGACGCTTATGCCTGGAATTGGTCGGATCTCGACTTCCGACAAATCAAACACGATCAGCGATATTCAAACCTACATAGACTACAGTATCAGGGACAAGACAATGTACCGGAAGCTCACGGATGATCCTCTCCTTGTAGAAGAGGTTCAGGATGTGCTACTGAGAGAATCAACTGGAATGTATGTCTCCGCCCTCATAGGCTTTGACCCCGGTTCTTGATGCTTACCTGTTGATGCAAGGTTCCTCTGGGTCCATCTTCAACTGGAGATTCTCTGGAGCACTTGTTTTACAGATGCGGAAGTTCGCTTAGCATTGCGCCAACTGCCCAAGGATCTTGAGGAGACATATCGACGATGCGCTGATCGGATAGGTGCGCAAGACAGCAGGGCGTTGAAAGTGCTCAAGTGGGTTAGCTTCGCCTCGCGACCTCTGCATCTTGAAGAGTTACGTGAAGCGGTCGCTTTTGAGAGGGAAGACACCACCTATGATAGCAACAAGCTTCCACGAGGTGACGTCATTATTGGTTCTTGCGCCAATTTGGTGGTGCTTGATCCAATAGATCTTTGCGTTCGATTTGCTCACCCTTCGATCAAGCAGTACCTTGCGAAGAATGGTGTCCCGGGCTATCAGTACTCTTTCGACAAGGATCAGGGTGAATTGGAATGCGGCGAGTTCTGCATTGCGTATCTCTCCTTCTCCAACTTCAGTCTTCAAGTCGAGCACAAGTGCGACGTAACGACAGAGGCTGTAGTCCCAAGCCCCGTGCTGCTTGCAGGGACAGCGCTGAACTCTTCTCTCAGGTACTTCTTTCGGCTGCCAAACGGCCCGAGACCGCCTAAACCTCTACACTTACGCAGCATTCGCACGCCGACTGTCCCGGATCGAAGCCAATACAGATTCCTCAATTATGCCATTTCGAACTGGACTTCCCAGACGCGGGATCTCACAAGGAACTCCCCAATGTGGGAGAAATTCGAGAAGCTCGCGACATGTTTTAACGAGACTTGGAACTTCCATCCATGGAAGCCTGGTGGTCGCTCCACCCGTTCTCAATTACATAGTCTTTTTGGATGGGCTGTGCGGGACAACCATTTTCCGCTTCTCTCTATAGCTCTCACTTGGAAGAGAGATATCCTGCAGATCTGCGATCTTCCATTGGTAGAAAAAGGTCTTCCCGCACTCCACGTTGCCATTAAGCTCAAGCATAAGAGCATCATCGAAGCTTTGTTACAAATATGCAATGTCAACCTCGTGGATACCGAGCTGTATTCCCCCCTGCACCACGCCATCGCTCAGAATGACACCGGAATGATAACCATGCTACTCGGCGCCAAGGACATAAAAGTGGACAATTTCACGCCTACATTGAGCACGCCGCTGTGTTTTGCAGCACGACTTGGACATTATGAGGTAGCAGAACTTATGATCAATAACGGAGCTACAGTAAGTTCGGCACCGACAATTCTGCCTCTGTGGTGGGCGGCGAATTATGGACACACGGAGCTCGTAAAGCTCCTCGTCCGCCACGGAGCGAGCTTTTGGGATTTGGACAGGAACGGCCGGTACCTTCTTCGAATTGCTGAAACAGACAAGAAAGGGGAGATGGCTGCTCTCCTGCGCGAACTTGCGAGGGTTCCAGCTGGCCGACACAGACTCCTAATCCTGGGTAGGTCTAATTCGCCTGTCTCTTACCGCTACTGCTCACAACAAGTATAGGTGCTGCGGAGTCCGGAAAATCAACAATCGTGAAGCAGATGAAAGTCCTATACATGAAAAAATACACGCCCGAAGAATTGGCCCTATACCGTTCAATAGTGTATAAGAACCTCCTCGACTCTGCGGACGCATTGCACATGGCTGTTCGCGAGTCGGGATTGTTCTTTCACAGCGAGGAGGCTCAAATTTATTCATCTTGGTTTCCGCTGTCGAAGAAATGCCTTCTGCCAGATGAGACTTTCGAGTCGGGAACCTCTAAAGCAGTATCAGCTTGGTGGCATGATCCCGTCATTCCCTTGCTCATGGAGCAGCGAATGCAATTCTATCTGATGGACTCGGCACCCTAGTCAGATCCCAGCGGACTCCGTGCCGTTTGGATGAGTCACTGACATCTGTTTTAGTTTATTCGACAATGTTGAGCGGATAACGGCTCCCGGTTACCTACCTACGGAGGCGGATGTGCTGCGAGCCAGGATGAAAACTACGGGGATATACGAGACCCAGATCTCCATTGGCTTTACAAATTTGAAGTGAGTTCACCATCTCGGCACAATCTCTTCCCGCCACTGATATGTGTAGTGTGTACGACGTTGGAGGCGCCAGAAGCGAACGAAAGAAGTGGATTCATTGCTTCGAGAACGTCTCAGCCATTATCTTCTGTGTTGGGATGAGTGAGTACGACCAGGTTCTGCTAGAGGATTCCAACCAGGTATGGGCTTAGGTGCAGTTCTAACCTCTCTGTGCCGGAGGGGTTCAATCCTCCTCATGTTTCTTTTGCTGACTAGAAATTCAGAACCGAATGATGGAAAGCATACTACTCTTCGACTCGATTGTCAACTCGCGATGGTTCCTGAAAACAAGCATAATCCTTTTCATGAATAAGATCGATCTCTTCAAAGAGAAGCTGCCTCACTCTCCGCTTGAAAAGCATTTCCCGGACTACAAAGGCGGTGCCGACCTCAACAAAGCAGCCAAGTACGTTCTCTGGCGATTTAATCAAGTAAATCGCGCCCATCTGCACCTCTACCCGCACCTCGTGCAGGCTACCGATACCAGCAATATGGAGATTGTATTGAAGGCTGTGGAGGAGACGATTTCGCAAAATGCATTGAGGGATAGCGGGGTGGTGTAGGCGAGTTGGGCGACGGAGATGGTGAACATCGTCTTGCTGGCGGCGGATTACGTCGTGCGCAGCATGCAGTCACCGAACCACGTAATCCTCGTACTTTCAACAGCAAAGCGAGTGATCTGGTAGGACCGACCAGCGGTCGGACCTCGAGGTCGCCACGGGTGCAGCTCCCTCCGCAATAAAGCTGCAGGTCAGAGTTCAGCCACGAAGCTTGTGGAAAAAAGCTCATCCGTCTTAACATGCAGATGTGCGGGGGTGAAGAGGGGAAAGAGGGGGATTTGCAATTGGGAATTGATTATCTTCCCAACTTTGCACGTTATTCCGACCCCCGACCTCCGACCTCCGGCTCTTTCTGTCCCACAATCGAGACTCCGTGCTTCGAGCATTTCTAGAGACGCGGCTGTTTCGCCCCACAGCAACCAGGAAATTTTCCTGAATCCGGAGACCCCGCGCTTCTCCACACATCACCCCGGAATCATGGGAGATTTGTGGGGATGACCGAGGAAAGCTTGCAAATCCTTCCAGAACTGGCTCGACGAAGCTGTTCTGCCAATGCGTTCAGTCCAACGCATTCGCATCGCCAGCTGTTGCATCTAAATTTGCCGTGTAGCAGATTGAGTGAGTAGGATGGATGATCAGCATACGCAAGGGTCCAATTGCCTTCTGAACCCTTAATTCAAAGGACGTGATGGTCGAGAACTAGAGGTAATACAGTTTCATCGCAAGCAGTGTTTCGTATTGGCTCTCGGAGATTTAGGAGATCACTGCTTGACATGGATAGCGTCCTGTGGAGCTGGAAATTAGAAGAAGGACAATTTGTGGGGAAGCATGCAGCTATCTTCAAAGATAGCCAAGCTGAACCGACGATCCCACATTTTGCATCATCTGCTCAAAGACTGCAAAAGCTTCGGGTCAAAGGAAGTGATCATTGGAGGGTAATTGGCTCCGAATCTAATATAAAGCTCTTCATTCCACCCTCCGGATTTCCACTCTTCATCGTCAGCCCTTCTGTTCTTCTACCCATTCCAGCTCTTTCCTATACCCTCTAGTAGAGATGCGCTCGTCTCTCTGGATCCCCTTGACGGGGCTAGCAGCATTCGCTCATGGAGCCAGCTTGAGTGACATCTGCACCACCAGCTACGCCAAAACTGCCTTCCCAGCCACCGATTACGTTCCCGGAATCACCCTCGATCCATCCTCCATCACCACCGCGCTCGTCACCAACAGCTCCGTAACGAGTGACTTCTTCCCCTCCTCCGTCATTGATTACTGCAACGTCACTTTCGCATACTCGCACAATGGCCGCGATGACCAGGTCTATCTTCAGATATGGTTGCCCGACCCGTCTGTCTTCCAGAACCGGTGGCTATCTACTGGAGGCGGTGGTTACGCTATCAACTCCGGATCCAACTCCTTGCCTGGAGGCATCATCTACGGTGCGGCGTCTGGTCTCACGGACGGCGGCTTCGGATCCTTCGATACCCAAGCCGATGCCGCCATGCTGCTGGCCAACTACACCCTGGACTACGAGACCCTCTACATGTTTGCATACAAAGCACACTGGGAACTCACGAAGATTGGCAAGGAGTTTACCCGAAATGTCTATAACCTGACCGAGAGCGAGAAGCTGTACGCGTACTATCAGGGCTGCTCCGAAGGAGGTCGCGAAGGCTGGAGTCAGGTCCAGCGATACGGAGACGAGTGGGATGGAGCTGCCATCGGCGCGCCAGGTAAATCCATAAACCACACCCCCGCCAACTGCGCATTGAGTACTAACACTCTCGCCTTCTAGCCTTCCGGTGGAGCTTCCAACAGACCCAACACTTGTGGAGCAACGTCGTCGAGCAGACCATTGGCTACTACCCGCCACCCTGCGAGCTGGAGAAGATCGTCAATGCGACCATTACCGCCTGCGACCCGCTCGACGGCAAGACCGACGGCGTCGTCTCACGCTCTGACCTATGCGCCCTCAACTTCAACATCAGCAGCCTGATCGGCGAGCCGTACTCGTGCGCCGCCAGCGGTGGAGGCTCCTACTCGAGTGCCGTTCCCGCACAGAACGGCACTGTCTCCGCCCTGGGCGTCCAGGTCGCGCAGACGATCCTCGACGGCGCGCACGACTCCGCCGGCAAGCGCGTGTACTTCTCCTACCAGCCGGCCGCCGCCTTCGACGACGCCGCGACGCAATACAACTCGACGACCGGGCAATGGGAGCTGGAAATTGACCAGCTGGGTGGCGAGTACATCGGCCTCCTGGTCTACGAGAACGGCACCACCCTCGACAGCCTCGCGGGCGTCACCTACGACACGCTCAAGTTCTGGATGATCTCCGGCCTCCAGGAATACTTCAGCACGCTGCAGACCACCTGGCCCGACCTCACCCCCTTCCACTCCGCCGGCGGCAAGGTCATCCATTTCCATGGCGAGGCCGACGCCTCCATCCCCACGGCCTCGTCGGTCCGCTACTGGGAGTCCGTCCGCAGCGTCATGTACCCCTCCCTTTCGTACAACGAGAGCACCGACGCCCTGAAGGAGTGGTACCGTCTCTTCTTGGTGCCTGGCGCAGCGCACTGCGCGACCAACGACGCCATGCCCAACGGTCCCTTCCCGAACAAGAACCTGGAGATTCTGATCGACTGGGTGGAGAGTGGCATCGTGCCGGTCACGCTGAACAGCACGGTGTTGCAGGGCGAGAACGAGGGCCAGGAGCAGCAGATCTGCGCGTGGCCGCTGCGGCCGCTGTGGAACGGCGACGAGATGGAGTGTGTTTACGATCAAGCGTCGATTGATACTTGGCATTACGATTTGGATGCCGTGCCGATTCCGGTTTACTAGGGTTGTCAATATACTATTAGTCATGTATATAGGGATCTGATTGTCGGTATGGACTAGGGTCGGTGAAATAGTTTGGGTAGGAGTCGAATGTCTAGTCATCTATCTTTACCGAGTAAGCTCTACGCTTACGCTTCGTGATTGTGTACATTAAACGAATGGGACATGCATCTGATGACTAACCGGTGTCTGCAGTTCGTAGATATCTATGTTCAGCTTCCACTATGGACCGTTTGTGCTGTATGTATATGATTGCTTTCCGATCCACATCGGTTCACCTTTCAGGAAGCTGCTCCGGTGACCTTCCAATGTCAGAGGCAAAATCATTTGCCAAAGCACAAGGCCTTTGTTGGGGAACTGGGCTCCAGCTTCCGATGAGTTCAAGTTTATATCCATTCCAGCTGATTGTGTTACCCAGTCCGGGAATCCCACCACCCCGAAGATTACAGCCAATGGCAGGATTGATAAACCTTTCAATGCAGCTTTTAATGCACATGAGTTGACATAACAAGCATAAAATGACTAACTTGTGAACTTAAACATCTCCTGCGACTCCCTGCGCGCAGTATTACGCGATTAGAAAGAGAATCTCCTCTTCCCATCTTCCCGCCCCCACCCTCCCCCCACCACATCCCAATTGCATCATCGAATGTGATGAATCTGGTTCATGTAGTGGAGGACCGATCTCTGGTAAGTCACGCTCTTCATGCACGCGGTGGACCGGGCCGAACAACCGACGTCCACAATTCATAACACGGCATGATGCATCTCAAGGACTCTGTACCTTACTGCAACCATCGCCAACTATACTACAATTATACAGTACTACTACACTCCCGTAAATCAACCATCTCCCAACCAGTCCTCGAATCCATCAGCCTGGACACCCACGATCGCATCGCGCGTGGAGTATCCAGCCCCCACGGGCCGGTGCAAGAAGGTGTACGAGGCGCTTTTAAGCTCCCACACGTCCGGTGAAGCTATATGAGGATCATGCAGATAGTGTAACTTAGTTTCAAAGCTTTTTCGTGTGTGGGTGATGATTCGAACCAAGCAATTCTCAATCCAACGATATGAGTTTAGTACTTAGTTTTCTGGCCATGCCGAGCAAGCGCACCGCACGTGGGCGTTTGAGCACACCACGCTGATATTTCAGAACGTCGAACGTGTCCAGTCATGTCATCATCACATAATAAGGATCCGCGAGATACCAGACAAACTTTCTGTCCAGTTCCTGGATTGTGACTCCCAGATTGCAGGCAACGCATCGATCGCCTTTGGGATATTTGCAAACAAGGTGTTCGAGTGAATGGCCTTCATGTAATGTATGAAGAACGCGCGATGTTCAGGCTCAGTGCTATCTGCAGCCGCGATGAAGCATGGCCAAACGAAGCCGTGGGCTCCCGGGTCGGTCGGGTGTGCCTGGCTGATCAAGCAGCGCAGCTCCTCGCGCAGGTGCCAGGAGCTTTCGTCAGACGTCAGCCGCAAGAGATAGATCTGAGCGCCAAGGGTAAATGAACGGCGGGCCAGCGAGAGCGTTTTGCCATGCTGAGCGTCGGAGTGCACATTGGGCGGCAACCATATCCCTGAGTCCACGGGGTTGCTCAACGCCTTCAGACCCTCATCCTTGTTGAGCAAGGACCGTCCCAGAAACGAAAACATGTCAGTCTGTCGTACAAGGAACTCGTGCAGCTCTGGGTGGCCAGATGATCTGACGTTCTTGGCCAAAGTGAACAACGTCTGCAGGAGGAAATAGGACTCCGGGCTACCAGTGACCGTCTCCCCAACGAGAAGTACAAGCAATGTTGCCCAGGTCACCGGGTTGAACACCTGATCGGGCGACCCAACGTTGGAGGCGCGTAACAGACGTGTTATGATAGCAGACCGATCGGCTTCCGCCGCTGCTTGTAACGCTGGCTGCCGGAGACCAATATGCTGAGCAGCTACAACCGCAACCGCTCGCTGAAGCACCTCATCCTGGCAAGCCATCGGGAGGATGAAATCCCGATAACCATTGGATATGTCTAGCAAGACCATGACCGGAGCGATGTTTTTGGCAAAATAATCGAATAGGCCAAGAGCTCGAGAGCTCAGAGATGCAATCCATGGTTGAAAAGACTGGTTCGTCCTTGGGGTAAGATATTCCGCTGTCTCGGTGTCAACGTGGTCGGCATCTCCCTCCAGCAATGGATCGATCGCAGATTCCTGAACAAGTGTCGCCTCATGGGCAGCAACAGCAGTCGAGGTCGTTGTTGCAACGCTTGGAAATTCGGTTGATCGTGCATAGTATGATCTCGGATCCGAGCCATCCGTACAGGGCAGAACGCAAGTCTCAGGCGACACCACGGAGGATCGTCCAACGGTATCAGCTCGCGTGTCGGCGGCCGCTTTCGCGACTGGCGGCGACGCGTGGTTCTTCTTGACCCTCTTCTTCCTCTCGTGACACCATCGAATTTGGGAGGATGCAATCGGAACGGAATCTTTGTATGCAGATTGCGGGTCGACATTGAGAACCGGAATGGCGCTGCCCTTCAGTTTCCCACGAGTTGCTACACCATTGCCGAATCGAAAGCGGCCGAGGCCACTACACTCAATCCCCTTCTTGAGACATTTTTGGCATGTGGGTTCAGCTTTATCGCAGACAATACGTCGTTTAGTACATTGACGGCATCCTATACAGATAAGCGAAAGTCAGCGGGAGGATCTCACGAGGTATTGTCAGAGGTAGGCATCCGCACATACCGCGTGATTTGGTGCTTGTTTCGGTGTCTGTCCCGGTCATTTAGACGGAGGACTGGCAACCGATGATTCACTATCATGCAATCATGTAGGATAATTTATTTGGGGGTCAGGAGCGCATGGGATTGGTGGAGCTGATCGTAGTGGGAATTCCGATGGAGAGTGGTTAATGTGTAGTTAGTGGGAGGGGGAGATGGAGAGATAAGGAGAATCCGAGGGAGGAGGATATCTCGGAACGGAACAACCCCGGCCGACATAAACGCGATACTTGGTTTCTTGTCACACTCCGGAGCACTGCATTTCACTTCTTGCACATGTACATACTGTACACAGTAGTACCCACAACTCCATCAAGGCACATGGCTCTGCATTAACCAGAAGCAGAACTTTATCTCCGTCACTACTGACCCTGTCAGTAACACAGATCACGGTGCCTGTCCCTTATGGGGCATTCCGCCCCGCATATCTGTCGATCTGAGCTTGAAGGAATCAAGCTTCTGTGATCATCCCTCAGTGACACTGGACCAGGTTCACGACCTGACACGGGATACTCGCATCCTCCTCTGAATAGGACCAGATAGGCCATGTTTCAGTTTGCTCTCCGGCTTGCACACAGTGGTGATCTTCTTACAGCCTGTGGTGGGTAGTTAGTATGGCTGCGGATGGCTTCAGCCCAACCGAGCGCTAAATTGCTTGCTCGGACTAATCCCTTAACCTGAAGAATTAATATGAAAGTCAATTTGGAGGGCCCAGGAGACCGGCGGCGATAGCAGCCAACCCTAGCAGGTTCCTGGCTTGATTGTTCACCCTATCATGGTGCAATATCAACTATACCCTTTGTCCGGCCAATCTCCTGCGGACTCCGACGCGCCTTGCTTGCTTATCGCTCGGTGGGCACAACGGTCTGCACCAATCCCCGCTCAGGCTGACGCAAACCCCACCATCGGCAATATCCATCATGGAAGAGGATCCACTTATTGCAGTGGAGTGGGGTGGTGGCACTGGAATAGTGGTGCTGCCTGCTGCTTGTTCCTGTCAAATCCGTCACTTGGAACTAGCAGCAATCTCTTTCACCCTCTCACGACTGCTCATGCATCATTTCAGACAGTCCTGACGAAATGAAGGGAGACTGGTCGGTGGTCTGCGCTAAGGACTAGCATGCAGATTCTCTTCCAAGCGGAGGTGACCGAGTCACCCGTACTATGAGGGTCTCCCACAGCGCGGTCGAAGTATAAAACCCACGCGCCATGCCCCTCTCCCTCGCTCCTCTCTCCATCACCATCTTCAGCAGTGCAAGAGACTTCTCTTTTCTTTCCCTCCCTTCACAATGCGCTTCACCGCTGGTTCCCTGGCTGCCGCCACCCTCCTTGCGGGTGCTGTCTCAGCTGCCCCGGCCCCCGCCCGTAACGGCCTGAGCAAACGGGTGTACAAGCCTACTCCCCTCGCCAGTCGTGCTAGCAGCAAGGCTTCGGCGAATGTCCTGGAATTGAAGAAGGTGAAGACTGCCAAAGGTGCGACAAGCCACAGCGCAGCTCGCCTGAAGAAAGGCAGCAGCAGCACCACCACCACGTCTGGAAGCTCCACCTTGATCTCGCTCATTGAAGGCGAGGAGTTTGCGACCTCCATCACCGTCGGCGGTGACTCCTTCGACGTCATTGTGGACACCGGTTCCAGCGATCTCTGGTTGGTGGAGGAGGGATTCACCTGCCTGAACGAGAACAGCCAGAAGGTCTCTGAATCCGAGTGCGCCTTCGGTTCTACCTGGACGCCTACCAGCTCCTTCAGCAAGATCTCCAACGAGGAGTTTTCGATCAGCTATGGCGATGGTGAGTTCGCCACGGGAGTCATGGGCAAGGATGAAGTTACGCTGGCCGGAATCAGCGTCGAGCAAGAAATGGCCGGTGTCACTGAGGCGTTCTGGGAGGGAGACGGTACCACCTCCGGCCTCGTCGGTCTGGCCTACCCTGGCATGTAAGTTGGCACCCAGCCTGACCCCCCACCGTGATGGTTGTGGCAAATGTTCTGATCCGGTGACCCACAGCACGAGTGCCTACAGCACCCGAACCTACCAGCAGGTGGAATATGACCCGATCATCACCACCCTGGTTGACGAGGGTCTCATCGACTCCTACTTTAGTTTGGCCATCGAGCGCGATGTCTCCGGTGCTGCGGGCTACATCACCCTGGGTGGTCTTCCGCCCGTCAACTATACCGACACCTGGTCATCCACCGATATCCTGGTGACCACCTACGATGGCCAGGATGAAGGCTATGCGTACTACACCATCGACATCGATGCCGTCACTTTGAGCGGCAAGTCGCTCACTGCTGCCGGTGGAAGCAGCATCCAGTACATTGTCGACAGCGGTACGACTCTGAACTACTACCCGACTACCATCGCGGATGAGGTCAACGCCGCTTTCTCCCCTGCCGCCACTTACAGCGAGGATGAGGGCGCCTACATCGTCGATTGCGATGCCACTGCGCCCGCGCACGGAATCACCATTGGTGGAACTACCTACATCATCAACCCCTTGGACATGATCCTCGACGCGGGAACCGACAGCAGCGGCAACACGGTCTGTATCTCTGGCATCGTGGACGGTGGCAGTGACTACAGTGAGGACATCTTCATCCTGGGCGATGTCTTCCTGAAGAACGTGGTTGCGGTCTTCGATGTCGGCGACGTGGAGCTCAAGTTCGCTCCTCGCGAGTTTTACGACTCCAATGACACTTACTAGTGCTTCGCCTTGGCGGGCGAGGGACCACTAGTCCGACTGGATTTACGAGTAGTATGGAAATGGATCAAAATGAGTGTGTTTCCGTTGATGTGGTGCGAAGAGATGTTAGGTCCCCGGAAGGACATGGCTGCGCCGTGCTATTGTGTGTACATATGAACTTTGTATCTGGTGACAGAAAGGGTCATGGTTTCTACTGATAGTTGGGAGCATCCAGTAGGCTTATGGGTAAATTGATCGTGACATAATTAATTACTCCCTACAATCCCCTCTCCCGTTCTTCTCCTTAACCTTCAGCGACAACAACTCCTTCGAACAGACCATCGCTGCCCTCGTCCCATCCTCAATCGCTCCATCAATAAACCCCCTCCACCCCCTCGGCCAATCCGCACTAGCAAAGACCACATTCCCATGTCTCTGGCGCAATTTCCCCAGCGCCTCATCCAACAACCCCGGTGGTGGATAGAACCATGCCCCGCGAGTATACGGATCCTTCACCCAGTTATGGAACACGAGGCGCCGCACATTGATGACCTCGGGGTTGGGATTGCGCACCTGCTGCAGCGTCTCCTCGACATCCTCTTCGGGCTGGAGGCCGTTCTCCGCGGGCCCGAAACATACCAGCGTCGGGTAGCCGGCAGGGGTGGCGCCGACGGCATTCGCATAGATCAGGTTGTTGTAGGGATAGTTGATCCCGTCCCAGGAGCGTAGCTCTTTGTTGTTCACTTCGGCATAGAGTTTCGTGCACCCGTTGACGTGGCCAGTTTGAATAGCCGCCGCGCGCGTTTCATCGAGCGGTGGGATGAACGAGACGTCTTGCGGGACGTTGAGGGGGATTGTGCAGACGACGCGGGCGGCGGTATAGGAGGATGTGGTTCGTCGGATTCTGACCTCCTGTCGCAGGGGCAGTAGTCACAGTCACAGTCACAGTCCCATCCCCGCACCAACAACCCGCTGCACCGGACAGCTCAAGCATACGACAGATTCCCCGTCTCCAGCGCCTCCTCCAGGAACAAACTGATACTCCTCCTGATAATCCTGCAGCCCCTGAGAAGTGTGATGACGCAGCGCCCACCAGTGCAGGAACTTCACGAAACTCGTCGTCTCGAGACTCCCGCCGGAGGTCGTGAGCACGTAGCCCAGAATCGCCGCGCGTTCGTTAGGGCTAATCGCCGCCTCGATCTGCATAGGTCTCTGGCTGCGGTCAGTCCGCAATATCCTGCTCCAATTACAATCACGTCGTAGTGGCTGTGCTCGGAGAGCCGCTATGGGGCTGGATGACACCTTCTGAGGCGAGGTCCTGGGTTAGGCCGTGTCGGCGGTCCAGTGGTATCCATCTTTGCTGGGCATCTTGTTGGTCTTGGAGAAGACGGCACCCATGCAGCCGGTGTAAGGCAGGTAATTAGGTTGTGATTTTCAGAGGTGAGACAACAATGAGTAGGATTTATATGCACATGTCTCTCAGGGTCTTCTACAATCTCAACAATCCCCGGGTCGAATTCCTTGCGTATTCATCTACAGGATTAGCACGCCTGTATAGAATCTCGCATCATCGTTTGCATCAAAACCAGGCATCCTATGACAGTTTTCCCCTCACGCGTCCCACCAGAATGGCAAGTCGACTGTTGTGGCAGAGTCAATAGCCTCAGTCATTTGCCCAATCGTGTGGACGACATTAGGGCTGCGTTTGGCTATGCAGAACCGACCTCCGCAGACCCAGTCGATATCTCTCACCCTTCGACAACTTTGAAGACGACGCAATGCAGAAATGGCCAAAAGCAAGCTGAACTGGGGAAATTCTTGACCTAGCAGTTGAACTCTGCGGGTAGGAATTGTACGAAATTACGCTGATCGTCGCCGTTACCAGGAATGGGACCCTATCTAGCACGTCGTAGTAAACACACCACACCACGATTCGACTATCCTATCGACTCAATTCACATATTAGTGCACATCCCCACTCGCAATCCTCCCCGCAACAACCCTCCGACACTCTGCCAAAATGGCCGCCTGCCTGCCCACCTCCGCCAAGCTCCCCACCACCTTACGATTCCCCCCGACAAACCCATACAGGGCATACGGAATGTCCACCTCCGAGCAAAACGCCAGCACCAACTGCTGCACCCTGCGCAGATTATGCCGCGGCACGCGGGGAAACAGATGATGAATCGCCTGGAACTGCAATCCCCCGTGCACCCAGTCCAGCCACTCCGGACAGTCCACATCCATCGTCGTGCGGAGCATGCGCTGCGGGAACGACTCCGCGGGGCCTAAATCCGCCGTCGACATCGCGAAATGCGACAGCGTGAACTGCACATGCAGCGGCATGGTGACTGCATGGCTGAGCAGGACAAACATCACCCTGGTCCCCACGGTGGGCAAGGAGCGGTACACGATCCCGTACCCGAACCAGCCCCAGAAGAGCAGGTTGCCTGCGATTTCGAAGTAGCGGTGCCACCAGGCAGGCCCCTTGCGGGGTCCCTGACCTTGAATCAAGAAGATCCAGGATTGGACGTACAGGTTGAAGCGCCCGAACATCAGGATGATGTAGTACAGGTAGGCCTGGTAGGGGACGAGGCGCTGGGCGAGAGGCGTGTACGGCATCAGACGCTCGTGGTAGGAGGAGAAGAGACTGCCCAAGAAGCGGTGGTTGACGGCCAGGAACGGGAGGTGCTGGTTGTCCGGGTCGTGGGCGGGCGAGTTGGTGACCAGGTGGTGCACGTTGTGCGTGCGTTTCCACCAGCCCAGCGAGAGCCCGCCGATCGGGGCCGCGATGATCATCCCGAGTAGGTTGTCGAGGAGGAAGTCGTGCGTGATGGCCATGTGGGCGGAGTCGTGCGCGGCGAAGACCATCTGCGACCAGAACCAGCCGAGGAAGACGGCGCTCGTGCAGTACCATTCGAGGCGGAGGAAGACGAGCATGATGCAGAAGAGCAGGGCGCAGCGGCCAAACTCCCACGCGTAGGCGCTGTAGTTGCACTGGTAGAGCCCTTCGGCTTGGATCTGCGCGTGCAGGCGGCGGTATCGCTCGATGATGGTCGACTGCGTGGGCGCGTCGAGGGAGGGATACCGGTCCAGCGTCAGGCGGATCTCCTCTTTGGTTTGCGCGTTCAGGAAGGCTAGTTCTTCCGGGGTGTTGCGGTCGGACGATAGTTGGGGGAGTTCGGGGAGATGATGGTCTTGCTCGTGATAATTTATTGGGCTGTTGGGGCCACTCTTGGTATTCTTCGTATGCCCATGCTCCGGGTCTCTCTGGATGGGAGGCACCAGATTCCGCCAACGGCCTTCAATCCTTCCAATCTGGTACCGGTCGATCAATTGGCGGGTTTCGGCTGAGTGCATCCTATGTAGATCTGTTCAATTACTGTCCAGTGGACTTGGATTGAATCACGTACACAACGAATTCATCCGTCGCATCCTTCCCGATGAAATGCTGGATGGGCTTGTAACCCCCCGGGTGGTAAGGCAGCCATGCATCGACCCGGAGGACTTTCTGGTCTATTATGACGATCGCCTGGCCTTTGACGATTAGATCCTCAATCTGCTGGACTGAGAAGATTTGCTCTTTTCCTGAAGACGCATTGCTAGAGGTACCCATGATTAAAGTTGTAGATGTAATGCGGGTTCATTGAAGGACAAACCGTGGATGTCGTCGGCTGGAAAAGGACGGGCCGATGCCGAGTTCGGGTCTCGGAAACAAGGGGCTTCTGAACACGTCATCCACTCAGAAGGATTCCATTTCATCCTCAAGGCTATGATTCATAGATGGAATTGCAGATCATGATTTTCCAAACTGCCGTTAACAGCCAGATTATATAGACTGCAGAGCCCTCCACAAGTCACAACACCACCCACTGCACAGAACAGAAGGATTGTGGGGACAGGTGTTAGTGCACTGGTTAGGGCGTGGCTAAACACTGCCTGGGGGACAAGCTTTGTCCAAGACGGCCCTGCCCTGTGGAGGCGTTGAAAGGAAAACAATCTTAACATTATTCAGGGTTCTTTCATCGATCGTCTAGTGCATGTAGTTATTTCCAAATTGACGGCATGTCCCTCCCCATTTGAGGGTGGATTCTTTTACTCCTTGTGCAGAAAGAGTTACCAAAAGGCTAGTGGTAGTGACATATACTAAGCTTACTGTGCGTGGTATAGAACATGCATTGCGTATCGAAACATTCCGCGCAAGAAACTTTGTAGGCAACCCCTGCTCTGCATACAACCCCAGCATACTGCACGGAGGTAGCTCAAAGAAGTAGTGGAGCACCACCACACAATCATTCTCACAAGATCTGCACCGGGAGACTCGTCGACAGCCCATCAAGATCCTCCATCGTCAGAAGCGAAAAATGACCGATCGACATACAATCCACCAGAGCAGTGGCCCACCGCCCGAACCCTACTGTAATCCGGTCCGCAGCCGGCGCGGGACATCGACAATCTCGGGCTCGCGTTGCGCTGCAGGAACCCCGGCAGGTCCAGCTTCTCAAAGCGGTGCTGCGCGATCTCGTCGAAGTCGAGGATCTCGGCCCCAGAAAAAGCCCGGGACGAAGACCGTCGCGCCGATTTCGGCGGCCGGCGAGCAGGCGGACGTTTGGGAAGGTTCAGCCGAAGAGGCTGGCGATGGAGACGTCGCTCGTGCCGACTTTGCTGGTGCGGCCGGTAGGAGTGCCGTCCCAACGGAATCCATGCAGGCAGCACTGCGAGATGGACATTGTGTGTTGAAACAGGGCTGGGTGGTGGTAGAGGGGATATCAAGGGGGTTCCGGTGGTTTTGCTGCCCTCGGAGGGGGATTTTTATTACTAGTCACCCCCGCACTTCACCGGTTTAGTGTCGATTCTCCCGCCGACCATTGATGAGCGCTGACCAATTAACCAGGGTCAGATACTGCACATTTCCCGTGTTGAAAGATGCAGTCTGGGGGCGTAATTGCTTTATTCGTCAGACGTGGCCAATAATGGCGTGATAGTCTCTTCCTCGCCTGCAGAAACTGCCCAGTGGCTTACTACTAGTGGCATTTCAGGGTCTAGCTTGCGATTCCCTGTTACTCGGGGGAAAGGCGAGTCACGGTCGGTTGAGTGTAGTAAGAGAAATGGATGAACCAGCGCCTCTCTACCTGTTCCTCATCAGAGCAGGATTGTAGAGTCGGATTATTGCCAATACATGGTACGGTCACACTGGCAGCGATGATGCACTCTTCCCATATTATACATGGACCATCGCACTGCTGCAGAGGTAGCAGAATAATACTCCATCATAAATCATTCAGAGTAAAGGATGCGATCGCTCGGGATAGCGACATCTCACGGTATCCTTATTTCAAGCGGGACGAGTCTAACGTAGCTGGGGGTCCACAAAAAGATGTCAATAGTGATCTGGATGCATCAGCTAGGCATGTGGATGAGTATAATACATAGGTACCAAAAAGTCAGAGACTCCACATGGAAGGACGTGATAAGAGGCTTGAGAATGGAATGGCTGACAATGGCTGGGTAGTGCACAGAGCGGTATCATCGAAGAAGATATCTCGGAGGGTACCGTCGGCCCCGAAACGCCCTTCGGATCTTAAGTTAAGAAGACCGTCCCAACGCAAATATAATAAACGTTCGTAGTAGTAGAGAAAAATTATATGTTCAGCGTGCATCGTTTTGTCAATGACGACCGCCATGTTTTACAGTTACTGGACTCGCGGATCAATGGAGACCTGATCGACTTAATCAACCCAGTACAACGGATTGGCCAATCATAACTCCAGAGAACACGCATGAATCGTCGCCGTCACGGTGGCGTAGATCGTGGAAGTGACCACCTCGAGATCTTCGGCGCTGCTGGCTATGGGCGTAGTGGTGGGAGTGCGGTGCGGGATAACTGCGCCTGACACAGCACTGGACGAGACCGGAACCCGAATCGAGCTCGACTGAGGCGCGCTTGAGCTAGGTCCGACACGTGCTTGACTGGATGGAGTGGCCACAGGCGTAGCGATCACAGGGACCGATAACGAAGAGAGCGAGGAGATGGGGGAGGGTGGGATGACGGAGTTCGAGGACAGGCTCTTCGACGGCACTGGGGCGGAGCTGCTGTGGACCGGTACAGCGCTGGAACCATGGGAAGTCGACACCGCAATCACGCTGCTCGAAGACGCAATGGTCGCGGGGATGGAGGATGGAGTCGAGGTCGGAGTCGACACCGCGATCACGCTGCTCGAAGAGGCAACGGTCGCAGGGATGGAGGATGGAGTCGGGGTTGGCGTCGACGAGGATGAGTCCACGCGGGGTACCGAGCAAGTGACTTGAACAGGACCAGTCAAGGTGATATCGTCAAAGTTGACTTCGGAAGCATCCGCGAAGCGTTCACCCGAGCAAGTGAAATCTAGTAGCAACTGATGGGTGGTGCTGGTGGCCGTCCACTGGCCGGTGATTTGTGTCCAGGCACTGCTCACCGAGGTGAGCGCGCCAAATGCGACCAAATTGCTAGGTGCTGCGGAGTCCATATAAACGCCCAAAACACAAGTTCCAGTGCCAACGGATATTAGCTGCCAGGACAAGCCGAAGGTATAGGCGTCGCCCACCACCAGGCCAGTCAGTGTCTGTGAGAGGCCGTTGGAGGCTAGGTCGCCGTTGATCGCTAAGACGTAGTTGCCATCAGGAGCGCTCGTATCCCAGAAAGTGTCGTACACACTGCCCGCAGCTCCATTCGCAATAGTCCAGTCCGTGGTTCCATCTTCGAAGGAGGGATTCTGGACCGCCTGTGGGTAGCTGTAGGTGCAGACCCCACCACTGATGGCAGAGACAGTGGTCACGAAGAAGCCCACCACCGCTGCTTTGAGGGTCATCTGCATATCGGGATCCCACTTGTACTGTATGCCGTGGATGTCCGGGGAAAGGAGCGAAGTACGGTAAATGTGCCAAGCAAGGCGAGGATGAAACGAGAGGAGGGATGCTGGATCCGGACAGGAGATGTCAAACGAGCGACTTGATCCAGATGTTCCAAAGCCTCTTTCGCAAAGATAATTCCGAGAGGGAATGGGCCCCTTTTAAAGAATGGTTCAAGGTGGTCGCCAGAAACTTCCCAATGTACGATCAATCCGAGCTCTGGAGAGCCGGCAAAAACAAGCGACAAGCGATCTAATCGCGTGCTTCATCTTCGGTAAGCACGGATTTCAGCAATATTTTCGTGGTGGGAGGTTCATTGCGTTCATTCATGGTTTTCTCGCTGATCAGACACTCTTGATCAGACGTAAGTTCAAACAACTATGAGTTCAAATGACTCGTTGTCAGACACCGGAAGAGCGGGGAGTCACATGATCAGCAGACGATCCGAGCGACCGCGCAAAAACTCCCCAAGACAAACCAAGCAAACCACGCAAACCACGTGTGCTTCTCCGCCCCCCAGCAATCCCTGGACCAAAAGTATTGGAAAGAAACTACTACTACTAGTCCAGCAATGGACAATTGCCCCCATACCCTAACACGTCTGATCCAGGGGTCGACCACTGCCCTGTTCCGACCAAGTACAGCTCTTGACAAGCATGATGTTGCTGCCTAGGTCGCTGTTGGAGTAACTGGACCCTTCGTTAGACTAGTAGTAGGTTTCTAGCATGTGCATCAAATAGCACGACCCTCACATATGACTGCGCAATAGGGCTGCATGGAGAGCCAGGAGATGAATTGCGATATTTGTTATCTCACCGAGGTATGTACCCGTGCAAGGCAAACAAGCTGTTAGCGAGCGAAAGGAAGATTTTGGAAGAGAACCCGCATTACTCTACTAAATATACCCTCCATGTGAAGGAATAGACTCCATGAGGGATAATGCTGCACTGTACAATGCTCGCTATATCTGCGTGATGTGTCCTGGTGGCGATTTCTACACTCATATGAATGTAGGAAGAAATAGACCAGGAACTACATGCCGCGGGAAATCATGTATGCATTTATGGGCTTCTCGAAGATAGACAGTATATCCAAATCCGCATCTCTCACGACTGGATCATCTCAGCGGTAAGGCCGGGTTCAAAAAACTACGTCTGGTAGCAAATATAGTATTGCCGTGATATCCGATGCCCTAACATGTATACTGAGTCTCAATGGTCCGGGGTGGAAATGTGTAAGCCCTAGCGCAGTATGACGCTATAGGAAACTTGGCGCAAGGAGAAGCATAGGATAGTACTTAGCCATGTGAAAAAGTGCACAACATAAAAAACCAACAGAAGAAACATGTTCACAAGTACCGCGCGACCGGCGCGCTTTTCAGATGGATTGCGCACTGACCCAGTTCCCACCCCCGGTCGCACATCGCCGCTTGCTTACCTGGCGAGCGACCCGGGCGTATTCAGATCCCTGCTCGAGACCTCGGACGCACCCACTGTGGAAAGAGGGGTCAGCTTCGACTGGGTAGTGAATGTTGGCTAGTCGGGTTCCGTGTACTCGGGAATTAAGGAGGAATTAGGTCAGTGGCGCTGTCATCTCCAGACTTGCTGCCCGTCTATTGTTAGCTCATGCTTAGCTGGTTTGATCGCTGATATGCGGAGGGAGTGATCTGGTGGCCGAGGATGCTGACATGGCCGCGTACGCTTCCAAGAGTCAAGAAAATCGACTAGGCACGGTCACTTGGTATCCGTCTGCTGACCGCGATGAAGCACCGTGTCTTTTTAAGAAGGAGATGACGGCGGAGGACGCTCCGATGGAGGGTGTCAACTTGACCGACGCATTAGTACAACAGATACACACGCCCTTTTCTTCTTCATCGAGATTGCGCTCAAAGACATGTGAGTCGCAGTAACTGCGGGTATTGCAGGCATCGAATCCAAATCGAAGACTGTTTTCAACCATGTATCTTCGACGGAGAAGACTAGAGTATATCAATTTGCATAAGTTACGGAAAGTGGTGGCTCAAGGGTCTGGCGGCCTCAGATAACCGTACAAAGACAGCAGCACAATCCTTGTGAATCTGGCTTCGTTGTGACCGCATGCTGTCTTTGGCCGGACAGCAGCTGCTGCTCAGTCCTTGGATCCCTGTTTTCCTGGCTAGGGTGCATGAGTTCGGCGCAGCCGGAATGAAAACAAACACAGCAATGGGAAGGTCTTCACAAGTCACAGGCAAGATACAGAATCCGAATCACCGTTGCGTTTCTTTTGCCATCCAATTACCCTTCCTCCATCAAACGATTCGAGCCGATGGCCGGTTAGCACAAGGGGTATTAGCACCAATGCACCAAACACCGATCTCATCAACAAAATGACGACTCTATTAATACTGCCATGAGGAAAGTCCTCTTGGAGTGAACAGAGTGATTCTCGACTGTACCTCCTTGCATAACCAGGCTGAAGGATTATGTACAGAGAAAATCCCGCGTGTGGGGATTGCTAAGATAGGATGCAAGACACAAGCAGGTTTGGCCTGTTATTCACCTGAAGGTGATGCGCCAAGTGGAGTCAATTGGCTCTCAAGGTTGCCGCTGCGGTCAGACTGGTTCAAAATCTTCCCTTTTCCTGGATGCTTGTCTCTTGTTACGCGACCTGCGATGAATACACCGCTTTTTGGCAGCAATGGTGTGGATGCGGAAGAGAATGCAAGGGGACAAGCCACCTGAGAACAGAACGTACACCACGGCTGGATGCGAGGGAGGGGTGGTGAGGAGATGGAAAACACATGAGGACAAGAATGAAGTCATCTTGCTCGATGACGGCTGACCCGCCTGAAGAGTCAGATCACGGGCAATCGAAGTGGATTCTTCTTTTGGAGGAGGACCGGTGCGTGTCATCTGTCGGAGTTAGGGCTCGTCATGCGCGGAGAAGACTGCTATTCTTGGAACGGGCTGGTGCATGAAGGAAGAATCTGGAGAGAGCGGGCCAGCAAATGGCTACATAGCCATCTCGGCAACGAGTATTTCCGTCCAATGTCTGAATGGATGGATGGATGAATATTAGAATGGTGGCAGTTTGCTAAGAAAGAAACATCTGATATCATGCGGGGCGGGGAGGGCAGCCACCCACCATCCAGGTCCCAGGGCCAGTAGAATGCCGAGAATCCGACCTGGAGAACCGAGCATCGACGATTGGTTCTGGCTGGACCGGGTAAGCCTCGTTGGTCGCGGCTCAATGCAGCTGCAGGATGAGTGCTGAATCATCTGCACCGGGGCAAGTCAAGCATTGGACAAGAATTCCCCGCACGCGGGAGGGAGGGGGGAGGGAAAAAGCTACGTCTACAAGTACATCTTGCAGGTAACTTACTTGGTTACTAATGCGATCTACACTAAGCTACTCAGACACCTCGCTTCAAGATACTTGCCCACCCTGACTACACGGCATGCAACTGACTCCACCTCCACCACCATGGTCGCTTCAGAACAATGTATCTCGTACGTGGGCTGCAGATTTCAAGGAAATAGAAATACTCAGCTTGCGTGGAATTCACACCCAACAAGGTCCTCCCCGCTCCACTCCAGCTGCCGAAAGTCAAGACCAGCCCTAACAAGCCCCACCCTCTTACCTATCTTTGCCTTCTCCCCGAATGTCTCCTTTTTGTTGCGACATCTCATAAGGACTACCTAAGGTAGTGTATCTCCACTCTGTAAGCAGTTGGGCGTCCAACCAGCGACATGCGCCATAGTTGCCCTCCCTCGCCATCTCCAACCTGTCTCCGCTCCATGAGGGGTAAAATGTTCGAGCAAGGTAGATTCCTGGGTCAAAGCCACTCAACCACTCGATCCAGGGGTGAGGGGAGAGAGAGATGGACTGCAGTCCTGCGGTGCCGTCAGGAGTAACCCCCAATTCCATCAGGGGTATAAATAAGAAGCTGTCGGAGGCCTTGCATGTCCCCTACTGCTCCGACAATCATTCTTCCTCAGATCTCTCCCAACCGGAATCCCCGCGCGCAGAGACACCATGAAGTCAAATCTAGTATGTGTCCTTTCTCTCGCAACGCTGTTCGCATCGCGGAGTCATGGCGCCCCAACGAACAATCCCCCATTGCGAGGATCGGAAGACCTACTTGGTTATTCTTCGTCCAACACGCTCTCGTCGCAGACGACAGAGGACATCCCCTACACGCCAGTAGACGGACAAACGGACGATGCCGACCTGGGAGTGTACCTGAACTTTGAGGGTTCAGCCAGCCCGCAGCCGATCCGGGGGAACACAGGAGGGACGGATCCAGGTCCACGTAAGTACCTATTCTCTTCAGTCGCTGTTGCCTGAGATGCAGCACGCACAACGCTGACCCTGTCGTACATCGCGGCACAGGAAATGCCGACTATGATCGCATCAACAGTGACAAGCTGGCGCCGCCGGGCACGGATGAAGGGCAGACGATCAACGCACAATGGCCTATGGGTATGTTTTCTTGGTGCTTGTGCAGGAGAGGTTCCATACTGACAACTTCCCAGGACTCAGTCATAATCGGTAGGTCCATTCGATTCCCAGTAGCGAAGACGGGGTCCTAATTGGTAGTCTTGGGATGAACGAGTCCGGCTGGGCGCGACAGGAAAACTTGAACGTGATGCCGGACGCCACCAAGATGGCCGGGGTGGATATGCGCCTGGAAGCTGGAGCATACCGTGAACTCCACTGGCATGTTGCCAGCGAATGGTCACTGGTTCTGAATGGATCGTGTCGCATTGAGGTGAGTGGTCTTCTCTGTCTTGTTTACCTCCTACCCATCTTGATGCACCACTGACAATTCCATAGGCTGTCAACGAAAATGGCCAGACTTTTGTCGATGACGTAACAGCTGGCGATGTCTGGTTTTTCCCGCCGTGAGTTTTTCCTGACTTTTGAGATGCCAAATGGAGCCACTGACCCCAAAAATGCGACATAAGTGGAATCCCACACTCGATCCAAGCCTTGGACTCCGGGGTGGAATTTCTCCTGGTCTTCGATGATGGCGATTTCTCCGAGGACAACACCTTCCTTGCCACCGAAGTCTTTGCCCACCAACCTGTAGGTTTGACCCAAACTGCTGGCCAGCGGGTTTACCCCCCACTCCCTCCTCTCCCGAGTATGACCGATACTAAAGTCCGTCTCAGAAATCGGTGTTGGCCAAGAATTTCGATCTCCCCGTGGCCGCCTTCGATGAGATCCCGGATGATGAACTGTACATCTTCCCCGGCACCCCGGCCCCGACCAACATCAGCGAGCAGAATGTGACGGGCACGGCGGGCATTGTGCCGTTCACGCAGAGCTATTCCTACCACTTCTCCGAGCAGCCTGCCCACGAGGTGCAAGGCGGTTCCGTCAAGATCGTCGATCCGTTGACCTTTCCCATCGCCTCCAACTTTGCCGCCGCCGTGGTCACCGTGCATCCGGGGGGCCTGCGCGAGATTCACTGGCACCCCACCAGCGATGAGTGGACCTTTTTCATCCAGGGCCAGGGTCGCGCGACCTTGTTCACCGCGCCCAGCACCGCCACTACCTTCGATTACCGCGCGGGAGATGTGGGCTACTTCCCGCAGTCCAACAGCCACTATATCGAGAACACGGGCGAGGAGGACTTGATCTTCGTCGAGGTCTTGCAGGCTGATCAATTCTCTGGTGCGTCGGATTCTTTCTGCCCCTTTTTGTCATTATTCGCGTTGTTTTTTCGTAAGGCTCGCGTTGCGAACGTTATGCTAATCAATTCCCCCCAGACGTATCGCTCGGTCAATGGATTGGGTCGACCCCGAAGCAGATTGTGGCCGACACGTTGCGATTGCCACAAAGCGCCCTGGATCGGCTGAAGACAGAAAAGATGTATGTGGTTGCTGGGTCGAACGAGACGGAGGCGTCGACGTAGCAGGAGGGTGGTACTCTGTACATAGCATGTACTATGCATGATTGTACATCAGTCGCGCGTGGTCTTGTTTGAGGTTAAGATGAGAGATAGGAATATATCTTGCATCATGCAAGGGATCACGGTCGGCCCGATGCATTCAGGGTTCATGAAGATATGTAATACAGGCAGTCAATTTATACCGAAGATCTTCACCAACTATCGCTCTGAAGACTATGATTCGAGCAGAAGATTCATCGAATAACGTGGTTTCTTCGGATTGTGGTTGAGGCTACTGGCCCTATACTGGAGTTCTAGCCCTAAATCTAGAAACAAAATTGCCATGTGCTTGATTCACTAGATTTTGGTCACCATATGGTAAGTACATCATACACGCCACGAATACAGGCTCAACAATTGCCGTTAGTGTACATCAGAAATGAGAAGAGGTTGATGACATGGACTCAGCAACTGGGCCGTAACCTGCTGAGCCCAGAGAAGCCCAACATATCACAATCCAATGACACAGTCGAAGTCAACCCCTCTGACCCAGTCAAAATAGGATCAATACTGCACCATCCAAGCGCGATACTCCAAGCAGCCATACACCCTACTCCCCCCATACGAATTATCACTGAAACACTTCTTCAAGTTATCCTTGACAATACTCACGCACGTTGGCGGTCCCTGCCCCAACGGAGCGACTGGCTTCTGTTTCGGCCCCTTGCACCCCTTGACCCAGCTGATCGAGACCGAGTACCGCGCGTTTGCGTGGCTCCCCGTGGACCATTCGAGAGGCTTGTCGTCCGGCCCCATCTCGTAGGTGAGATCAGGGATCTTGCCCCGGTTGCAGAGCTCAGCCAGCTGGTTGACGTATACATCTTCTAGGTTCTGGTGGAAATAGGGGAAAGGGTTTTCGATGCAGGTCAGGTCGCCTATGGGGAGTGACGGGGATGAAGTGGTGGTGGCCGACGCCCCGGTGGTGCTGGTTGCGGTCTTTTGGTTCGAAGTAGTAGCAGTAGTGACCCGTGTAGGCCGGAGAGTATGTCCCGGACATCGATCACGCCGCTGCATATGACCCTGTGCTCCCTCGGGAGAGAGGATGCGTGCCGGATCCCAGAAGTTGTAGTCCATGACATGGTCCCCGACGAGCCAGAGCCGCCACTGGCCCACAGCCATCAAATTGTCGCCCGCCTGCAGATAGTTGTTGTACCTGTCGACCTCCAAGATGGCCTTGCCGACTGAGGTGCTATCGTCGTTGGACAGCCAGAAATTCGTTGGGTAATATCCGCGGGTAATAGCGGTCTTCTCCTCGGGTGCCTGGCCGTTGGGGAAGTAGAGGAAGTGGGTGAACTGGGCCGCTAGCCAGCTAACCCGACGGGGGTACTTGTATGAGTGGGTCTCCCAGCCCGAGGAGAAGGGTGTGATGATGATGAGCTGAGGATCGTTGGTCCGGTGCAAGGGACCGGGCTGCTGATCAGTGCCCCAAAGACCCTGGAGTGGTTCAATTTCGTGATTGACCTCACCGTCCTTGGTGTGGCCTGAGCTGAGGGCACCGAACGTCTGATCCATGAAGTAGTCGTCGGGGACCTCGACCTCGTCCCTGTCGATGAAGACAGGGACTTCAAAGATGTGCGCGATGTAGACGCCGTCTTTTGTGATTATCATCAGCACAGTGCAGCCGTGGAGGCCCTTGACACCGAGGGCAGCTTCCAGCTCGGGCCAGGGGTACCATGTGCCCGTAACCGGTTGGCGTTGGCTCACCCAGAGGTCGCTCTGGGTTATGATTCCGTTGAGGATCGGGAGCCAAATCTCGGGGTCCACTGTGGAGATTTCAGGCAGCGTGCGTTTGTCGATGGTCGAATTCAGGCTCGTTGCTTCAGTCCCGCCGGCCTGGAGATCCGGAGTACGTCGCTGGTGGGTCTTTCCTCCCTTGCCGATGGGCAGAACTGGCACCGTGCTGGTCGGAATAGCGGCACAGTTCACTGATGAGATTGTTGCCCACCCGCCTTTCCCTGCTCGGCATGAATTACCGCAGTCATCTGGCGAGCAAAGATGTCTAGACGGGCTACCTGTCACTGTGGTGGTAGTTCCGGTGACGGAGCACCCAGTGGTAGTGATGCTAACAGTCTGGTTGCATGTCGACGTTGTGACGGTTGAACCACCAAATGGAGTAGAGGTAGGGTGGCAGAAGACAGTCACACGGTGGGCGGTTGTCGTCGAAGTACAGGACGATAAACTGGAATGGCTTTTCTCCGGGTCGGTATCAGGATCGACACTACCATCTGGAATTTTTGCGATATCCAGGGCATTCACAATGCCTTTCACTCCGTTGATATCATTGGCCTTGATCCGAGTCAAAAGATCGTCCAGTTTCTTCGTAATACATGCGAGCTTGTTCAGAATCTGCTCGACCGTGTTCCCAGCAAGGCGGAGAAGGCCATCAAACAGGCCACGTTTCTTCTCAATACATTTAGGAAGTTTCTTAGAACTGATCTGTTTCGCGAGATCCTCGATATCTTGCTTGATGTTTTTGATGTTTTTGATGGCTTTGCTCTTGGAAGGCGGGGTGGGTAACCGTTCCCATGATTCGATATCTTTGACGATGTTGTGGAATCGAATGGCTATCACAGAAGCAGACGAGGTGACCATAGGGTCCACGGGCGGATTGGTGGTCTTTGAAGGCTGGGCAGTGATCATACCAGCAGGGTCCGTGGTGGAGCTTGTCGCTCCAGTCTTCGCACCTCCAGTAGGGTTAGGGTTAGTCGGGGTTCTTCCGGTGCCCGTTCCCTTAGGGTTGCCTGTGGTAGTGCTCGGGGAGCCTTGACTAGTACCAGTTGTTCGACCTGTAGACTGAGACTTATCAGAAGCTGGCAATGTCCCACGGCTTGTCGTTCCACCACTCGTAGCCGTTCCGTGACCTGGAAGCCCAGAGCCCCCCGAGGTACCAGACCCCCCCAAGGTAGCAGATCCCCCAGGCGGTGAGGTCGAAGCACCAGTACCACCATTATCCCAACCTTGCGTCTTGTTCTTCCCCATCGCCGATCCCAGCCCCTCAATCAATGCACCATTCGAATCAAGGTCCACAGCCCAGGCCATTGTACCTCCGAGACACCGACGATTTGCGAAATCAAGCTTGAGTCTCAACGTTTCCTTATCATCAAAGCTTACCCACTGGTTCTTGTCCCAAGTAAGAACCTTGACGGCATCTTCCTTGTAAAACGAAACTTTTGTCCCCGGGGCATTAGCGTCAAGGACCTTCTGAATCTCTGTGTGGGACAGCACGCCAGAGGTGGTCGTGCACTCGCCGGGGCGGCCACCGGTCGTGAAGAGACAACCCGGCGCGAGACAATGAGGGTCCTTCATTGTGAAGCTGCGGCCGTAGAAGCCCAGACCAAGGTTGACCCGCGCGGGGTCAATCTTGTTGCGCCAGAGAAGCTCGAGGGCGCTGTTGACCTCGGTCAGATTGGTATGCGCGTAGGCAGCGTAGGGGTTATCTCGGTTCATTTTGTCCCAGGTTCCGTCTAGTTGAAAGAGTCAAGGAGTTAGCTGATGGCTACAGGGAAAGATGAGGGCGAGAAGAGGTCGTGCGACTCACGAATATCGTAGGTAATCATGTTGAAAAAGTCGACGTGACGCTCGAGATTGACAATGTCAAATCCTCGCAAGTACCAGTAGGAGGCAGGCTAGACAAAAAAGTCTCGCTGTTAGTCTCCATGGCCTTATCAAGCCAAAATACAACGGAGGTCGGAAGAGGAGATTTCATACCAATGTGATTGACATCCCGTAACGTTTCCCAGACTTGTCAAGGCGCTCTCGCAACCGCTTCAGCAGAGTTACAAAATTGACAAAGTCTGCTGGTCGACCGCCATGATCATCGGCCACCGGATACTCCCAATCAATGTCAACTCCGTCAAAGCCGTTGCTCTGCATGAAGCTCAGCAGAGACTCAAAGAAGGCATCTTGCGCGGGTTGAGACGCTGCCAGGTCCGAGACAGTGTACTGCGTGGGACTGGGGTCGTTCATATCCCAGCCTCCAATGGCGATCCAGACTTGCAGATTGGGTTGTTTTCTCTTCAGTCCGGTCACGGCCTTGTACAGCGATTCCATGGTCTTCTTCATCGGGACGACGTGAAAGGTTTTGGGATCGATGTAAGCGAAGGCGAAATTGAGATGCGTGTAATAGCCGAGCGGAATCTGGTCTGGTGTCATTTCTGGTTTGATATCGGTCAGTCTGACTGAACACTAAGCCAAAGATGAGACTCCAGTGAAGTCACTAACTTTCACATGCATGCTCCAAATTCCAGCCTTCGTAGTATCCAATAGTCCGTGCGTAGGCACTCTTTCCGTTGCACTCTGGAGAGAGCACTTTGGCGTTTCCACAGAAGCTGGGTGAAGTTCCTGGTAGCAGAACAAGATGTCAATACGTGATGAAGTCATCATGAAGGCAAACTAACCACAGAATCCAAACTTGCTGCAGCAGACGTTAAGAGGGCATGTGGAGGCATTTGACCACTCGCGGCCCCACCCTGGATCACACTCGCTCTTGCGATTACAGTTTGCACTGCACGCCTTTCCACAGAAATCCGAGCCATAGCCGCAATTCCCTTTGCCAGTAGCTTTGTCTCTGTTCGATTGCAGTTAGCTGGAATCTTGACACGTTAGAACCAATCAACTCACAGAGGACCGCAGCATCCTATCTTGCAGGCCTTGGTCTTGGAACAAGTGTAGTCATCATTGCCGCCAGTCACAGCTTGCGAGTAGAGTTCATGGTTGAGTGATATTGCTGTCACTGTTGCCGACTGCCAGAATAGCAGTGCAAGCAGAACCAGGATGGCTTGTCTAGCCATGGTGACGGTGGAGGTAATATGGGAAGAGGCTTAGAAGAGATCTTGGAAGACAAGAAGCCAGAAGAAAGAAGTTCACCTCCTTTTTATGAGCATGCTGAGATGAGGTACCGGTATACAAGTGATTTATCCTACGGTTGGTCGTTTTAGAGATTCACTGGAGTTGATCTGAATCGGAGTTCTTGGATATCCACAAATCTATTTACAGATTCAGTTGAAATGATCTGTGTCAGAGTTCCCCACTATCCAATATGAATTCGACTCACAGATTCACTCAAGGTATTCTAGGTGAGAGCTCCCTAATATCTATTATAGAAACCCCGCAGAGATTTACTCAATGTGCTCTGGTTCTGGGTTCTTCAATATCCAATGTGAAATCTACTCAAAGATATACTCAGGATAATCTGGGTCAGATTTCTTCAATATCCAAAAACTAGTCATGTATTCACATAGGATAGTTTAGCCTGGAACTCTTTAACATGGAGACTCTACTCACCAGGTGGTCTGTGAGTCAATGATGGTGTTTAATCTCTATATAATCATTTCTATCTCTTTATTTGACTCTGTTAATATTCTCGCGAGTTATTATCTGGATCGTGATTTCTATCACCATCACAGATAATCAGGAACCAAGGAAGCCAGTATTCTATTCTACATGAAGCTAAGAATATCAACACCTGAATTAGTTACACTCTCTACAAGCATCATGAATCTCACCTCAGTGTCCTGGCAGTATCTGCTGCTAATACTGCTGACTCTGGACTTCCTGAGCCCTGTGGTTTACACATAGGCACAACTTAATCCTTGGCTCAACATCAACCGCTCTGGCCCAAAGAAGTCATTTCCATCTGCTATGGATCCGCAGCTACTGAGTAGTAATACGAATCGCTCCTTCAGTCAGCGCTGCGACTGTGGTATAGCGCGGGTTTGCCCGAGACTTCCCAGCTACAGCCTACTTCCGACGCAATCGCAAGGCCGGCACCCTCGATGTCTTGACGGTCTATGACGCTCGCGACGGGATATTTCTCGCATTTAATGGCATGACTATGCTCTTCCCAAGCCCCAATGAACCAGCTTTATGGAACCATCCGCCTCGAGACAATGGCCCGACGATGTCATCCTCGCCAACATTGCTCACGAGCTTGGACATGTGTTTGGAATCGCCCATCAGCGTCAAGATCCGACTTTCTGGAAACCAACTGACCTTGGTCCCTGGATTTTCGGGTTTCATTGTGAGAATCTCCATAATCTCGCAGAGAAGACGGGGGCAAGACAAACGAGGAGATATGGGGAAATGATGATCTGCGTAGGAATTGAATCACAGCCCGTGATGCCGGCTTTGATGCTATTAAATGACTGCCCTGGACAAATGTCATCATCAGTCCATGCGAGGAGTGGATTGGGGTTTCAGTACGATCTATTCCTCTACCTTTAAGGTCCACAACAAGGTGATATTGAGCAAGCACGATGAAACAACTTGAAAAGCCAACAAAGTTTCATTCTCCTCTAGACGTGGCTGGACTTGTGCAGATGTACAGCTCGGACTGAATGAATAACGTCGAGCCCTTCTGGTTTGATCAACAAGTTCTCATAACACCGTGTTCTAGCAACACGCTTCATAGGTGCAAGGAACTAATTCTAGCGAACTCGGAAAGACTTTGGGAAGAGGGGCTGAAGATAGTCATAAGTCGGGGAATACTGAAGTGTTGATTCAGGTGTGGATGCATATTACCTATTATTAGTAGTTAGTTTGTCACTCACAATATAGTATGAGTGATGTGAAGATATAAATTAGTAGTTGGGATTAACACCAAGTGAATACATCATCTTTCATTCTTATTGCCTGTTGGTGGAAGATTGTTCTTCTCTAAACTTAATGCTATGGATGTGGTTTATTTGCCTGTTTATCAGTAGTTAATTTATCACTCAGAATATGGCATTCGTAATGATACAACATGAACTGGTTAGTCAAGACTACTTCTGAGTGAATCGATCTACAGTGTGTGTGTACTAGTTTCATCAAACAATATGCCTCTCAGCCTAATTCAATTGATTCAGCTTGGCCTCCGAACAGAAGACAGCCAGGTCAACCAGCTTCATGTGATTGATGGTACCTCGTCAAACCGAATGACTCTTGCCAGATGATCGTCCAGCGGTCTGGAGTCTCTCTTTCCTTGATAACCCAGTCTTACTAGGCACTGTAACAAATGGTGGCTAGCAGACCGGTGAGTTTGGCCTTTCCCCAAATTTGAAGTAATTTTAAAGTCCAAATCACTTCACTTCCCACCTTGACCCCTGCATGAACATTCGCTGATCCCTAACAAATCACCCCTGTCAATGCGCCAGCATCACTAACCCCCCAGCCCACCTCCTCCAGCCCCTCCCTCACCACCTTCCGCTGCTCCTCCCCACGCACCTCCACCTTCAATGCATACGGCAGCGGATGACTGACCACCCCCGGCGCGAACTCTGCTCTCAACCCCTCTGCATCATCCCGCGGCAAGAACCGGAAAACCGCCAGCGACTGCGCGATCGTCAGGAAAATCGTATTATCGGCCAGCAATCTACCGGGACAGATGCGACGCCCAAAGCCAAAGGCAAGATGGTGCGGGTCCATCTGGGAGGTTTCCGGTGACAGGAAGCGCATTGGGTTGAAGACGGTTGGGTTGGGGTAGGATGCTGGGTCTTGAGCCATTTGCCTTGGTGGATGTTTAGTATCGGACTGGGTTAGGGTCTGGTTTCGACGGGATAGGGGAGGCACACCAGATATGCGGGATAATGATCGATCCCTTAGGGATGAGGTATCCCTCATAGATGTCATCCTGGGTGCATTCATGCGGGATGCCTGTTGGCGCGATGGGGTGCCAGCGCAGGGACTCTTTGACGATTGCTTCGATGTAGGGTAGGTGTTCGCGGTCGGCGAAGGTGGGGAGACGAGCGCGTCCCACTACGCGCTCGAGTTCCTCGTAGGCCTTGTCTTGTATCTCGGGGTGGAGGGCCATTGCTAGGAAGAAGATGGAGAGCACGGAGACAGTCTGTTTGGGGGTGAGGGGGTTAGTGGTGTCGTAGGTTATCCATGGAGGACAGCTCGGTCTCTGTCACTGGGGTCGTCGTGGCTCACCGTATCAGCACCAGCGGTGTATAGTGAACCGGCTGTCCACTTGATGATGTGCTCCTCTTCCGGAGTGAGAGTGTTCAGATCGCGCCCTTTCAGCAGACTGGACACATAGGAGGGGGTGTATTTCCCGCGCTGCATCTGCTGGCGCACGAACTGGTAGGGCTTCTCGATGGTGGTGAGGAGGGTGCGGTTCCATGCCAGACCCGTGCGCTTGAAGCTGGCGCCGGGAAACCATGCGGGGAGGTGCTTCACTGCATAAGTTGTTTCGAATGTCAGCAAAGAAATATCGCAGGGCTGAGTCTGACAGAAGAACAGACAGAGAGGAATCGTATCCACCAACCAGCGCCCAGGACTCCCCGCGATGGAGAACTGGTCCATGGCCTCGTTGACCAAGTCCACGAGAGGATCGCGACCATGTGGTTCGATCGTGTATCCGTATGCAATCTTCAGGATCACCGCTCCAGCCTCACTGATGAAACATTAGCACATCCTGTGTGGTTGAACCAAGCTGGGCGTAAGGGACCTACGTGCGGATATGCTGGATCAAGTCTTCCGGACGATCAAGCATGCGCTTCAAGAACCGTCGCACCTCCATCTCCTGCAACGAATTGAATCGCGCGGTTGTGTGCTTGCTTCCCAGAACGCGATGCATCACCTTGCGATAGGCTCGGAACTGGTGGCTATAGGTCTGCATCCCCAGGGCGTCATTCCAGCCCACACTATAGGCAGTAGTCGCGCATCATTAGCTGCTGCGATACGTGAATTAAAAGAGATAAAGGAAGACCTGAAATCGAGATGCTTACGCACATCTCACCCGCAAACGTGAGTCGGGGACGCGACGAATAGATGTTCGAGCGCTTCTCGAGCAGATCGAAGGCCATGCGCACATCATTGAGAATCACGATGGTTTGTCCCAGAATGGTCAGGGAGCTAATTGGGCCTGTGGCAAAGCGTGCATTAGGTGGTGTACGTAATGCATTGGGACTCCTCTAACTGTATATGTTCTCCCCACAGGGAAAACAGTATAAATAGAAATATATCGATGCAAACTCAAAGATGGCTGGCGATACAGAGGAGAATGAACAGTAATGGAAAGAAATATCAGGGGGCGAAGAAAAAAGCATTACCGTAGCGCTCCTTGAACTGCAGCCAGTGTCTCCATTCCTGCATTTCCGGCGGCGGCAAATCCGCCAGATTGCCAATGATGGGCTTGCCCTTAGGACCTGGTGGCAGAGGTGCAGATGGTCGTGATCGGAAAAACAGTCGCGACAGGAGGAAATAGAGTAGCCAGAGCCCGATCAGGCCTAGGATCAGGTTTGTTGGCGTCATGGTGGGACGAGGATGAAACGCGGGTTGAGGGCATACAACTCTCTGCAGGAGTGAACAGGTCAAGCACAAACTGGGAGAAAGTACGGGGGTGGACCCTTCTTAAGAGATGAAATCTGACTCGTCTACAAGAAGACCAGGGCACGGACATGCCTCCGCAGAGATGTTAACATCGAACAAGTGTCAGTGTGCGACCCAAATGCAAAGATAGCATCGATTAGGAATAGCCCGATGCAGGTGGTGGGCTGCATTTATAGCATTCAGATTAAAACGCCATGCCGCACTGGACTCGCAGGTGGTCGAATAAGGAATGTATGCACATACTCGTACAACTGACATGTCGAGCCGCAAGTCATTACCTTCTCAAAATTGCAACCCTTGCCTCTCGCTTTGATCTAATGAATACTGTATCTCGAACGAATGTTAGACAACCGTCGAAGGGCCATTGGCGACGGACCAAAGCCAGGTTACCTGATAACTGAACCTCAGCCAACCCACGAACTACGTATGGCCATTGCGACAAGAGGGGTCTGCAGAAGTCTATATCTGACGGATGGAGTCACTAGACAATTTGTGTTCCCTGGCTGGTGGATGGCAACAGACTAATCAATTTAGTTGGTCTTATCTTATCCACCGATGCGGGGATTGCACAAAGTACCTCATTCCCCCAACCAATAATGCATCCTGCTTCACAAGCATGTAAGACGCTCGGACTGAGACCAGTGGGCCAGTGAATCCTGTCAAAACTGTCAAAGACTGGGTAGACATTCTGCGACCGTGGAAGAATTCGCAAATGCTTCGAAGTTGATTTACTCGGGAGTACTTTCGGGTCATGCCCTAAAGTACGGGGCGACTCGGTATAGACACTCAAGCAAGAGAACAAATGCTCCGGCAGATACTCTGTGATTCAGCATCCACGATACGCGTGATGCTCATACAAATGAATACAGCAGCCTGAATTGCTCCGACCATGCATACGGAGAACTGGCCTGTCTCATCCTCGCCACTCCAACTCAATAGGCCCCTCTGGCCTAGCATCCCTGTCCGCGCTGCCCTATCGGTCCACTGCTCAGCTCTGGAGATCGACAGACCGTTGCGCACTGTCCATGACGAGTGCAGTGGTCCCTGCTGGACTTCCTACATCGAGGGTATCAGTCCCTTGATGCATCAAACAGTGGGATGAGTCTGGTAGAAGCCAATTGGATCAATAAACCCAGCTGCCTGTTCATCATGCCGTTCGTAGCTCTTAAGGTTGCTGAGGTCTCCCATGTTTCTGGTAGCCTTTAGTATCCTCGGACAAACTCATGTGGGCCAGTTTTCAGCCCAGTCAGTCCTCGATTCACCCAGGATGAACTCCACCCTGCTCCCGGAGTTCCTCAGTGACTTGCCGGCATGTGCGGTATGCTTGACATCTTCTCCAGGTAGCATCGATACTCAACTCCTCAGGCTCAATGCTTCGAAACTGCCATGAATGCCAGCTCCTGCGCCACGTCCGACCGATGGTGTATTTGTACGGGTGAAAGCCTCCTCGAGAGTGCAATTGGATGCTACAGTCTATCCTGCCCTCCGAAGGAGAGCTTGTGTAGGTAACCATTACCTGTCAGTTGTGCTGGCTAACATCCTCAGCCTCAACGAACTATACTCGCGCAGCCTGTGGAATTCACGAAGAGAGCAAAGCTAGCTTGACGCCTGCACTCGCCGGGTCACTGGGCATGTTGGCCTTGATCATGACCTGCCTGCGAGTGTCACAACGTACGATGATGAAGCATTCTTTCGGCTGGGACGATGGTCTGATAGTGATGGCCATGGTATGCCAACCAAAAACCAACAACTGGTAGAGACTGACGCCGACAGGGTTGCGCTGCAATTTTGAACCTCATGGCGTTTCCTAGTAGGTCGGCCTTCTGGTTACAACATGGAGGTCATCACTGACCAAGCAGTGCAAAAACACGGCCTTGGAACCAACATCTGGACCATCCCCTTCGAAGACATTACCACTCAGCTCAAGGTTTGTCACTTGGCTCCATGTCCTCGTCTGTTCACTAACTAGACCAGCTTCTCCTGATCGCCGAGATCTTCTACATGCCCGCCGAAGCCTTGACCCAGCTATCCTTCCTAGCCTTCTACCTCCGCATCTTCCCTCCCGGCCATTTCTGCTACATCGTTTACGCCCTGGCTGCCATCTCAGTCTGCTTCGGCATCTCCAACACCCTGATCATGATCTTCCAATGCCTTCCAGTCTCTTACTTCTGGAACAGCTGGTCCGGGGAGGCAACTGGCAGCTGCATCAACATCAGCACCTATTCGTGGTACCGAGCCGCCATGCAAATCGCCATGGATCTGTCCATCATCGCACTACCCATCTATCCACTCTCAAAGCTCGCGTTGAGCCGTCGGAAGAAGACCCTCGTCTTGTTGATGTTCTGCACGGGGTTTCTGTGAGCTGTCTCCGAGCCAGCTCTTTCGCACAAATCCTCTCTAACAAAACCCAGAATCACCGTGGTCAGCTGTCTCCGGCTCCAATCACTCATTCGCTTTTCCAAGTCCGCCAACATAAGCAGTAAGCTTTTCATCCACCTCAAAATCCCGATCTTGATAACAGACGAAGGCTGAAATTCGTGAAATCCAAGTGGACAATAACCCCGCCATCTACTGGAGTATGGTGGAATGCGACGTGGCGATCGTATGCGCTTGCATGCCCTGTCTGCCCGCGCTGCTGAAACCACTACTCCCCGCATGCTTTGGATCGCGGTATTATGCCACCACTGATGAGCAGACACCCCCAGTCAAGTTGGAGAGAATTCGCAGGAAGGATGAGTTTAGTGTTTTGTCGACGGCGGTGTCAGAGGATGCTTTGATGGCTAGTCGGGGTTGAGAGGGGGGAATGGTTGTAAAACGGATGACGGACAAGCTTGTTGAATCTATGTTGGTCACTAAAGAAGAAAAGAACATGGATACTGTCGGGGTTTCAAAGTGCACTTTCGTGGTATGGCATGGATCAGCGGTACTCACGCCAGCGATCCCTGGTCGCTTTGAAACTCTCCGTCCTAGGACCCTTCACCAGACTCCCCTAGTCTTGATAGCAGTTTATCGTAGTTTAAATCCTGTGCAACCGTCAGTCGGGGAGGGAAGACATGCCTACACTTGATTGCTGACAGATTTAATGACACTCTTAAAGACTTTCAGCAGGTGTTCCCTTAAAGCTACGCCAACCATGGCCCTTAACATATCTGTACTACTGGAGAAAATTCAAGGTATCTAGTGCCGAATTCTTGAGTTCATCACAAGACAGGAGTATTCTTGTTCATTCATGCGGGCCTTGTTGCGAAGGAGGGGCTCCATGTGTTCACAATCACAAAGAATCTTGATCCTGGCGGCTGGCCACGGATACAGTATCTGCTTATCGCCCACGCATTTCCTGCTCTTCAACGGCCGGTGCGGGTAAAAACAGCACTAAGAACCAAAATGGATTAGGCACGGAAGAGCGGCCCCTCTGCGATGCCGCCCACTTGTTCAGTCTTGCTGTCTAGACCTCGACCGGCTGCACCGGGTGACGAAGAGACAAGGGCATGTTGTTGATGCCCGAGGCAGCCTTAGGGCACACATTCACTACCTGGCCATGTTTCCTCATTGCTTCCTCTGCAGACAAGCAGACGGGGTGCTCCAAATATACATGGGTCCACGCAGCTGGACCACATGGAGACGTTATTTCGTTATTCTTCGCCCCTGGCCTTGGAGATTTATTTTATGAAGGAAAAAAAAGAACCCAGTTTCAACAATTGGGGCTGTGGTTTAGTGGTATAATATTCCCTTAGCATGGGAGAGGTCCGGGGTTCGATTCCCCGCAGCTCCATCTTTTTGCTTTTTGCTACTCCTTGTCCTCTGTAGTGCTAAGCATATACGTGCTAAGGCTGTATTAAGCCATTGATCGCCTTGAAATGGTACCCATTGGGTGAAGGACCAGATTGACGTTTCTTGTAGCAATGGAATTGAATGCAAGGTAATAATTGTGAGAGCGACGAGGCTGCCTAGGCCTGGGGGTTGTATGATTAGATTCCACCTGGAACTTGTATATGACTGTCGGTTGATATGTGGTATATTTTCAAGAGTTCTGAGTGTACGGCATCTAGGTGAACTTCCACATCTACAAATACTGTCATTCATGTCCAATTCGAATTCGTTGTTGCCAGTGCAGGGAATATATTATGCCGCACCGACATTGGTGCATATCCCGCTGCGAAATTCTACGAGATGTGCATGCATTAACGATGTATTAAACCACATAGCTCAATTGACAAGCAGGCAAAGTAGACAACCCAGGTCGACCTTCACCAAGCATCTCCGTGGACCCATGCATCATACACCGTATAGCACCAGGTACCGCTACGAAGTACGCTCTGCCCCTGACGATGCATGGGGCACAGATGCCGATCGCATTTGTGATCACGTGGCGAGAGGCGAAATCAACATTTTGCCACCACAGAAAATTTTTTTTTCCATCGGGTGTTCTCGATTGACTTTACAGGAACCGATCGTGATCCAGTGGACGGAGCGGCGATCAAGCGGACAAAAAGAGCTGATCGTGCCTGACGTAGGAGAGAGGAGGCCGAACTGACAATGCGAAAAGGGAAAAACAAAAAGATGACTGGTCAGGGACTCGAACCCAGGACCTTATCCGTGTGAAGGATACGTGATAACCAACTACACCAACCGGCCATTTCTTGATAGTTAGCACTAGCTGTATGGTTGTTGACAGCTGATTCAGTCAGGACAGCGGCACCACGTCGAAAATGTGCTCGAAAAAAACAATCATGGATTAGAAGTGTCGATCATCCAGTCAATCAGGCACAGGCACAATTGCTCTCCAACCAAGCAGGTCTTTACAAGGGACGACTTTGCCACACAGCACCCCAACCAAGTCTAAAGAACACGGCTAGACCTCCTCATCATCTGATGGTTTTTACGTTCAATGTAATCATTCTATTCAGAACCATGGGCGTCATCTGTCCATGTCGTCATACCGTAACCTTGGCTGGGCGAGCTTCACGCCGGTTTGCAAAACTCTGGCCTACGGAAAAAGCCGGACTGTCGACGGAGCTATGATGATAATGATGATGATGATGCTCGTGACCAAGTTATGAATCCGGCCGAGCATAAGTCGCGAGGCAATGCGGTGAAAGGTGGAGTTATTGGTCCTGGAACCCTACGTGTCAGGGTCGATAGTCCTGCGACGGAAAGGCCAGTAGCGAATCATCGGGCTGGCATCGCAGGAGTTCTCTCGGACCGGTCAGTTGACGATGTGTTTCGGCGTCAGTGGCTGTCCTGCCGATTCTGGCCCGAGAAAAGCAAAGCAGGTCAGCCGAGTTGCAACTCACTGGGCTGACATGGTGGATCCAGGGCATCATGGGGGGGTTTTCAGTGGCACGGGCTTCAAGTTCACTGCTACAGCTGTCTTATCGATAACCGGGGGAAACTCGAGAAGAAGTAGACAAACGCGTCGACGACTCGGGAGGGCCGGGATGTATTTAACTTGCTTCCTGGCGATCGTTCTGGAGGTTGTTCTGAATAGAAACAGTGACACTTCTGCTGACCCGAGAGAGGAGAATGGGATACAAATCACCATCCCTGTCACGGACCGACCGACAACCTTCCATGTTCAGCGACGGTGAGGAATTCGCCGAAGTGCAACCGAAACTTTCAAAGGATTTGCCCCCAACGGACGTGGGGGACCGAATCGGACCGATGGCGAAAGCAGCCAGTTGGAGACCAGTCGGGATGCCGATGTGAAGTCATCCTCGGTCGACTTCCGAGTTCGGCCTTGATGTGTATCCCCCCGTCACACCAGGGCTTCAAGATGGCTGAAAGTGTTGCTGCAAATGATGAGATGAACATGGTAAATGGCTTCTATCATTCCAGGTCGCAAACAACGTTGTTTGTGCTCGACAGATCCTCCTCATCCTCGCCATTACAGCAGCTGCGAATATCTTCACATCGGAGCAGTTTCCCCGAAGTTTCGCAGATTTGATCGACCGCAAACTCTGGGGACCCACTCTTTTCCAACGCCATCCCGGATCCATCTCGTGGAGCATTCCTGGCCAGGTACTGTCCTCCGTAGCCTGCATTACAATGAGGCGGATGGCATTTCCCATTCTCCCTCCAGAGTCTCCCAGTCCACCCCGACTTTATGACGCACCCCAGAAGAAGGGAACCCGTAGCCCTGACTCGGGTGGGCCGACTCGAAAAAAATAAAACTGGAGAAGCCGGATCACACGGGTTCTTTTCCCCAGTGTTTGGGATGTCCTTTTATATCTCCTTCGTCCCAGCTGCTTCTCAGCCGTTTCTCACTCCTCACCTTTCTTCTTCCTACTCCTCTTCCTTTCTCCTTTCCGCCTGCCGTCCATCCACCATCCTCTGACATACTGGACAAGATGGACAAGTCTCAACCCGGCCTGGCCTCCCATACGGAGAACGCCTCGGCCGGCTCCTCCAGCCATATCGACTCGACCAGCAAAGGACGTATCGCTGGTGGAAAGTACCTCGAGGGGCTCGATGACAGCACCGCTGCTGCTAAGACAGACGGCCCTCTGCAGACCGTCGACTTCGACTTCCCCCTAACCCAGACCGAACGCATCGTCCAGGACGGCAATCAGTATATCGTCCTCGACTTCGTCCCCGGTGATAAGGAGAACCCGTTCAACTGGGATGGCAAATACAAGGCGTTCATCTCCGCCTTGCTGTGTCTGATGACCCTGTTCATCGGTCTCGCCACGACTGCCTACAGTTCGGGACTGGGGGACATGGCGACGGATCTGGGCGTCACCGAAGAGATCGCCGAGCTGGGTCTATTCCTCTTCAACTTCGTCTGTGCTCTCGCGCCCCTCTTCCTGGCCCCCTTCTGTGAGTTGGCGGGTCGCCGTGTCGTCTACGTCGGCGCCTACTTCTGCTTCGCCATTATGTTCATCGGTCTCGCCCTGGGCAAGAACATCGGCACCATCCTCGTCTGCCGCGCCCTGCTGGGTCTGTTCGGTTGTGTGGGGACCATCCTGGTCGGTGGTACCTTCGGTGACATGTACTACCCCCAGGACCGCGCCATCCCCGTCGCCACCTTCTCGTGGATTGCCATCTTCGGTACGGTGGCCGCGCCGATCTACGCCGGGTTCATCGACCAAGCCCTGCACTGGCGCTGGGTGGAGGGTATCCAGGGTCTGGCCAACATCCCGCTCGCCCTCATCATCCTCTTCTTCCTCCCGGAGACGCGTGGCAGTGTGGCCCTGGGCAAGCGTGCGAAGCAGCTCCGCACGCAGACCGGCGACGACCGCTACGTGACGGCGAACGACCTGGAGGCCCCCTCCCTCAAGCACATGCTGCACAACTCGTCGGTCAAGGCGATCAAGATGCTCATAACCGAGCCCGTGGTGTTTGCCTTTGGCCTCTGGATCGCCTTCGCCTGGTTCCTCACTTTCTTGTTCCTCTCGGTCATCCCGATCACCTTCGAGGAGAAGAAGGGGTGGAATGAGGGCGTGTCCGGCCTGCCCTACATCGGGCTGTGCATCGGCTGCACCATTGGCTTTGGCCTCAACTTCTTCCAAATCCGCAAGTACAACTCGCTCTTCCAGCAAGGCCAGGCCCGACCGGAGTCCCGTCTGTACGGGGCGCTCTTTGGCGCCGTCTGGCTCCCCATCGGCCTCTTCATCTACTCCTTCACGCAATACGCCGACCTCCCCTGGATCGCCCCGATCATCGCCCTGGTGCTGATCTGCATCGGGATCTTCTTCATCTTCGAGAGCTGCTACAGCTACACCTCCGACTGCTACGGCGAGAGCTCCTCCTCCGCCATCGCCGGCCAGGGTTTTATGCGGAACACGCTGGGAGCAGTCTCCCCCCTGTTCGCCTCGCAGTTCTTCCACAACGTGGGCAGCCAGTACGCCGGGTTGATCCTGGCGCTGATCGCCACCGCGCTGACCATCATCCCCTACGTCCTCTTCATCTACGGACCCCGACTGCGGGCCAAGTCCAAGTTGGCGAGTCTGGTGACTCACTCGGGCGAGGAGGACCGCGAGAAGGTCTAATGATTGTGAATGATGAAAAAGAAAAAAATTCTATTGATATTGAAGCATTCTCGTCATGTCATGTTTAGCATTGCATTGCATATTTGGAAGTACATAGTCTCATGTCCGGGGCCTGAATTGAGTCTTCTTGCTCCGGAATGTTTTTTTTTTGCACATACATACATCCATTCTGATGAATACAAGACAAAATCACACTCTACCATTGATTGGGGGTTTTTTTTTTCAATATCGTAGAACACACCACAACACCAGTAAGATATGTCCATCACTTTCCGTCAAGCACCGGGGGGGGGGGGGGGGTATCGATTATTTACTCTGCATGACCAGCACATTGCCCACGATGCGGTTCTCCTTCTTGACGAGGATCTGGCCCAGCACGCCCAGTACGCGCGCAGCCTCCGCCCCGACCTCATCCTGCGCTGAGGCGATGCTATTCGCCGACTGCGAGGCGACCAGCGCCTCCAAGGCCGGCTGTCTCCTGCCCACCACCACCAAATTGCCCGCCTGGTGATGCGACCGCACCATCTCCGTCTTAACCTGCTCGACCAGGATGGCGACGCCCTCTTCTTCGTCTGTTTTGATGGTGGTCTTCTTGAAGACCACGCGATCCAACACCTCCTCTCCCAGCGACTCCTTCATCATCGACAAGAACCTACTATCCGAGACGAGGCACTCCTCCCACCACCCCTCCGCACGTCCGCCTGTCGTCTTCTTCCCCTGCATCCTCATCCTCCCCGCGGCGGTGGCCGGTACCTCCAAATGCAGCACCGAGACCGTGACCAACTCGCATCGCGCCAGCTGACACACAAACCGCACCGCCAACCGATCGTCCTTGCCCCCGAGAAACGGCACGACGATATGCTGCGCCTTGGCCGCGCGCCCATTCTTCCATCCCCCGACCCCACTGCGCTGCACGCTCATCGCCCCGAGCGAGGGCCGATGGCGCACCACGCTCTTCCCGTCCTGCCCACGCTGCACGCCCGTCGCTGCAGCCGTCGCTATGGTAGCTGTAGTAGTAGTCGTCGTCGTAGCGGCCGTGGCAACATACGCATTCCGCTCCACCAACACCCCTACATTGGCATGCCCCGTCGCAGCGCCCTGCAAGACACTCTCCACGAACCCCGCATACGGCTGTCCATCCAGAAACCGCACCCCCTCCTCGACCGGCGAATGCAAATGGTACTGCTCGCCCATCGCCCCCGTCTCGCTCCACGGCACCAGGACCAAATCCGCCCGCTCTTCGCGCGCCATCCCCACCACCGTGTCCGCGAAGGAGTGCTCCGGCACCACCGAGACCCCCGCCACGATCGACAGGTCGTGCCACTGCCCGAACGCGCGGAAGGTGTTGACCACCGGGTCGGAGAGGGTGTATTGCTCGATCTCGGCCACTTGCATGACGCTGGAGTCGCGGTCGGTGAGCTCGAGGAGGCGCACGCCGTGGACTTGGAGGTTGTCGGGGGTGGTGGAGTCGTCCGGAGAGGTCATGTTGGGGTCCGGGTCCGGGGGAGCGGATTCGTCGGCTTTGTCGGGGTCGGAGGGGGTGGTCGGGGGGAGGTTGTCGGGGTGGGTGCGAGGCTTGGTTTGGGTGTTGGGGGTGGAGGGTGCGAGGAGGCCGGCCAGGGTGCAGAGCCCCGATAAGCCGTCGAGGCGAAGGTAGACCAGGAGGTTGCGGACGTAGGGGTGGGTTGGGTGGAGAGTTTCGTCGTGGTCGGGGATGGTGGTGGTAGTGGTGGTGGGTTGATGGTGGGATGAGGTTTCTTTGGCGGCGGCGATGCTGTCGACGCGACTGTCGGACGGCAAGGGGGGTTGACCCGTCGTCCAGTCGATCTCCCCGCGACGCCATCGGTCGACTTTGATCTGGTACCATTTGGGGTAGAGGGCGACGGTGAGTGGGGTGGTTGCGAAGGTGGTGACCAGCGCCATGACGACGAACATGGTGAAGGTGCGAGTGCTGAGGATTTTGGCCTGGAGACCGATGTTCTGCGCGCGGGGGGGAGAGGTCAGTGGGCTTGGGATTAGGGATGAAGGGGAAGGGGGGCGCGTACCAGAACAATCAACTCGACCAACCCCTTACAACTCATCAACACGCCAATGGAGAAGCTCTCGCGCCAGAGCAGCCCGTTCACCCGCGACGCCAACGCCCCGCCCGTCACTTTGGCGATGAAGGCGATGGCGATGATGGCAACCACGTACCCCCAGACGGTCCCGTTGTCCAGCAAGCCCAGGTTGGTCTGCAGCCCGCTCAGGGTGAAATACAGCGGCAGGAACAGCGCCGCCACCAGATCCTCGATCTTCTCGGTCAGCTTGATGGCGAAGCCGCCCTCGTGCGGACACAGCAATCCGATCAGGAAGCCGCCGAAGATGGCGTGCACGCCGATGACCTGGGTGAAGAAGGCGGAGGCCAGGGCGATCAGCAGGGTGATGGCGACGACCGACTGGCTGGGCCCCTTCTGCAGGCTGCCGGTGTGGGCGAGGAAGCGCAGGAACAGGGGCCGGAAGACAAACACCAGGAACAGCACGTAACCCACGCAGACCAACAGCACCCAGAGCGCTGTGAGCCCAGAGCCCGCGTTGACCAGCGCGACGCACAGCGCCAGCAGGATCCAGCCGACCACATCATTGCCCACGCCGGCCGACAGCACGATCACCCCCACGTGGGTGCCGAGCAGTTTCAGCTCGGTGAGGATGCGGCAGAGCACGGGGAAGGCGGTGATAGCCATGGCGATGCCGATGAACAGCAGGTAGGTGCCAAAATTGATCTCCACGGTGTCGGCTTCGCTGCGGAAGGCGTGGTACAGCCCATACGCCACGGCGCAGCCCAGTCCAAACGGCAGCACCATCCCGGCGGCCGACACGCTGATGGCCACGCGCCAGTTGCTGATCAGGAACTTGAGGTTCGTTTCGAGGCCGACGAGAAACAAAAACAGAATCAGGCCCAGGTTGGCGACGAGGCTCAGCCCGGGGAGCGAGGCCTTGGGGAAGATGGCCTCGGTGAAGCCGGGGATGCGGCCCAGCACCGAGGGGCCCAGCACCACCCCGGCAATCACCTCGGCGATGACGCGTGGCTGGCGGATTTTGCTGAGCGGCCAGTGCAGCAGTCGGCACAGCACGATGATGATGCTGGCTTGGATGATGAAGAGAATGATCGGGTTGGAAGAGTCATACTCGGTGGGGTTGCTGCCCTCCAGGATGCCCGCCTGGGACTTGACCGTGGTGGTGGTGGAGTTGGCCATGAGGGCAGGCCTCTAGCTGAGGCGCGAAGCAGATAAAACTGACGGAGGGAGGAGTAGACCGGAGACGTTCTGAAGAGAAAACACGGAGGGCGGAGAGACGAGCGATGATAAAAGACCACGAAAGATCCTGTGTGGGGGGTGAAGACCGAAAACCCACGTGGGTTGATGGTGCAGGCTGGGCGATAATGTGATAACGTGATACTCGCGCTGTCAATTTTCTTTGTTGGAGTCCTCTTGACTCCACGAAACTAAGACTCAATTAGTACAATTCATACGCCCGCAGCGACCGCTTCGGAATTCCAAGACAGACCAAAGAGTCTGGGCCCAATACGAATCCGGGGTTGGCAGATCGTCTTTTCCCCACTCAGAACCACTAAGACCGGCATCCGTCAACTGATCCCCCGTTCTCGTATTCCAAAGTCTTACTTTATCTCGTCTCCGTCGCTGGTTGGAGGCCACTGGGATCCACTCGAGCTGTAAATTGAACTGGGAGGCTGTGGTCTCTGCGGCCAAGGGCTGGGCCGATCACGGGATGCAGAGAGGGAGGGATCACCTGGAGAGCTGAAGCTGTCTCACATGTTGATACACTGACTTCCTGGTAAATTCAGAGTGGAAGAGGCTCAGACTTATTGGAAGATGGAGAGCGACCTTGCAAGCCTTTGATTTCCGTTTGCAATGAAAAGAACAGGTTCCCAAGAATGGTGTTGACGGCTATCATCACAAAAAAATGGGGCAAATAACAACAACAGGTGCTGTGGTCTAGTGGTATGACGTCACGTTGTGGCCGTGCCAGCCCCGGTTCGATTCCGGGCAGCGCCACTTTCTTTTTCTCTTTTTCTTGCTGTTTTACTTTCCCCTTTTTTTGTACAAGTACAAACACCTGCAATCATCCTGCTTTTGTTTCTTTCCATCGATATGTTTCATGTGTTATGTGCAGACTGAAAGACACGAAAGGATTGCTCCGTGATCACTACATGCATAGTACTTCAAGTTAATATATTCTCCCGCAGACTCCGCCGGGTAACAAGAATATCCTTTGCTTCCACACTATGCGTCGACGCTGGCAACCAAATAAAACGATACGAAATTATCCTTCAACGGCATCCAGCCTCACATAGATCGCCTTCTTCTCAAAGTGCGGAAGATCGGGAAAGTCGAACATCTCGTAATGATCCCCAATCAGTTTCAAAACCCGATTGGTGACCGGATCATATATCCTCCTCGCGTCAGCCCAGCTCCGTCTTGCTTGCAGCCCTCGTCCAGACGGGGTATACTCACGAATTTGTCCGAGTCACGTCCTCCCATATGATGATCGCCGGACGAGCGATCTCCGCAATGATCTCCTTCACCGGGACATCGTTGCTACAACTATAAACCACAGACGTGTCCTCCACCTGGAGAAACCCCTGGGGATCCGCCACCACATCCATCTTCAGCGTCACCGAGAGGAAATGCTCGTCCATGTCGTCGTAGATACTGTCCTGCAGGGCGCACGCCAGCGGGCCGTCCCCATCCTCACTCCAGAGGTTTCTGATCATCCAGAGCAGCGCATACTGCGTCGCTGCGGGCGACTCCCGCAAGATCGACCCGCAGAAGAACGCGACGAGGTTTGTGACGAGATGCCGCTCGCGCGCTGCCACCAGAATCTCCTGCATTCTCGCCCACGTAGGGCTGGACACCACGTCGACTGCAGCCAGCCGGAACGCGCGGAACGGATTGGTCACGGCCGTGGGCTCGTACAGCGCGCGCGCCGGCAGGTCGACGGGTTCGTGGGTCTGCGGGTCGATCCACTGGCGCAGGTGCATAGGCACGATGCGGCAGTAGGATGCCACGTTGAGCGTGGTTGTCTCGGTCGCTCGTCCGAGGAAGACGGTCCATGGGATGTAGACCAGGTGAACCGGGCCGCTGCGGGTTGCCCCATAGTTAGTAGAGTCAGTAATTATCAGCAGGGTCTTTCCAACCCGAGAGGAGATCCTCCAAACCCATCCCCTGACAGAAGCAAGGAAGGACGGTGAATCACGTACTTGACAAATTCCTGCTCGGATGCTTGATGACCCTGACCCATAGCTGGCTCGAACTCAACGGGAGTCCCGTCCATCCCCACCGAGACATACCGCTCTCCTTCCCGCAGTGGACGGCTGAGCTGTTCATGCAACGCGCGCAGAGTTTCCTTGGTGAAGGACCGTTCGCCTTCCGCGTCGAAGTGCAGGATGTTCAAGACGACTTGGTGGGTGTTCAGCGTGGCCGGGTTGTGCAGAGGCGGTCCGGTCCAGTGGCCTTCCATGTTCTCATGCATGATCAGACCCGGCATGTCGGGCGCGGTGGGTTGGATGTCCGGAGGGCCAAAGGCGCCTGCCTCAGCGAGTCGGGTGATGAGATCGGGCTCACTGCTCGCTTCCGACTGTTCTTCTTCCATGTTGTCGTTGTTGTTGTTCATGGTTCTTGAGTGGAGTATGAGATAGTGGATCTTGGAGAGATGTGGTTACGATGGGACGGAGACAGGGTTGCTGTGAACAGAAAACAGGTTCTCACAAGCGTAGCAGCTGATAGGATAACAGTTTCCATTAATTTGTGAAGCTGTGAATAGTCACTATCTACATCAGTGAATATGGTCTCTATACAGTAGGTATCCACTTAATGCCTGAGGCATGAAATTCGCTAGTTGCGAGGGGTTAGCGGGATGGATTGCACATTTCGGTAGTAGTTGTTCCGTCCCGGTTGAAAATAGGCCGCCAGGAACAGGGCGAATGAGCCCACAGAGCAGACTCGCACCAGACATCATAGTGAAGCGAAAAGGTGGCACGGAAGATACACAAAGTGAAAGTAGGTGGTCACAACGGCGGATTCGACAACGTCAGGCTACCCCTGAAAAGATGGGGTAATAATCCATAGCCCAGACAATTGCAGTGGGATCCCATCCCGACCATTGCATTGAAAATCTTGTGCGGCATGTTGGGAAATCCGACGTTGGGAAAGACTGGTTGAAACTGGGTGCAGCTCAGGGTGACGTTGCGATGACCACCAGTGACCATCAGTGGCGTGCCATGGCAGCCCTATAGGGCTGAGTCAACCGCCAATAACCACATCACCCCCCAATCCCCCCCCCCACCGGCACAAGCAATACTCAAGCTTTGACCCGGCAGTCTTGCGTCGATGTGAGAGGTTAGTCGTACACCCGTCTCCACTTAATGTCCGGTTTCTGAACCCCTCTGTCTTATGTTCACTTGGTCGGAAAGCCCCGGAAGCAAGGCAAGAATGGCTAAGTAGCCCCTCACCAGGGGGCGTATAAAGAGGGGGGGCAGTCCATTCCTGAGTAGGCAGACCAAATTCCCCCAGACTCTCCCCACAATCGTACCAGATAATGCAATTGCTATCGCGGTCTCCTTTATCCCTCCTGGCCGTAGTGGCCGTCGCTGGCCTGGTCGAACGAAGCCATGCTGGCCCCGTCCCCAACGACGCGTACCAGCAACTGATGCAGATCCCCGCCTCCTCGCCGTCCATCTTCTTCAACCACAAGGAACCGTTCTCGCCGGACCATCGCGACCCCTGGGACCACAAGGTCGATGCGATCGGGGAAGGCCGACAGCCCCTCCCGTGGCGGATGGGCGATGGGGCCTCGATGATGGGCCCCCGCAACAAGGACCGCGAGCGCCAAAATCCGGATCTCGTGCGGCCCCCCAGCACCGACCACGGCTCCCTACCCAACATGCGCTGGTCCTTTGCGGACTCGCACGTGCGAATTGAGGTGAGCAAAGCCACGAGACACCACGACCCACGACCACCTGTCCGGTGTCACGCTAACACTAAAGCTGCTAGGAGGGTGGCTGGACGCGGCAAACCACTGTCCGCGAGCTGGGGACGAGCAAGGAGCTGGCGGGGGTGAATATGCGTCTCGACCGCGGCGCCTACCGCGAGCTCCACTGGCACATCGAGGCGGAGTGGGCGTATGTCCTTGCCGGACAGGTGCGGGTGACGGGGCTCGACCTCGAGGGGAAGGCCTTCATCGACGATCTAGAGAAGGGGGATCTCTGGTATTTCCCCTCGGGTCATCCGCACAGTCTGCAGGGACTGGGGGAGAATGGCACCGAGTTTCTCCTGATATTCGACGACGGCAACTTCAGCGAGGAGTCGACATTTCTGTTGACCGACTGGATGGGTATGTGTGCCTCTCTACTACTACTACTTACCCACCTTTTGTATAGACCAGTACTCTGAAAACAAAAAACCATAAAAAAAAAACCCCTGCTAAGGCACTCACAGCCCACACCCCCAAAGCCGTCCTGGCCGAGAACTTCCGCCTCCGCCCACAGCTCTTCAAGAACATCCCCACCAGCGAAAAATACATCTTCTCGGGCTCGCACCCGGACAGCATCCCCCGAGAAATCCCCCCGAACTTCAAACCCTCTTCGCAGCGCTTCACCCACAAGATGCTCGCCCAGGAGCCCGAACACACCTCGGGCGGCGAGGTGCGCATCACCGATTCCTCCAACTTCCCCATCTCGAAGACGGTGGCGGCGGCCCACCTCACCATCCAGCCGGGGGCGCTGCGGGAGATGCACTGGCACCCCAACGCGGACGAATGGTCGTATTTCATCCGGGGGCGGGCGCGCGTCACCGTCTTCGCGGCGGAGGGCAACGCCCGCACCTTCGACTACGTGGCGGGCGACGTGGGGATTGTGCCCAAGAACATGGGCCATTTCATCGAGAACCTGTCGGACGAGGAGGAGGTGGAGGTGCTGGAGATCTTCCGCGCCGATCGGTTCCGGGATTTTTCCCTGTTGCAGTGGATGGGGGAGACGCCGCGGCGGAATGTGGCGGAGCATCTGTTTCAGGAGGATCCGGAGGCTGCGAGGGAGTTTTTGCGGAGTGTGGAGGGGGCAGAGAAGGATCCCATCCGAGGGTGAGCTGTGTTGTGAGTGAAGTGCGTGGCTGGGATGGTAGGATCAGAATACATTAGAGACATTAGTAGGTGCGTGAATGGGTGTGGACGTATTCTCTGGATATCTTCAAGTTATCCGTCTTGGTGACTGTTATGTCTACTGTAGTCAAGACAGTGAACTATAGTACCTAGTGATAACATATTAGGTACGACTATAACTACCTGTTTATTCTCAGCTATCTTAGCATGAACAGTGATGCCTAGCAGGGGTATAAAAAATAGTCGACGTCATGATAGGGCATGAATGCATTCACCTGCAGCTTTCGATGGAGGCACAGCCAAGTGTGGCGATGAGCTCATGCCACCCCCACTTTGTGCAGTTTCTGGTGAAGAAAACGAGACGCTAAGCCTGTTGGAGGGCGGATTACGAAGGCTTAGCAGCTCCTCTGCCCCTCCAGAATTAATGCTGGTGCCTTCGACGTCAGCCTCCCTCCCACTTCCCTCCTACAATTGATATATAAACAGTAGTACTGCCTCTCCCGCACTTCCTCGTTCACTCTTGGAAATCATTCAATCTCATCGTATCTACTCTACCCGGCTATTCCGCACAATGTCTCAACCACAAAATAATACCGCCAGCTCCACCGGCAAAATGTGGGACAAAACCAAAGTCTTCGGCAAGAAGACCTTCGACAAAGGCTGGGAGGCGCTGGACAAGCTGGGCGGGCCAGTCAACCGCCTCTCCAACAAACTCGGCGCCGAGGCCTTCTGGCCCATGTCCATCGACAAGGAGTGCGACAAGGCCGCGCGCATCCTGCGCAGCTTCTGCAAGGACGGCGTCTACATCGACGCAAAGGCCGACAGCGCCCCGCCCGTCAGCGGGTCGGAGGCTTCCGCCCCCAACAAACCCAACAAGGAGCCGAGTGACAAGCCGCGGGGCAAGCAGAAGGTGCTGAAGAAGATCCCCGCGGAGGTGGTGCGGCAGGCGAAAGGACTGGCCATCTTCACCGCGATGCGATGGGGCTGGGGCTTCAGCGGCGCCGGAGGGAGTGGGATCCTCATCGCGCGCGATCCCCAGACGGGCGCGTGGACGGAGCCCTCGGGGATTCTGCTGCATACGGCCGGGGTGGGCTTCCTGGCGGGCGCGGATATCTATGACTGCGTGATGGTGATCAACACGTACGAGGCACTCGAGGCCTTCACCAAGCTGCGGGTCACGCTGGGGAGCGAGGTCAGTGTCGCCGCGGGGCCGGTCGGGATGGGGGGTGTGGTCGAGAGCGAGGTGCACAAGCGACGCGCCCCGATCTGGACCTACATGAAGTCCAAGGGGCTGTACGGGGGCATTCAGATCGACGGGTCGATCATCGTGGAGCGCTGCGATGAGAACGAGAAGTTCTACGGTCGCCGAGTCCCCGTCAAGGACATTCTAGCCGGCCAGGTCCGCTCCAACAACGCCTCGGTCAGAGGGCTGGTGCATACCATCCAGTCGGCCGCAGGACAGGCCAACTTTGATCAGCCCCCGGCAGATGCCCAGATCCCCACCGGCCCCAGTCCCAGTGATATCCCCCCGGAGCAGTTGGCCAACAGCAACATGTTCCACGCCCAGGCCCCGGGCGCCCCGCCCCCGGAGGCCGTCCAGCACAACCCCGAGCAATATCAAGTACCCCCCAACAGCAACCTGCCCTACCACCAGCCACCCCCGGAGCAGCATCCCCAGGGTCCGCAGAACCCGCCCATGGGTTACCCCCAGGGCCCGCCGGCAGATGCGCAGTACCATTCCCAGCAATATAACCCAGGCCCTCCCAACAATAATGCGTCTTACAGTCAAGCACCATCTGCGAATGCAGACTACTATTCGGGGCAGGGACAGCACAATCAGGTACCTCCAAACAAGTACTGAAGAGGTCACACGAGAAAAAACCTTCATTTGTCACCGAATCTTGATACCTACCATGCGATGCTTCCAGCGTTTGATGTATTTACTTCTTTTCCTGCATTATTGACCTGAACTTTTCTTCAAAAATCGAGCAAGTGGATTGAGTTGAACAATCTCATAGTAACTCAGACTCGAGCTTACCTGTGTAGATAAGTGCTATGGTGTGATCTGTATCAAGAGCCATGCCGATGTAGAATCTGCGACAGCTAGGCTTTGCAGTCGACACGAACCGGGGGAGGAAACAACATGCATATGACACTTATATAACTGCCTGCAACGCCATCAATTCTCTCATTAACCAGAGATGAACGACTCCCATCAAACAATCCGTGAATATAGCCTGAGACCCAAGCTCTGCCAGCATCTCACCTGTATTTTCAGACGCAAACATTTTCCACCTCTTCAAGACAACAACGAACGCGAGGCTACTCCACCACATATACAAACCCACAAGCAAGGCAACCAGCCAGGAAACCAACAAACCCCTCCCGAGCCCACCCAAGCACCCCGGCCTTCATCTTTCAGCTTTCAAGACGGTAATGCAACCTGCACCACCGGCAGAGCAGCCGATGTCGCATCTCCACCAGCCGCACCAGAAGCCGCCTCGTCCACCAGAAGCGCCTTCACACAAGCCGCAGCAGCAAGGGCCGCATACGGCTGCCACCGCTTACTCTTATGACTATCCGCATAGTCACACACGCCCTTGATCACCACAGACGAGAAATACAAGTCCACGCCCGCGGCCTCCATCTCGAACCCCATCAGGCCCTTGTCCGCCGCCAGCCTGTCCCTATCCTCGCCGGACCGCAGCACTATATCAGCGGACCCGATCACCCCGCAGAATACGCGGGGGGTGATGGGTGGTGCCATCGCACGATTTTCGCCCGCCGACCGGCGCCGGAGACTCCCCGCTACTTCTTGCCCCAGATACCGTTCGCAGTCGACCGCCTCGTCGCAGGAGAGATGCACCGTGTCAATGCAGCCGGGGCCCTTGGTGCGACCGTGCTCGCGGCACAAGATGCAAGGGTCGGAATCTGGATGGCGGTGCCGATACTGAGCGGGGAAGAGCCGGTCGTGCTCTGCGCCGGGGAACTGGTATTTACGCTCGTCTGATGCTTGCTGGGCCGTGCGGAGATGAGATGCGAGTCGTTGTTGCAGGGAGGGAGAGTGGTGCGCCGATTCGAGGTTCTAGCACAGAACGCGAGCGCCAAAAAAAGAGCGCGATGAATGTTAGAATGATGGATGATTGCTCTTTGCCGCTCCTACGCTGCGCTGGCAGGACGGCTTTCGGGGGCTGGGAGGAGTTGCGCACCAACTCGTCCGAGGCAGGTTTGCTCGCTTCCCGCCCAGTTCTTGGACTGATCAGCACGTCTCCGAGGAAGATGTCCGTTCCGTCCGGGGAGTAGGGCGCTGCGCCGCAGATGCCGACCAGCAGGGCAAGGTGCACCTGGGGGAATCGCCGTCGTAGATACCCTGCTCCGATCGTGGCGTTGAGGGTCCCGATGCCGGGCAGCTCGACGAGGACGATGTCGTGCGGGCCGATGCGTCCCAGGGTGTAGGTATTCGGGTCATCTGGCAGTGGAGTATACAAGTCCGTGGGCAGCTTGCATGATTCGTCCAGGACAGCTTGGACTGCATCTGCTTCGAGCGCCAGTGCGCAGATGATGGCAATGCGAATTTGGTCCACAGGCGGAAAGTGGGCACAAGACGGCATGATGCTGAGAATCGGTCCTCAGATGAAGAGATACATGAGCTACACCTGGGCGTGGTGACTCCGGAGGTCTTATTCTGGCAGTCTTGCGTGGACTGGAGGAGGGGATCAGGGCTTAGCGCTGTGCTTACGCATAATGGTCTATGTAGTTCCAACAATCATCGCTGTCAACCCGCTTAGCGCTGGTCTTCGTACTGAGGACACATGGCGGGCGCTTGCGGCTTTTTTGCCCGCCAATAGGTTAACCAGACCTGTGGTCTCGGTAGAGTTTTTCAAGTTATTCTTGTAGTCAGTTGGAACTACGTGGTGCGCAATTGGAGGATGTTTGGACAACTTTCATAGCGAAAACCCGGCGTCTATGACAATATTCTGTCCTGTAATCGAGGGACTCGTCGCCAGGAAGCGGACCTGATCAGCCACATCCTGCAGTGATACGGTATTAGCAACCATTGATGCAGACCCCGAAGGAATTCGCAGGTCGAGCACTACTTCAGTGGATGATGGAAACCGACCTCTGGCGTTGCGAACCGCTTGAGCGCATTCCTCTCCTGCACCGAGCGAAGCGTCTCTTCTGAGAACTGACGTCCCCAATCCTGAAACATGTCAGCCAGTAGCCACCCTATCGTCCAAGAGGAACCGAAACTATACCGTCAAAAGAACCCCCGGCGCGACCGAATTCACTCGAATCCGCGGCGCCGCAATCACCGCCAGGCTGCGCACGAGATGAATCAACGCCGCCTTGGTCACAGCATAGGGCTGCCACCGCCAGCACCACACATCAGCACCACAGTCCCAAGCCCACCCAGCAGGAAGGAGGAGGAGATACATACCAAACTACTCCCACTCGGTTGCACCCCCGCCACCGAAGCCGTCGCCACAAACGCCCCCTCCGTCGCCTCCAGATGCGGCCGCACCGCATGGAACAAATGAAAGTGGCTCTTCACATTCATCTGGAAACACCTATCCCAGTCGTCCTCGTTATCTGCATCGTCCAGCTCCATGAAATTCGTCATCCGGGTCCAGCCCGCGTTCGAGACGGCCACATCCAGCCGCCCGAAGGCGTCCACGGTCTCCGCCACCACGCGAAGTATATCCGCCCGGTTGCCCATGTCCCCTTGCAGGGCGATGAAGTTGGAGGTGGAGCTCCGCGAGAGTGACGAGAGGGTGGTGAGTTCTTGGATGAGGATGTTCGCCGCTGTCTGGTCGGAGTGGTAGTTGATAGCCACGCGGAGGTGGGCGTCGCGAGCGAGGGCGCGCGCTATCGCCGCCCCGACGCCTCGGGAGCCGGCTGTTACGAGGGCTACTTTGGCTGGTGTCATGGTCTCAATCAGCGAATTAGGGTATATTGAAAAAAAAAGGGTACACAGGCGGAGGGGTTTTCGGTGGTTTAAGGGGATTCCGTGCTTCGTCCGCATCCGAGATGTCGGCTCCACATCGGGGAGTGTCCCAGGTCGAAGTTGTCCACTTCAACCCTTACCATCACAGTTAGACTTCGGACAGAGATCGGCATCGACCTCTTCATCCTGATCGTCACCGACAAGACGGCGGACCCGTTCAGTGTGGTGACCGACGTCCTGTCCCAGGCTGAACACGGACCCGACTCGCCGTGCGTGAGCCTGACCACGTCGGAGCGGGTGGCTAAGACAGCGATTGCATACATCAACCAGGCTCTGAAGGAACCGTCCACCGCGGCGCTGGCGGGCGTCTCGTGGGAGAATTGGGGCGAAGCGATCGTGGCGGACACCATGGACGAGGCCTGGAGCTGGCGGAGGAGATCGATAGTGAGCACGTACAGATCTTCACGAAGAACCCGCGAGATGCGTTGGAGAAGATGACGGCGTATGGTGCGCTGTTTTTGGGCGAGCGGACATGTGTGTCGTATGGCGACAAGGCAAGGATTCTTGGTTTGGAGTTGGGCAACTTGGATCAAGACTCAACGAAGATTGACAGTGCATCGCAACGAACCGGGTCCTCCCCACCAGGAAGACTGCTCGCTACACCGACGGTCTCTGGGTTGGCAAGTTCTTGCGGACCATCACCTACCAGGAGGTTGCGCCAGATGAAGCCAGGGGCTAGCTTGGTCGGTTCTGCGGCCGCGCAGCTCGGGCCGAGTCCTTCGAGGGACATCCCCGGTCGGGATATCTGCGAGCTCATTTGCATCTGAAGAAGAATTCAAATAAATTGAACAAGGATATGAGAGCGTGAAAGATGATTCTAGAGAGAATTGTCGGGACTGCGCATAGTGACCTTTTCGGGAAGTGGACCACATAGGCTGGCAGTGAAATGGTTCTGAGATATGTTGTTAAAACCATACTCCGTGCTCGTTAGCGACGACAATACACGCGTATAGACCATGGCATTGGTCATAGCTGGCTTCAATTGGCCAACGAGCGAGTTGATGCCCAGCCCAGCAAGAAGCGTGAACAAGCACCTTATGCATCCAACATGCACAAATGCCTGACTCAGCGGCACGTAGATGGGACCCAGTCTCCATAATCGAGGACCTTGCGATACGTGGGCCAAGCGAGATTTTCTTGACAACCTCAACGCCAAGCATCAGCCAAGAGGTAGATTGCGTGGGCTTGGCTGAAATCCAGGATGATCCTGACTTGAATTGCATCCATCCCCGCCGGAGTCGTACTGCTGCGTGGGTGTTCATTGCACAGGCAGAAAATTCCTGGTGGTTGACGGGGGAAATTCGCATGAAACAGGCAGGGATCAGCTGGATCTTATCAGGACCTTTGAATCCAAACTCAATCGGGTGTAGTCGGGTGCAGTTGATTGCATGCGAGATCTCGAACTGATCGAGAGGTGCGACACTTTGACATCCTCTTCGCCTCCAGGCCACGAAGCATGAGACTTAGATGGGTGTAGTTGCACCTTCACTAGACATCCTGTAAACCGGGACTAGTTCAATGACAGTTGACTTATTATGTTCACCCTGCTCATCTCACGTTCTTGGAGCAGATTCAGATCCATCTATGCTTTCGCTATGCGTTCGCTCTCAACCAGAATTCTCGAACACCGGATAGATTCGACTAGCTCCGATCTCTAACCACCGTCGCGAAGCCCTATGGGGTGTTCGCATTAGGGGCACCCCCTTGCTGTCAGGGTCGAAGTTTTGCAGGGAGGGGATCTGGACTGACGGCTCGGGGACGCGCGTCTTTCGCTGCAGCCCTAACGCCAAGACCTGTCCGCCGCGTTCGTTGCGGAGACTTTTATGAACCGGATCAATTTACTACTATTCAGTATTCACGGAGTGCGGATTATCGTGCGAAGCAGTACAGGGGGAGTCTACACAAATGATGTCCCTTTCAGCTAACAATGCAAGTGCTTGATGTTGTTCAAATAAGACAGGTTCGTCTAGGAGTCTTCCAGCAGAGATCGGCCAGCTGTGAACACTGCAGTGTGCTCTGACCTGTCACCCGAGCTACTATACATCTCAAAGTACAAAAGAAGCAGATCTTGCACCTCATGTTTCCTTCGCTACAAGCCGGAGATGGCGAGTCTACTGAGCTCCGTATACCGATGACGCGGGCCAAACCCACGCAGGACCTTGATCCGTGGACGCAAGTCACCCACAGACGATACCAAATATAGGATATGCGCCTTGCGAGCAAAGCTTCACTCCCCACAAAGGCGCTGTCAAGCGTTTCCGTCAGCGCCGTCGAGGCACAGTCTTCGCTTGACAAGACATATCTCAAGCGATGGCTGTATAAAGCCGGGTCCAGAGCCGGGGTCAATGACACAACCTTCTTCCTCGACGAGTCTCTCCTCATTCTTTTTCTTGGCCTTTCTTTTCTGTACAGTCACTCTTTTACTGTCACTCTTTGATTTTTCATCCCGTTGACTTCAACCATGAAGTATGCCCTTCTCACCGCAGCACTGGCTCTGGCAGCCGGTGCCTCCGCCGCCGCTGTGCCCGCGGCGGTTCATACACGCGAGTCCACGACGGACTACATTCCCGACTACTTCACCGGCGGGTGCACGAAGGAGCAGATGACCACTCGCAAGGAATGGCGGCATCTGACCGGCCAGGAGCAGAGCCATTTTCTGGACTCCCTGCAGTGCCTGATGGAGAAGCCCGCACAGTCCGGGCTGACGGCGACGACCAGCCGCTTCAGCGACCTGCAGGCCCTGCACCGCGGCATGACCAACACCGCCTACGCGGACATCATTCATCATGTGGGCCAGTTCCTGCCCTGGCATCGCTACTACATGCACATCTACGAGACCCTGCTCCGCGACGAGTGTGGTTACACCGGTTCGATTCCGTACGTCCCCTCCTTCCCCCCTGTATTCCCACAAAAGACCTAGACTGATGGAAAGCAACACCCCAGATACTGGAACGAACAGCTCGACGCCGACAGCGGCAACATGTTCCAGTCCTCCATGTGGGGCCCCGACGCCTTCGGGGGCAATGGCACCGGGTCTGGCCTCTGCGTGACGGACGGCCGCTTCGCCAACATGACGCTGCACATCGGCCCCGGCGACGAGGACACGGACTACTGTCTGCGGCGCGCGTGGGACAACGAGGCCGCTATCGCCAACGCGAACAGCACGGCCTTGAACGCCTGCAACGCCTACAACACGTACGCGCCGTGGTGGAATTGCGTCTCCAATATCCCGCATAAGGGGGTGCACACGAATATCGGAGGGGTGGTATGTTGCAACTTGTTCTTTACGCTGTTCCCCTTGGCAGATCGGGCTCTTGACTAACGGGCCTGCTTTGGCTAGATGGCGGACATCAAGTCCTCCCCGGGCGACCCGATCTTCTTCATGCACCACGCGTACATCGACAAGGTATGGTGGGCGTGGCAGAAGGCCGACCCCCTCAACCGCATGTATGATATCAGTGGGCCGACCTTGAACCACACGGCGAATGTCGAGCCCGCCGGCGGCTGGCAGAACGCGACGCTGCACTACGAGCTGTCTTCGTTTGAGATCCAGCCTAATGTCACGATCGGGACGGTCATGAACACGCAGGGTGGCTATCTGTGCTATGGGTACGATTGAGCCTTGTTCCGGGGTGGAGGGGGTGCTTCAATGGATGTGGGGGTGTGCCGTGACTGGGCTCTGTGTTGAATTGACTTTCGCTTTTGATAGACTTTTAGACGAGACTTTCTTAGTTAGTTGTTAATGAAAGCACTACTACTAATCACAAGGGGAAGAGAAAAAGCAAAACATACATTAGAAAGGATTCACTGGTGGTCATCCACTCAACTACTAACTCCTAGTATATGACAAACACAGCCGGCAGACTATATAGTCTTAGCGATCTAAACTTGTAGATCTACTTGAAATGAAATTCTTTTGGCTATTATCAGTAGTAGATAGTATACAGCCTTAGGTTTTTTAATTAGGCTTGGTGAATCCACAATTCAATTTCTATTATGCTACTTCCGCTCCGCCCCGCGGCCCAGACTCCAGGCGCTGCTGGCAGGGTACCAGCCGCTGCACCAGTTCGGGGCTCTGATCAAGTTCAATCTATGTCGCGCAGATATGGGAGATATCTTGAAGGGGTGAGTGTTACCACGTCACAAGAGTTTTTTACACCGAAAAACAATCAAAGAGTCCCAGACTAAGCATCTGAAAATTTGCGACAACTACGAACTCGTCGAAACGAAGTGGAAATCTGTTCTGGTGTATAAACACGTTTGGATTAAATTATTATCAACCTCAGAAGAGAAAGTCCTAGATACACACGAGCAAGACACCTCACTTCAGGTCCTTGATCCTCGAGTCAACCCCTATAGATATCTGATCACTCAGAAAGTACCCTCGCAAGGTCACAAGCGCGACCTTGACGTGGAAGCCAATGGCTGTGGCGCAGTTCGGAAACTCGCTTACAGCTGTATACCGCGTTAGTATGGGCAGAGCTGCGAGGCGGGGGGAATCGAGTTCAACTTACAACACTGACGTCGTTGTTGTCCAAGACGCTGAGGTCGTTGAGGGAGCCGGTCAAGATCTTGCCATCCTTGTTCAGGTTGTTCAGGACGCCATCGCCGATGATACCCTTGTCGACCTGCGAGGTCTGGTCGACGCTGGGGCCGGTGTGGTAGGTCGTCTCGGCGGAGTTGCCCGAGTTGTACTCGGCGGTGGCACCGTCGCCAGTGGCACCGTTGCTACCGATAACGGGGCTGGAGGGGTGGGCAATGGCGAGGGTGGCGAGGAGGCCCATGAAGACAACGCTGAGCTGCATCTTGAAGGTGGAAGAAAGAAGCGTGAGCTTGAAGATGGTGTTTGAGTTGGTTGGTTGGTGGTGGAAGTGGAGGAGGCTTGGGAGAGTGAGAGATGCTGTTGGGATGATTGAGACCAATGGCCCGGTGGTCGAAGGGTTTATATAACTTCTGGCTCCTCTCATCTGGCGACCAGTTCGTCTCCGGGGTGGAGGACCTTTCACTCAATTGAGAAGACTCAGGGGCTAATGTGACCGGTTCGAATGATGCATCGTCTCGCTAGGTATTGCAGGTCAGGGACGGACTATCTTGAGGGGGAGATCATGTCGGAAGCTTCGACTCGGGCAATCGAGCTTGACGGTCCCTGCAGATCGAGGCGGTCTGCTCGGATATTGACTTCAATATTAGCCAATATGTGTTGAGCTGCGGCAATGATCCGAGGGAGTGCTGGTCATTTGCCACTGATCTGCTGCATTCATTGAGAGAATATGACTTGGCGGCTGATAGGTCACATTGCGACGAGCGGTCTGCCAGGGGCTCCTCCGGGCTCTATCCGGGCTCTAGAACTGTGCTCTGCATTGGTTTCTTTTGGTGCACAGCTCCAGTACGGGGGCGTTCGACTGGCGAGTGCTGGGGTGCAGCCCTGATCGATAGTCGGGGAGACACCCTTGCATCATGCAGCTCCCCGTCATCTTAAGCTTATTCGGGACTGAACGAACTTCTTTGTGAAACCGCGTTGTAGCCGCCACAGTCTCCCTAATACATACCCCAACTAGGCTCAACTTCAGGTTGTTCTCGTCGCTCGCTTCATGTATCGAGGAAATATCAAGCTGATTGGCCAATAGTGTATGCGTGAGCAGGCATATATCGATTTGCACTATCGGTCTACATGCAGTAATCTACTCGCAGAAGCCGTATTATCGAGCCGTGTTGGTTTCAGCATGATGAACTCCTGATGCAAATATCAAGGACTCTGCATCTGTACCATTGCAGCAAACCATTTTCTCGAGTGATTTCGTGAAGGGGAAATTGTAGTTTTGCTTCTAGAATTGAAAAGTAAAATTCTAAAGCATCTCCAATCCTCGATGGTCTAACGGTCATGATTTCCGCTTGTCAATCCCAGCTGGGAACAAGCGCGGGAGACCTGGGTTCGACTCCCAGTCGGGGAGATCTCTTTTTGCTCATCTTTTTGTCAGTACCTCATCGTTTCTCTTGTCTGTCGTCTTATTTGGCTGGTTGTACTCACAATGGGAGTTCAATCGAGATCCAGCCACCAAATGAAACGCGGGATATTGCCGCCCAGATGCGGCTGTGCGACACTCTTGAGCCCCTCATGCATTTCTCCTTTTCTCAACCTCATCCTTCCTGCAAACAAAAATCCCAACGGTTGAGAGTGCAGAACAGTCTTGGAATCGTACTTGTCACGCCTTCTGACGGAGCAACTGTCTTCCATACAGAATCACTGAGTAGCCTGTCTTTCATCCAGTCCTAGATTCGACGTCTCCCAGCAATCCCCTTTCGAGTTATCGGGAGCTGTTGCATGCCAGACCTTTGCCCGCAGAACACCCTGCGACTTTCCACATCACTGCCTTGAATCCGCTGAAGGTCCTTGTGAGGTGTCTGTGACTCATACTAAAGAAAACAGCACCGGTTTTGTCATCGAAGGCTAGAAAGGTGAAACCGACCAGCCTACTACACTCTAGTCTAGCAATGATGCTCGCAGCCTCTCTTTTCGGTGGTTGGTGCTCGTACGACCGTCGACGGCCCGTCAGGTCCCACGCACCGCCGTGAGAGGGTTCATTCTGCACAATCGCATCTCAAAAGTAAGCACTACGAGTGGGGTCTTATCAATTGTTGCTAAATGCCAATCGGAGGGGAATCGACTTTCTTAATAGCCTAGTAAAGGTCGGATGACCTAGAGCTACGGCCTCGGATCTCGACTGTGAAAGGGAAACCAAGCGGATTGGCTGCTGGCTTCGATGTTGATGCGGGTTAGCCCGCGGAATACGAGGACATATCTTTGTCCTCATGATGGGGATCTCATTGCTGATGGCCACCATCAGTCAATGAGGATGATGAAATTGGACACATCACATGATGATATATAAACTGCATCTCCTTAAAACCACTTCTACTGCAATTCTACATGAAACTTCAACCCAGTCAAGCGTCAGCAACCTGATCTTCCTATCCTAACCACCTCTCCCCCGCCACCATCATGGCCCCCGTGATGTCCGCGATCGACCCCTCGATGTGGTACCGTCCTGAGTACGGCGCTCGCCTCAAACCTGCCATCCAGTTCGTCTTCAACCACTGGGGCGAGATCGCCGACGAAGCACTCCCCTCCCATCTCCACCGCATCGTCAGTCGATCGATCCCTGCCCTACCCTACATCGAGCCCCACCACCCCAGAGCTAACCCCTGTAAAGCGCGACCTTGCCTGGCCCCTCGGCGGCTACCCGTGCGTGGGAATGTGGATGTTCCTCCTCCCAGGCCTGGCAGGCTTCCGCGACTTCCCCCGCATTCTCGAGCACGCGCGCCAGGCCACCATCACTACCACCAGCGGCAGCAGTGACAGCAGCACCAACACAACCTCCACTTCCGACTCCGACTCGGACCCAGTCATCCTCGACCTCGGCTGCGGCCTCGGCCAGAATCTTCGCCTCCTCGCCGCGCACGGGATCCCCACGAACCGCATGGTCGCGCTGGACCTGGAACCCCGCCTCTGGGAACTCGGCTACGAGCTCTTCAAGGACCGCACGCGCATGCAGGCGCAGTTCATCCCGGGCGACTTCCACAGCATGCCCGACGAACAGCTGGCCGCGGTGCAGGGGACAGTGGAGTTGGTCATTGCGGCGCAGTTCCTGCATCTGTTCAGCCGGGAGGGCCAGCAGGCGGCGTGCAAGCGGATCGTGGCGCTCTCGCGGGTGGGGACGATGCTGGTGGGGTTCCAGCAGGGCCGCGCGCGCCCGATCGAGTATCTTCGGCCGTGGGGGGTGACCTTCTACCAGAATCGCGAGTCCTTTACCGGAATGTGGGAGGCGGTGCAGGAGGAGACACAGACGGTGTGGGAGGGGGAGGTGCGGGAGGTGGATTTGTTTGAGTGGGGGATGGAGGAGGAGGATGTCGCGTGGATGACGGAGGATCGGATAGGGATTGAGTTTATGTTGACTAGGGTGGTGTAGTGGTGATGATTGTAGTTTGTGATGTGATGTTGTGGTGGTTGTGTGTAGAGGGAGCAGCTAAAAACCTTCAATGTTACAGTGAGATTTTGATACTTTTGTAATACTGGAATTGCTCGTGCTGCGGATGATGGGTTCGTGATAGCATGAGTGTTTCAGGGATAGATAGAATCGAGAGTTAAGGTTGAATAGTTGTATGTTTTGGTCCCCCAGGGTTCATCCACGAGTAGAGCGTAATTTCAGCGGAAATGAGAGTGGTATATAACTTGAAGCGGCCAGCACATATATATATCGATGCAACGATAGATGGCGGATAAGTTCGCACCAACTTGGCCAGCTAAACATACATAGCTATCTTACCCGCCATATGTTGGCCCCAAGGGCTTCTTAAGAATGGGTATTCAGCTACTCGGAATTATACCAGACATCATCAGTAGTGGATGAGGTCATAAACTAACAGGTGTAACCTACACTGGGAAAGACTCAGATTGACCTACTCCCTGATTTGCCAAGAAACCATGTCGGCTTCGCATCCTCTTGTAAGTTGATCTGGGGGCGCCGATCACTCACGGCCGAGGCCTGGAAGATCGTCTACACTCTAGTTCCTGTCATTCTGATTGACTGAACCGACCGAGAATTCTCACCAAAATGCTTCAAGCTCATCTGGTTATATCAAATATAGCTGATCTTCTACTCCGGAGATTGCGTGTCTACGAATACTGCGCCCCACGTGCTCCTGTCCTGCTGAGAGAAAATCGGAGAAAGTAGGACGGTTGTCACTTGGGTTACTGAACCTGGCACTGAAGGTATAGAATACGCAGGTATGATTAAAGAGCCAATTGTAGCAGAAACATCGCCAGAAAAATGCGGTCTGCAGGTCATGGAGACAATAGAAAAAGTCCTGTTGCACTACATTGCTGCACCCACTGGGGGCCGCTCATGTCATAGTGCGATTCCATAAACTTGACACTATCAACAAGGCGTCGGTTTCTAGCCCAGGCTAGCTTCTACCATTGGAATGATGGCGTTCTCTATCGTCTGACTTGACCGCCAGTCAGACCAGTTGTGGTTGAGGAGACCTAAGAATTATTAGCTTGGCAAAGTCAACTGTACCGGAACAACTCACCCCATGTCTCGTCGTAATCTTGGATGCCTTCCCGGATATAGTAGCTACCAGACAGAACCCAAACCATCCATCCCGCATGCACACTCGGGATCCATGTTCTGAGGCACGAAGCATACACCTCGGTGTATGTGGTGCTGTCCTGCGCATAGCCAAACTCCGTAAGAACGACAGGCAGGACATTCACAATGCTCGAGTCGTCAGTCTCCAACGCTTCAAAGCCATCACTTAGCAAGCTCGAGGACAGACTGCTGCAGCTCGAGGCAGAAGAATCGTAGTTGTGGAGCTCCAGAACGATCTTATCTGCGAAACTGAAATCGGTCTTGTGGAAAGCGGTCCCGTTGCCCAGGTCGGAGGCAGTGGGGATCGGAGATAGATCCACGTCGAAATTGAGACCGGAGAAGAAGATCAGGAGATCTGGATTGACGCTGTTCACCTGCTTCGCGTTCTCAACCATGTTGGCGTACCAGTCCACCCAGTTGTAGGAAGTGCTGGTCAACGTTGCGTTGTCTGCTGGTGTGCGAAGCTCGTTCCTCATGCCAATGCTTTTGACTGCGGGAAGAGATTTGACCTAACTGTTTGTCAGAGGTGACTGGCAGTAGAGCATGCGGGACCAATCTTACATGATCTGCCATATAGGTCCATGCACGGTGCCAGTTCGCAACGTTGAAGTAGGTGTCCCCAAACCAGCTGTTGCCGTCAGTGGTGCTGCAGCACCACATGGCTTTGGAGATGTGGTTGTCGAAGTGTACGTAGATGCCTTGCTTGTAGCATTCGTTGGCGACCGCATCGTAGACCTTCGGCTGTTAGCGCCCACATACTTTAGTCCGCGGTTGGGATTCGACTGACCTCCAATCGAGTTGTGTCTTCATTGAATTGAGGGTTGTGGCTGATGATCTCATTGTATACGGATGTTCCGTTCGCCTCTCCCAAGGCATTGATCAAGGATGTCTTGATAGGCACATCAGCACCATTTTCATAGATATCATCGATCATCTCGACGGCAAAGGTAAGACGAATGACGTTCATGCCCAGGCTCTTGATCTTGCTGACAATGTATTCGATAGACTGGTACTGCAGCCCCTCCGGCAACATAGCCTCGGCAGCACCAGGCCAATTGACCCCGGCGTAGGTGACGTTGTTGCCGGCAGAATCAACGATCCATCGCCCGGAGGTAGAGAGTGGCTCAGAAGAGATAGCGTTGATGAGAAGAGGACCTGTCGCGAAGAGCAGGCCGAGTGCTTTGCTTAGATACATCTCGACGGTACTTGTGTGAGGGAGTGAAGTGCACAAGGAGGAGATATCCGTAGGCATCGCGGGGATTGAATGCCTTTTGTAATCCATCTCTGTCTCTCCAAATCTAATTCTTCAGACTTGCATTTACCCATGTCAAGCACAAGAAGCCCAGCACAGTCTTTTCTGTGGTGTCTCTCCTCAATCTCCACATTGCCAGTGGGCTTTCGAGTGCTATTCGTGGACACTGTGTCTATGCCTCTCATCAGGCGGGGAGATTGACTGGCTGGCATGTTTCCTGACTGTTGATCCCCGCATTGCAAGAAATCGGTCGCATATGCGCGACATATTGCTCCGAGAGGCCAAAGCTTGTGGTTGAAGCTTTTCGACCGGTTTTCGCGCATGTGTTCCCGAGGCGAACAGCATGTCCAGGAATCACATCGAATGATACTGGAGAATGATGTCAACGAAGCTCTTCAGCATCTCTGCAAGTGTCTTTACAGATGGTGGATTGTTAGCTGATGTAACCTTGCAGCTTCTCCCCGTTCCCCGCCTGGAAAAAAACGCACCAATAGGTTGAATAATGCAATTAACCGATGCCTACCCCGCTTTGTGATGGGAACTTCTCCTGGGCATCTTCAAGAAACTGAATCCCCATATTGTATGCTAAAGTCGATCATCATCGCTTTTTTGGGATGTTTCGCTTGTTGTATGATTGCTGGCTTGGCACTGGGTGTCTTCGTTGTCAATAGCCTACTTCTGCTGCCCGAAGCGACCGAAGCTGTGCTCAGAACAAGCAGGGAGAGATGGCACGATTCTTAGAGATGGAGTTGAAGATGAAGATTCAGGAGACAGGGGGGAGATTGGTTCATGTGACCTGTTTGGTTGATATGTCTGACATGTCAACAATGCAAACAGCGACATCTTCTGTTCGACACACCTCGTTGTCGCCTCATCCTTTCTTTTCCACTCAACATCATGCTGCACCAGTGCATTACAACTCATTGTGAGCATGGAGATTACCCAAACTCCATTATATCCGCTAACCCGGAGCAGAAGATGGGATTCTTTTTCGTAAGTCTATAACCATCTGATTGTGGGTAGTGATTGACCGCAGGCGAGTTCAACAGGGGCCATCAACATGGCAACTTATGGATCGCTCCATCGCGACTTATTCCCCAAACAGACACACCTCACGGCATCAGTCACAATATTAACTTAACTATTCTACTTTCTTCTGAGTAACGGTCTCCGGGCTGAGACTGCCGGACGCTGCACGCAATCACACCAGCCGTGCAGCTAATTTAAGGCCGGTCCATATCGCAACCTCTTATCGTGTCTCCCGCCTTGTCGCTGTCGGTTCTCCGATCATACTCCGGTCGCAGTAGCGAATGACGCTTCCCCAGAAGCTTAGCTGCAGATAACGAACCCACTAGCCGAGGCTAAAGGTGTCAACACTTCAATTGTGCTTCGCAACGCGCAGATAAGCGGCATGACACCTTGCTAATCTTGGTCCATCCCGCTAAGTGTTTGTCCAGAATCACGCAAGGATGCCAGGGATGCCACCGCTTCAACTCTCGTCCGTCAAGGCACCAGAGTCTACTCGCTACCACGGCAGACCAATGAATGATTCCATTGACTGTACCTGTCAGCGGTGTGGACCGACTTGTCGCAATCCAATCTCGCATGGTACCTACTTCTTGCCTCTGCAAGGGACCCACTGGTCGTGAGGGGTTGCCTGCCATGGTATTTAAATCACCCCGGACGGCTTCATTGCAGTTGCTCAGGGTCGACCTCAGAGCTGCCAATCCGACTCCACGATGCTTGTCCGCCAGCTTACCGTGGCTCTGGCCATTGCGGCGTTGGCCAATGCACTTCCGACTACTGTCAAGCATGTTCTCCATGAGAAGCGCGACCTATCTTCTTCAGACTGGGTGAAGAGGGCCCGCGTCGACAGCCATGCTGTTCTACCCATGCGCATTGGCCTGGCCCAGAGCAATCTGGAGAAGGGATACGACTACCTTATGGAGGTCTCCCATCCGGATTCGGCGCGCTACGGCCAGTACTGGACATCAGACCAAGTTCACGACATGTTCAGTCCCTCAGAGGAAGCCGTTGAGGCAGTGAGAGAATGGCTCGCATCTGCTGGCATTAATCCCTCGCGTGTCGTTCACTCCGACAACAAGGGCTGGCTTGCCTTTGATGCCTATGCACACGAGGCCGAAAATCTCCTGAAGACCAAGTTTCACGAGCACGAGAGCGCCAGCAGTGCAAGCATTCGGGTTGGATGCGACAGGTGTGTATCCATTCGCGCGGTGTATGACGTAGCTGATGAGGTCTCTAGTTACCATGTCCCTGAGCACATCCAACACCACATTGATTACATTACACCGGGCGTCAAACTCACCCCGGTAGTCAAGAAGAACAAGAAGGCGAAGCGCGCGTCGCAGCTCGCCCATTCTTCTCAGCTGAAGGCTGTCTCCGGAGATGAGATTATTTCCAGCAAAGCAAAACTGCTACCGACTGAGCTACAAGGCTGTGGATCGAACATGACACCCACCTGCATTAAGGCTATGTATCATATCCCGGATGCGACAAAGGCGACCAAGGGCAATACTCTCGGGCTATACGAGCAGGGCGACTACTTTGCCAAGGCTGACCTCGATCTGTTCTACAAAAACTATGCCCCTTGGGTTCCCCAGGGCACGTATCCTATCCCTGCTCTAATTGATGGAGCCAACTACTCTGTCCCAGCTTACAGCTCGTTGGACACCGGTGAATCGAACATCGATATTGATATGGCGTAAGTAACATTAGCTCAGTGGGCGGATGCACGGGGTTAATATCTCTATAGCTACGCCCTAATTTACCCGCAGGAGGTCACCCTATACCAGGTCGATGACCAGTATTACGAGCCGGTCGAGGTCTCCACGACCAATTTGTTCAACACCTTCTTGGATGCTCTGGATGGCGTAAGTTTGATCTTTCTGTTTTGGTGGTTCTAGCTAACGCATTCAGTCATACTGCACCTACAGTGCGTACGGGGAGACGGGCAATGATCCAGACATCGACCCAGTCTATCCAGACACCCACCCTGGCGGATACAAAGGCACGTTCCCCTTTGTTTTCGACAAAAGACAAGACTGACAGACAATAGGCAAGCTGCAGTGTGGTGTCTACAAGCCGACCAACGTGATCTCGGCATCCTACGGACAGGCCGAGAAAGACCTTCCGGTCGCATACACGAAGCGTCAATGCAATGAATTCATGAAGCTCGGCCTGCAAGGGCACTCGATCCTCTTCGCCTCTGGCGACTACGGCGTGGCCTCGTTTGCTGGAGACGGTGGCAACGCGAACGGCTGCCTGGGCCCGGAGGCGAAGATCTTCAACCCCCAGTATCCGTCTAACTGCCCCTACGTGACCTCGGTGGGAGGCACCATGCTCTACGCGGACCAGACCTACCAGGACAAGGAGAGCGTGATGCACGCAAATCTGGGCGGCACTGCCAGCAACTTCAGTTCGTCCGGGGGGTTCTCCAACTACTTCCCCCAGCCCGAATACCAGAAGAAGGCGGTCGAGAAGTACTTTGAGCGTGCCAACCTGACCTACCCATACTACTCGGAATTTGAGGTCAACTTCAACACGACCAAAGGCCTTTACAACCGCATTGGTCGTGCGTATCCTGATGTCTCAGCCAACGGAGCCAATTTCCGTGCCTTCATGGGCGAGGAGCTGTATCATTTCTACGGAGCGAGCTTGGCGTCGCCACTTTTTGCCTCCGTGCTCACGCTGGTGAGTTCTAGACTCAACTGACTGGGGGCATTACAAGCCACAGGGGTAGTCAGCCCGAACAAAGCTGATTTTCTATGTCTCTGCCTAGATCAACGAGGAGCGTCTCGCGGTCGGAAAGGGTCCTGTTGGTTTCGTCAACCCCGTCCTCTATGCGCACCCCGAGGCGCTGAACGATATTACCAATGGCACCAATGCCGGATGTGGTACCTACGGCTTTAGCGCTATCCCCGGGTAAGCCCCCTTCCCCAAGAATCGACAACACTCTATCGCACACAGATCACGAGAAGCAACGGGCGGATTTAGCTAACGCTATTGTCGCCACAGATGGGACCCCACTACTGGACTGGGCACGCCCAATTACCCTAAGCTGAAGAAACTGTTCCTGTCTCTTCCTTGAAGGATGGGAAATTAGCCCGAGACAGGAGGTGGTGGGTTTCAATCGCGAGAATGACAGCTTTACTTGCGCTTGGGATGACTGGACCGCCCGTGTATACCGAAGTTCTAGGCTCTCGCACGCTGCTCGTATGCCAGAAGCTCTTGAGAGAAGTAGAAGGAAGATGTCTTATTTCTGTCCATGGATTAAGGAAGACGAGTGGCTAGTTCTATTGATCCTTCAACCAGGGTCTGAGCCAAAGTCAATGTACATAAGCTATTGAACTCAATGCACGAGCAAGGGACATTTTGACATGACTAGCATCAGGCCTAGCGTCAGGCCTACAACCGCGCACTCGGGTCGCCACGTGGCAATGTAGTCGTTATGCAAGGCTGTCATCGTTCTCTGCAGGGACCCGCTTGGTTGGTCAGCAAACTGCACCCAGCAACAAACAGGTCCTCGAATCGAGCCCGTCCCCAGCGAGAGAGCACGCCGGTGGGGAGCGAGTAAAGCCAAATCTGACCTTGAGCAAGTGAGATTGTTCTCATTCGTGGATGCCGGAGCACAACAATCTAGATTCAGTAAAATCCAAGACGAATGATGATGCTGGTGCGAACAATGACTGTACAATGCAGAACACTCGAGTCATACATCAACCTGCTCGAAGCTCGTCGGAAGTCAAGCCAGGTCGAATCATCTACTCAGTTCTTCATGGGCCCAGGCAAGAGCAAACAAGGCTCAACTGAACTCGCCTCGAGGGCGTGATCCGAGTCAGGAACCACCCACACCTGGCTTCAGCTTTCAGCTACCAACTTTCTGGTGAGGAGCTGACAAATGCTCATCCCAACCAACAACCAGATCTCCAAAACGACAACATCTCCGCGTCCCACCTCCGCACCATCATCTTGACCTAAATTTGAGAGTGAGGGGATGTGAAACTCGCTAACTCTTGTACATATGTATATCGACATGGAGTGATAGGACAAACCAGGTCGATCACTAAACAAACATTTATCCTGTGGGAACGGGCATTTCCGCTGACCACAAATAGCTGAGGGCCTCCGGGTCTCCCGCCACACATAAAGTTTGTTAGCGCTCGGGCGTAGAAGCTGGTTCTGTGATGCAAGCCGAAAGCCTGTTTTTTCAGTTGAAGGATGGTTTGGAGTGGGTTTGGGCTTTTTTTTTTTTTTTTTTTTTTCTCGTTTGTACGAGGAGTTCGTCTTTGCGATTTGTTTGTATTCTGGGTTGAGGAGGAGATTGCAGGAAAACCGGAGTAGACCGTGCGCACTGAGTTTTTGTCCTGGTTGGTGTTGGTTGCAGTTTTTGTCCTGGTTGACTGTTTCTGGCGGTGCCAAAGTATTTGCCACGCCGGCTTAGGCTAACTAAACGGTCAGTTGGTGGGTGAGCAGCACGTTATGCCCATTTCTTGGTCCATGGGCGGGTGGGTATTTTTGCTTTCTATTCTTTTCTTGGTAGGGTCAGGCAGGGAGTGTCATTGTGCGCAGGTTGAAATTTCATCAGTTTTGGCCTGTGCTGACGGCAGCAACCGGATACGGAGGGTACTGTCGAATTGTTAATGCGTGTCGAACAAGAGCCTTTTGCACCCCTCTGGAAAGCACAACGAAAAGTATAGCCCAATAGCTTAGTACTACTGTACTACTCGACCACGTAGATAAGCCACTGCGCCAAATCATCGATCGATCTCTATCGATCGCTTCGAATCGCGTCGGGTTTCCCGAGTACCTAGATCGAGCACACTGCATCGTGGTTATGGCGCTGCACCAACGAACCTAAGCTTTGTGATACACTTTCGGCTAGGACGTAAATGTGCCATCGTCCGTGACGAACTCGAAATTGAGAGATACTACGAAGGAGGAGACGAGAGACGAAACGGGAGAGTCCAGCGACGGATGAGCAAAGCCTGATGCCGGGAAGGCCTGTATATACTATGTTTTGTGATGACACAAGAAGTTGAATTTAGTCGGGCTGGGCTCAACTTGGGCTCAGCTGTATGCCGTGGAGAAGCAGCGCATGGCTTAATATATGTAAGAGGGACAACTGAATGGCCAAAATTAGCCCTGGGTTGATCGGCTCCGAAAGACCGATCGAAAGTGAAGGTACCGCGGTCAAAGCTGCCGGTTGCCGCATGGGTGATTCCTGGTTGTAGAAAGAGGTCAACCACGAGACAGATATTAAAAGGTGCTTAGTCCCCTGAGCATGTTGATCATCAGAATAACTACCATTTGCCCAACGGAATGACTCTAAGTCACATATCAAAGGATAGGATTGTATTAGAGTCGGAGACATTCCCCTTCGGAGATCTACTTCCGCGGATCAAGATTGCCCCGGAGACTTTTTTTTTTTTCTAAAAGGTGCAGCCCCTAAACTCTTCCCAGTATGTGCCGGGCTCGGACTTCATCTATAACAAACAGTCCAGTCTGCTGCTTAATGTGGCTGACCCACTTGGCCACTGGGTGGCTTGCACGAGAGATTTCTCAGATGGGAAGATTTTCTAGAAGGCCACGTGCATGGCAGCAAGCCACCAATAATGTTAGTTTGCGGGGTACTGCATGTAGCCTACTTATTAGTACGTAGGGATTTCACACAAATAGAGTCAGCATAACCGATAGATAGTCTTCCAAATCTTCCAGGTCCTCCTTAGGTCACCGTGACCTTGATTCATTGTTAAACGGGAGTGGGGGGAACCCAAGTTAATGGAACTCCCTGCAATTGGGTTTTGACGGTGCATCGAACCTGGCCGGGCAACTCTGGCCGATCGATGCCACGGAGGTTCATGACCCATCGGGTTTAGCGGGGAGATTTCCGTCTCATCGCATCCACGGTCCCTGCACGCATAGATCGATGGATGCACTCAACCTCACTTCATCGCAGGGCAGAGCTAAATCACTGGACTGGGCGGATTCTCGCCCTCACGGCGAGTCAATGGCTTTGAGCCATTTGGAATTCGACAGATCTGGCCCCTAGCACGGCAAAACCCATCAAAACCCAGTATCCAAGACTACGATTCATGCACCCGAGAAGGGTTGGTACCATGCTGGCTCAACCGTCGATTGATGTTTCAGGTGGTGGTGCTGGTGGAGGAATTGGAACCCGAGCCTGTGTGTCTTAATAACCCCTGTTAAGACTGCCATTCCCCCCCCGAAGGTTCATCCACTTGTAATAATGAACCACTGCCGCTGTCGCAACGTGCTGTCTCGTTGCAACTGACACACGCCTGTCACTGTCACCGTCACTCGTCACCATGAAGCTTCACCAAAGTGTGCTCTTCCTGCTTGGAGCTCTCACGACCTCCGCCCTCGCTGCCAACTATACCATCGCCGGTTTCTCAGAATGCGTCGTCAGTACCATCTTGCGCCTCGACCCAGACGGTTGGAACCCTTTTGGCTAATCTCTTGGCAGGTGTCCTACTGGGAACAAACCTATCCTGATTGTCCCATCACGGATACCTCATGTGTCTGTACCAAAGAAAACAGTCTGATCGACTATGCGTCAAGCGAATGCACCCCTAAAGAGTATTTCCGTGAGTTTTGCCACTCCCCCGCAATCCCAACTCGGTCCGCATACTGACTAACCCTCGTAGATGCTAGGCACCTTTTCGAAGAAGAATGCAACATCCGCCCGCGCACCAGCCCTTCCCTCGTGGACCCGTCGGTTCTTGCGCCTCTTGTTCTAGCTACCGTCTTCTTCGCCATCCGACTGTGGGCCAAGTTTGAGGGTCTGGCAGGCGGCTGGGGACTGGACGACACTACAATTACGCTCTCATTTGTAAAACTCGGTCGCTCCCTTGCTTGTATACCCGCGGCTCATTGTTGTTTTCCTGGCAGGTCTTTGGCATTGTTGAATATGCCATGTATGACAAGAGTGAGTGATTGGCGCCAGCTCCAAGACTCTCGACTAATGCGGGAACAGTGATCTACTACGGGTTCGGCCAGAACATCTGGGATGTCCCGTTCGAGCACATCACCCTGTTCTATAAGCACTTCGAAGTGCTCGCCATGGTGTACAAGACGCAAATCTCGCTCGCCAAAATCTCCGTCCTGCTCTTCCTGCTGCGCATCTTCCAGTCGCGCGTTTTCCGCATCTTCGCCTACATCATGATGGGAGTCAATGCCTCCATTGGCATCACCTTTGCTCTGGTCGATCTGCTCCGATGCACCCCGGTCCACCTCGATTGGGATGGATGGGCCTCGGACTACGCGGGCGGCACCTGCATCAACTTCATCGACGCCGTCCTCGTGCACTGCTGTGTCAACATCGTCGCCGACGTCATCATCGTCATTCTACCCGTTTACGAGGTCTCCAAGTTGCAGTTGCCGATCGGCAAGAAGATCACCGTGGGAATGATGTTCATGATGGGTTTGATGTAAGTTGCGCTGCATGGCCATTCCTGACCTTCCTGCAAACTGACGCTGGGGTTTTGTACAGCCTCACTGTTGTTGCGATCATCCGCCTCGTGGTCTTCTGGAACCACCGCTGGGGGGTGAACCAAACTGGTATGTCTCTTACCTTGCTGGCGCAAAAGTCACTGTTTTGAAGGGAGTGCAATACTGACCCCCAGACCAGCCGGTCTCCTCCCCCTCATCCACTGGTCGGTCATCGAATCGCAGATCGCTATTCTCACGACCTGTCTCCCGGCCGCCCGCGCGGTGGCTGCCAAACACATCCCGGGCATGAACAGCCAGGCCTCGCGTCGGACGTACGCCTCGCGCGGTCCTTCGTTCCTCTCCAAGGGCCAGTCACAGGCCAACACCAAGATCTCCAAGTCGGTCAACTTCTCGGTCGACTATGTGTCGCGTGGTCAGCGCGATGACAACAGCGAGGTCCACCTGGTCGAGATGGACGGGAAATACAGTCGAGTTTGACCAGACAGACCCACAGAATAATTACTGCATCCATGAGGAACGGGGTTATGGAGTCATGACGGGTTGCTTTTATTCATTTGGTTGATTGTTTATGGGTTCATTTTTGTTTGATACCCTTTCAAAGTCTACTATTTTGGGGAGGGAGGTATTCTGGCACTTATCAGTCGTTCATTCATAGAAATTTCTTATGTTCCGAACTGGCTCATCATTTTCTTACCATCATAATCCAAGATAAAGAGCGTATGCCATGCATCGAGAGCTCTCGACGCTTCTTTGTGGGGAGATCACTTCGTAGATTAAAGAGTAATGGAATCCGGAGACTCCCGTAATGCCGGGACAAAGACAGCCACCCTCTTAGTCAGATGCATAAATACCCGCCTTGTTTTGCACGGATTCCCGCGTCTGCTTCATCCCCACAAAACCTGGAAAAAACCAACCACCTTGACTTTAAACATCTGATAAGGTTGATTCAGGGTTCACGCACACGCGACCACGTTTTCTGGAAGCATCGCTAAGATTCGCTTCGGAGGCCTCTGTGTTCCGCGGTCAAGATGAGCGATCTGGCCAGCTCGCGCTGGGCATCTCTGGGCCCCAATGAGAACGCGACTACAAAAGCCGGCCACGGCTGGACCCACGAGCGCAATCGCAAACGGGCCAGCAACAAGGCCCAGCCCCAGCCTTCCAAGGAGGCGCCTCCTCACCAACAGCTCGACCCTGCTGATCTACCCACTATCGCTGCGCTCAGTCTCACCAGCAGCAGCGGTAGCAGCAGCAGCAGCAACCCCCACGGGGCCTCTGCACCCCACACGAACCCCAAAATATGGACCTCGTCCCCGCGCCCCGAGCCCAGCAACAGCAACAGCAACACAGGCACCGCGCTCACCCTCCACCGACTCCCACGGGTTGTCGGGGGGGCGCGCGCCTCCCTACCCAACGAATGGGCGCATCTCGCCCGCAGCGCGCCGGACCCCAAACCCGAGTCTTCCCCTTCGCCCACGCGAAAGAGCGTCGCCAAGCGGCCCATCCGCTCCCTCTCCGCGGCAGGCGAGAACCTCTCGCGGTACCGACGGATCCGGGTGCGCATGGAGTGGAAGCTCCGGTACCTGGTGGACGGGTACCGGCAGGCGACGGAGACAGACGCGCCGGCGGAGCGGGTCGCGGTGGCGGAGCAGATGTTCAAGCTGGACTTTTACGAGTACTACTCCTACCTGGAGCGGGGGATCGTGCACCTGCTGCTGGTGTTTGATATCCGGATCTCGCGGGACGCGCGGCCGAGTGGCCGCAGCTGGGCGGATGAGGTGGAGCAGGAGGCCAACGGGGGCGGGCAGGGGCAGCAGCAGCAGCAGCATCGGTACCACGCGAACGTGCTGGAGGCGCTGCGGGACGTGGAGAGTCCGTTTTATGAGGTGCTGGGGTCCGGGGAGAGGTTCGTGCAGCTGCAGAAGGCGAAGGAGCTGCGCAATCGCTGGAAGTACGCGGATATGACGCCCGCGGAGCGCGAGCGCGACCCGCAGACCTGGCGGGCCTCGTACAAGGCGTGGAAAGACGCGTTGATCCCGCTGCAGAGCTACGATTTCGATACCATCTTCGTGCAGATCCTCATGGGGCTGACGGAGGCGGCGGAGATCGCGCAGCAGCGGGTGGAGGAGGTCAGTCGCGCGGCGGGCCAGGAGGATTCGGGCAGTGAGAGTGATCCCGATGAGTGGGACTTTCTCGTCGATGCCATGGACTGGGAGGCTGTTTGAGAAGACTGACTGCTGTGGTCTGAGACTGTTCGTGGAAGTGGCTTTGCGGGCCTTAGCATGAAATAAATGTCGGTACCCTGAATTATTCTTTGGTGTTGATGATGATGAATCATGCATCTATCTTTTTTCTTGTTTTTGTTTCATTTACTGTACAGTTTGAGCAGGTCTGTAAATACATTGGATCATCCATACATATCGAAAGAGTTTGGACTGAACGTTCAAGTGCTACGTCAGGTATTTGCATTGAACCAACGGCGGGCGGGCCTGGAGCACTTGACTCTGGTATAGAACTGAGGCGCTGCTGATCAGGCCGTGTCTCGGACCAAGGTCGGATGGAGCGGACATGGTGCGAACACTGTGCTCTGACATGTTGTGTATGGGTTCCAGCATATCTGGTTCTGTGGACTAGTCGTTAGAAACGATACGTGGTTACAAATGGGGGGGAAAGCGATAATCAGTTAAGCGAGCAATTGTACAGGTGATCGACCGTCTGTAGATCTCGGTCAAGATACCCATGGTACTACCATTTATACAGTAACATGATAATGTCGTATAGATCGACAATTCAATCCCCTTGTAACATGCCGATCATAGCAAACAATGAATTGAGATAAACGAATTTCGCTAAGCACTAGCACAAGCACACGGCAGAAAAGCTGACCACCATCCCCACAACAGCACCTTGCCCTGCCAAAGACCAGCGAGAGAAGGCACTCTCAATCATACCCTCCCCCCCATGCTTCCAGATCGAAGGTGAGAGATCTGGCTTCCTCGACACAGGCCTCGAATGTGCCTTGACCAGCCATCGAGTCGTATCCCGCAGGGCAGGCGTAGTCGCCCGAGAGATTCGCGTAGATGGCCCGGCCACCGAACGTCTCGATGTAGTGCGGCAGGGCTTCTTGTGCGGCAGCGGTGTTCCATCCGAACTGCTGCTCGTCGCAGTCCGACGGTATGCCCGCCTTGAGGTACAGGACGAGGAGGAGCGTGAGTTTGTCGACGCCGGTGATGGCGACTAGAGGCGGGGCGGTGGACATTGTGCCGATTCTATCACTTTCTGTTGTGGTGAATGGTGATGTGATCGGTATAGGTGGGTTGTCGGGATGCAAGAGGGTGTATTTATATTACTATCTAGTTTGAGCCGGTGTCTGTTCGTACATGTAATGGGGCAAATATTAATCTGCAGGTAGCTGACTCGGGCAATCTTTGGTAAAGTCTACCTTCCATTGTCTTTGCTCTTTATTATGATGAAAGGTACGGACCTTTTCGAGCTCTCGACTTTGAGATCAGGTTCACTGGATGCATAACATCTTCGCAATAACGCTATTATGGTATTGAACAAAGAGCGAAAGCGAACAAGCTAAGCGTTGAACTTCACCCATTCCCTTCAAACAAGAACGAGAGTAAGTTGCACCATGATAGCGACACCAATTACAACAAGAAAATCACTCCAACCACTTAACTCTCCTACATCCCCGAGATATGTTCAGCAGAAGAACCCCTCTAAGAAATAAACGCCAACTGACAAGTCACCCCCTTGTTGCGCATTCCACAGTCCGACTTCACTCCTTACTCGTCCCATCGAACAAGATAGACCCACCCTGCAAGTCTTTCCAGCTCCAGGCGCCGTTGCTGGGGACACAGACGGCGACCTTGGTGGTCTTAGCACACTAACTCAGTTCTAGTGTTGTGGAATCCTCTAGCAGAGCTTGAAGAGGCACCTGGCAATTACCCAGCTTGGATAGTTCACTGCAGGTCCAGAGGCACCTGCAGACAAGGTACTTACTTGTAAGGAAAGTTTACATCTACATCGGACATGACATGATGATATGACAGGATGATACGACAGGATGCAACTTTGTATGCGACTGGTTTACAGGTCAAATGGCAGCGCAGTTGCTACAAATGCGATCCGTTCTCGCTCCCATCATGATCACCGTCCTCAACACCAGTTGTCTGACTCCGCCGACCATCTTCTGCCTTCCACGCTCTCCGCCAAACATCTTCCACCTGCCACACCAGTCAGCAATCGTGACATGCAATCAAACGCTGGACAGACCTGGTAAGTGTACAGCCAGTGATGTCCGCCGCTCCACTCGTCCGCCAGGATTTGCAGGGCTGCGTCGTCGAAATCCGTGATCTTCTGTCGAGATATCTGGGACTGAGCGAATCCGTCCACAATATCGAACTACCCTCATTAGGTGCCAGGTCAAACAGTGATCCTCTGTGTATTACCATTGCATGATAATGCGGTCTTCGCACTTGATCGAAGAGATCTAATCCATCTCGGATGGGGTAGCCCCGATCGTAAGCCCATTGTACTGCCCGTGCAAGGACATAGGCGTCCTCAAAGGCGCAGCCGGCTCCTGTGCCTGTGACTACCATCAGCGTGCGTCTCCCACTACAATCCGCCTGCGCCAACCTACCGAACTCCCCAGCGAGAGCTGGAGTCAGTGCAAGCCATCAGCACGTGTCGCCACATCGCATCTTCTCAGCCAGACTTACGATGAGACGCGTCTCCCACCAAGGCAATCGATCCATGCGAAGCTACCCGAGGCAACCGCGGTCCATTGAAAAGCGCATACTTCTTCACCACTTTGATCTTCGCCAGTGCGCGTTGCAGCATCGGGGAGAAGGTCTGGAAAAAGGCAATAAACTACTTGTCCGCGATAAAGCAAGCGGGAATACCACCCACCTTGAACCGCTCGCTCACCTCCTCCACCGACGCCACCTGCCCCCAACTCACCGGCGCAGCGTCTTCCGTGAGCCGCACCCGCGCCGCGAGCTCATACACGTTATTCCTGAGATTGCACGTGTACAGCCGGTCATACGGACCATGCCAGAAGGTGTTGGCGTCCGGAAAACCGGGTATGCTCAGGATGTCGGTGGTGTCTGCGAGGGCCCGGTAGGCGGTGGTGCCTGTATATCGCAGCCGGTAATTGGGGTAGACGAACCGGCGGACAATCTAGATGCGAAGAAGCTCGTAAGGGCCTCGAAGTCGACCCAGAGCGAGGGGCTCAGCTCACCGAGCGGATTCCGTCCGCGCCCACCAGCAGATCCACCTCATCCTCGAAGCCATCTTCAAACCTCAACCTCCACCCCCCAGCAGGCTTCTCCACAATCCCCAGCAACCGACTCGACAGTCTCAGCCGCGACCCATCCACACCCTGCAAAAGCGCCTTCTGCAGCACCGGACGCATAGTCCTGGCTTGGTAGTACCGAGCAGGTATACCTATCACAGAGGTCAGTGCCAAAACCCGCCATGGCAGACAAAGGGAAGCAAGAGAAGCCTTTTACCCTCCTGCTTATGCGACAGCAACAACTCCCCCGTCCTCCCATTCCTAACCCACCCATCTGGATCAGCTCTGTCAACACCCCGACCCCACAAAGACAGGAGAACAAACCGATGCTGCACCAAATGCCCATCTGCGGGGCGAAACAAATCCTTCTTGTCCAGATTCTCATACACGCCCAGCGCGTCCAGCATTCGCCACGCATTAGGGCTCAGCCCGATCCCCGCTCCCATCTCGCGCAGCTCGCGCGCCTGCTCGTAGATCCGCACCTCCACAAACGACAGCTTGGCAAACTCAATCGCGGCGGCGAGGCCCGCGGGGCCGGCGCCGATGATGGCGACGCGTAGCTTGGTGGGGGTCATTGATGCGGTCATTGGTGTGTTTGACCAGCGTAAGGTTTGGGAGATTGAGGGGGGGAGGGGGTTTGATGGAGAGGCGAGGCGATACATTGGGGGACTCGGGTTATTATAGGAGGATTGTGTGGAACAGGGTAGAAAGGGCCGTTGTGGGGGGGTGAGGCATGTGAATGGTAGAAGGTGGTGTGAGAGTGTCTGCTATGCTGTATGACAGGGATCTTTCAGAGAAAAATCGAAGAGGTGTAGTGGTCTGATACGATGCTCTACAGAAAAGGATGCCTACAGTATTTTCATCCCTTCTGTACCCTCGACACCTGGCAGCTGGAGGGTATATGCCTGAAGAGTAGTAGACTGGAGAGGAACTTTTTTTGCAGGATACAAATCTCTAACTAATATACAACCGCTCCGCGAAGAGTCTCCGCATATCCCCTCCAACCTACTTCCCCAGATTCTCCAACCCCATCCCCACCGTACTCATCCGATCCTGAACCATCCAGCGCAGTTAGTTTCATCCAAACACACCATCGAAGCGGAAGCACTTTTGGCAGGAACTCACCAAAACCCACTGCGGCATCCAAGTCGTCAAAAACCAGCCAATCGACGCCATCCTCCCGCGCCAGATCAACCCATTCTTCCCCGCGAGCAAATCCCCGACCACCTTCTCGGCATACTCCGACGGGGCCATCGGATTGCGGACGGGATCTCCCGCCGCCATTTTCCGGATCCCTTCAGTTGCCGGCTCATACATCGACCCCTCGAAACTCAGCTCCGCATGCTTGGTGAAGATCTGCGTCGCGACGACCCCCGACATCACCGTCACGACTCGCACCCCGAACGGCGCAAGCTCCAACCGGAGCGTCTCGCTGTAGGATTTGAGGGCGGCTTTGGAGGAGGCGTAGAATGCTATGATCCCACCCCCCCATCAGCCACACCCATAAGTTTAGATGGTGACTCACCATTCCACACCACCGGCATATTCCCCCCCAAACTCCCCACATTCACCACCGTCCCCTTGGCGGCAATCACCATCCCCACAAACGCCTGCGTCATGCGCACCGCCCCCCAGAAATTCACCTCAAACAGCCCCTGCGCGACGCTCAGCTCCGTCTCCACCGCCGGCCGTACCAGCGGCACCCCCGAGTTGTTGACGAGGTAGTTCAGTCGGCCGCCAGTCTGGCTCTGCACCGTCTCCACCGCCGCGGCGATCTGCGCCGCGGAGGTGACGTCCAGCTCCAGCAGGGTCAGGTGCGGAAGGTCGGCCAGGTGGGACATTTTGGCGAGGGAGCGCGCCGTGGCGAAGACGTGGAAGCCGCGGGCGTGGAAGGCCAGGGCGAGGGCGGAGCCGATGCCCTGAGCGCTGCAGCCGGTTATGAGGGCTGTTGGTCTAGGGGTTTCCTTTTGGGACATTTTGTTTTCTGAGTGAGAAAGGTGATGGGGAAGCTGGTTTACCTCTAACTACATTCAGTGGGGATAGAGCTCTGGCATAATTGGCAATGTCTTGGCCGAAAAGACAAAACCACGCGTGCGATAAGATAAACGGATAAGCTACGGTGGCTGTGTGTGGCTAAGTGTACTGTACTGGACTGTACTGTACTGTACTACGGCAGGCAGTGTACTACCCTGCCTTTACCCCATGACATCACTTCTTTACACAACTACGCGACTACGCAACTACGCAACTACGCAACTACACAACTACGCAACTACGCAACTACGCAACTACGCAACTACGCAACTACGCAACCACGCAACTACGCAACTACCAACTACTAACACATTGGCAAAAATAATAATCAAAGTAGTTTCTCAAAGAACAATGCATCTCTTATAGTACAGCTAAGCCTGGTATATCATGCGATCAAGGCACACCATCAATATGTACGTGAATCATAACTTCCGACCAAAACTCCATCCGGGTATATTTTCAAATCTGGCACTGCATCACCCCCTAAGCATTCTCCGCGTGATAGGAGCGGGACTCCTTGCGATGACGCTCCTCTTCCTGGAAGTACTCGGCCGAGTGAAGTTCGGGCATCTCGAAGTTGCTGCTGTTCCAGGGCTTGACCTTGTTGACGTACATCCAGTCCAGCTCTTCCAGGGTACGGCCCTTGCCCTCGATGACGAAAAAGTAGATCACAAAGATAGCGAACAGCAGACAGCCGGCGAAGACGTACCCGTAGGCAAAGTCGATGGCACTGGTGATGAACGGGGTGAAGAAACTGATCAGGAAGTTCCAGAGCCAGTTGGATGCAGTAGCGAGCGCCATCCCTTGGGCACGGTACTTGCCGGGGTAGAGCTCGGCAACAATGGCCCAGACCATGGGACCCCAGGTCATAGCGTAGGCTGGAACCGAGAGAGTTAGCCTCGGAGATCTTGCGACACAAAAGAGGCACGGTGCAGACTTACCAGCAATGAAGAAACATGTGACGACAATCATACCCTTACCAACATTGGGAGTGTTCTCAGGTTCTTGCACATCAAGCATGAAGTGACCGATAGAGGCAAAGATCATGAAGCACACGAACATGAACCCAGCACCAACCATCATGCACTTGCGGCGACCAAAGTTCTCGACAATGTACAATCCACCGAAGGTGGTTCCGAAGTTGACCGCCCCCAGAATGACCTGAGTGATGAAGCTGTCGGAGATACCAGCGCCCTTGAAGATAGTAGTACCCTGCTTATGCGTTAGCGGACGAATAACCAAATAACCTCTGGGGTGGACTCACGTAGTAGAAGAAGTAGTTGGCACCGGTCAGCTGCTGAAGCGCCTGCAGAGTCATACCCAAGCAGATCCGGTAGAACATGCGAGGCGCAGTGAGGAACTCGTACCACTTCTGGTTGACGTTCTCGGCCTCGAGCTGAGCCCGGATCTCATCCAACTCGTTCAGGATGACCCGGTGGTTCTCGGGGACACCGTACAGCTTGGACATGGTGCGACGAGCCTCCTCGACACGGCCGTGGCGATAAGCGAAACGAGGCGTTTCGGGGAAGAAGGCCATACCAACACCAAGGGCGATAGCGAAAACGAAGGTGATACCGAGAGTGATACGCCACTGAGCACTACCGTCCAGCGTGTGCGTGCCCAGGTTGATCAGGTAGGCCAGGAAGATGCCCAGGGTGACAAACAGCTGGTAACAACTGATCATGGCACCACGGATATGGCGAGGAGCACTCTCACCCTGGTACATGGGAACGAGCAGGGAGCAACCACCCACACCCAGACCAGTGGTCCAACGGGCCATGACCATCTGGACCCAGTTACCGGAGGGAGCCGTGATCTGCACTATCAAGCCGATGATGAGGATGACACACCAGATAGTGATCGACCACTTGCGACCAATACGGTTGGCGATGGGAGCAGCGACTAGCGAACCAATCAAGGTACCAATAGACAACAGACTGGTCAGGAGACCAGAGCGAACATTGCTGAGATACCAAGTGCCGTCCGCCTTCTGCATACCGTACCGACGGAGGTAGTCGTCCTCCTGCTCGAAACCAGCAATCTGACCGGTATCGTAACCGAAGAGAAGACCTCCCATAGAGACAAACATGGTCAGGACAAAGGACCGCAGGGTCACGCGAGGGACGGGAGTGTCAACCCCATGCTCCATAGGCTTTTCATAGCCAAGCGACTCTTGGCTGGACTGTTGTTGGGGAGCCACAGCAGGGGTGATGTGCTCCCCGTGGCTGGCAGAAGATTCAACACCCATGGTGGAGAAGGGTGCAGGATGCGGGGATTGTTTTGATTTTGTCGAGTAGAGTAATGATCAGTGAGATGGAGCCCGCAAGAGGAGTCAATGGGTAGATGTAGAACCCGTAAAGGTATCAAGGGTTGAACTGAATCACCCTTTGAGGAGATAAGATATGCTTCTTTGAGAAGTAGAAAGAGAAGATTGAAGATGCCTGTTTCAGAAAGATCACATTCTCGGGGGGGATGAGTGGCCTTTTATGCTGCACCATGCACGAAAGAGGAAGGGGGAATTTTTCAATGCCTGCGCAGAGAGCCGACGTGTGGGGAGCCGACATCAGCGCCCGCCGGGGAGGCATGAGACCAGGGCTGACGACTTTTCCCATGACCATAGGTATACCGTAGAGGGCCGGCCGAAACCGACAAGCCAGTCAGAAGTGACGGAATACTGGGGACAACCGGCGTTCCAGGGGGAGTTGCAGCACCAACGGGTTCCACGGACCTCTTTCGGGACAAGCAGAGGAACAAATGACGGATCTCGTTGGCTGACGGCATCGGCACGGGGGATTCCAGAGGTTTGAAGGGGTTTAACGCCACCCGCCTGCATGGCACGGAGAGACGTGTGTCAAGCAGCCGTCCATGGAAATTCCCCAGATCGATGACATCTGTCCACGAGGCAAGCGAAATGGCTGCAGTCCGGAAATGGATTAGCTGGTTTCGTTTGGGATATTCCGGGGAAGACAAACCTGGATTCAAACCTGGATTGAAGCATGAACTGATGACAGATGATGGAGAGAAGCAGGAGTGCATCAGCCAAGAATCCTCCCAGTGAAGGAACAGGGAATTGCCCGAGGAAGAGTAGGTGAGAGAGAAAGACGGGACATCATCAGCGGCGCTCCAGACGGGGAAAGCCTGGCGAACCATCGACAAAGAAGGCATTCTTGCCCAATGTGGAGACGAGCCCCACCACTAGTCCGTTTTTGGATGAATTCACCCACAACTCCAGAGTTCGGCAAGCAAATGACCGCGCGTGGCCCGGAAGGGGTCGGATGTCCATCTCATCTGGCACTACAGTAAACCTGGAGCACCTGGAGCACCTGGAGCACCTGGAGCACCTGGAGCATCTGGAGAAATGAGGGGAGTGCGATACCAGATCGGTTGACCGGTGAGCCTTCAATCCCGGTCCCTTCCACCTTCCTGCTCAGTACTAAAAGGAGGGGGAAAAAAGAGGGGGAAATGCGGAGTTTTAACGAAACGTCAAACTATTGACCACCCCAAACCAGCGAAATTTTCAAGCACAAAACATGGGGAACTGGATCTGTTACTGGAGTTGAATGTCTACAGAAAGCACACGAAGCTCTTCCCGGCAATCGTTCATGGTTACCACCCCTTCCATCGAACCAATGGACCGTCGTCAACCCTTCCAAAACCGATATCAAAACTCCCATGCTCGCTAAGCCGACCGAGAGAAGCGTTCGGCCCCGGTGGTCGGCATGACGAGAGTCGCCCATCACCTCGAGAATGGCTGCCAGTGTCCAGCTGACTGACTGCCCATGGCATCCCGACCGAGCCGAGGGGATTTGGTGGCGTTTATCGAGTGGACTGGTTGGCCCTGGAACCCTCCACCAAGCTTCGTGGCTGCCTTCCACCAGGATTATTCCCGCGCACAAATGACGACAATGGCTTGCTTCCCAGCAGAAATTCATGACGCTATTCCCAACCACTGCCCACGGTGCATCATTACTACTGTGTGAAATTCGAATCTACAACTCCATACTATCTAGCCCATTGATCATCCCAAGTTGCTTCCCATGTGGGATCGAGAAGATTGTTCCTGACTATCGTTTGCCGGTTCCACTGATCCTCTGGAAAAATTAGAGATTGATCGGAACCACCACCCCTGAGTCTCTTCTCTTTCCCTCGTGAAGAACTCCTCCATCCGGGTAAAGTGTCATCCTCATGTAGGGTAAGGGCTATCGCCTGCTCACGTGTTCAAATGACGTAGAGGCAGATGACTAACCACACAGCGTGGAACTTGCCTAGAAGGGCGTCGGATCAAGTCGTCTTCCGGCTTCTGGAAGCTGGTCTGTCTGCCAGATCGCCGACTCCTGGTAGCGAGGAGCTCGAGATCATGGTTCGGAGATTATTGATTTTAAGATTGAACCACTGACTCGCAGGCCGTTGCCAGCATGTCCCTTTCTGACAATCAAAGAGATTGCATGATCGGATATGGCGCCGTGTGTAGCCTTCTCATCGACGGTACCAGCGATCTACAAGGTTCGAGATACTTCAAGCATACGTCGTACCATTACTAGTGGAAACCAGACTGTTGCTGGTAGTTAATCCCGCAAACAATCTATCCATGCCAAAATTTTCATGCGAGTACGTAGTCGCAAACAAGGATCCACACCGGTCGGTCTGTGTGGTTGGTTCTCCATAGTGCCCCCTCCTATAGTACTCCGTACCCCATGCCAGCTACAGCACACCATAGCGCTACAATGGCAGCCCCGGAAAAAGTCATTCCCCACACTCGCGCCCGTTCCCCGACACCTCAGAAATCTTCTTCCGAGTCCCGAAAAGCTATCAACTTGCCGAACACAGACCCAACCACGCGACCTGAAAATTTCTTCTCAGGCGCGATCTGTCAAAAACTAACGGTCTTCCGATCTCCGACTCCAGAATCACCGAGAATTTGCTCGGAGATGATACCGAAAGAGTGGATCATGTCCGACTTTGACGGGGACGAGTGACGACACTCTTGCAGAGCCTGGACCCCAAATTGATCATATGTTCAGGAAATCTTGCTTTTGTTGGCCTATTGACTTGATTAACGAGGGCTCTTATGTTTGCAGCACGGCCTTGCTTACTTGGATTGCACCACCTGGGTGACCGTGCCATAGCAACATCATTCTGCCAGCCGATACCCTGATATGTCCATGGGTCGGATAGTATCCGAATGCCACGGCTTTTGACAAGGGTCTGCAACTGCGGGGGTCTGGAGCAGAACTGGACTCCAGACGCACCACGGCTGGTATCGGAAAATCTCGGTTCAAGGCAATGTCTGGCGATATTGTTGAAGGAGTACTGCGCATGGCGTAGGTTTTCTAGAAGATGGTCATCATTGATTGTTCCCGTTACACGATAGAAGAAGTGCCCCCATATATGCCAAACTATGATGGGACGGTGCTCTGTTTATAACCTCCAAGGTCGATGCCCCTTGAAGCTACTATTCCGACCTTTTGTATATCATCTTCAATACGATGTCCTACTAAGATATATATATGATGTGCCGATCGATTTGTAGGCGGTAAATGCGCCACACCGGCAGTGTTAATGAGAAGGTATAAAGATAATTGTGGTGTTGAGTACCACGGAGATATGATGAACATCAACAAGTGCGATACAAGATTAGATTATTCTTCTCCCATTGGAGATGATCGATGCCAATTGAATTGAGCATTGCGTGCTGACGGGCAGAGACTTGGGCTCAACTAGAGAGAAACATCAAGCAAGGAGCGTGGACAACCCAGCCACAGCTACTTCACGGCTACTGCCGAAGAATTCCTTATCAAAGCCACTTCTATCTAGTTACTTAATCTGAATCCCACCCACCAATTCCCACAGGTGAATTCCCACCCGGTCCAAATTCGGCCTACGGTGTTCTGCCTGAAATTCGAGGCATGCCCACGAGCGATTTATCTACTGCTTGCAATATACCTCTCTCAGTCTGGGAAAGACTTTGCCAGGCTTCAGTGGGAGGCAGACATGAAGGCTCTTACGCGTGTCTATGTACGCGATCTTCGATCAACTGTTCTCCAATATGCTGGCTACATGAATCCCTAGCGAGCTCCTCGGTTCGCGCCCGAGTCGGCTCGCGCTCTTAGGCGCGTCATCTACGGGGTCGACCTCTCCACTGTTGCATTGCGATACCCTTTTTCCAAGTGAGATCAAATGGCTGAGGTTGCGCAGCAATGAACTCTACGGGTACGAGTCACTCATCTAGAGACGATAATTAACACGACTGCACTACAGATAAGACTCAGTTCCGAGGCGTGGCAGGACGAAATGTTTCCTGTCAACGGCGATAGATCAACGGGGGCTTTATTCGTCGAGACCTGCACGGATAGTCGGCTATTCCTCATTTGATTGTTCAATAAGTTGTGTCTGTCTGGTAATGTGGTCGAGGTGAGCCCCTATGCAGACGGGACCATACCGATGGCTTGACAGCTGTTGCTGACGAGTAATCTAGATTCATCAACTGTTCTACAGGGCTCGTTTTAAGGCTGTTAGTCTGCGCTTGTATAGACTGGGTCCAATTGATGCGCAAGCGCGGGCAGAGTCTGGAACAAATGCCAACGCGCTGGGATGAGTTTCAGGTTTGATCCCGAGGATCCACTACCGCCCCTTCGGGCATTAAGAATGTGTTCATCTCACAACTGGGCAGCATCCGCACAATTGCATCGTCGTGGTGCGAAGGTTGACGGCCATAGCTGCACGGCATACGGCCCGACCGTCCAGGGAAAGCGTCTTTCCCTCAACCCCGCAATCTCGAAATCATGCGTCGATTTCCCCAGAATCCACGCATCGGCGCATGCCACTGTGCATTGGATGTGGATAAATAAGCGATGACTTGTCGCGGCTAAACGGGAACAGGCCCTCAACCACTCATGTCATCCGAAACATCCTCAGGTCGACTATTCCCAAATCAGCACGGACAAAACACCAGCCGAGGCGGATTGATTGACTGCCCTGACGATCACCGGCCCTCCGTTCTACAAGCGGATATTTAGTGGACATCCGTCCCTACACGAAACAGGCCACTCATATTAGAAACGGAGGATGGTCCGATGGCAGCCATCCACTGTCATGGTGTTTCGTGATCTATAAGAAGAGGCGGGATGGCAGAGGAAGCATGACAGTCAGAGCAGGGCTACTCGACTACACCACACCCCTTTCCAGAATGAAGCTTTCGCGCATGCTCCTCAGCCTAGCCAGCCTGGCGCTGGCTACAGCTCTCCCCAGAAACACGAACAATGCCGCCACCACCGCCTTTCCCAGCACCTCCGGCTTGCAGTTCAAGATCGATGGCAAGACCGGCTACTTCGCCGGCACCAACTCCTACTGGATCGGCTTCTTGACGAACAATGACGACGTCGATCTGGTCATGAGCCAGCTGAAGGAGTCCGACCTCAAGATCCTGCGCGTCTGGGGTTTCAACGACGTCACCACCAAGCCCACCGACGGTACGGTCTGGTTCCAGCTGCACGCGAACAGCACCTCCACCATCAACACGGGCGCCGACGGCCTGCAGCGCCTCGACTACGTCGTGACCTCCGCCGAAAAGTACGGCGTCAAGCTGATCATCAACTTTGTCAACGAGTGGGACGACTACGGCGGCATGGACGCCTATGTGACGGCCTACGGCGCCTCCACCAAGACGGACTTCTACACCAATACCGCGATCCAGGCCGCGTACAAGACCTACATCAAGGCGGTCGTCTCGCGGTATAGCAGCTCCTCGGCTATCTTCGCCTGGGAGTTGGCCAACGAGCCGCGCTGCCAGGGCTGCGATACCTCGGTGCTGTACAACTGGATCTCTGCCACGTCCAAGTATATCAAGTCTCTAGACTCTAAGCATCTGGTCACGATCGGAGACGGTAGGACTTCCCGCTTCGTTATCGAAATTATCAGCTAACGATTGGGCATCGCACAGAGGGCTTCGGGCTCGACACCGACTCCGATGGCAGCTACCCCTACACGTACGGCGAGGGGCTCAACTTCACCAAGAATCTGGGCATTTCTACCATCGATTTCGGCACTCTGCATCTCTATCCCGATAGCTGTACGTCCCTCCATTGTTCCTGGATCAACAGTCAATGATACTAATCTTGATGGTAAGGGGGCACGTCATACGACTGGGGCAATGGCTGGATCACGGCTCACGCTGCAGCATGCAAGGCTGTGGGTAAGCCGTGTTTGCTGGAAGAGTACGGAGTGACGTCCAACCACTGCACCGTCGAGAGTCCATGGCAGCAGACGGCCGGAAACGCCACTGGCATTTCTGGAGATTTGTACTGGCAATATGGAACCACTTTCAGCTGGGGCCAGTCGCCGAACGATGGAAACACCATCTACTACAACACGAGCGACTTCCAGTGCTTGGTTACGGATCACGTGGCGGCCATCAACGCGAAGTCGAAATAGACTGATACAGTGGGGGTAGGGGTGGGTTGGTGTGAGGCGGTGGAAAACAAATATAGGGCATGCTTGGTAGTTAATAGGATAAGTGCAAAAGATAAATCAATAAACCATCCTTTACTCATAATGGGGATATCTGGGGAATATCCTCGATCGTACAATAACCCGTGCTGTTGTAGAGCCAAGTGGCCTTTGCTGGGACTCTGGGTTCCTGTGGCCATTGAAGAAGCGGGGGGGCGCCAAGGCGGAAGCGCCCTGGCAGCTCCGCCTTGTTTGCGCCGCTGCCTGCCCGTTTTCCACCATCGTCCCCTCCGCGGGCTTCACTCCACCACCAGGGCTCTCTTCACATTCACCTCACTTGATATGCTGGTCATATCCCATTTCATACGCTTACTGTTACTGAAGCAGTGCCTGATCCTTACAACAATGGGCAACCCCGATGGCCCTCCCCCGTCGTACGAAGAGACCATCGCCACTGGGCCCGTTACCGGTTCGCAACAACCACTTTCAGCTGCGACCTCATCTTCCACCAACCGCGATGCAGAGGACAACCGCAGCGTCAGAATGGATCCTGTTCTCAGCGAAGACGCGTCTGCACTGCACGCCTTGATCTTGCGCCACGCACGAACCCCTCCGCGACCGTATCTGACCGTCCGCGGCACCCATACAGAGACCCGCGAGGTAACCGATAGCGATCATGACAGCCACAGCGACAGTCACAGCAACAACAACAATACCCCTCATACATCCACCCGGACCGAAACGGAGACTGTCGTTGACTTCGACTTCAAAATCGATCTCCGCAATTACATGGTCTGCGACTACGATGCCGTGCCGGATTACGAAGACGAGGTCGACACGGACGAGGATCGCGATGGCTGGCGGGTGTGCAGTGTCATCCGCGACGGAGACGGCCAGAAGGCATATCGTGGAGGTCGTTGCCGGTCGGATACCTGGGCCGGTCATACACAACGACCAGGATCACACTCGCGCCACGTGGAGGATGCGTCCGAGGAGGGGGAAATTGTTGGCCTCGTGGATGACGCAGGCGAGGTACCCGGGCTGATGGGCTGGTGTGACCGTTTCTGTCTGGATCCCGGCCCGGTCAAGTCGTATGTTATCCTTATCGTTTCCCCCAGCCTCGCTCTATCTCCCGTCTTCTATCTCGTGCTAATTCCCGAAATTTTTAGCTTTCGATTTACGAGGAGCATTGTCGGCTTCGACGTAGCCACACTCCGCTCCTTGCTCACCTCCCACCTACGCAACGCTAACTACCAGGGCAGAATCGACATTTCTAGCGCCCTGTCCAATAAGGACCTGACCATCTACTCGCCCCATTGGATCAATCAGCTTCGCAATAATTCCCTCGTTTATTGGTCCTGCATTGTCTCGCAGTTGTGGATCATCACCTGGCCGGTTATCTGGTTTCTTGAGCATCGCTACGATGTTGTCCGCGCTATATGGTACTTCTCTCGCGTCCGCGGTTCGCAGACAGTCTACGCTTGTGGCCGTGATGAAGCTGCAATCGCGGAAGAGCTGGCACCGATCGTCACGCAGGCGGCGCGGGAGCGCCGCACTGATGGCGGAATGCTGAGTACACACGAGATGAACTTGCTTCGGCAGCTGGGGACGGAGAGAATTGAACGCATGGTTCTGATGTCTTGGAATCGCCTAGGTGACTGGGGCAGAGACTCTTGACCACACGTGATTGATTGGCTACGCTTATTGGCTTGTGCTCGTGGTTCGCTCTGGCGGCCTCTTCTAGGCAGCAATAGAATCTGAGACTACAGAACTAACGAAGCGATGCCTGATCATGTTTGTCAGTAAGCACCTGTACCAGGCCAGCTTTGCTGTGCACGGACTGAGTAGGCATGAGGAGGTTCATCCAACCGTCGACAGCGACTGGCCGACAATCACTCGAAGCGAGCTGGCCAAGACATCTGTCGCCTCGCTTAACGGTCGGCTGAAATGACTCAAATCCTGGCATCAAGCAATGCAAGATGCGTTCCCCGGCCCGGTTGTCGGACCGGTGCAGTGGCTTTTTCAAGGGACAGCCACTGGATCAGGGGTACTTGGGCTCTAGCGAGTGCCAGGGTCTGATAAGACGCGCGAGGACAGTCCGGGGCTTAAAGGGGGTGAACTGATAAGCGACTCTGGAAGAAGGCTAGTGTGATGACTGTGGCGTTCCTTAACCTCTCTTTTCACCGGACAAGCCATGGGATTTCCCCATTGGGTTTCCCCGCATCCTCTTATCGCCCGCGTCTCTTCCTCACCCTTCACCCTGTTGCACACGACCTGATTGCCGGGTTGCATCTTACTCGTCACCATCTCCATCTCCCCATAGTCAATGGTGCCAAGGCTGACCACCAGCTCACGGTCCGGTCGGAGAAAAAAAATCCAAATCTGCCCATCTCACACATATAACCGGCGAAGTTGCACGACGTTGTGATTCCGTCACCCGCAACGCGCATTCACCGCATACTTCCCAACCTTCCTTTCTCAATTTGAACTTCCCTCTACTGCCTTCCTGCTTTGCCTACCTCTCCTTCAAAAGCCATCAGCATGGCTACCGACGAGAAATTCTCGAGGGTAGCCCCCTCACGCCCAGACCCAGAGCTTGCGACCATGGATGTTAAGCCTGGCACGATGATCGAGCGCGAGTTGTTCGATGAGCGCTACAAGCCCACACAGCGTGGTCTCAAGAGTCGTCATGTCCAGCTTATGGCGCTGGGTTTGTTTTCCTCACTCTGCATATTAGTCTACGGAACCCCGTACTGACCTTCCGTCACCTACAGGAGGCACCATTGGCACCGGTCTCTTCGTCGGATCAGGACAAGCACTACATATCGGAGGTCCTCTGTCGCTCTTGCTAGGATACATTTTCATCTCGGGTCTCGTCTACGCTCTCGTTACCGGTCTTGGTGAGGTCGGGGCCTATCTGCCGACACACGGTGCGACGATGGCCCATCACTCCGTTCGTTACGTGTCGCGCAGTCTGGGCTTCGCTATGGGATATCTCTACTGGTACAGTCTGGGGATCCTCGTGCCCTACGAAATCGTCGCCGCATCCATGGTCATCGACTACTGGCATCCAAACGTCAACCTCGCCGTCTGGATCACCATCATGCTGGTAGTGATCGTGCTGCTCAACTTCCTCCCCGTCGGCTTCTACGGGGAGACGGAGTTCTGGTTCGCCGGGATCAAGATCATCACCCTGATCGGCCTCCTGCTGTTGGCCTTCATTCTCTTCTGGGGCGGCGGGCCCAACCGCCAGCGACTCGGGTTCCACTACTGGAAAGACCCCGGCGTCATGAACACCTACCTCGTGCACGGGGACGCTGGACGCTTCGTAGGGCTACTGCAATGCGTCGTGAAATCGGCGATCGCCTTTATTTTCGCGCCGGAGCTGATCGTCATTAGCGGCGGCGAGATGGAGTCCCCGCGGCGCAACCTTCCCAAAGCTGCGCGCCGCTACATTTACCGGCTCGTCATCTTCTACATCCTGGGCGCGCTCGCCATCGGGGTCATCTGCTCGTCCAACGCCCCGCAGCTCGTAAATGGCACCGGTACCGACGCCTCCTCCTCGCCCTGGGTCGTGGCCATCTCGAACGCGGGCATCCCCGTCCTCGACAGCATCGTCAACGCCGCCATCCTGACGTCAGCCTGGTCCGCCGGCAATTCCTTCTTGTACATGTCGTCGCGCTCACTCTACTCCCTCGCCGTCGCCGGCAACGCCCCGACCATCTTCAAGACCTGCAACCGCTGGGGCGTCCCCTACTTCGCCGTCAGCGTCTCCGCCCTCTTCTCCCTGCTCGCCTACATGGCCGTCGGCAGCGGCAGCTACACCGTCTTCAACTGGCTCATCAACTTCACCAACACCTCCGGCTTCATCTCCTGGATCTGTTGCAGTATCGTGTACTTCCGGTTCGACAAGGCGGTCAAGGCTCAGGGCGTTGAGAAGCCTTACGCCTCGCGACTGCAGCCCTACGGCATGTGGGTGGGACTCGTCGGGTCGGTGTTGCTGATGCTCATCAACGGCTTCACTTGCTTCTTTCCGTCTGAGTGGTCCGCCAGCAACTTCTTCACGGCGTATATCGGCATCCCGGCGTTTGTGTTGCTGTATTTCGGGCACCGCGTGGTGTTTCGCCGGGATCCGTGGGCATGGAAGCCCATGGAGGTGGATTTGGTGTCGGGCTTACAAGAGATTCTGGAGGCGGAGCGGCCGCCTAGGCCGAGGGATACATGGGCGTAGAAGTTGAGGATGCTGATTGAGTGATTCGTGGGGATGGAGCCGATTTTGGAGTGAATGAGAAGGGATGGTGGTGGTGCGGTCTGATTATGATGGGTCGTAATGCTGCATACGTAATCTGCGCTCGATGCGTGGTGCAGCGTCCCTAGTGTTCTATGATAGGAGCCTGGCCTCTTGATTGACCGGTCGCTGCACCGTTTACGGTCGGGTTTGTAGTTCGCCGTTCCTCTAATAGCTGAATCTCACGTGCATCGTCGCTCCATCATTCATTATATCTAAAAATGGGTCCCGGCTAGGCTGACAAGGCCACATGACTCGTCAAAGCTTCAATAGGTATACACACTGAATAAGGTGACTTCTCTTTGCTTACACCAAGAGTTTAGTGATGATTAAAGCCCAGTTTGACTATCCTTCGGGCTCCTGGCAGAGAATCAAATTAAAATCAAATCAAATCAAGTTCCAGCCCGGTGAGCCCGCCTACTGCGGCTAGCTATGAAGGTGCTTCCTTGAAGCCCAAGAACTGCCCAGTAAACCAAAACCCTCAAAAACATGAATCAACGCATCCCATAAACATGAATCAACACATCCCCACATATAGAACAGAGGCTACTCGGCTGTCCTTGGTCCTCCTGTGTGTACTCTATAAAGTCTGTACCCTCCCCGTGACCAACGGGTTGGTTGCTCTAATTACACATCATCTTCGGCGCCAATCTCCATCACCCGTAGGCCTATTCGTTCCTTACCTTTCCTGGTATCAGCCACACTCATATAGTTGATTTACCCCAGTAGGCTTGTCCCTCCTACTGTGCTTCTCCCTCTGACCCAAGGCAAGCCACTCGCTTGACGAGCACTAGCGCTTCGAATGCGCCACCTCTTGATGAATACTGGAGTCACGGCCTTGTGCAACCATCCTTACTTTCGATTGAGGGCGGCTGTCCTCCTCAGTATCTCTGACTCATGGAAGCGTCCAGACACCTCTCCCAGGACCGACCACTTCCTTCATCTCGAGGCAGGAGCATTGGCCGCTCAGATCGTAGCAGGTAAGGACCTCTTTACACTTCTGGCACTTACCTTTTACCGCCTCGTTTGAGGTCTAGTACATACGAGGTCTGCTACCACCTTACGTTGCCTCTGGCAAGGTTGTACCAGCCACGCAACATTCAGCAGACAAGCAGATTTATGGCGACACATCAGGCACCTGCATCTATCGCGTCACTCGCACGTCTGCTCGAACAACGGATGCGGTCGGTCCTTCAATCGCAATGACAATCTGAACGAGCACGTGCTGCGTGTGCATGGCTATAGGAGGGATGCTTGATGCCGTGGACTTGCGGCACCCCTGACGTTGTCTCTCTGACCTGTTTATTTTTTTTTTCAGAATTTCCGAGATCTCTTTTTGCACTCAAATCTGCTTGATGTTGACACCTTTATTCTTCTCATCCAACTGTGGCTTGTCGTACCTGTATGTTTTCGTGGGTTGCTTTCCTATTCGCGGAATCTCGGGTGTTATACTTAAAGCTCTTCGCTCATGTTCAATTTCTTTGGTGATCGAATCATCATCAATACCCCCTTAAGTCAGTCTATCAATTGCAACCTCGAATGCAAACCAAGTCTCAGCGTCTGTGGTTGGGCCAAACACAATGTGTGAATGTGTAGAGCCTAGAGCCCGAGTCTGCCCGCCGAACCTGGTCAGAATTAGTATGAACCACCTTCGAACGAAAGAGACTATGCCCAAGTCGTGCACTCCAGGTTCGGTTATGACATGAAGCCGCCGATTTCGAGCAGTTACCGAGAGATAGACCAGCGCGAGGCATGTGCAGCCCGGCCCAGTTAGAGGCGAGTCGCAGAGTAGCAGATGATTGTGAGCGCTAGCAAGCCGCTACTTATATCGGAACTGGAATATGTACAGTATGTAAGTCCCAAGAGGATCCTGGGAGGGTAAGGGTGCCGGAGTGGCGTAGTTAGTTAAGAACATGGTGCGATCCTTCCCCATCCCGGTGGCGGATGCCAATCTACACCCGCATTCAGACTGTAGTGCGGAGTAGGTAGTGACTGTTTGCTGCGCTTTGCGTGGTCCACGTATACATTTGCTGACCAATCGTTCGATGAGTTGGAGGGGGTTCTACGGATACTATTAGTACCGACGGGGCCGCATCTTACGCTACAGCAGCGGAGTGGCCCTGGGGGAAGGAGGCTCATCCATGATGGTGGGAACCCCGTGGAGCGCTCTGAAGTCATTTCCTTGGGCAGAAATCAATCATGGCTTTGAATGGCTTGGGTCCGCGCCATTTCCATCTACTCCGGAGTAGATCCTGCGCGATGGCGGAGGGTCAGCTTCCATGATCCTTATCTACCCAGCCTACTAGTTGTGCCAGAATTTAAAAATCCCCCAATGGCTTCCAATGCCATTAATCGGCGCTTGTGTCTTCAAACTTACATCTATATCTTCGAAATATTGCTAGGAGAAGACTCTCGTACTCATATCATCATTATGCCTCTTACTTTGAATTCTCAGGAGGAGTGGGCTCCCATTGCCCCTTCGTGCTCTCAATTCGAGGAAGGAATACTAGATTTCGATTGTTTGATTGGGGCGAAAAGCCACCTCTTTGGTCACGATTACGGGCAAGTTCCTGATTCCATGTTCTAATATATGACAAGCACTGATCCGCAACTCTTCAGTCAACAAGAGCCTCCTGCTCCAAACCACCCAGGCCCGTCCTCATCTGCAAGGCTACACACAGGGCCGATGAGAGTGTTTTTGCTGGGTACCTTACCCTCCGCTAACACCTCATTTCCCGGTCTCGACACCTCGCAGTTTCCATGACCCTGGGAAGCAGCTTTGACCGACAGAACTGTCCCTCATTCGCGGATTTCCCGAAGTACCCGTCCTCCAGTGCGCAGATGTTACCGACGTCGCGCGGTAAGGCTGCAGGCTGCTCAGTCGCCGCTCCGAAGCGTCGTGTCAGGCACAGGACTCCTTGCCATCTCACACAGTCGCTTGACCCGCATATATTTTACTCGGACAAGAACTAACACGGACCAAGAAACGCATCAGCAAAAGATCTGTTTCAGTGTGATTGGAGAGGCTGCAACACCCACTCGAGTTTCAAGCGACAAGCCGATCTGTGGCGACACCTCGACATCTCCACGTCCTGCCGGGGGCTCACGTTTGTTCGGAATGCGGCAACTCGTTCAACCGGCGCGATAACCTCGGAGAGCACGAATCGCGCGTGCACGGCTATAGGCGCACTCGCTGATGTTCGATATAGCATTCGAAATACCACACCCCCATCTCCTGTTCTAGCACTCATCTTGTGGTAGCGTTTGAATCTGACCTTGTCTGATCGATCATGATCTGTCTCGTTTTTCCATCGTTGAGGATTGAGCGGACCGAGGTAAGGTGAGGAGGAACACAGATCATTGTGTTCCTGGACATAATTTCAGTCACTCTTTGTCTAGCGAGGTCTGTGAAGTTAGTTCCTCTTGACTCTATCAATTCATTCAAGCAAGCGATATCATACGAAAAAGTGGAAGAGACGATGTACTCATCGGACCAAAATCAAGACCGGAGTCTGTGCACTGAAGTGAGCTGTCCATGATGTAAGTTAGGATCATTGTTGACATTCCCATGACAGAATGGCTGACCACCTTCTGCGGGATGTGTATGTACTGTACGGAGTACAATGTAGCCCAGTTAGCCACGTAGCCAGGAGTCTCATCACCTTCCATGCTCCCTCAATTGTGTATGGCCGTGCTGGACAGCAGGAGATGGCGGAAAACAGGTGTGAACCGAAGGCATTTCATTACTTCAAGCATGTCTCATTACTTCAAGCATGTCAGAAGGGGGGAGGTCAGAAGATGATTGGATGAGATAGCACCCCTGATCAACTGCCAGGTGAGTGTTCGAACAAGTTTGCATGGCGTTGCGGAGTGCGACCGTGAAAGTTTACAAATATACTGTAAGAGTGGGGCCCGAGCGGGGTCCAGCAAAGCGAGCCGCGCCGAGGACGGAATTGCCGCGATTTAGCGACCGGGGACCGGAGTTAAGGAGGTTGCTGAACCGTGGGCCCGGGGGATTCTTCCCCTTTCCAACCAAAAAGACAAGTATTGTACTCCGTATTTGAGATGCCATACATACATACGAAACAGCACACGAGGCTGATGCTATGCCGGATTTGAGAGAAAAAAGCGAAGAGCGCCTGGATGGGTAAGGAGCATGCGCAGCGACCGGTAAGGCCTACCTGTATACCAGGACTTTTTTTCATTTTTCATTTGATTTCTTTTCTTGATTATTTCTTTCTTTCTTTCTTTTTCTCTTTGATTTCTTTAGTTTACCTCTTGATTTCGGTCGCTAGCACCAGGTTCAGTTCGATCGTGGTATGGCCCCTTCGTCACCTTCACTCTGCCGGTGGGCTCCTTCTGCAGCACAAGATAGGACTTTCCTCCGGGTAAGGGACTTATGAGCGGTTCCTGTGAGCTCACACCGTAAAGTACTTACTATTCATGCATGATGCGAGAGATACGCTATCACAGTATTGAACCGAAGAACTCCCTCTTTCCTGTCTCCTTAGTCCAGGCTCTCGTCGGCGTACTTTGCTTGGTGACAAACGTACTGTGCAGCCTTTTAGGTCAATAGAAGTCCCAACTGTACCTGCTTCCAGTAATTATTGCCCCAGCCACAATCTTACCCTTATTCTCCCATCGGACCCGAGATCTTTGAGTATGTGGAGGCACGAATTCTTGATTAGACAATTGGGTGTGCTTATTCTGGATCGCGCGGATCGCGCCCCAAGCTACGGAAGTTGGCTAATTACCAAGTGAGTGATCTCAGGACATAAGCCGCTCGCTCAATCAGTAGTCGAAATTCAATCGATCCAATGGTGGCGATGGTCTTTATCACCGACTGGTATTCAGAAAGCTACTAGCTTAAAGAAGAGTTTGCGGCCGAAAAAGGTGAAAGTCGGAAATTGCATGCCACGTCTTTCCAGGTAAGTCTGGTAAGAGAGCTAATTGGCCCAGACAGTTTGCCCTCTAGAAATGTCGGAACTAAACTCGAGTCCTAATTTAGGGTTTT